TAGTAAATAGTTTTCCCAAAATAACCGTGAAACCCCCCCACCATGACGCAAACGTACCCACACGTGATCTACCGGTGAGATCGTCGCGAATATATTTCATTTCTCTCAAGTCTTTCACTTCGCATTCACTGCCTCAATCTCCAATTGCCTCCAACTCAATTCCTCAATTCCACCGTGTCCTTGTCATTGCATCCTTCCCACTCCCACTCACTGGCACATCCCCCGAATCTGTCGACTCGATCTGCCAGCTGGAAATCCCAACTATGACGACACACCCCTACAGCAAAGAGCTCCTCATAGGAAGTCTCGCCGTCCAACGCGCCGCCCTGCTCACGAAGAAGCTGCTATCGGCAGTCGACAAAGGCCACCTCGACAAAAGCGACGACACACCAGTGACAATCGCCGACTTCGCCGCGCAAGCCTCAATCATCGCCGCAATCCACAAAGCATTCCCCTCTGACTCGATAATCGGCGAAGAAGACAGCACCGCCCTTCGCGAAAATGCAGCCCTCTTCGACCGAACCTGGGCCCTAGCAACGAGCACACACCTCGACGACCCGCAAAGCGAATCGCACCTCCACACGCCCGCCACAAAGGAAGAAATGCTCGACTTGATCGATCTAGGCGCGCAACCCCTACCCACCGAGAAAGGGAACCCACCCCACCGAGTCTGGACCCTGGACCCAGTCGACGGCACAGCAACATTCATAAACGGCCAACAATACGCCGTCTGCCTGTCCCTCATCGAGAACGGAAAACAAGTCCTCGGCCTCCTCGCCTGTCCCAATCTCCCCGACACAAAGCACGTTCACGAAGATAACATCGACCCAGGCCACGGTCACCTCCTCACAGCCGTCTCAGGCCACGGCGCACGCATCCAACCCCTCGGCACAGGCGCGCTCCTCCCCTCGCGCAATCTCTCCCTCGTCCCGCAGATCAGCGCCAGCACCGAGCTCCGCTTTGTCGACACAAGTTTCTCGCCGTCGGGCCGTCTGGACGTCCACGCTGCTGTGGCCGGGTCCCTGGGCGCGCCTTGGCCGGCTAGTGTTGATATCTGGTCTGCGCAGATGCGATACGTGGCTATTGCCATGGGTGCTTGTAATGCGTTTGTGAAGGTTCCGAAGAAGGAGACGTATCGGTCGAAGATCTGGGATCATTCCGGGGGTATGTTGCTTGTTCAGGAGCTTGGATGTAAGGTTACGAATATGGCGGGCGATGAGGTTGATTGTGGACGGGGCAGGACCCTTGAAGGCTGTTATGGAATGGTTGTTGCGCCTGCGAGTGTGCATGGGGTTGTTTTGGAGGCTGTGCGGAAGGCTAGAGCGGCGCAGGCTTAGGTTGTGAATCTACTCCTACTCGTCTCTGCCATCTAGGGAGGTGTGGTGCGGTGGTATGGATGTGATGAATGGGATGGAGATTGTGTTTGTCATCTACCATTTTCTATGATACCCCAAAATGATAGAACATTTTTTTGGTCTTTTCTGTTTCAGGTTCTGCACTTGTAATTTCAAGTAGACCCTGGTGTATAAATATTAGTTAACACTATCATCCATGGATGGAGAATGAGTGGTCAAAAAGTGATACATTCTTGAACGAGCTGGTGGACCTCGGATTTCAATTGGATAAACTTTGTTGGGCATAAATCGCACATGTAGACCTGGTTTTGGCATTGAGGAATTTGAACATGAGCCTCAGAAGGCTGACTTCCCAGGTTCGACGATGAATCCTCCACTCCATCATTTGTTCAGCTTGTGCCGCCAACTGCTCCTCGAAAGCTTTGTGTCGTCCCTTTTGCCAAGGACAGAGCCACCTCAATCCTCTCAATGTCCAGTGTGGAGCAACCACGGTTCCAGCGCACCTCCGCATGTTCTACAAAAAAGCCCTCGCCGTCATATAGAGTACGGCTTTTGAATTTTGGGTTTCATGGAAACCTCTCTCCGCGGCCCTGCCATCTGCAAGATAATTCCCTTTTTCCTTGTGCATGTCGTTCGCGACGTCTGTTGGCACTCCGATCTGTGTGGAGGGACATTTCATCCCAGACTGGGATCGGCTGTCCGGAGGGCCCTGTATTAACCAGGACATGCTACCATTGATGGAGAATGAGTTGTCAAAAGGTGATGCATTCATGAACTAGCGGATATTCATGTGGAAAGAGCGAACTTAAGGGCTATCACGTGAAGTGACCACACCCACCGCCAGTCCATCATTAGTATACTACTGGTTAGTACTTGGTACCCTGAACTTTTAGAATCGAGTACTAGTAGTTCTATAAGTAGAATACTACTGCTAGTAGCGTCGCCGCCAAGCAAGCCGTAGAAGCAGGGAATGATTCAATGAGTTAAGTTCATATACAGTAATATTCAAAATCAGATTTACCTCTACACTCTTTGGCTTTCATTCCCGAAGCCTAGCTTGAAACACGCTAGTCTAATTTTCCATGTAGCCTTTCCCGCAGGAACCCACCCCTGTTAGGGTGTATCGTATTCTCTAGTAACAAAAGTTGGGTCCTTGTTATAATACCGTCACGTTAGAATTTGATCGAATCTTTCAATGCTAAGAGACCAAGAGACCGAACAAAGGTTCATAGACACAGAGTAACCGACATATGCGGGATGTTTTTCACTTGTAACTTCGATACGCCGACACCTCGATACCCAACTTCGAAACCCATCGTCGTTTGGTACGCGCAAATCTTTCATCAAAGGCACTAGCAGCCTTGTAAGAGTCTCACATCAGCACTAGACACAAGTGGGTTGCAGGATCAACGCCTGAGCTGATTACAAATTTCCAATGCTCTTCCACTTCTCCCTCTCATATCTCGACATGGCTGGAATTCTAGGCCCCCGGGCTATCTTCTGGGCCTTCCTCGTCCTCGCCACAGGCGTGATTTACAATACATATATACACAACTTCATCTTCATCACCGTCGGTATTGGACGAGAGATCCAACCAATCGAGGACTTCCCATGGACCTGTACACGCGTCCGGCACCCCCTCTTGGAGGGCTGTGAAGACCTGTGGCTCGATGATCAGGACCGAAAGCTGTACGCAGCATGCAACAGCCTGGAGTCTCGCAAGGGGTGGTCGCCTGGAGGCAACCTCTACAACATCTCCACGAGATCCCGCACGGATCACATCGCTGTTATCGATGTTGACCAACCTGGCTCAGATGGACTGTACGGTCTACGCCAGCTCAAGATCGGCGGGTATCAGGATGATCTTGACTTGCATGGATTTGATGTCCGCAAGATTGAAGGCCGGCTTCGGTTCTGGTTGATCAACCACAGACCTCCTGTTGACCATGTCACTGGAGAATTCCTTGATGCTCTGGTCGTTGGGGCAAATTCCACTGTTGAGATATTTGATCTGGATGAGACCTCGGACACGCTTGAGCATGTTAAGACTGTGGCCAGCGAGGCAATTTTCACGCCCAATGGCGTGGCGGTGGAAGAAGATGGTCTGGGATTCGTGATCACAAACGACCACAACACCAAGACTGGAACCATGCGTGTTCTGGAAATGCTATCTGGAGGCGGAAGTCTCGCATACTGTCGATCTGACACAGGGAAATGCCATATCGCGGCTGATAAGGGGTTCTCTATGCCTAATGGAATAGCCCACGATAAGAATGGCTACTACTACGTCGCTAACTCTGCGTCTGGTCTCATCACCGTTCATAAACTCGTCAATAACAAATTGATCCATGTTGAATCGATCAATACCGGGTACCCAATGGATAACCTGTGGCTTGATGCGGATGGCAACCTCATTGCAGCTGCGTTCCCTGATTCAATTGCCTTTGTCAAATCTATTATGGATCCATACAATGTTGTTCCCCCTGCTACTGTCCTCATGTTCAATGATATTGCAAAGCAGTTGAAGACTTATGGAAAGAATGTCAAAGTGTCGAAATTGGTGGAGGATAGAGATGCCAAGAGCCTTCCCAGCTCGACAGTCGCTGTGCATGATGTGAAGGGTCATAAGCTATTCTTGGCGGGTATATTCTCTCCGTTCATCACAATTTGTGAGCAGCGTCTCTAATTATTGATGCCCAAGAGATGAAAACTATATCGCTCGATACATTTCAGAGACTTTTCTGTACATAACTCTACAGGCAGAACACTCACTCCGTTGGGCTGTGATAGATGCAAGGGGCATGGACATTCGTTAAGTGTTTCCTCGGGGCTGGGTGACTCGTAGACAGATGGTGCGGATTCAAAATCCAAATATAACCAGGAGAGGGAGCATACAAGGGGGTTTGGTCCCATAGATCCTATCGGCAGGAATCATTATCATTGTCAGAAGGAATGTAGGTCATCCCTCCAATGCAGAAAATGCCACTCAAGAGCCTAGTATCAAAGTGAGGAAGACTTAAGTGGAAAGATGTGGCTGACAAGCTGAATATGGAGTTTCATTTGGAGGGAAAAAAGCCTGTTACTTAGGGGAGAGAGGAGGGGTTGAGTGGTATCGTATCTATAGCAGATTCATGTAATTTACAAAGGATAAGGTCCCACCCGCGTCATGAAAAGTACAGTTTCTATTTTAGGAACAAAGGGGATCGACTTATGGACCATATCTGGTTAGCGTGTTTCATATTGGAGTTGGAGTCGAAGAGTGTGGAGGTAAATCTGATTTCGAATATTGCTGTATCAACACGAAGTATGCCCGCCCAAACTTGCTGTATAATAACGTGAAGATATACTGTATATTAAATGCCAAAAAAATAGAATAGATGCATAACACTCAATAACGAGAGTGCGTCTCGTAATGCGAGTACCCATTCGTCGGCGCATGTGGCTGCGCCCAGGCTAATTCGTCTAAGCGCCTAATCTTTGAGAAAGCGCAGCCATGAAGGCTGAGACTGATCTTGCGCTCAACAACACTCGAGAAGGTGAAGACGAACCCTTCGGCCTTCACTCTCTGGTATTCGAAGAACTTGCAAGAATTATCTATCTGTATAGCGGATAATTTACCCAAATCTGCGTCTTTGATTATCGCCGATGGCTGGGGCACGGGCCGGGCCGTCCACTGGATACGCTGTGGAGTTAGATCACTTCGAGTTCGCCATCATTTGCGCCTTACCCCGAGAGTTCGATGCGGTCGAAGCCTCCCTTGACGAAATATACGACGATCAAACGCCAGTTAAGAATGAAAACGATTTGAATTTTTATAAAACAGGCCGTATCGGCCCCTTCAATATTGTGCTGGCTTGCCTACCGGAAATGGGGAAAGAGAGTGCCGCCAGCGCGGCAGCTAGTCTCCAAATTAGTTTCCCCGGTATCAGTTTGACACTGGTCGTCGGGATATGTGGGGGTGTTCCTTTTCCAGTGCCTGGTGCAGAGTCGATCTTGGGGGATGTGGTCATCAGTCATCAGGTTGTGAAGTTCGACTTTGGAAGGCAATATCCGGATCGGTTTGAGCAGAGGGACGGCGTGCAGGATACTCTTGATCGATCTAATCGCTCAATTCGATCACTCATATCCGGTCTTCAGATTAACTCATCGCGAGCCGAATTTCAGGAGATGCATGCTCGGTATCTGCAGGGCATGGGAGAAGAGGATTCTATTTGGCAATACCCGGGTGTAGCCAAGGATCGATTATTTCCATCCTCATTTGATCTCAAAGATGCTTCTGAGGCTACCGACTCGATAGAAGACTTCGTTCAGCGTGATCGCTTAACAGGTGGTGATGATCCCATGTCTCGCTTGCATTTTGGTCCAATCGGCTCCACGGATACAGTCATGAAGTCTGCAAAGCATCGCGATGATCTGGCTCAAGGCTCACGACTTGTTGGCTTTGAGATGGAGGGATCGGGTGTTTGCAATAATCTTTCATGTGTCATTATCAAGGGAGTCTGTGACTACGCGGATAGTCACAAGACTAAAGTCTGGCAGGATTATGCTGCTGCATCAGCTGCATGTGCGACCAAGTCTTTTCTGGAGATTCTGGCGACAAAGAAATGTGAGAATCAGTGGATATTATATTACTGTCTATGGTTTTTTATTGCTGACTGAATGAAAAGTTGGGTCGTTTGTTTATTGCAAAACTTTGCAGATAGGCAGCAAGGCAAGCAGTGTAACAAGTCAGTCTGTGGGAGAATGGCACATACCACCCATATCTTCACAGACTGCCGATGTTGATCAACACATTCAATCCGTAGATGAAGGACTTAGTCGCATAGCTGATGGAATCCCAAATCCCCTACTGCGACGAACTTTGATAACAGCTGCCAGTCAAGCTATTCATAGCAGCAGGTCCGAGATGCGGAAGATACCGAAGCAAAAAGTGTTTCACTCAGAGCCCTACACAAGCATGTTTGGAAAAATTATCTTTCGAACCCAGGTCATTGAACACACGATATCTGTGGGTGACGAATCCTCTGTTCAAACCGAGACTCAAACCTCATTTATTTTCCTTCCCGCGCCTTGGCTCCTGAGACTCGGAATCAGATACGGATTGAAAGCAATGGCCGTCAATCATCACAAAACGTGGCGATATAGCATTTCACCGATAAATGTGAGACCAGATGACTCGCTCGTTTTTCGTTTCTGTGAAATGGGAAATACAGAAGCTGTGCGCGAGCTGTTCGAGAGACAACAAGCAACAATATACGACGTCAACTCGGATGGAATGACTCTTCTACATGTAAGCTTCAATGGAGCTCTCTCTATTGAAAATGGCGGGTGTCTGCTTGAACCTTGGAATAATGTGTTTTCCACGACTTGGATTGATATTTGAAGAAATCAAAGCTAATTTGAGAGTTTGAGTAGTTTGCGGCAGAATACGAACACCTTGACCTTGCCAGATTTTTGATCTTGCAAAATGCAGAAAAACAGGCTTATACATATAGGCCAATGTACTACCCCGGTAGTACCTTTCTGTTTGTTGGTCAGCTCGCATGAAATGAATTTGAATCTAATATTATGCAGTACACCGCTTTCATTGCTCGCAGGCAGTTCTCTGGGCATTTGCGCAAAATGGCTCGAATTTTATTACCTTTTCAAGGACTGTATTGAGTTCTGTGAGCCAGAAGCAGATGGCTGGCTTATTCTACAGAGTGTTGAATTTGATTCCAGCAGCAGCCTTCATCTCCCTTACCGAGACAGCCTTTTATTTCTACTTGAACGGATTCAAGAAGAAATCACAGTCGGCATGAATCGGGATGCAATAGAAACCGCCCTTTTCTATGCAGCAAGAACTGGGAGGTTTGCCGATATGGATTTAATTCTCAAGTTTGACACTCAGAAAGTGATTCATAGATGTTGCCTTAAAGGGGAGCGTCCTATTTTAGGGCGTTGGGCCCATTGGCTAATTTTACAGTTTCTTGCCGAGAAAGGGCTCGATATTCAAACCAGTCTCCTTGGAGAAACACCTACTTCAAGATGTTTAGAATTTTCTGGCTCCTTTTTTTGCTGGCGTATGGATGCAAGAATACTTTTCTCGGATATCGACCGACTCATCGAACGCGAAACCTCCGAGTCGAAGAAATCCGCACCGCGTCTACGAGGATGGTCTTTTGATCTCCTACGTGACCTCTTTTCATTAGATCTAGACGAACTTCTAGAACTTGAAGGCTTCGAAGATCTTAAGAGGCCTCACTCACATTGGGATTATATATATCTCGCCAATGATGACGCGATGGATTTGAAGTGTTTACAGTGTGGCTGCAAAAGAGTTTACGGTTTCTTCGAAGGGACTAATGGCGGATTCATCATGGAGCCGTGGTGGGAAGGGGTAAAAACCAGAGTCAAGAACCGCAAGTGTCTTTGTTCATTCAATGAGATAACACAAGATGACCGGGATGGAAACAACATTATACAGAAATCATGTCGGTTCGAGAAAATTGACTCTCAGTCTGAGCCTGATCGCTCTCCTGTGAAACCGGAGTACTTTTCAGATACCCAGTCAACGCAAACACAGGAGACGGAATCGCAACCAAATTTCGATACGAATGATGACACTTCTCAAGAATCGGCTAGAGATACTAATCTCTCAGGTCTGATAAGAGCAGCCAACCCTACAAATCAACACAGCGTAAATCGATCGATGGGGCGAGGTTATTCCTTTTCAATACTGGGCAGAGCATTGCTATGAGAAATATGGGGGGTGGAGACATGGATACGAACCATGTGAATACTACTGTTTCAAATGTTTGGCATCGTTAGAAGGCTGGAATGCGGAATATGAAGAGGTCTGTGAATATTTGGAGACCTTATCCGAAGAATCTGAAGAGGACTCAGATGAATCCGATTTGGATGAGCTCGACTCGGATACATCTGATTGACACCGTGACCTCCAAGTCTCTGCGCCTAGGTCCTTCCAACTTAGTACGTCTTTTACAGTCTATTGCAATATTCAAGTTTTTTCTTTGGTTTTCCGACTTAGATTATCGTAATCAGACATCGAAAATATAATAGAGTGATATCAAGCAAGACACCTACCTAATATGGAAATTATCCATTGCAAATCCCCAAGCACAAATTGAATTTTTTGCCTTGCATAGGAGGACCTATGAAAGCATGCGAAATTGCCATCAAATGCTAAATGGGTAAACTAGCCAGAAATAGTAACTCACATGATCATTTTGATGAAGCAGTGGCCCCTTGCCCCGCAGACTCGGAGTCCGGGGTACTAACTAGTAACTAGTAGTAGTACTCATTCCTGTCAGCTTACGTCAAGAGGAAATGAACAATCAAACTTGTCTCTATCCATGACATTAAATCATCTTTAGATCTATTTCTATCATGTACTTGATAAAAAAGAACTTGAGTGGGTCAACTAACTACTTCAGATACTTCCAGTTTAGGGCCGTGCACGCGATCGACGAGTGGCGCCATCAAGGTGCCATCACTGCCATTTCACCCCTACGGATCTGCCTTGTATTTAGTGAAGCCGACAGAACCATGGTCAATGACGGGAAGTACTAGTTAGTGCAAAAAGTCCCACTCAGCTACTGTGGCAGACAGATGGGTCCCACCTGAAATCAAGAAAAGTGAAGAGTTGAAACCTCAAATGACGGCACATCCCCCCACTAGCCGCCGGACTAGGTAGATCCACATCAGGTTCGAGGTCAAACCGTGATGTCAAGGATCTGACCTCATGTACCCTCCTGTTAGGCTGCGTCTCCCCCTGCGCGACTGCTGAATGGTTGGATGCTGGGGTCATCAGACCATGCGGGGATTCGCTGGATTCGCTGGATTGGAATGTTAACCACGCCTTCCCCCGCTTTCAAGAGCTAATTTCTCCCGGCTTTTCTTTATCTTTTCTTTTCTTGGATCAGCTCGGATTTCTATCTTCGCATCCTCCTTATCATTATCATCACCATCACCATCACCATCACCATCTCTCTTTCCTCTGGTCGAAATGGTTAACTGGAATCCCTTTGCTCGGCGCGAGACACATAGTGCTCAAACGCTGAACGCGTATCGCATTCTTGTGCCCCTCACCTGGGCGCTGGTCGTCATCGTGGGCATCTACTACTCTATCCACTCGCCAGACGATGTAAAGAAGAGCAAGAAGATCTGGAAGCAGGCGGATAAGCACAAGACACCTTTCAGCCAGAATACCACCGTCACCGGGATTTACTGGTGGGTTTTTCTTCCACCTACACTTTATCTGCACTGACTCGGATATATCCGTGGATATCCGTGGATACTCTTGAGTCCGAGATCAAGCTCTGGGGATGAAAAGAAGTTGAACTTCAAGAATATGTACTAATTATCCTTTCACAGGATCCTGTTGCTCCTCTCTCAGCTCAGCTACGTTTGGCACCTGTTCTCTAAGGATGTCGCAATCGTCGCTCCTGCTGCCAACGTCGCGACTCACTTCATCTTGAACAACCTCTTCGTTTTTTCCTGGATCCTCCTTTGGACCCGCAACCACTTCTGGGGTGCCGAGGTGATCCTGGTTGCCCACCTGTTCAACCAGCTCGCGGCCTACTGGCGCCACCAAGGGCTCCCCGCTTTCGTGCATCTTTCGACCATCGCGGGTCCGTTGGCTTGGACAGTGACGGCGCTCTTCTGGAATGGCGCAGTTGCAACACATAGCCATAACCTGCCCGGTCGAATTGTCGCCAACATCTTTATCTGGGTGATTGCTGCCGTCGGCCTGTTCCATATCTCTGTGCGACAGGATTATATCCTGGGATATTGCTTCAGTGTTCTCACTCTGTGTAAGTGGGACCATCGCGACCTATCCAGCTGTTGTTGTATATATGTAGTAGCTCCAAGCTGACAGATTCTAGCTCTTGCACTGCGTCAATTTGCCGTCAAGATCATTGCCCTGCAATGGATCTTCGCGTTTGTCATCTTCGGTCTCTTCACCGTGACCTCGATCTACATCTCCAGCACCAAGTACTACGGACGCGACAGCCTCTTCCGTCGCGTTGCGCATCCGGAGTCTGCCGATCGCGAAAGACAGCCCCTGCTCAACGACGACGCATAAGCGCTGTCAGCACCGGGCCGGGTCAGCAGGCGATATTGACAAGCAAAGTGCGAATACAGAGTACCAATACAGGTACTAATCGCATATATCCGGCCCACCCAGAGGATGGAAAGAAGGAGGTTGCCTGGACTGCCCCACGGAGGTACAGAGATTGTCACTCAGGGAATGGAGGGGAAGCGTGGTGGAAGTTTGGAATCGGAGGATCAAGTTTGAGGTTTATTTGCTCGTTGCGCAATAATCAACATCCCCCTCTCGCTTTATCTCATTCATAATACCACTGGGCGTTGATTTGATATTGGAGTACTAGTAACTATGATCCTACTGCCTATTTACGATGATCCGATAATTACAACCTGTTTATGCATTGCAATTGACCCACTGAGTGGGCCGGATGAACCGTGCTTGAACCGAACATGGCGATGTACCATGCACCAAGCACCATGAAGTCGAGTGTAGGCCACGAGCATGCAAGGATAAGAGAGGAATTGGTAATAATCAAGATGATAATTATAGTGCTTGATCCTGATACCCCTATTGCCTCTAATATTTGAACAAGGGCTGTTTCAGTCCCGTGCAGGTGTAGGCAGCAGATCCCCGCGTTGTCAGGGCAACCACGCGGCTCTCCGTTGTTGATGGCGGATACGCCGGGCTGGACTGCTCTGCACTCCAACTCGAACCGTTCTTCTTATTTGCTCCTCCCCAGATTTCTCTTTACACTTACACTTACACTTACATCCAAGTTCCATCTTGATCATCACTTTGTTGTGTCGCGTCTGGTACTGCTGCAAGTTCAATTCGGAATAACCTCTTTCCAACCTCCTGGTGGGCATTCTCCGATCCACATTCCTCCCTAACTATTTACTAACGTAACGCCTGTCAGTCCACCGCAGAGGTGCTCTACTATGAGGACTTGAGCAAAGTACACATTCCATAGTTCACGTCATGAACCGTCACCCGCCATCCAGCTACGGCGAGGAGCCACCCGCATACGATAACGAGGCGGCTTCATTCCTATCCCACGATGATTCGCCCACTGCACCCTCAAGACACAACGGCCCATCAATGCGCCTATTACCTACAAGCAGCAATGTTGATAGCGACCTAAGTGGAAGCTACAGACCTGTTTCGCCTTCGCAATACTCCCACTATCAATCAGAATATGCTGAAACAACTAGTCCGTACGTATCGATCCATGTTCTTCCTTCTTCCCATCCACCTTGAGGCACTTGCAATGCGAGTGTATTCTCCGACACATTCCAGTCGTTACCCGCTACAACACAATCATATCCACTCTGCTCCCCTTCCTACCCCTCCCTTGACAGAAGCGTATGGCACAGACCAGTGCTTGGTGGGCTACCAAAGAATGGACCCTGTCGGATGATCAGGTACTCTTTCCGCTGGTAGTTCAATCAATGCCGTCTTGCCATAAACACTGCCATATACTTGTTTATCACCGGTGTACCGCGCCGCCTCCATTTGGCAATTCCCCGGTCACATCTCTATCATCATGGATTTCACGCGACCGAGGACTAACATTCGCACGCGCGATAGAACCGGAGCAGTGCCCGGCTACGACAGTCGCTTCTACCAGATGCCCACGGCAACTTCACCTTCACGCCCGCCTTCCAGCTTGGGGACTGCACCTACCATCCCACCGCCGACAGCCAGCTTGGCAGATACATCAGTTTACCCTTCTATTCCGCCCCGAGTAGGCTCTCCCACACGCCCATGGAGTCCGGGACATGTTCGTCCTCCCTCCGTGTCGAGTGTTGGATATGAACGCGCAGATCTCAACGGCAGTCCTCGACCAGGTACATCCAGCTCTAGATACAGCGGCAGCCCCCGGCGACCACTTCCTCCTGCGCCCCTATTCTCTGGTCCCACCGCTTCAACGGGAGCTGACAGTAGCATCGACATTGGCGATGGCGAGGATCCATTCGGTGGTGGTGGCCGGACCATTCATCACAACTCCCGCGGCAGTGTTCGATCCTTCATGAGCGAATCTACTGTATTGGGAGACGAGAAAGATGCGATGTCCAAGGTTGATCTGGATGAGGAGGAAGAGGAGGAAGACGCCGCCAGCATGATTGATCCAAACCTTCACTATGGACCCGCGCCCGATAAGCAAGGCCGTCGAGGTGTTCGCTCGACTCAGATGGTCAAGAAGGAAGTTCAGCTCATCAATGGTGAACTGATTCTCGAGTGCAAGATCCCAACAATTTTGCACAGTTTCCTTCCCCGACGCGACGAGCGCGAGTTCACCCACATGCGGTACACAGCTGTTACATCAGACCCCGACGACTTCACCAGCCGCGGGTATAAACTTCGTCAGCAAATCGGAAGCACCACACGTGAAACGGAACTGTTCATCTGTATCACCATGTACAATGAAGATGAGATTGGCTTCACACGCACCATGCACGGTGTCATGCGCAACATCAGCCACCTTTGTTCCCGAACCAAGTCTCGTACCTGGGGTAAGGATGGATGGAAGAAGATTGTCGTCTGCATCATTTCCGATGGTCGCAAGAAGGTTCATCCTCGCACTCTCAATGCTCTAGCCGCTCTTGGTGTTTACCAAGAGGGTATCGCGAAGAATATTGTCAATCAGAAGCCAGTCACAGCCCACGTCTACGAGTATACAACCCAGGTGTCCCTCGACTCTGACCTGAAGTTTAAGGGTGCCGAGAAGGGCATTGTTCCTTGCCAGGTTATTTTCTGTCTGAAGGAGCAGAATCAAAAGAAATTGAACTCTCATCGTTGGTTCTTCAACGCCTTTGGTCGCGCTCTGCAGCCGAATATCTGTGTGTTACTCGATGTTGGTACCAAGCCCGAGCCCAGCGCCGTGTACCACCTTTGGAAGGCATTCGATCAAGACTCCAATGTCGCTGGTGCTGCCGGAGAGATCAAGGCCGGCAAGGGCAAGGGTATGCTTGGTCTGCTCAACCCTCTGGTTGCTAGTCAGAACTTCGAATACAAGATGTCCAACATCCTCGACAAGCCTCTTGAGTCCGTTTTCGGATACATTACTGTGTTGCCCGGTGCACTCAGTGCTTATCGCTTCTTCGCTCTGCAGAACGACGCGGATGGACACGGCCCACTGAACCAATACTTCAAGGGTGAAACCTTGCACGGTCAGGATGCTGATGTCTTCACTGCCAACATGTACCTGGCTGAGGATCGTATTCTCTGCTGGGAGCTTGTTGCGAAACGAGAAGAGAGATGGGTCTTGAAATTCGTCAAGAGTGCGGTCGGTGAAACTGATGTTCCTGACACGGTGCCCGAGTTCATCTCGCAGCGTCGTCGTTGGCTGAACGGTGCTTTCTTCGCGGCTGTGTATTCGACAATCAACGCCAAGCAGATCTGGAAGACAGACCACACGCTTGCGCGGAAGATTTTGTTGCACATTGAATTCGTTTACCAGACTCTTAATCTTGTTTTCACTTACTTCGGACTGGTAAGCTTCGCTCCTTACATTTTGCATCTATCTCAACTAACCTGTCGCAGGCTAATTTCTACCTCGCCTTCTACTTCATCGCTGGCTCTTTGAGTGACGAGAAACTTGATCCGTTTGGCCATAACATGGGCAAGTACATATTTGTTGTGCTACGATATGCCTGTGTTTTGGTGATGTGTTTGCAATTCATTATCTCTCTTGGTAATCGACCGCAAGGGTAAGTCATTCCTTCTCCGTGGAGGAAAAAGTCCCAAGCTAACTTCCTTCAGTGCGAAAAACATGTATCTGATGGGTATCATCGTGTACAGTGTGATCATGTTCTACACAATCTTCTGTACCCTATACCTGGTGGTTTTGGAACTGATGTCCCGTGCTGGCATTGAAACGGGCAAGGAGATTACAGTGTCTGGCACACTGATGATGAACATCGTCTTGTCCATGCTTTCAACTGTCGGCCTATACTTCTATACATCCTTCCTCTACCTTGACCCTTGGCACATGTTCACCTCTTCGATCCAATACTTCCTCTTGATGCCCAGTTACATTTGCACCCTCCAGGTTTATGCCTTCTGCAACACCCACGACGTCACCTGGGGTACCAAGGGAGACAACGTTATCAATACCGATCTGGGAACAGCAAAGGTCATTAACGGCAGCACTGTCGTCGTGGAAATGCCGTCCGAGCAACTCGATATCGATAGCGGGTATGATGCTGCCTTGCGCAACCTCCGTGATCGCCTCGAAGTCCCCGAGCCCCCACTTTCTGATTCCCAGATGCAAGAAGACTACTACCGCGCTGTCCGTACTTATATGGTGTCCATTTGGATGGTCGCTAACCTCATCCTCGCCATGTCCGTTTCCGAAGTTTACGGTGTCGATTCTGGTGGCACAAACATCTACCTTGCTATTATCCTGTGGTCTGTCGCTGTCCTGGCTGCCATTCGTGCTGTTGGCTCAACTGCCTACGCTCTCTTGCACCTGATCCACAAGATCGTGGAAGGAAAGACCAAGTTCCAAGCTGGCAATATCTCCAACTTCGCACCCAGTTCCTTCGGTGGTAGTTCAGTTGGTGGTTCTTCCGAAGGTGGTTCTTCTAAACCAAATCCCATTCGGTATAGCGGTGGGCCTAGCATGAAGGACCGACTTTCCGAAGCAAAGTGGGCTGTCAGTCGAGGTGCTGGTAAAATGATGTTCTGGCGCAAGTAGATCTTTGCACAGATCTTGCTTGAAGTATGCGTTTTCCTTTTTCTTCTTTTCTTCACGGTATTATACCTGGCGTTTCCTCTTCTGGCTTTTTTATTCTTACAACTGTGGGGGAGTTTAATACTTTACGATCTTCGATGGAAATATTGTCACGATATCGGGTTTGAGGCTTATGTCCGCTCTGCTCTACTCTGCTCTGCGCTCTCATACGAGAAGCGATATGCTCATGTCTATTACGGATATACTCATGCGTTTTGATTTGAATGAATTTCATGGACATTTTTTGACACTTAGTCTTTTCTTCTCTTACTTTTCAATATTGAAGCTGAAGTAGTACCCTTTCTCTTGCGATCCATACTGGTAGCGGTAATCGACCCAGTACTAGGGTAGAAGCGTCCCAAAATTAAATGGTGCGCCCTGGACAAATCTGGACTTAAAATACTATCATCTTTTGTCGTAGCCTAAGAATACCTCAAACTAGGAACAGCAACCTTGGAAGTAGTTAATTGGTTGGTGCTAGTAGTATGTCAGTTGTAGTATTGCTTACTAGTAAAGTCGGTCAATATTACCTACTACCTAGATATTCTATCGAGTGATACTATAGTATTCAGTGCTCTGAAAAAATATCTGTAGGTTGTAGTAATTTTATGGGCAGAATAGCTTCCACCGAGGGCTGGGATATTCTTGATAAACCCTGGCAGAATTTTATAATTTCGTCCCCCTGGCCACTATCGGCTGCCATAAGCCCCCCTATCAAATGCGAATTAGGACAACTCACTCTGCTGAAAGGAAACCATCCCTCTACCGACCCCCGTCCCCTCAGCACAATTCACATACTGAAGCCTCGCCTCCCCACCCCGAATTACGGAAACCTCATGCCATGTTCTAAATCTTCGAGCGTCCCCGAATCGTCGACCATGACTAACAGCCCCTGCATGAATCGCCAGATGAGACGGATGTTTCGCCGCCCATTTCTCCAGGTCGGCCATATTTTCAAAGAATGCCGTCACGCACGTTTCCTTCGGACATGTATCCAGGAACTTGGCGAATGAATCTGGGCCGATATCTGCATCTGTCTCTCCGAGACCAGAACTCAGGTCGAAAGATGCATCAGTATTGCGCAGATATCGCACCCCAAGAGACCCGCTCTCTTCAGGGGAGTTCCATAAATACAATAATCCACCACGTAGCTTTGGTTCCAGATGATCCAGATAAGCACTTGCTTCTTCCTCGTTGCAATTCCCCCAGAATTGGCCGGAGCGGATATGAACCATGTCCGAGGGGTTTGTGCCTGCTATAGATGAACCCAGAGAAGATTGGATATTCACTTTTTCTCCATCGGCTGCTGCAGAATCTCGATTTCCATCATATCCTGCCCCATCCCCCGTAAAAAGATCCACCCCAGACCCAGGGATCCGATCCCGCGCCGCGCCCCAGTACCCCGTATGTACATGTTTTGCCGTAGAGGTCCCCGGCAACCGCGCGAGACCGGGCATATAATCCGTTGCCGAGTAGACTGTTTCCAGGCGCGCAATATCCGAGACGAAAGATTCAGCCCACAATCCGATTGATCGGCGCAGGGATTCGGAGAGGGAGGTATGCAGCGAGGAAAGATTCAGGTCTGCGAGGGCTTTTTTGTAGGAGTCTTCGGTTGACCAGTAACAGGCCCATATTAGGGTGGTGTACTTCTTCTTAGAGTTGGAGGTTGAATTTGGGCTTTGAGATTTGTTTGGAATGGATGTCACATGGTTCGGCGTGTCGTCAAGGACGAAGAACTGCTCTGTTGAGACCGGCGTGGACTCTGTAAGCCATGCTTGAATCTTTGATTGGGGCTCTGAGAGGAGACAGGAGATGGTTTTGGTATCTGTGGTCGGTTGATTGTGTAGTTGAATCCCGATGTAAGCTGTGAAGACTTGCTTCTGTGTCTCTGGGAAGACGAGGTGAAGTCGTGGTGGTGGGTTGTGCTTTGCCGGTTGCCGGAGCGGGTATGTCCGTGTGCCTGATGCCATGGCGCAGGTCATATTTTGATGTTCACAAGCTTGCTTTCGGGAGTTAGTCGATGAGGAGATTACATTTTGCTTGTACGGGATTTGAGGGTGGGCTTTGCTTCTCGTAGCCGAGGATGGAGCGGGGGCGCTTTGCCCGAGTTCAAATGAGTCAATCGCGCAAGGTTAGGAGCGCGAACTATAGACAAAAAAATGCTTTTTCGAAGGCTTGAGCTTTATTTGGAGGATACAATCTTATTGATTATAGAGATTTCATTTCATTTCAAATATCCAGTTTTCCTGGATTTTATCTGCTTGGGGTAACACTGGTATTTCCCCGCATCTCCACAAGCAACCCGTGAGCAGTTGGTTATTACTAGTGACAATTTTGGAAGACGGTATCGATTCAGGAAGCCAAAATCCAGCATTAATAATTTCTTGGTGGTATGAACCAAATTTGGAGTTTAGAAGCATGGTTCAGGGCACTTAAAAGCTCTGGAAGACAATCACCTTGCGTTCGGCTTTGGACCTATAAGCTTGGCCTAGCCAACTCGCATGCGTCTTGGATTCAACGATATGCTGGAAGCTACCATAAGCTGAATTTGCGACCAAATTCAAATTTGACTTCTTCGGTATTGTTGGACGGGACGCGCTTTTTTTTTATTTTTTTTAAGTGGCTTCCAAGATTTCAACTTGAATGTCCCGAGATCTAAGAGCCCTGAGGAGGCTGAAGTTACTACTACTTGAAAAGCAGTCTTGTTATCTATACATGGCCTACTCTATTGACGTTCACAAAATGCCCCTTACACCTGCCAGTTCCAGTTGTTCTCAAGGTTATTCGATCAACTCTTAAAGGCGGGATGGTGTACGAGTAGTTTTTTGAGCTAATATCCCATTTTCAATTTCAACATGTAGTGTTAGATCTAAATACCCGTCTACCTCTCAATCCATGTATTTTCCGAAATTATTTGCCGATTGGCGGGTAATTTCTGAGATTCCTCCTCTTCTTCAGGGGAATCGTTTCGGCAGATGGATGTAACTGCATTCATGGAAAACCGCGCTATCAATGTCGATCCTCAGTACTAATAGTACCTTCCCCGCTCCAGTCCCAGCCTACATACTACCGTAGGAATTCGATTAATTATGTTACATCGTTAGATATCGTAAATAAAAACTCGATAGTCGCGAGTGATTTTCATAGATATACTAGCCAACTTTATCTTAAACCATTCAAGCGCGATTCGTGAAGATAGCTTTCCGATATGAAGCTCCCTTTTAATATCCTCATTGGCATATGTGCCGCTACTAGTGCCGTCGCTGGAACCTACAAGCCCAAATACCGCATTTCACCGATTGACGGATCAAAGATCGCGCTTCCAACGAAAGAACAGCTCGATTTCCAAGACAAAGAAATCGGCGTGCTCATTCACTTCGAAATAGCCACATACCTAAGCATTGACGGCTGCAACAATGTCCCAAACCTAGTGTCCAATGTAGATCTTTTCGACCCTACTTTGATTAATACCGATGCCTGGATGGATACAACAGCCGCCCTTGGTGCAAAGTATGCCACGCTAGTCGCGAAGCATAATTGTGGATTCACGACTTGGCCGAGTCAAGTGACTTTCAAAAATCGGGAGAATGAGACCGTTCCCTATAATTATACCATTGCGCAGTCTCCTGTTCATGGAAAAGATGTTGTGAAAAGCTTTGTCGACTCGGCTCAGAAGTATAACATCGGCCATGGGTTTTATTACAGCGTTGTCGTAAATAACTTTCTGAATGTGCAGAATTCAGAGGTAAGAGCTGGCTCTTGGGCGCCTGGCCAGGTTAATGTCACCAATAGCACTTATGATCAGGTTGTTTTTGATCAATTGGGGGAGCTATGGAAGAATTATGGGAGTTTAACCGAGGTGAGATTACATGAAATTTACTTTATTATGCTAATTCTCGACCCCCAAACTGATCCCACCTGACGCAGATCTGGTTCGATGGCGGATATAGCAGCTCACAACAAGACAAAATTGAAGCTTTGTTGGAAGAAACACAGCCCCAAGCTGTCATATTCAATGGATGTGATACTGATGGAAATTGCTTGTCCGCAAACTCTAGTTAGTGGCTTCGTGGGACAGGACTAGAATATTACTGACATTCGCTCCAGTTCGATGGATTGGCACGGAGGAAGGACAGGCGCCGGAAGAGAACTGGTCAACGTACGCAATCTTGAGTTCTAGCATTAAGACCATGGAATTTTTATGAAGTTCTGAATGCTGACTACTGTTTAGTGGCGTGACAAACGATGGAGGAGACTCTAAAAGTCCCTATTTCTGCCCAGCCGAATGCGACACCACTCTACAAACCGAAGACCGCTGGTTTTTCGGCGTCGACCAGCCACTGCGATCTATTGAAGAAATGATCGACGTTTATCATAAAACAGTCGGCCGCAACTGCCTCCTTGAATTAGACCTCACGCCTGATCGGAGTGGACTAATTCCAGCCACTTATGCAGCTCGATACAAACAACTAGGGGATTTCATCAGCTCATGCTATGGCAATCCAATTGCGCCAAATGCAGCGCATTCTCAGACCGGTAAAGGGGAATACTCTATTAAGTTTGACTATCCAACCGCTATCGATCGCATTGTCTTGATGGAAGACCAAACCAACGGCCAGGTTATTCGGTCATACCAAGTGCAGGCGAAGATTGTTGATAGCCAAGACGCTAATGGCACCTTGTCCGTGCCGTTTACTCGCATCTCCAATGGAACTAGCATTGGCCACAAGAAGATTGATATCTTTGAAAAGGCTGTCACGGTGACAGAGGTTCTCATCAAGACCACGTATGTGGATACGCCAAAGTGGCGATCCGTTTCGGTTCATCTTTGTGATCAGTTGGCAGCAAATGGCACTTCTACCGAGGCTGATTAGAATAATATCCGGGGTATCCAGAATCATTACCTCTTTGGTGGTTTGGAATTGAGATTATCTAGTGCCTATGTACTTTAATCAAATATCAAGCATTGGCTGTTTCTCTATTTTATCTATTTCTTAAGCTCAAAGGATTTCTATTAATAAAATCTATAGTCAAAATCTAACTTGCTTCCAAGGTTCAAATTCCCTCTCTCGATGGAAAGTAGCGGAAAGCAATGAGCTTTATGATCCCATTGGGTTGAGAGACGTCCTCCTCATTGAACTCCCGAAATCTCTCAAACCCCGCCTTCAATAGAACTTTTTGACTTCCAGAATTTGCCTCCTCCGTGATGGCAATGAGATGCTCCTGCGCCAATCCCTCACTATTCACCATTTCCTTCGCAACCCTGGACTCCCGCTCCGATCGTGGCAGCCCCCTCCATGCCTGCAGCCAGGCATTCAAAAACTCCGACGCCAGACCTTGGCCCCAAAATTCCTTTCGAAGCATGTACCCTAGCTCGGGCCAGCCATGTTCCGCGGGAAAGAGATGGCATCCACCCATACCGATAAATTCCCCCGTGTCTTTGAGGCAAATTGCCCAATTGAATGTCTTGGTATCATTGGGTGGCAAGAAATTGTTCAATTTGTCTCTGGTCATCTCGATATTCGGGTCGATGCAGCCAGCTGATGTCCATTTCATGACATCTTCTTGGGTACGCAGGACATACATTGCCTCAAGATCGCTTGCTGCCAGGGGTCGGAGGAGCAATCGGTCTGTTGTCAATGGGGACCGTGCATGGCTTGCGGGGAGTGGGGAAGTCGGGAGTGAGGTCTTCACCGTCACGAAATCGTCTGGTTTTGTGTGACCCATAGTATCTCAGTGATTGCTTTCTTTTCTGCAGGAACCCGCTATATTCAGTTTTTTTTTCGCGACTGTCGATGTGCATGTGTTCAGATGGGCGGACCGTGCGAAGGCGGTGCAGAGATTGCCGTGTCCAACCGCGGCAACTTGTCGTGCGGTTTCGCGTCCCAAAAGGGAAATCGTGTAATTCGTACAGATAAGAGTATCACTCAAGTCTCTTCGGAATTGAGGCTCTTTGTATTGTCAGCCTGGAATATTCAAGGTTGGTCGATTATTTTAGAAAATATCCAGCTGCGTGCAGGAGACATGGAAATACTTACTATGTTGAAGGTTGAAGTTGAAGTGTCTCTTGGTTGTCAGATCATGCAACTTGAATGAGAAAATCAGCGCTGCCTGAAACGAAGTTTGACAATGAGCTAAGAAGCGCGCACAGCTTTCTGGCAACAAAGTGAGCCCAGGCTTGGAAATTGACGATGTTTTGGAAGATCTTGATGCTGTTCGGAATGGCCAGAAGAAAAGCTCCAAGGCTTCCATCTATGTGAAGGAAACATTCCCCAGAACACATGAAATTTCGTTATTTGAACTCTGAACGGTTGATTTTCCTTGTCCTTTCATCATCGAAGTTCCACTATGCAGCTTTTAACCTGTTGGATCCTACCTAGGTACCTCTTCGTACCTACCTAGATATGTAATAGTATCTTCCAAGGTTTACAGAAATATTCTTGGCAATGGTGAGGAGAAATGTCTGTTGTAACCTTGAACCTCGGAATTGTGCTTAACAGTCCTTGATATTACATAAATGGAGAGCAACACCGAAACTGCTAGCGAAATATGGGCGGTAGACTGCCTGGATTTCTTGCAGATGTGTATTGGATTTGTATCGACTCTTTTCGGTAAGTGATGATGGGCACTGGGCGACAAAAGTCCATCCATTCTGGTTCAAATTGCCCCAGCATGACGGTTTAAAAAAAATTTTACTCCGCTCTTGTATTCGGAATGACACGGGTCGGATGCAAGAAAGACAAATCAGGCAGCCCAACCATGTATATAAGGCAGTGGATAAAAGATGTTTCGCGATGATGGGGACCGTTTGGCTTCCAGGAACAAGGTCTTGTATATCTCTTCTTTGTGCACAGATGTCACAATAAGATCCACTCGATCACGCTCAGTTTCGGTGGTATAAATCTCACGTTCGATTACAAACCAGTCATCGACTTGGAGGTAATAACCCAAAATTTGGGTCCACAGGTGGTCGACACGGTCCTCGCGGCAACGAGGTGTGATTTTCTCCAAATCCAGCTTAGTTGAAGGGCAGTTTGTCATTTTATTTCAAGCTATTCTCCTAGTACCATATCATCAGCACCATGCCTTTTAACGAAACACGACGCTCATACCTAGGTACCCAGTCTGCCGTAGTTGAGTATGTTGAGATAGGTTTTCAAGTCTGATGTATATTGGAGGTCACGATATGAGAGGAATAACAGGAGAAGCTTTCCAGAAGGCAAACTTGAACTACTGTTACGGTGAGGGCGCTCGGGCATTCGCTCAATATGCGAAGATCAGATAGCATGTGGTTGTATTTGACGAGAGAAATCATATCCAGGAGAGGGGAAAAACAAAAAAGAGATGGAAGGAACTAGATACAGTCCTGGAGGTGGTGCCGGAGTGGACACCATCCGTCTTGGGAAGACGCACGCTACTACAGTGCCGCCCGTTATTGCCTTCCATAACTAGAGACAGAGAGATGCTCTTTCAAACCCTAAGCACATGATGGGATGAACCTAAAATGGAATCGCGTAAATTACGCGTCATGACCTTACGTAGTACTGGTACCTGATTTTGTACCCCTAGTTGTACAGATACCAGTCTCTCAAGGTAGGGACGACTAGAAGGCTCCATGCAAACTAAGCAAACCAGCGACTGTTAGCAATCTGGCAACTTCCCTCCTCCATCCCTTAGTTGCCTCACTGCAGAGGGTTTGACGCTGCTTTTAGTGTCCATCTCAGGTCAAGTTGGTAGGCAAGGCTTGACATTGAGATTTGTTTCGTAGTTGCCATTACTGATCGCTATGTGGCGGATTCTGTTGTTTATTCCGATGTTCATTAGGCATCAGACGTACCCGGCTAACCCCTTACGGAGTACAGCTCTAGGCTACCCCTCCTCTGGACATATTCGCCATGACCTACGGAGTAGTTATAGCTCTTTTGATGACAATGCAGATCAACCTCGGATAATCGACCTATTGGAAACAACTTAGCACGACACCCCCACTCCTAGTTACCTCGGTAGAACACCCGAGATCTCGTACTCCCCCAGCCCTGCCCCGTATCGTGCCACGAGTCAGCCACAGTCGGATCAACTCAATTTCTCGCCGACGGTTTAGATGGGGGTAGAACCACGCTTCGCGAGCAGGGTAGTCACTATTTCTCGTACGTGAGCTTGTATAGGAGCCGCTCCGCGTTGATCTTAGGATAACATCCGCTGCTTAAGCAGATCCTCTTCAATCTGTGTCAATTAATGACTACCTGCACGGGATCCAGCGCGATTTGTAGTCCCGTGTAGTCGCATATGTAGGGTAGACTGAGGCACATCAAAGCGACGTGCTATCTCCCGAATGGGCTTAATCTTTCTTTTTTGAATAACATGTACAGCTAGCAATATCAGTCCTTCCCTCCCGAGAGAGTTTTGGCTTGCTTGATCCAACGCGAATTAGGGTCATTGTGGTTGGTGGAGGATAGATTTATCGAGCAGAAACGCGAAAAAGTACTTGGACCAGCTTGCTTACCGACCACGTTAGTTATTTAGCAGCCTTATATTAGGTATCCTTCCTCCTCTAGACTACTACCCATGTATATAAGCAGGGAAGTAGCCAGATTTTGGCGATGCCAACAGCGAACTGAATTATGATCACATGATCCTAATTACAAAAAATAGCTTCCTTTTCAGAGGGCCTAAATGTTGCTTGAACTATATCTTCGGTAACTTGAGCCAACGCCGTTTGCGCCGTATATATTGCCATAGGAGAAGTGCAATGAATGTTATAATTTTACGTTTGGCTGGCATTTCCTAGTCGCGGAAGTCGTCTAATATTCTAACACGGATGTTCTGCTCAAAGGGCCAGACAGGGATGATGGAACTACTCTATCTAAAGCGTGATCGCTCTAGCTAAGGGGCCAGTCGTGGCAGCATCCCCTTCTAAAAAATGCTCAAAATGTGACCCATCTCCTCTCTCTGACACGGAATCGGCGTCCATATTCTGCAGGTTATCTATCAACTCTTCATACGTCATCAAGTACTCAGGCTCCCGATGGGCAGTCGTTTCCAGAAGAAGGTCCACTGTTTCTTCATGTTTCCGGTGAACTGCGTATAAGAAGGGAGTTCGACCTTTATTATCCCGAGATGCAATAACGGCGTTATTATCCAGCAGTAGCTTCACCACTGTCTTATGTCCCTTCTCTGCTGCATGCGAGAGCGGGGTCCGTCCATGCTCATCCTTAGATTCAACATCGGAATTCATCTCCAGCAGCGACCTCACCACAGCTTCGTGCCCATTCTGTGCTGCATACGAGAGTGGTGTTTGGCCATTATCATCCCGAGAATCAACAAAGGCGTCATTATCCAGTAGCATCCTCACCACTGCTTCATGTCCATGATTTGCTGCTATTATAAGCGGCGTAGTCCCTTCGTTATCCTTAGAGTCAGCATAGACATCACTGTCTAGCAGCACTTTCACCACGGCTGTATGCCCATTATATGCTGCCGATAAGAGCGGTGACGAACCCCACCAATCCCTTAACGAAAGATCGGCATTCGCCTCTAGTAGCAGCTTCACAACCGCATCATGTCCATTCTCCGCTGCAGACAAGAGCGGGAAATTGCCAAACCTATCCGTAGAGTTGACATTCGCATACCCGTCCAGCAGCCGCTTCACCACTCTTTCATACCCTTTCTCGGCTGCATATAAAAGTGGTGACCTCTCATAATGATCCTTTGTTTCAACCTCAGCATTGGACTCAAGTAAGTTTGATGTTGACTTCCATAGCCCGAAATATGCTGCAAGGTGCAGACCAGTTGTCTTTGTTCCGTGTTGGTAATCAAAAAATTCCTTGGACCTGTATTCCATGGCCTGTGCGCAAGCAGATACTTTGGTATCGTTCCTGAGAAAGTCCAAAATCGGTCTTTCTCCTTCGATGAAGGATTTGCTGGCATGGTGTCCCCAATTTTGCGATGCATACTGATAAAAAGCGTAGAACTTAAATCTCTCTTCTAGAGAAGTCAGCGTTTGGCAGCATCCTGATTCAAAAGCTCCAAATGATAGGTAAGTAGTGCATGCCTCTGCCATGTCAGTCTGGGCATCCGGAAACCAGTGCTTCCATGTCCGGTCGAAATATTCCTCAGCAGTGTGATGGATCAAGCGGATGACACCACTCCGTTCGTCTATAATGACCAAGCCAGCACATACGGAGGGCATGAGCGTAATATCGGTAAGGTTGTCTGGATCAAGCTCCGATGTGCCTTCTTCGATAGCGATGGCGTGCTGAAGCTCGGAACATGTGAGACGTCTTTTAGAGCAGGAGATCCATGTAAGAACTTGCTTGGCAAGCTGACAGCGTTCATGCCCCTGTTCTTCAATACGTTGCAAAATCTCCTCGTAAGCATCATCCAGTGCCTTTGACTTTTTCTCATCATCGGACGAGCCCGGCTTAGTTTCCAGCTCACGGAGCGCCTCTTTTATAGCCTTGTCTGTGGTCTTACTGGCTAGGGAATTGATATAGAGGCGCGCAAGAAGAAACCTGGCTAGCGTTATTACCATGATCAGCACTAATTTCCATTTATCACACATACATTCCGTGGACTGCCTTCGCAATTCTGTTCTTGATCTCCACTTGGAGAGTATCTTTTCGTGATTTCAAAAATCGGGTATTCTGAATCATGAAATGAAGATACTGCTGCACATCTGTCTCATCGGCTCGAATTTCAAGTTTGCAAGCCCTGTCAAATTGCACCTCGATTTCCGGGATATAACGTGATGTCACGAAGATGTTGACTTGAAAGCTCGCCTGAAGGTTGAAGATCTCTTGTAGGAAAAGGTCGCGGCCGTCTTGGGTAGCTCCGCATTCATCTAATGCATCGATAACAATGAAAGTCCGCGAATAGGCATGCATAACTTGATGAATCACTCTTCGGATTTCATCCAGTAACGGACGACTTTGTTTTTTCTTATGCTTGTCATGAAGGTCTTTCACAGCTGCGGGTACAGAAGATTGTTTCATGACCAATTGCTTTAGTAGGTTGATCATCAGATCAAGTGCTCGCTGCTCGTGCTGCCGCCGAGAGTCGCAGTACATATAAGCGATGGAAACAGAGGGATCATCGTGAAATTGGTCTAGGATATGCTTGACAACAATAGATGTGATTATTGTCTTACCTGCTCCTGGCATTCCGGGACTGAACAGAGTCCAGTTGGCCTGTTTGAGCCAATGCCTAAATTTACATGATCTTAGAAACCACTCCCCAGTGCCTTGTCGATGTTGAGTGATAAAAAGGCTTTGGTCGGTAGCATAATTGACTGGTGTAAGCCAATCGATAATGGTTTGATATACTTGGTTTCGTTGGTGGTCTTGTTGATGGAAGCGAATGTCACTCACGGCAATCGATACTTCTTCGAGTCGGCTTTGCAACTCTATTGGCTAGTTAGAAAAGAAAAAGAAAAAATTGATTGAATATTCTGCCAAGCTGACAAATGTTGTGCCAATGAAATTTCGAACCATCATTGACGGAGAAAGGCCCAGAGGACTTCAGTAGAATATTATGGCGCCTCACGTTTGATTGAATGCATTTGCTCCACCTCCTGCGCATGTACTAACAGGAGAAGCTCTTTAGCAAATGCCGCGGCAACAGCTGCTGCGTGTTCCTGCCAGTCCTTATTCTTATGCGCGTCTGCATAGTCGCAGATCCCTCGGATAACAAGGCATGGAAAGTCATTCATTAGCCCTGCCGCCTCCATTTCAAAGCACAGCACTTTGCCGCCTAGTCTCTTGTTGACATCATCTCGGACCTTTGCATTTTTGATCACTTGGTTGCCAGACGCAATCAGGCCGTAATGAATGCGCATGTCTCGCGGCTTTCGGCGGACGATCTTGGTCTGATCACAATGAATACAATCATTCCTTTCTTGCTCCTCATCGTCTTCTTCCATTTCGTCGTTGTCATTTGTATCCATATTCGTAATATGTTCGCAGTCCACTTTGAAGAGCACATCTTTCAACCTCTCAGATCTGATATACTTCGGCACAAGTTTGGGCCAATTGGTTTCAAGATTCCTGAGGAACGTGGGTATCTTCGAGCCTTTCATCATATGCTCCTTCTCAATGCTCGTCAACGCAGAGAGCAGTTCCGCAGGAGGGCGATTCAATGATCCGGTGCGCTTGAAACCGCCTTCTTGCGCTTTCCCATAATCCCACTGTACGACACCCCCAAACTCGTCGGTGGGCGTGCTGACCACCACATCGCCCAGTCTCACAGTTCTCGGTACTCCAGCGCCGATACCAACCATCAGCCCAAATTTAATGCATGGGAAAGTAGAAACCATCCGAGTTGCGACTACTGCGGCATTTTCGGTTCCGATTTCGCCTTTTGGCAGACATGCAATTGCAACGTTGTGCACGCCAACACGCCCGAGGGTATAGTAGTTATGGTCATTGGGTTGCCTGGGGAGGCCTTCGTGTGTTTCGTCAAGCATTGCCGCTGCTGCAATTAACTCCTTGGGGAGAGCGCAGACCCACCCCACGGTGTAGTCACTGTGAGACCGATGTTCGATAGCCATTCTGATGAACCAAAGAGTGTAAAAGAGGACTTATGTTGTCTCGTATTCTTTTTGGGGGATAATTGAATAGGAATGACGAAGAGCTGGAATTGACTCGACAATCTTTGAATGGGCCTTCGATAAAATCAAATAGACTTTGCTGCTCCAAAGGTATCAACACTGAATAAATGCATATAGGGACGAAATATTGTCATCGGGCTTTGGGAAAAGAGGGGAATTGTTGAGATATGGAGTCAGCCTCGGGCTTCCAGATGTGACAACACTCAGCCTCAATAGCGGGCTTAGGTGCAACGGTTAGGGAAGTTGGGGGCTGAAATGGGGCATTCGTGCATATTGATAGTGCTTATTCCATGCACGAAAACTGATTTTGCCTTGAGAATAGGCATACTGTATCTGGAATTATTTTATCATACCGATGACTCCTCATTGACTCACACAGATAAGTATGAATTTGACGTATTCGTGTCTCTTTCGTCAGGAACTCTCAATACCTTCGTTGGTGACGAAGAAAGTCATGTGCTTGGCGTTTAATATCGGGTGCTCTGGTTGAAAAAAGAGAAAACGTATTACTATGCCTTTGCCCAGCTTAGTCGGTCATTGGTTCAACCAGCCAATTAGTTCATTCTCCATCATCAACGGCCTTAAGCGCTTGCCCTAGTCTCCTCATGTCAGAGGTCCGTGTGTCCAGTACGCTCCTAGATCGACCAAGGCGCCTCGTATGCTGCGTCATCATGGCTCCCTCATTTTCAGCTCTACGGTCAATAATAATATTGATGCCTAAATAGCCGCCTAAAATGAGGCAACGAATCAAAAAGTGGTCTGGCGTGTCACAGCCCGTTGCCTGGAAGGGACAGGAGATGCCTATTGGTCTCTCGATTCAAGTCGGATCACGTGTCTAATTTGATTAAAAATGTATTCAAGAGTTGCAATGACTTTTTCTTTACTCGTTTCAGGGCCGATGTGCGCGACGTGCACGTCTTCCAGTTTAAATACGGACCTATCCATATGATGGTTAGCGTATCATTTGATTAGGGTTTGAAAGAGCATCTATGTGTTTCCGGATACGGAAGGCAATTACGGGCGGCACTGTACTACTACTACTAATACTGCTGGCAGGAACGGAACGACCATCTGGTTCGTTATAGCTGCGGGGGAAAAACATTTACCTTATTATTTTCGCCTTGAGGGGTATTCACAGCGAATAATATCTTCTATTGTAGCCTCAAAAGTGCATTGATCAGCAACAATGAATCGCTGGTTGCCGCCTTTTGTCCTGAGTCTGGAAGCCCTGAGTTCGATCTCAGTGGATTTATACAGCCAAACAATACAAACACGCCTTTTTTTCTCCGCCGTCTGCCTTATCACCACCCCGCAATGTAATCGCGTCTCCTTTATCTGGCTAATTATGCCTTCGAGTAAAAATATATTCTTCTTTCCTATAGTGCTGAAAACGTGTTATTAGCACGCCTCATCGCCTCTCTTCATACAAAATAGCTAAATATATTGATTAAGGAGTAGCCTTTCTTGGGAGGGAACGGGGCCTACTATGCTGCATTCGCGCCTGCGGTCAGCTCCCCGCCGCAATCCCTCTAAAACCACCACCACCAAGCCTGCGGCCCTTGCGCCAGACTTTCACGATGCAGACTGGAGCTCGGATGTCGAAGAGTCCCCAGAGGATCTCTTTGGTATTTTCCTGCCTTATCTCTTTCCCGATGATGCGCGTTCGTTCCATGGTGATCCCGGCCAGTACCTCCTCTACTCGTCCCCGCGCTATGGCGAGCTGGAAATCATGATTCCGTCCTATCCAGGCCAGACTGGAAAGAAGTCGGAAGAGGTCGCGATCGGACTAGAGGAGAAGGAGGGGGGTAGTCAGACTAAGGAGGAGAGACAGCTGTTTGCGCATTTTCTATGGAGTGCGGGGATGGTTGTGGCGGAAGGTATTGAGAATGCGAATTGTCAGGCTACGGAGAACGACTCTGCCGCGCAGAAAGAGGCTCGTGAGATCTGGTCTGTGTATGGGGAAACAGTGATGGAACTTGGCGCTGGTAAGTTCATCGAAGCAATGCGATATAAATATTCCAGCTTATTGATATCCACCACTTAGGCGCTGCTCTACCCTCTCTTATCTGTGCCCTCGCCAATGCCTCGCTGGTCGTCGCAACGGACCACCCTTCGTCGCCAGCCCTAACTGGTGCAATCGAATTCAATGTGAGGCAGAACCTCCTCAAACGTACTTCACAACAGACCGCCGTCTCGATCCAGCCCCATGAATGGGGTACCGTTACCGACTCCTTCTCCCGATCCCATAGGGGAACTTTTACCCGTATTATTGCCGCGGACTGCTTCTGGATGCGCTCGCAGCATGAGAACCTCGTCCGAACGATGCAGTGGTTCCTTGCCCCGGCAGGCAGAGTCTGGTGTGTGGCTGGGTTCCACACGGGCCGGGCCATCGTGTCGGGCTTCTTTGATACTGCGCTTGAGAACGGGTTTGAGATTGAGCGTATCTTCGAGAGGGATCTGATCTCGAGGGATGAGGGGGGTGGGGAGATTCGGCGGGAGTGGGTTCCCTTGCGGGAGGGCGAGAACCCTAATAATCGGCAGCGGTGGTGTGTCATTGCGGTTCTGAAGAGGAGAAAGTAAGTTTGGAGATGAGAGGTGGACGATGGATCTCATTTGTATTACGCAGCATAGCATGGTATTTATATAGCATTGCCTTTATATTCTGCAGGCTAAGGAAGAACTAAACCTAGGTGCATGTAGGCATGTGGGAATACAATCTTCAACAAACACAAGATGATATGACCTAAACATATACAGCTTATTCTAGTAGAAATCTTGTAGTTATAGGTTCTGCTCTTTGGCCTTTTGTTGTGCTTTCTTCTTTGTCCAACCAGGTTACAAAAGAGCACGTTTGATGCCAGATGATGATGGTAATATATTGAACTCATCCCATAGGAAGATAACCATCCCTTAGACGCATAGGGTAGGTTTTTCGGCGAAGTGGTCACAAAGGGCATCGAGCATCAGAAGGGCGATACTTGGTTGTCGACCGACCGAGACTGGGGGAGATCTGGCACTACCTAATAACCTCAAGTTCTTTCGTATGTTAGTGATAGTGCGCTCACTACAGCGCGCTACCTTCACCATTTGCTTTGTAGCGAGTCTGTTATTGCTGTATATCATATGAAGAATTATCTTACGCTGCCAGGAATCGAATTTCTAGTCATTTTGTACCGTAAGTGGTTTGGGTGACCGCAGTTGCGAGGTTGGGAAAAGTGAGAACGGACGACCCTATGGCGGCGGGTTGGGGTCCAGGGGCAGGAGGGGAGTAGTTATTCTGGGACATGGTTTATTTTGAGGCCTGTAACAGTACATGACTATAATGCTCCATACTTTCATCCTTGTTGCCCTGAAACGAACGAAGTGAGAGAAAGGGTATTAATCAACATGGATGTACGTGTGCGCGAGACGCGGTAAAAAAGGGTTAGCAAAACATATATGGACTGTCTTGCCACGCACTTATCTGATTCGCTTCCTGAGGCTCCACTTCATTGCCTTCCCCGGACTAGTATGTCGTGGCGTTAGGGTTGTAGGGTTATGTATGCAGTTTTCTGCAAGATTCTAGTCTCCTATTGCTTCGTGCTATGCATGTTGTATGACTTTTTTAAGGACAGCTTGTAGACTATTGCCACTGGTTCTGGCTTGGGAGATTTGTTTTCTTACTATAGCTTACTCAACTTTTGCGTCCGATCCTATCATCTGTACATATTGTTCACGCTAAGTTCTTCTAACGATTATGGCCATCGACTTAGTCCATAATCAGATATTGACCACTGGTGTGTCCAGCTTTCCCTAAGGGTTCTTCTTACCAACCCAAGGCTGCCCAACGCCGACGTTGACGTTGCCAAAAGAATTCAGCGAGAACCACACACATTCTCTCTCTCATTGGTGCTGGTTGGACCCTAGGTCACGTTGGGTTTCTTCTCGTGCGGGATTATCTCTATTCGTTCCATTATTTCCCTATCCTGCCTGCTTAATAAGGTTCATTCTGCATATATCGTGCTGTATAATGTCTCTTCCGCTATTGCAATGACCTACCTATTGTCGTGCTGCCTCCCCATCATGCTGTCTCTCTGCTGTGCCCTTTTTATTATTTGCGAGGGTGAGTTATGCCTGGAGCGTTGTGAATCACACAGCCTCCGCCTTCCTTCTCATTAGTGGTTGGTTAAACTCAAATTACATCCTCCTTCTATTCTGTATGAGCGGTTGCGTGAAAGGCCGCTGCTGCTGCCACTAGCAAGCTTTTTGCTTTATCTAGAGGCGGATTGTTCACTTCCCCTGCTAATAATTGCTCCTATTGGCTAGGTTTTGAATATCGCTACCACTTGCTTCTCTGTCACGCTTATTGTATCGGTATTAGTTTGCAAGTTGTCGAATCTCTATTAGTCGATGTGGGTCCAATGAACCGGTGGTCTGTTCACATAGCGGAGCTTGTTAATTTTCTACGACATCAACATGGTGGTCAAGACTGCCTGGTAGTATTCGAAACACGGCTGAAATTGGACAATTAAAGGCGTCTATCTTGTGCGATAGCAGCAGGGCTTGCAGGTCAAACGCGAGAGACAAATTTAAATCGTTCACGTGATCATACTCCCAGCCAGGGAGGACGCCAAGGGCCTGTGCAAAATATATGTCTTTCTTAGCTCAACAGGTATTGGACGTGTATTGGTATAACATCTTGCTCAGAGGGGTAGAGTGTTTATGCATAGCGGGTCTGCCCACAATAATTCGCTTGAATACAGAGACGATAGATAGAATTCAAAGAGCTACTACCATCGAATAGCTCCTTCTTGGGCCCTACTATCGCAAATTAAAAGTTCGGGCGAATCAAGATTTAGGTTTCCAGATTCTGGGATCAGACCTACCGGAACTAGTTATGTAATTGGAGAACCACAAAAGTCTAGCCAACTCCGAGATACCGCCATACTCGGCCGGAACTCCATTGATGGCAGTAAGTCACCTACGTCAAACTCAAACTTACGGAAATAATCTGCGGGTTATTGGTGGTCTATTCAGTACTGGTGGACATTCTGAAGGCGTTCAATACAAGTCTAATAAGTTTATATTTTTAATAAAGTCAGGGTCTGGCTCCATATGCTCAACCCTAATCTCTGGTTATTTCTATTGAAATTCTCTTCTTATAGCCCTAAATTTTTCTGGATATATCATAATACTGCCATGCCCAGATCGAAATTTAACAACAATATTATCACCACAGTGGTGCCAATTAGTCATCTTTATCTAGGGAATGATGAGACAAATTACCTTGAGAAATGTTTTACTGGGGAGGTAGAAACCGTTCAACTCGCATTTGAGGATCAATGTGGCCGAACCCGGCACCTGAAGTGCGAAATTGCTGAAGATGTGGACTTTCTCCCTAACGAAAACGTTGTGTTATTGGAAGATCAGAGTAAGCAGTTCCACAATTCTGAATTAATGGATTATCGCTAACTGTTCATTTCTAGGAGTCTACAAGTTTTACCTTCAACAAGGCAGCAAAAGGACTTGGCTACTTTAATGTATGTAGCTAAACATTCTTGCGGCATGAGGCCTATGTGAATATCTTTTGTCTTGAGTGATCTTTCAGCCTGTCTGCTTTATAAGGTCTTCCTAGGATAGAGTCCCAAATAACCCCTTGCTATCGCTGTTGCAACTATCTACAAATTTCCGTGTTTCCTGCTTGCCATATTATCTGCTTTTAGCACACTTATTGGTATTCACCCCTTCTTTTCCTTTTATCCTTGCCGTTCTTCCCCCACACCTGCATACTTATCACTTGTACTAGTGCTTTCCTATGCGCTTGTTATCAAAATTGTAAAATAAAATGTAAAGCGAGCACTTCTTTTAACCCACAGGTTTATTCGTGACAACAACTAATAATGAAAATTCCATAGCGTTCTCTACGCCTTGATTTGGACGGTGTTTGGACCGGTCGAATTCTCTGATCTATTGTACGGAACCAAGCTCTTACAAGGTGGTTATCTATATAATGAAGAGAATAAAGTACTGTATTCGGTGCTCTATTCTGAGGCTGCTTGGTAAACATAGCCCTTCTCGGTGCTATTCTTGAATATAGGGGTCAGCTAAATACGGAATAACTTTATCAACTTCGCTGCTATCTTGACCACTAATTTCAACAGCTCCGCTCGAACTTATTATACCTTCCCAGTCACATTGTACAGTACTTCCAAAGTGGTTAGCGGTGGGTGAACTTCCCACCACTAATCTAAAATTCCAATCTTTTTTTGGCAGGTGGCATTTTTGGCCTCACAAGATAATGTCGCCAATTCGCTGTGGCCCCGGATGATATGTATTTTCTCCTGTTATAAATTTAGGTTAGTGCAGATCAGGAACGAAGCAGTACCGTAATAATGAGTTCCCAAGAGATCCTAATATGCTGATTTCCAGACCCCGACTAGATCGGCGGCGAGTTCGCGGACTGAGCCACTCCCAATCATTATTCCCCTGAAGTGGACGCTATTGATAACGAGGACCAGGCAACCATATAAGTTATATAGCCAAAAAGCGTTAACAGAAACGAGCCCTCGACAGGGGCTAGCACACCATCTCCTGAGAGGTGTTCTCGAAGACGATGCATACCATACACTGATATACTTGTATGATCGAAGTACAATAGCTGGTTTAGCAAATTCCCGGGTATTCTGTGTACCAAGGGGTTACGGCAATTATTAATACCACATGCCTTCTTATCGGTCAACGCTCAGCTGTATTGTCAAGTACCGCTTTTCCTGATTTTCTCGTCTTCGCCCTTCTATTTCATCGTTTCAGGGCCACAGCGTGCGCAGCGCGCGTCACCAGTACCATACGACTCTGAAACAAATTCTTGTTTACGTATTCATCCATATCAGGGTTAGCGTCTCCCGTGACTAGGGTTTGAAAGAGTATCTCTCCATTCCCAGATATGGAAGGCAATTACGGGCGGCACGGTACTACTACTACTAATACTGCTGGCAGGAACGGAACGACCATCTGGTTCGTTATAGCTGCGGGGGAAAAACATTTCTCTTATTATTTTCACCTTGAGGGGTATTCACATCGAATAATATATTCTATCGTAGCCTCAAAAGTGCATTGATCAGCAACAATGAACCGCTGGTTGGCGCCTTTTGTCCTGAATCTGGAAGCCCTGAGTTCGATCTCAGTGGATTTAATGGATCGGCTAGAGGAGCACGCGCCTAGCTGACTTCCAAATATTGTATCATTCGAATTGGAGACTTGAGCCAAAAATGCGCTGGAAAGCTTCTTTGTGTCCTTTTCTTGGCTGTATTTTACTTGTCATGGGATGGGATGGGGGGGTCAATCCATTCATACTTGAATCGACTAATAAAACAAGGCTGATCTTTGAATAATCTTGTCCTTTGAATCAAAATTACAAAATACAATCATTCAAACCTTGGACCGTGCAGAGGTTTTTCCATTCTTTGATTCGATAACTAACTAGTATAGCCTCATCAAACAGCAACTCCCTTCTTGCCATCCCTAATGATTTCTTCCAAAACCTTGGAGGCGGCCAATGTCTCTTCATCTTTAAAGTGCCGCCCGGCAATCTGCAGCGCAATAGGTGCGTCCTCATATCTCTCTGGGCTTTCGTACTTCTTCCACTCCCTCTCATCTGCCTCGTTACGAGGGGTGTAGTTTTTATGATCTTCTGTCAATCCATCCAGCTTCTTATCAACCTTCAGCCCTGACGGGAAAGTCACAGCCGGAAGATCCAACAAGTTCCAGATTGCAGTGTAGTTCCAATAGTGTGACTCGCCCATCACAGCAGCGACTCCGGAGTAGTTAGGGGAGATGATGAAGTCAACCTCGCGACTCTTTAGAAGCGCGTTGTATTCGTCACGGTAAATGTCGCGCTCCAATTGCAGTTTCCAGGTTTCATGATGGGTGAGCGGGTTAGGACGTCCATATGAGAAGGCCCACTCACTCAGCGGGAGCGCTGGCTCGCCAGATTTGCGAAGCATCTCGCGCTGCAGGCCAGCAGCATCAGGGTAATAGAGTGTGGACTAGGAGCTATTAGCAAATGCTAGAGTCTTTACCTGGTAGGTTCTAGACTTACGATAACATCCCATGCATAGTCATGCTTGTAGGGCTCCCAGTCGACAACTTTGATCCCGGCTGCAACCAGCTTCTCCTTCGCGAATTGAAGGGCTCGAGTCACAGGAGGGTGAGGACGAACAACCCTACATAGCCTGTTTTAGCAGCGGACCATCACAAACTTGGCTGGAGGTCTAACATACCCATCATCCCACATAATACCAACAGTAATATCTAGGGTCGGAGTAACAGTCTTCCAAGGCAGGGGAACCAACGAAGTCTCATCATTCCAGGGCTCTTGGTCAATTATTGCCTTTTGGAATAGTTCCAAATCCTCGATTGAAGCTGGACCCATTGGGCCCACAACCCCATGGATTGACTCTTGTCCGGCAGCAGCAACTTCAATTCCCACCATCGGGTTACGCATCGACGTAGGCTTGAAGCCATAGCCGCCACAAAAAGCAGCTGGACCTCGAATCGAGCCACCGATATCAGTGCCGATCCCAAGTGGTGAACAACGGAAACCTAGGGCGGCACCTTCGCCGCCAGAAGAACCACCAGGTGTTAATGTGCGGTTGTGGGGGTTGTAGGATTTCCCGGTAATGTTATTCTCAGAGCAAAGATGCTAATATAATTTGTTAGTAAAAATATGGATTCAAAGGCGTGAGATGTACCATTAGTGCTTGTGGCTGATTGGTGCGAACGTGAAAGACTGCACCGGCCTTGGATAACAATTGAAGAAGGTGTGCATCTTTAGTCGTGACTCTATCAACCCTTTTTCATGATAATCAGTAATTTTCTCAGTATTTGTGCTTGTTTAGAACGAACCATGTGACATAACCGGTGTGACAGGTCTTATTTTCGAAGCCGATATGCTCTTTCACACTAATGGGCACACCATGCTGCATGACGCGTTATTAGCACACCGACAGATCCACGCACTTCCTCGAGTTCTACCCACAAGAGGCCCAATTAGTTTTCCGGTCGTCTTATAGAACTCATCCAGTTCCTTGGCTCGAGCAATTGCCTCCTCGGCCAGGAACTCCGTCGCGAAGTTCAGCTAAATGCATTTAATATATCATCACCTAGCCCGACAATATGGTCATTCTCACCAGCTGATGGCCCAATACAGAGCGCTTGAGAAAAGCCACAACAACCTCCTCGGCTGTCAATTCCCCCTTTCCCATCCCGCTTGTTAATTCGGTTGCCGATAGCTCCGTGATTCCAAGCTCCCGGTCGGTCAAAAGTCCGCTCTTCCTCGGAAAATCGGTTACATTTTTCTGTGTAACAGGCGGCAGTTGGTCGGCAGGTACAAGCCATTGCTTAGGTACTGATCTCTCCAAAAGGTCTTTACCTTTCTGGGCTTGGATTTGCCAGTTTTGGATGGTCATGTTTGAAAGAAGATTGGAGGGTGCGGTATACTTCGGGCGTTTTTGAAAAGTGAAAGTTGGATCGGGGAGATGGAAAAGATAAAAGGAATGACGGAGTATCTGTTCCCCTCCTTTTGTTGTGCCCCATTGCCCTCGCCCCCGCATGAGGGGCATTTCGTAAAACCGTATATGCGGAATTGGAATGAAAGCATGGTACTGATAGGCACCTCGAAGGCGGAGCCCCCCCGCGCCTCTGGGTAGGAGTGGAGTTATTCAACTCTTCTTATTTGATTATCATCTTATCGAGCTTTGTCTGAGATGCCTGTAAAACCTTAAAGGCAATGATCACCTGCGGAGTGGTTCCGTCTGACTGATTTGTTTGGTCAAGATGTGCCTCTTACCATACGGGACTTTCAATTTCGCGAACAAAGAAACAAGGCCCCGCCGCTATCAAATGTAAAAGAAAACACTCATCAGAAGCGCATCGGCCGATGAGACCAACAAGAAAAGCTGATGTTATTTTTAAGGTTCCTCACTTTTCGACCAAATTTTCAGTCTTGTTTTCAGAGTCCCTGTTCTTTTTGGCCACACCCCCCATCGACCAACAAGGATAGCTCCAGGAGAGATGCAAAAAGAAATTAGCAAAAAGAACTCTCCCTCGGGGAATCGAACCCCGGTCTCCCGCGCTTATCGGTTTTAATGACAAGCGGAAATCATGACCACTAGACCAAGGAAGATAAGATAGTCGAGTTACTGCTCGACCACTTGGTGCTGGTTGATGAAAACATGAGTCAGATTTGCCCCTATCAATCATTCTGTGTTCTGGAAAGGTAAAGAAAGATAAGTTAGCAAAAATGAACTCTCCCTTGGGGAATCGAACCCCGGTCTCCCGCGCTTATCGGTATTAGTGACAAGCGGAAATCATGACCACTAGACCAAGGAAGATGTTGACCGAGTTACTGCTCGACCACTTGGTGTTGGTTGATATTCTGCGGTGCAATTTTTGCCATTATGATTAACGTGACTTACTAGTGAGCCGCCATTTCAAGGAAGCCACCATAGTCAAGGCAGTAAATTAGCATAACTTAGTATCTCAACAACCCTTATTTCTGAGCAGAATCCCTTGGAAAGCTCTAGTGATCTTATCATAGTTTTCTCACATAGATATTCTCAAGTCAAAGTAGTACCTAGTAGGCATAAGGTTCAAGTTTATTTAAGTTCAAATAAATATATATCCATGCCCAGGTGCCCGGGTAGGTAAAATGTTCAAGACCTCTGAGTCGGCGGGGAACGACCCAAGTAGTATTTAGCAACCTTGGAAAAACCTTGGAATAATACAGTGCTCCCGAGGTCCAGGGCTACTAACGTGTTCCACAACCGAACGGGCCGGACAACCGAACGGGCCACCCCACCTAAAAAACGCGTCGCGTGTTGCAGCTCTCTTTTTCAAACCACCACCATGCCACCAATTCGTACTGCAAAAACTCAAAAACGAATTGAGCAAGAAGGCAGGATTGAACTTGCTATACAGGCGCTAAGAAATGAAAAAGTAGCTTCTCTGAATGAAGCTGCGCGCGTTTTTGAGGTACCTCGTGCAACATTGCAAGCGCGTTTCAAGGGAAGACATTATCGCCAAACCCTTCGCGCAAATTGCACAAAATTGGATGCAATTGAAGAGGATTCGTTAGAGAATTGGATATTGGATCTAGATGCACGTGGCAAGGCCCCTACCTTTGCTCTTGCAGGAGAAATGGCCAATTTACTACTCGCTCAACGTTCAACTACCCCCTCTCTTACAATCGGTATAAACTGGGTACAGAACTTTGTCAAACGTCGCGATAAGCTTAAAACACGTTTTTCACGTCGCTACGCTGCACAGCGTGCATTATGTGAGGATCCGAAGCTTATTCGTGAATGGTTTAATCAATATTGCAATACTATTGCTCAATATGGTATTCTTAACGAAGATATCTACAATTTCGATGAGACTGGATTTGCAATGGGGATTACTAGCACCTCAAAGGTTATTACCAGTCGAGAGTGGCAGGGGAAGCGCAAACTCCTACAACCGGGTAACCGAGAGTGGGTTACTGCAATTGAGTGTGTCCATCTGGATGGTGTTCTCCCTCCGACTATTATCTTTAAAGCGAAGGTATTGATGGCAGCGTGGTGTAGTACTGTCCCGAATGACTGGCGCTTTGAGATCAGTGCTAATGGATGGACAACTGATGAAATTGGCATTTCGTGGCTCGAAAATTCCTTCATTCCATACGTCAAAAAGCGTCAACATGGTGCCTGGTCTGCCTTGGTTATGGATGGCCATGGGAGTCATGTCACCCCTCAATTTGACACTATCTGCATGAAGAACAATATTGTGCCAATTTGTATGCCATCTCATTCATCGCATCTATTACAACCACTAGATGTAGGTTGTTTTAGTGTATTGAAGCACTTCTATGGTCAGGCAGTACAAGATCTTGCACGTGTGGGCTCTACACATATTGATAAGCCTGACTTTCTTAGTCTATACCCTAAAGCACGCGCAGCAACATACAAAACCTCTATAATTGCTAGCAGTTTTATGGCAGCGGGCATTATTCCATATTCGCCAGAGACAGTACTATCAAAACTTGATATTCATCCCCCATCGCCTACACCACCACCATCACATGGTAGTGATAGCAGTCGTGAATTCATACCTCATACACCATCCAAAGCTATCAATTTTCAACGGCAGGCATCCTCAATCAAGCGATTACTAGTCTATAGGGATATAACCCCTGATAATGACATATATCGACAATTGGAGCAGACTACCAGAGGTGCACAATTACTTGCACATGAGATGGTTATGTTAAAGACAACATATGAGCGTGTAATGGCCGAAAATGGACGTAAGCAAAGAAAAAAAGCTTTACCAAATAGGCAATTACCCTACGAAGGTGGAATTACAGCAGAGGACCTGCAATTGCGTGTACAAATTGAATATGAGCACCAATTGGCAATACCCCCGGCGCCACGCCGCGCAACCAGGACGACGATTGAGAGACCTATACAGCGCTGTGGCAATTGCAGGGAGCCAGGGCACAAGCGGAATAGGTGCCCAGTTGTGAATAACGCCTAGTTTTTGCAATATATTATATGGTGGTTGAGTTATATTCAATATATATCGTCGTAATGGGGTGGGGTGGCCCGTTCGGTTGTCCGGCCCGTTCGGTTGTGGAACACGTTACTACCCGTGGACTACAAGTTTGGAACCTGCCCAAGTCAGGTGGACACCGTAATTTTTGCTGTTATTAAAAAATAATTAATGAGACTCGAAGTGCCCCTACTACCTAGGTAGTAATACTCTACTAGTAGTAGAAATCGGACCCCAGACCCCATTATATCGACCAAAAACCTTGACTACTACTACAGTGAATTTTAAACCGAATACCTAGGTACCTACTAGGTAAACTTGAAGGTAGCAGGTGCCCAGATGCTTAGTACTTGAAGGTCCAAGTTGTTCAGATATTGAGCTCTAACCTTGGAATTCCTTGAATTTTTATTCCTACTTTCTATAAATAGTGCTTGCTGAATAGCGGCTCGCTTGACATGGCGGCTCGCTACTATGTAGAACACATTAGCCGCAGCAGGTCAGGGCCTCACACAGAGTCCCACAAACCACTTGGCATCGTGGGTTCTTTTCTTTATCCACATCATGCGACACAGTGTCCCCTTCGGCTAAAACTTCCGGCTGTATGGTCGCAGAGTGTATTCCATAAGCATGAAAACATTCGTTAATCGTCTTTGCAGTTTGCAAAAATCCGCTGACAGAGGGATCCGAAACGACAACGTGCACAGATGCGAGGGTCTTCTGCTGGTTAAGGCGCCAGATGTGTAGTTCGTGAATGGAGTGGACGCCGGGGACCTTTTATCATGATCAGCAAAATCGTGGGAAATCTCCAGGGCTGTACGCGGGAGTGATACCTTTTCTAGATCATGCTGTACGTCGCTTAAGTCAAGCCCAATTGGAGCGCTTTCCAACAAGATATGACCGCTTCTCCGGACTGTTTTTGTGCCCAGGTGTTAGCATTGTTCAAGATTGGCGAGGGGGGAGAAAACATACTAAGAGGGACAGAGGAGACCATGATCATTATGGCGATTCCCATGCTGACTCCCGGGTCTGCATAGTACCGGCCGTCATATTTTGCCAACCAGATCACTAGCGCAGAAGCAATGACACCAAGGTTATTAGCCGCATCGCACAGGACATGCAGTAGCACCCCCATCATTCCTAAGTCCCCATGGTCATGGCCGTGGCTGTGACTATGCTCCTGGTTGTGTCCATGGGTTTGTTCGTGACAATGTCCCGAATCGGCTCGTTGGTTCTCGAAAGGCGAATGCTTGTGGTCGTGGTGCTAGTTCCGTCAGTCAATATGAAGCTCTGGAATTTCGGATTGGAGAACTTGAAGTACCTTTGAGATTGAGTCGCGGTCGTCTTCGCTGATGGGCAATGGTCCCGCTTCCAGAGACGGTGCTGGTCCATGGTCATGCGTATGTTCTGTATTCCATTTCAAGGTTAATTCAGCAACCCGGGCTCTTCGAGAAAGCATTGCGATACCTACCATGAAGGAATAAGGCGCTGATTATGTTCAACCCCAATCCAATGCACCCAACGATGAAAACAAGTTTTGGATTATCGACACCTAAGCACTTGTCAGCGTGTGCAATGATGAACCACTGACGAACGAGTGGGAAACTCACGATGCAACGAAATGAATCGCTCAACGGATTGTAAGAGAATGCTGATTCCCAATCCGAGTAATAGAACTCCGTTGAAAAAGGCACCTAGCAGCTGAGCTCGTTGCCAGCCAAAGGAGAGGTCCTTTGGAGAATCATTTTTCTCGGAAACCTGATATTTTCGAGTTGGTCAATGTACTAAATATGTGGACCTGCGACACAGTAACAAGACATACCTTCAAAGCCACCAGAGCCACCACAAAACTCAACAAATCGCTCAGCTAAGGCACGAATTAGTAAATGATCATTTGTTCATCAAGTCTCAGCCCACGTAATGAAATGCATCTGCGATGAGAGCAAGCGAATGAGTGTAGAACCCCACTGTTGTCTGTCAGCAAGTGCGCCCACGGAAATTGAACTCAACCAAGCCACACTGACATGATATTTCTCCCAGAAAGAAACACGTCGATATGCATATAACCGCAATCAATCGCGTCGAACGCGATAACTGAAGGGGCATGTTGAAAGTGCGATCCAGCTCTCGCCGATCCCACCGGGGGGAGGAAAAAGAGTCACTGGAAAAGCACCAGAAACAAGAAGGTAGAATGAGTCGAGTTTCAAGTGGATTTGGACGTGAAACTGTAAGAAACTTTGACAGTCTGATAGAAAAAGGAAGAGTTGACGTGACCTTCAAAAAAGTTAAAGTTAAGGTTGCCGGGGGTGGTGAAAGATACTAAGTGTTGACGGAAATCGGGGCCCGGTGTGGAATACATCCACGGAGACGGAGATAATAACGACGACCCGAACCTCAGGAAGGCACTCTTACTGTTTTACTTCCGCCTCTAATATCTAGGCAGCTAGTTCAGAAAGCAATGGCTGGAAATTTCAGTGCGATCATCGCGTGTAACGCCATTGGCAAGCATGTCAACCTTGGAAGCATGTCCTGACACCGTGAAGTATGCGTGCGGTCTTTGAGATAGAGTTTTCAAGACAAGTTGCTTCTCTTATGTATATAGAGACCGTTTTATTTATTCTTCAAAAGCAAAGTATTCACTCCAAATAATGATGACTATTTCCCTGCCTTGTTCAAGCAGAGCATCCATGTAACGCGTGATTCACATATTCTCCCCTCCGCGTGTCACTGGGTGGTATAATCCCGATGATCCGGTCCAACATCAAACCTTGGAAGGAGCTACAGCACCGGGGAATTCAGATATGTGGGGATTTGATCCCTTAATGAACCCCTTTAACGCGATATGTAGAGTTGGCGTGTTGATCCACAAAGGAATGCGATAATTACTATAACACGGGTACCCGCGGAGACAATTCAGGCACCATGGTTCACAGCAGTAATGCAAGATTCCGAAGCCCAAAGCTACTAATTATGAAAGAAGGGGCGCAAATCTGAAAAGAAACCCATTCATTATTTTCATACAACTTATTCGTAGAATCATATAACTAAAATTTCAGAAACACATGTTTGTGCAGCCATCCCTTGCAAGCACCACAATGCCCAAGCCCAAGCCCAAGCCCAAGCCCAACAACTCATGCAGCAACTTGATCGGCCAATCCGTCCAACTCACGATCCCAGTTCCGATGCTGCGAGACATGCCAAACAAAGCGTTCCGCCAGTCCCTTCGCCTGGGGCCCAATATTTGAAACCTCCAAGGATGACGCATCACCATACCCGGTAACGACGCCATAAGAATCCGTCAAAGACTCCCCGCTCTTCGCACTCTTCACCTCATCCAACCCAATCTGGCGTTTGATAAACGGCACAGCCTCATTGACGCCAGAAATAGGCTTCAGATGAGCAAACGACTCAGTAATCCAAAACTTCGCAACGCCATTCTTCGCAAGACTCTTTTCCACATGGCTTCCACCCGGAATGAAGACCGCATCAAATAGCGTCGACCGCATCCCCGAAAAGAAATGATCCGGCACGACTTTTTGGCCCGAGTCAGCGACGACACCCTGGCGCTGGGAACCGATGGTGAAAACGAAGGCATTCTGCGCCTCGAGACTCGTTTTCATCGCGTTGTACGCGTTGTAATCGAAGCCGTCTGCGATTAGAATTGCGATTTGGCGCGTCGCGATGGTAGGCTCCTTTGGCATATACTCCAGTTGACTGAGACCCTTTGCCTTAGTGCCCTTGTTTGCTCTCAGCTCCTTGGTCGGCGTCTCGCCACCGACGTTCTTGGCGACGGTCTTTGCTAGGTCGAGGCTGATGGCCGCGATGCGCTCGCTCATGCGCTTGTAGACGACTGGGTCGTCGCAATGATCTAGTTCGAAAGAGAACGCCTTGGCCAGGTGCATCTTCTCGATCTCGGAAAGAGAATTGTAGAAAACCTGGGCTTGGTTGTAATGTTCTTTGAACTTCTCTGACAGCGCACGCGTCTTGATACCCTGTTGCTTCTCCGGGAATGAAGTGAATCCACCCTGGGCTGGCGTGGCGGGCGGATTTGCTTCGAAACGATTGGGCCAGTAATTGACAGTTCCCTTAGAGATGCGATGTTTCGAGGCGCCATCCCGATTGACCAAGTTCATGTACGGGCAGACGGGCCGATTGACGGGTAATTCCTCCCAATTGGCGCCGAGCCGCGAAATTTGCGTATCGAAGTATGAGAAGTTTCGACCCTGCAGCAGGGGGTCGTTCGAGAAATCAATTCCCGGAACAATGTGGCTGGTGCAGAACGCGGCTTGCTCGGTCTGTGGGAAAAATTCATCCACATTGCGGTTTAACTCGAGCTGGCCGATGTATCGGATTGGAATTAGCTCTTCGGGCCAAATTTTTGTCGCATCCAGAGGGTCAAATTCGAAATCATCAAGCTTCTCCTCGGGAAGAAGCTGAAGACCAAACTTCCAGCGAGGAAACTGGCCTGCTTCGATGGCGGATATCAAGTCCTTGCGATGGAAATCTGGATCCTGTCCACATATCTTCAAGGCCTCATCCCAGACGAGTGAGTGGACGCCAAGTTCGGGTGTGAAGTGGAATTTGACGAAGTGGCGCTTGCCCTGCTTGTTGACGAGGGAGTAGGTGTTGACACCGAAGCCCTGCATCATGCGGTACGAGCGTGGTATAGCTCGATCGGACATTTGCTGTATCGAGTTGCATTTCGTTAGCACTGCCATTTATAAATCGAACAATCAACCCAAGTCAAGAGCAAGACTCACCCAATAGTTCATGTGCGTAGTCTCAGAATGCATATAAATGAAATCCCAAAAGTTATTGTGCGCACTCTGTCCCTGGGGTACTTCATTATGCGGCTCCGGCTTCACAGAATGAATAACATCCGGGAACTTGATCGCATCCTGTATGAAGAACACAGGGATATTATTTCCGACAATATCCCAATTCCCCTCGGCTGTATACATTTTCACCGCGAAGCCACGGACATCGCGCACGGTATCCGCACTGCCTTTACTTCCCTGCACAGTAGAGAAGCGCACAAAAAGTGGCGTCTCGCGAGAAGTGTCCGTCAAAACACCCGCAGTTGTCACGTCCTCGGCGCTTTCGAATAGCTTGAAGGTTCCGAATGCTCCTGTGCCGCGGGCGTGTACGACTCGCTCAGGGATACGCTCGTGGTCAAAGCGCATAATCTGCAAACAGTGTCAGTATGAAACTGGGTACTTATGATTTTCTAGAGGACAAAGGAACATCTTCGCTAATACGCACTTTCTCGCGGGCAATTTGATCCTCTAGGAGTGATGGTCCGGTACTTGAATCACTCGCAACACGGAGCGAGTGATCCGGGTCCGAGATTCTAATTCCATAGTCGGTTGTCATGTGTTGTTTGCCATTTATCTCGACGGTGTCTTTCTTCATGTCTGCGATCTTTCCATCCGCTGAGATGGAGTTAGTTTTGGCCTCGGCGGCTGCTTCTGACGCAGCTATAGTTGCCATTATGATTTTGTTGCTCTCGAGAATTTCGAACGAGTTGGAAATAGTGGAATGGCAGAGTTAAAGACCGGGGAAAGCTGCATGAGATAATGAAACCTTGCAATAATCAAAAAGTAAGTTGTGTGCAGGATGCATGACATACTACTATATACCATACAAAAAGCAGGATCGACCATTGAGCATGAATGATGTAACCCATCAACCAACCAATCGACAAAACAGTATTAATCAAGCAATCATCCAGTCCAACAAATCTCGATCCGGCACTGTCGGATCAGGTCCCATCAACGAGTCAGAGGTGAATAAACCGACCCCGCCGGCCCGAAATCATGTAGTTCAGCAGCGGAAAACTGGATTCGGGAATGAGCAAGTCATGACCCAGTTTGCGGTCATAGGATACGCACCAATAACGGGACACCGAGAAGAGATGCATTCAAGTCAAGTTCCCCACCAAAATCAAGCTTGAATTTAAAACCGCAACCTAAAACCTGATTGTGAATAACGCGTCTCCCATTCGTGGATTCGTTCCCTTCGGGCTTTGCTGCGGAACATCTCATTCAATTAGTCTCTGTATCTACGTATTAGTTTTATGTAATCACATCGAATTTGTTGTTTAATTAGTTAATAATTTTATCTTCTCCGTTCTATCTATTCCTCTACTCTGCCACATCCGATACATACGACCATAGGGTGTGGAGAACAGGGCTTCCCGTCCGCTCAGCCGTACTTAAGCCACACGCCGGCAGGTTAGTAGTATGGTGGGTGACCACATGCGAATCCCTGCTGTTGTATGTTTTTGTTCACCTGTTTTTTTTTGATTCGTCGGGTAAGTGCCCTTGCCGCTTTACTCATCAGTCTCTTCAGCTCCTCACCTGAATGCCCTGAACCGCCCTGCACGGATGACGTGGCCACTCGGCTAAACCTGCCACATTATTTAACATTACCTATACACCCCTGTCACGTGGTCTTACTCTGGTCTTGTGCTGACGGGTGGACCAGAAACATTGTTGCGATCACCACTGTCTGGTCCGGCATTGGCTACCTTATCTCAAAAGATGCAGTGAAGCAGAAATCGAGCCCTCAGAATATTCTCTTCAATATCTACTTTTAAGCATTGCCGGAATTCGAAGGAAAAAATATATTGCGACGAACTCAATAACCAGCGAGCTTGAAACTGAACTCGAAAGGCTAGGTTCATGAATAGGAGAAAAAGTGATAATGTTCTCAACATTCATCAGAGGCTAAGGTTATAATTCAGAGAGCTATAGAGGGACGGGAATAAGTTGATGAGATGGCAAATGTGAATTGACATTGGAAGCCCTAATAGTGATCGAATGTGGACAAGAACAAAGGGGGACCTAGGTGATGAACCGGGACCTGTTATTGTATTTACGTCTTTATTATATTCTTGTTTGAGTATATTTCCCTCCTTTCTATGCGGATTATCGTTATTAGTTACACTCAGTCAGCCCAATCAATAGTATAAAATTTCACAGAGACTGAGTCCTAGAGAAACTCCAAGAACAAACAAAAATCACATCAAGTTATTCATTCTACCATCACGTAGATCGGCCACGGATCAATATCGGTGCGTAGCTGAAGCAGGATCAAAATGCCAAAAGATCGATCGACAAAGCGGGGTAAATGCCCCCAATCTGAAGCTCACCCTCTTTGACACAGATCTTCGTGATAATGGTAATCGCTTCTGATCCGAAGCTCACTCTATTTAACACGAATCCCGTGAAACCTAGGTGCTGAACGCCCAACCAGGATGAAGCTAGCACAGTAAGCGGCAAAATCAGCCTTACAGTTTGGAAGCTCTGAACTTTGATTTCGGAGTGCCACACCCGATTAAGACAATTATAGCTAACCCTAAAATTTAAATTGTTACCGAAACTGAAAGTCCCGTGGAGCTCAAGGTCCACGAAATATTTAAACAGGAGGAGAATCGAAGGAAAATCATACTTCTTATCTTCTCACAGACCATGATATAGTAAATAGAGCGTCAATCTCATACAGAATTTAGCGCCGAGGGACTAAATTCTGGTGTTGATTTCGATTGCTACCAAGTGGGGACATTTTACTCCATAAGTAAGCGTCTCCCGCCAATAGCATTTTCTATATTGCCGCTGTCATGTAGACCCCGCTTTGGGGCTGAGCCTCCCAGGCTGTTCAAGGCTTCCCTCTTTACTCTCTCTCTCTCTCTCTCTCTCTCTCTCCCACTCTTACCCTTTTGAAGCTTCTCTGGTCTTGTTTTATTTGCGAACTGTGCATCACCAGCATCGTGTTATATCCTTGATTCAGACTCAAAGAATCAATCAACCCATATAGCGGTCTTGAACATTTTTTACTAAAATCGCAGCCATGTCAAACCCCGCAAACTACACTGTGGGTTGGATCTGCGCATTGCGTGAAGAGTACATTGCCGCTCAAGAATTTCTCGATGAGGAGCACGAGAACCCTAGCTGGGTATCACACAACGACGACAACAACTATGCACTAGGAAGGATGTACGACCACAACGTTGTCATCGCCGTTTTGCCTGATGGTGAATATGGCACAGCTTCCGCGGCTAACGTAGCGACAAATATGCGGAACACCTTTCACAACGTCAAGATAGGCCTGATGGTTGGCATAGGTGGCGGTGTACCTAGCGAAAGACACGATGTTCGTCTGGGCGATGTTGTGGTCAGCGCTTCTCGCGACGGGGCAGGGGGTGTCTTCCAATACGACTTCGGCAAGTCTATACAAGGCCAGGGTTTCCAGCATACGCGCTTCTTAAACCAAGCACCACCTATTTTACGAGCTGCCATAACGGGAATTCAAACACAATATGAGAGAAAGGGTCATCGGATCGAGGAGGCCATCTGCAGCATACTCGATACTAATAAGAAGCTGCACCGGGGTAAGTACGGACGTCCCGAGCCAACCACAGATATGCTATTCCAGCCCAACGTGGTCCATAGAACTACTTGTGGTGCTGCCTCTTGTGCACACGATACTTCAAACTTAGTTCCTCGGCGTGAGCGGACTGAAGATGAGGATAATCCTACCATTCACTATGGCCTGATTGCTTCTTCAAACCAATTGATGAAAGATGCTTTGATCCGGGATAGATTAGCCGCGGACAAAGATGTTCTCTGTTTCGAAATGGAAGCAGCCGGGCTGATGAACACTTTTCCCTGCTTGGTCATCCGAGGCATCTGCGACTACTCGGACTCCCACAAGAATAAAGAGTGGCAAGGTTATGCAGCAATGGTAGCAGCTGCCTATGCTAAAGATCTGCTACAGAGAATCCCTCTCAACAAAATAGAGGCCGACAGAATTAGGGTCACTCCATCTGGTCAGTCTGCACAGTTTTATCATTATGACGTGAATGTGTAATAATCAACCAGAATTCAGATCGAGCGTACGATCAACGAGAGCGATACCAAGAGGAGCAGAAGAAAAGAGCTTTGGCGGAGGAGCCACAACGCTGTCATGAAGTTCCTAAGACATCAGACTACGAGGAGCAAAAGGATATCAATCCTCGTCGAGTGGAAGAAGCTTCCCAATCGGCCTTGCAGAGCTCTGGATATCCACAAGGCCTTAGCCTTTCCGAACTGGATCTAGGGAAAGACAAGGCCAAATACTTCAGCAGTTACCATGCGCCGGCTGAAACGCTTGATGCGCCGGCAGCAGAAAGGAATGTTTTACAGCATCACCGGAATCCAGCTAAGCCAATTTTTGGCGTGCCTCTGGACGATTTATATAAGCGTGATAGAATTGCCGTACCACCCTTACTCTCCCAATGTTTTCGTGCTGTTGAAAAATTTGGATTGGAAAGAGAGGGGATATATCGGTTCTCCGGAAGTGTTAGCGATGCCAACCGGATCATATCCGCTTTTGAGACTGGTGAGCCCGAGGAGAGCTTTACCGGGTGATATTCACTAACAAATAACCAGGTGCACCAGAAGCGGACTTGAGCAACCCCAAAAACTTCTACCACTCTATCGACACTGTCGCAGGTCTTGTGAAACGGTTCTTGAGGGAGCTCCCGGGTTATGTGCCTCCATATCAATGTTTTGACCAGTTGGATGCTGCTGCTCGTAGGTTTCTTCTATATCCACACCAACATTTTGCCTCTCTTTGACCCATTAGCATAGGGATCGAGAATGATGGCCAGCGCCATGACTCGCTACGTGCTATTGTCAAGGCCCTCCCTGATGCGCAATATGCGGTTGCTCGGGACCTTTTTCTAGTTCGTTAACGTTGAAAACACATGATTTGAACCATGAATATCTTACTCACTGTGCTACAGCACCTTAACAAAATTCAGAAACACTCAGCCCAGAACCGCATGCGTATTGATGATTTAGCCCTCTACATCGGGTCAGTTATAGTTGATACCGTCCTCTCTCCAATTGTACTGACAGAAAGACCATAGTCTATGTGACGTGCCGCCGTGCGTTCCGACTACGCCGTACATCGCGATTATTAGGATTATTCTCAAAAACACTCCGCAGATGTTTATGTGAGGACTCTATCAGCTCTTCGGATTTCGGCGACAGCTTTCTCCAAGTGTTCAATGTGATCCATCTGGGCAGATATGTATAACCAAAGTAGGCCATTCTACACAGGGGCATCGTGTACAAGGGGTCAATGACCGAACTGCCTCCCCAAGTAATTCGTTCATGGATTGCTTTTAGGCCTTAACTTCAATATACTACAGTTAGTCGAGAATTAGTAGATACTATATTCATTCTATTCGTCGAAATCAAAAAGTCTTTCACACCGAGCGAGAGCAGTTACAAAGCCCTCACGATTAATTATTAGGAAAGGATAGGTAGTTAGACCCAGAGATAGGCCGCGATAGAAGATTACCACAATCTGTGCCGTTTATAATAGCCGCTAGCCTAGACTACAGGGAATTATCTAAGGATTATCATCTTCTAAATTCGTCCTATTATTTTAGCAACAGACTCTTTAACAGAATCTTCACTGTATCCCTTTAGAGAAGGTAGCCAAGACCAGACCAGACAGTAGTAATGACAACAATATATCTTATTTTAACAGCGCCAGCTAATCATCTTGTCTGAAACGCCTGAAATAAGGTAAGGCTTAGGGTAGATAGAGTGGTGCTACAAGGGAGACATAAAACGCGACAGCTTTAGCTAAGGGGCTACACCATCCGCCCGGGGATTCAGTTGAAGGGCTAAAGAGTAAAGCGGCAAGGGCACTAAACTCAACGAATAAAGAGTGAAAGCATAAGAAGACAAAAACATACAACAGGAGGGAATCGCATGTGGTCACTGACCATATACCTAATTGACTGGTCAAGTAAGATCGCTTACTGGTTCATTAATTGGCGATTAATTAGTTAGTTAACTATACAGTATATTAATTTTCAGTAAGGCAAATTCAGCAAAAAAGCGACGAACAATCACTTTTCTCCAGTTCACCTTGTCTATATTCAGCGATAAGAAAACCTGCAATCTTGAAAGAGCTTTCTAGCTAGAACTGGAAATGGGATCTGCGAATTTCTGTCTACAGTAGGAAGGCTCGCTGTGTGTGCAGATGCCAAGAGACCGGGCGTTTCAGGAGGGGACTGTGGCCCAATGATATTGAATGCCAGTTCAACTGAAAGGGGCCAAATGTAGATCACTCGTACTCACCCTATTCTCATCCCACTCTCACCCTGTCTATTGCGCACTCACCCTAATCACCCGAGTCGCGCGACGCTAAAGCGGCGCTCACCCTATTCTCACCCGGGCGACACCCACCGCAATTGTTGGTTTATTAAGGATTGATTCAGTGTTCATGTTATTGAGGGGAGTTGATTGTGTGTTGTATTGCATGTCTAAGATACAAGTGAAGTGAGAGGTAGGTAAAGTATGCACGTGATCCCAGCCTCACTATTATCTCAGCAACCGGATATTCCAACAGCACTACTTGCTGTGTTTTAGCCACACGCCGGCAGGTTAGTAGTATGGTGGGTGACCACATGCGAATCCCTGCTGCTGTATGTTTTTGATCTTTTTGATCCAGAATATGATTATGCAGGTCATTCCAAGTAATCCCCATCTAAGGCGGACCATAGAAACCCACTGCATCAACTTTTTGCTTTTGCCGGCCAGACCAACACTGATCATCATGGTTATGCTATCATGCAGTCGGAAAAATTTCACTCGAACCAACCATTGCCAACCAGTCTTGAAGAGCAGTTGAATTAGATGATTGATGTTTTATCATCAACTCAGCCCAGTCGAGGCAAATTGATTAGGTATATACCAATAAGAAGTACAGGGGTATTGATTGAATGCTATTTCCACAATCGGACCATCTACACAAGGCCATCATCGCCATGATCTAACCATCTAACACTATGTACGAAAAGGAGCACACCCAGAGAAACAGAATAAAGATCGTAACAACCACACATCAGTGGGCAAATCACATATTATCCTCACTCCAATGACTCCTAGTCTTCTTCCAAGCAGCCTCCTCCTCCTTACTCTGCTGACTCGACTTCCCCTCAATATCCAGTCCCCTCTCAACCCACTCCTTGCTCCCCATCTCGGAAAGTCTCGACAGCGCTCTCGCAAACGCAAACCGCTCCTCATCACCGCTGAAAATAGAAGTATTCTTCAGCGCAGCAACAGACATCCCCAAATCATCCATCAGATTGCGCATCGCGTCCGATAAATCCGAATGATCACCGCCACCACCACCCGCACTCTTCACATCATCCGCTGAAAGGAAGAGATTCGCCAATGGCACCTCCGTCGTAAGAACGAGCTTCGCCCGACTCTCATACACCGCATCGATGAAGGTGATGAACCGCCGCGCCAGATCACGCTGATTCAGATTCATCCCCGGGACATCGGTCACGATGAACGCATCGTAGTGCCGGACTAATTCGAGATAATCGGCCGCGCCGGTTGCGGTACCGATGAGCTCGTTGAAGGTGAATTGGGCTGCTTTGCCGCTCGCGCGGGGGACGTTGATTTTGCGGCCCCAGACTATTTGTGAGGTTGGGTGGGGTGGGTCGTTTATTGGTTCGCCGAGGACGTCGAACCAGCGCTGCGCGTGCTGTTCTGCGCTTTCGCCGAGCGGGTGGTGGTAGACTGCTGCTGGGGGGCGGGGGATTTTGCGGTAGTCGGTGGGTGAGTTGAGGTTTATGACGTTGAGGTCGGTTTTTAGGAGGTTGATGCATGGGATGAAGGATTCGCGCTGGATGCCGTTTTTGTAGAGGTCGTCTGGGTGGCGGTTGGAGGTTGTTACTAGTACGACGCCGTGGGACATGAGGACTTCGAGGAGTCTAGGTGGTGGGTTAGTATGGGTATCTTTGGGGATATATTTCGCGATGTGAGAAGGACTGGGGGGAGGGGGGGGTGAGGGAAGTACCTTCGCAGAATCATCGCATCCGCCACATCTGTACACTGGAACTCGTCGAAGCACAATACGCTAGCCTTCTCCGCAATGTCCGCAGCAACCATAGGCAGGGCATCGAAGTCATTGCCGTACTTCATCTTCACGACATGCATGCGCTTATGTACATCCTGCATGAAGTTGTGGAAGTGGATTCGCGTCTTGGTCTTGATATTGTCCGGCAACGTATCGAAGAACAGATCCATAAGCATGGTTTTTCCGCAACCAACATCCCCGAACATATACAAGCCCTTAGGCAGATTATCCGGTACGATAGAGGTCTGCGCTGCCTTTGCGCCGCCGCCGCCGAAGAGGGAGCCAAAGAAGGACTGCTTTGGTTGCAGGTCGAGGGATTCTGGGGTGGGGTGGACGACGGTTGGCGGGTGGTAGGATTTGAGCGCTTCGAAGAGGTCTTGTAAATTTTGGATTATGCCTGGTGATAGTCGGGTCATATTGTTAGCTTCAATCGTTCCATACATCCGGTCTTGAACCGAAACTGCGAAATTCTGTGGCAAGATCCACATATATCGAAGTTCAACTCAACTCACCTCGCTGATAGGGATCATCCCGTAACCGACCCTCCTCAACACGCACATCGTACTCCCTCATAGGACCATCCACAGGCGCGGCACTCGATTCTACCTCCGCAACCCCCTCACTAGCAGCAGTCGCCAGCCCGCGCGCGCGGCGCTGTAATCGGATCCCATTCGCCGGCAGCCCAGTGGCCAGGGCGGCATGCGGGAGACGAGGACGGGAGGAGAGCACAGGCGAGACATGGGTCGTCGTAGTCGCAGGAGCAGTCGTGTATGAACGAGATCTCATGCGGAGCGGCGTGGGAGTCGCAGACCGCAATCCCCGGCCGCGGGGCCGCAAAGCCGGGGAGCAATTTGCGCAGAGTTTCGCGGACGGTCTACTCATGGCGATATGAATGTGATATGCGATTTTTTGGAAAGAAAGGAAGAAAGACGTTCGCTTGCTACCGCAAAGGAAGACTGTACAGAATGCAGTTGTGATTTGAGATTGTTGTAGCCGAGGTACTCTATCCGCAGGAATTGTTTTCGTCGGGCGGGACTGTTTGTCGGGAGTTGGATAGAGTGCCTGTGTCTAGAGGGCAGATCAACTCTAGACGACTTTGGAACGAGAGAGAGGAACGAGAGGACTGGGCTCCAACCCGAGTATATCACCAGAGAATCTTGTAAGACGAAGGAAGGCTAATCGGAGTGCGTCTGTCGCCATTGCGGTTGCCGGGCGAAAAGTGCGGGCCGATGACCGAGTCATGTGATCCGGTTCTTCGGAATCGGGGCAGCCAGTTATACTACTAGTATCTATAGGGTTACGATAGTTAGTATGCAAGTCATACGACTCAAGTAGTATAACAATAGTTAGTGCTTCATATTATTCGATGACCTCGGATTATGCAGCTAAACTAGGTGGAATCCTTCTGTATATGCAGAGCGCGGCATATGTACAAGTCAAGACAGACCAGGGTATAAGACCCAAACATCAAACGGGAGAATATAGATAAAACAGAAGGAAACAGTAGGTCCAGTGTAGGAAGAGAGACATAGAAAAGGAGGAATGATAGGTGAGAAAACAAGAAAAAAAAAGAACAAGACAGAAGCGTATCAAGGGAAACAAAAAGGTTCGGCTGACGGGGATAAAAGCATGAAGAGACCGAGGACATTGCAGAGCGTAAGCATTAACGTTAGCGTTAACGCAGAAATGGAGAAGAACGGGAGGAAAATATTCAGCCATGCCACATATCTCACATCATATTCGTAACACCACGATCATCCACCCTCTTGAAGAAAATCCAGGTGCAAGCGCTGAAAGGGCCGACAGAGCAGATGGAAACTTTGAGAAAAGAAAGCCCAGTACCAAAACGCCTATGCACCTATGCCCATTGCGAAGGGGGTCAAAAAATAGCCTGAAGATGAGGCCAGGGGGAAATAAAAGAAAAGAAAGCCAACGGGGGAAGAGATATCAGCGCACCGCCACAACAACCCAAGAAAACAGGTCTATCTCAAGAATACAAGATCAAAACAACTGTTTTTGCCATCTCATGCGATGCTCACAAAGAGAGTCAACTTGGTGTTGCGCTGCATGGCATTCTCCAGGTCCGCATCTGATATCAGATCGATGTATGTCCCAGAGCTCTCATCGCGGTACTGCACGATGATATCCTCTTGAATCTTCAGACGGTCCGAAAGCTTATCTTTCAAATGCTGCAAGGTCACGCCCGAAGGGATTCGAATTGCAATCAAGTCATCCTGGAAAAAGACCTTCACCTTCATCGCGCTCGAATTGGATGTTGCCGAGGCCTGGGTGAGAGAACTGGGCTGGCGGTTCATGGCCGGTGGGCCACCGTTTGAGAGAGACGCAGGGCCTGGCGCACGCTGCTGGGAAACGCGGTCTTGCGACGAGTTCATTGGGACTTGGGATGACTGTCGCGAAACGCTTTGCGAGGGATCCACGCCGGAGGAAGAGTGGTGGGAGTCGCCAGAGTAGCGGGCCTCCTCGCCAAAGGCACTGGGGTCGATTTCGAAATCGCCTTGGCGCGGCCCGAAGAGCTGGCGGACGAGCTGGCAGCGGGCGATGTGTGGAGGCATGGAGAGAAGCTTCTTGATATACTCGTCGAGGTTTTGGCGGCGGCCGTTGGAGATAGCATCTGTAACGTGGGTGACGGGGCCTGGCATGAAGGGGAGTGTGCGTGGGCGTCCTCGGTTGCCGGCTTCGTCTTCGAACTGCGTTAGAAGGGCGATCTGGAAGTCGTAAAAGTCGTGATAGTAGCGTGACAATTCCCAGCATCGACCGTCTTCCATCTTGGCCTCAATGATGTACCAGTATTTGTCATTGTCGAAGCAGTAGCGGGGAATTGAGGCCGCAACGGGCGCGAGGAGGGGTGGCTGGTAGGCTTGTTGGGGTCCCTGTGAGATGGGCGCTTGCGATGCGAGAGTTCCTTTGCTAGCGTTGCGCTGGTGATTTGCCTATGAAGCGCGCGCGCACACACAGATCAGCCTAAAAAATCACAGATAATAGCAGTAGAAGCAGGTCCGGCAATCAACTTACGTAGGGGTCCCCATTTTGACTCATATGGCCCTGTTGGCCCATAGACATCTGATCCATACCGGTAGTGACGGCCACAACGCCGCCGCTGCCACCACCACCACCACCACCACCACCGCCACCTCCGCCCGCTTCAATCTTGCCGAGGGTGATGCTGCTGTTCTTGTATTCCGCGGTCATCTTCTTCCACTCCTCCACCTTGGGGACACCTGCGCGCCGCACCGCCTCGAGCGGATCGGTGACAGCCTGGCCAGATTGCATGTCGCGCAGTTCGATAAAAGAGACGGGAATGAGACCGGGGCCACCGAGACGGCCGATGGGTTTAGCGACAAACCATTCGGGATTGGATTGAGCGATGACGATAATGGCTTCACCGGCGCGAGCATCGAGCTCGTCGGGGCGCTCAGCCTGGAAATCATACTGGACGATGCCGTAGACCATGGCGCCCTGGCCTTTGCCGAGGGCGGACATTCTGAAGGGGGCGAATTTGGAGGGAGAGGAGTCGGGGAGGAGAGTGCGTTCGGAGAAGCCCGAGTCGTGATGGTCGTTTTTCTGCAGATCGGAGGAGCCCCCACTGTCCCTTTCGTTTTTGCCGATGACTTCGAAGAAGGAGACGGGGACGAGGCCGCGGGCGTCAGGGATGAGGGGATTGCAGGCCTCGTACCAGTCGGAGTCGTCCTCCCCTACTGATCACGTGGAAGAAGTCGCCCTTGCTGAAGGCCAATTCTTGAGAGTTGGGCTCGGGAGTGTAGTCGTAGAGAGCTTTGATCACCTTGAGGAGGGTCAGCGCGATCGGAGTTGAGTGGGAGGAGCCACTTTGGAGGGGCAGAATATTCAGCGGGGGAAGTGCAGGGGGAAGTGGTAGTGACAGTAGACACCGACACCGATACAGGACAGGTACAGGACAGGCACAGGCAACAAGAGTAGAGGCATACCTTCTTGGGAGGCAGAATGGCCAGGGCAGACTTGGGAGTGATGGAGATGTGGTGGTGATGTCTGGGTTCTTTCTCCCCTTCAAGGACCGTCGGATAGCCTGGATAAGACATTAGTGTTTACCCTATGGTACTTCCCCAGCACTCAGGTCAAGGGATAAAACTCAAGGCAAGGGATGTACTCACCTTCATCGCGACAGAGGGGAAGGGTCGGGGATATTATGATTCAATATTCCAATCCAATATTAAAGGGGGGAGGGGGAGGGAAGGAAGTTGGCGTTGCGCAAGAGTTGACGGTAGGTAATTGTCGTTCCAACTGGTCCACACCAGGCTGGGAATGAATGGTATTACCTTGGAAGTTAGATTAAGTTAGGTTAAGTCCGGTTAGGTTAGGTTAGAATTAAGGGAGTATTGAGTATTTTATCTGACTACCTTACCTAGGTACATACTCCGTAGTATTCTGGTAGCCCGTGATCTGCTTTGCTATTCGCCTACTACGCGCCAACTTGGCACTCCGGAGTACCCTGGTAATACATATACACTCCAGGGCTGTCAGCAATATTAAGATTAACAGATTACTTGTACGGATAATATGGATATATCCAATATTGCAGATCACACAAAACAAAGAACGGAACCGCGTGGCCCGCAACCCGTGGAACAACCACCCTGGTCCATGGATCTATACTAGTATTCTTTGTTAACTGCGAATGTATAAAGTAGTAGTAGATAAGTATAGTTAACTAGGTACTAACTAGATGTATGTGATAGATACATCTAGTCGATAGTGTACTCGGTATAATAAGAGAATTGAATATAGTATCATCCTCTTAATCATCCTCTTATACCCTGCGGGTAGCAACTGCATCATTGTAATCTGGTAACCAAGTATACTACTACTAGTTAGTACTACAGTAGTACTAGTGCTGTAACTGGCGTCTACTCAATTATCTATCGAACCTTCCATGGTTACTGCATCTATCATCAACCACTGGCACATCCCCATGCTTCAACTTCAGCTGAATCTGCTGATCCCATGATGTCAGACCCAGCCAGTCTTTGTCCCCTCTGCACTCCTCTACACTCTGCATCTCCTCATATGCAGACTGACAACAAATCAAGCACCGAGAAACACTACTGCAGAGTTCTCACAACATGCACTGCCCTCGTGCCCTCAACCCTGCACATCTAATTAAAGGAACCGCACAGGCACCACCAGCGACCGGGGGAATCACAGGGGCAAAGCGGCCAGAACCAAGGACACGACGCAGAAGCGATTTCTCGAAGCCCACGGAACATCCCTCGGCCAGTGAGATCGTGTCCACTCCATTTCCACCCACGGCTGCCACGCGCTACGGCCCACCGTGGCGGGGGGGCGAGTCCTATGGATTGGTGGGTGCTGTGGCGGATGCGACAGAGAAACCCCAGGAACCCCGGGTCACAAGGAAGTTGGTTCAACGGCGGACTCCCTGTAAATTAGTTAACTAGCACTTCGGTAGTCAGTATACCGAGTATGTACGGTACTCGGTACTCTGTAAGTCGGGGCGCACTTGGGTTTTGGGTTGGGTGGCGAGGCCTCGAGGATCGGGCAGCAATTTGTGATAAGCTGCGGCTGCTCCACTGCCAGTGGGGTCCCATGGGATGCTGCGGTCTCAGGCCTAGAATTGGGACTTCTTCGAATTCGAGTTGTCTCGGAGCTTGGACTTCTTCAGCACTGGCAGGTCTCGAGGAAGAAATTAAATTTAGGGCTGAGCTGGTACCTGGGTATATGCCTCAAAGTGCACAACTACCCAAGTATGCAAAATCTCATATTGATACATAGGTACATTTAGTATTTCAACTCATCCAAGTACAATCCTCGCAAATTTGCAATACTATCTATGCATAACTCATCATCATGTACTACTACTACTACCTAGGTACCTAGGTACTAGTACACAGCCAACCCTCTACTTCCCACCAAGCCCTGCAACCTCCAAAATAGCATCCACAAATACCCTCGGCCTCTCCAGTGGAATCGCCTCCCCACACCCTTGACAACATGATGCACCCTCTTCCCCGTAAAAAACTTCGCTGTCGCCATCCCATCCGTCGCCGCAAAAACAACAGCCTGATCCGGATCAAGCGTAACTGCCGGAACACTAATAACAGGCTGACTATCCAATTGAACTGCCAGATCCGCATAACTCGGATCCCCCTTGGAGTAAAGCAGCCGATTGCGATAAAAGTCCGTCGCAATATCGACATAATCCGCATTCCGCAACGCCTGCGCCGCAGCATCGAGCGTCGCCTCGGTAAATGTCCAATTGGGACTGTTCCTCGACCAGAGAATCTCCGCCCAGCCCTTCGTATCGTTGGCCAGCGAGCTGTATCCGAACGGCGTGAGGAAGACGTAGTAGTACCATTTCACGGGAAACGAGGCGGCCGGCGCGACGGACCAGGCTGTCGCGCGGTTCTGGATTAGGTAGCTGTTTGCCGCGACCATGCCGGTGCAGCGGTGGGGCCAGAGGGCGGCGGCGACGTTGACGACGACGGTACCCCAGTCGTAGCCGGCGAAGATGGCTTTTTCGATGTGGAGCGCGTCCATGAGGTCGATTACGTCTTTGCCTAGGGCGGCTTGTTCGGCGCTGCGCGGCGTGCTGGGGGAGTGGAAGGTTGTGCCGCCGAAGCCGCGAAGGGAGGGCACGATTACGCGGTAGCCTTCGTCTACCAGGCCTGGGACTACGTCGATGTAGGTGTCGATTGAGTAGGGGAAGCCATGGATCAGGATGGCGACTGGGGCGGTGGTATTGTTGGGGTCGGAGTCGAAGTATTCAATTGAGAGGGTGGGGGTTTTGGCATGGTGGACTGGGGAGAGGGTTGGTAGGGATAATGAAGATGAAGTTGAGGTACTAGTAGATGGGAAGGAGGTCCCTGTTGGTGTTGGTGTAGCGAAAGTTGTGAGAGATAGACTGCATAATGCGAGGAGACCAACAAAGGTCCTCGAAAATAGTCGTGGCATGGTGGTGAGTGATTGGATTGATACCTTTTTTTTTCTATTTAATTGGGTGCAATTCATACTCTTAAATAAAAATTTTCCCTCAGCCTCGTTCAAGAGAACCTCTACATCTCTGCTAGTGCTTATTCTTTGTGCATTATGATCCAGAGGAAGTATACGATCCGCAGTCATGATAAAAGGTATAAGCAACGGGGCTCAGCCACCCGTTGCCCAGTGAGATCGGAGTTGATGCCTCAGTCTCCTGGCTGCATTTGGGTATCATTCTCCTCTTTAGGAAAATGTACTAGTCTTAACCTTACTAGTGCATTTATTATCTCAAATCCATCACGTCTCATTTATGGCCACCGTCATCATTATTTAGGAGCCTAATGTGAAGGATCAAAGATGATGAAGATCGATCCTTTCGATGCCTGCGAGGCTGTGTTCAACATTGCAAAAGCAGCCATGCTAGAACGTGATTGTTATGAACCCCACATCCTCTTTCGATATCCGAAATCACGAATGACGTCGAGTGCAGCTTGAACAATTATCGGGTCTCTTCCATCCGCATTCCCCTAAGAAGTAAAATGTAGTCCTCTTCAATAGCCGCAAAAGTTAGTATATTGGGGAATGAAGGAATCCTGTCCCTGACCCTGCTTCGATGCCATTTACAAGGCCTGGATAGACTCACGTTATAATAGAGTTGTTGTCCAAGATACTAGATCGGAAACCAAACCATGCTCCTTGGCTAGTATCGTTGAAACATGTATGGAATACGTTACGCATGAGTAATTGGTATCAAGACCGGCCTTTGCATTTCCAGGTACCAAATGCGCCTGTTTGTGCCGCGCTTCGCTGCAGCTGCAGCTGCAGATACAGATACAGCACAGGAGAAATGCCACCAATGAAAGCCAGAAACGCCAAATTTCGCTTAGTTTATCGGGATTAAGTCGTTTGTAAAGTCTGACATGATGCGGGAACCACGAGGGCGAATTCCCCGGTCTCTCTTCTTTCAGCTTGCGGGGCTGTCATGCGATATCTTCTTCATTATTTCTCCCTAAAATTATACCTACACGACACCGTGACAAGCAGAGGATTGGAGAAGCTGAGCTTTTTTCAAACCAGGTTTTCAAAGTGCCACGAGAGCAGAGCATCACACAATGATCCAGTCTTCGAATGGTCTGACTCGAAACAAAGTGCTTGAAAAAGCATCTTCAAGTTACCTACCTAGGTAGTAGGTACCTAGGTATATTAGCCGTGAGATACTAGTAGTAGTTGTATACTATCTTTCGGCCTCGGGGTCAAACAATAACTGGTAGCCACCTGGGCACTTCCAACTAGAAGTTATCGGGGGCACCCAGGCGCTTCCCAGTCCTACTAGTACTGGCCTTGACAATGGCGCAGTCTCCGCGTTCCAAGTGTTTCAACCGGAGATACAACGCACACAGAGGAAGAACTGGCAGTATTAATTCTTTGTTTCCCAAGACCAAGTCGAGTTCTTTGTAAAAAAACGATATGACGCGGGAATCTCGAGGGCAAATTCCGAATTCTTTCAAGCTATAAATGTATAAAGACAGAGAGTACAGGATACTTTCTGCCTTCTGTTTTCTCTGTGACAACTCGATTTACAGGCATACTACCTAGGAGCTTCGCAAAACAAATATGGAGGCGAACGGGCTCATCAACCTCAGCAGCGGGCAGCTTGGTACACCAGGTTAGTAAGGTTGGACAAAGATCGTTCCTGCACAAATACTACTAGTGGTACTGTGCCTTGGAAACTCTAGGACTGACCAGCATGCTGCTAGTCACCGAGATACTAAACTGGGTAAAATTGATCGAAAGTACCAAGATTTACCCCAATGATTGTTGAGCCGGCCTGTATTTGCTAACATTTTCCCCGTGCCAGATAACTATACCTTCCAACCTGCCTACAAAGAGCTCGGCAAGGAGAGACCTCCAGGGCTTGGATAGAGTGCCACGTGCGTATTGAACGAAAGGCCAGAGAAAGCAAGACTGGGAAGGGCAATGCGATAATTTCAAACTGGGTCATCGAAGTAGTAGGATCAATGATGTTTGTCCCCACATACGAAGCCCTAGACGATGAGACTCTCAGCAAGGCGCTTGAGAAGGAATTTTTCTAAGCTGTGAACACTCTGAGGTTGGCTTTGGACGAGAGCAGAGGTTCATTCTATAGAGCTGTCCTTAGTTAGATCTACCAAGAAGTCTCACGAGAATAAGAATTCATAATTGGTCCTGAGGTCACCCCATACAAGTATGTACTGTAGAAATAAAACACTGACAAGAATTGCATTGCTTAAATGTACTCAAGATGGATCAATATCTACCAAGGCGCGCCAGCGACACCCTCGCACCAATACAGCCGGCACAGCGCAACAGTACCCCGACCATCAGTCGTGCCGGGTTTTGCGGCGCTAGACTCAACTATGCTGTACCTTACTTCAAAACACAAACAGGACTGGGGGTAAATGCAATGAAAAAGAGAAAAATGGAGACGAAGTGCTGACGTAGCGTAACTCCGGGGGTGATATGACGTGGAAAAGAATTTTGGTCGACCAAACGCCTGTCGCTAGGGGGTGGAAATGGAATGGAAAAGGGGCCGAATCTACCGAGGCGAGGTAGTGGCGAGGTAGTGGCGCAGAGTAGACGGGATCCAGGGACCAGCCTAGGGGTAATTAATTGAAAACTGTTTTCCTGGACAGAAGGAATAAGCGGACTGAGAGGGACCCATGTTAGATTTGTCCTTTAATGTCGACGACGCGGTGCGCTTCGGCCTTGGCTTGTTCAAAGACGAGCCCGGCCTTGCCGGTCAAGAGTCTGACAGACCCGTTTCGCTCTTCGAGAAGTTCTGCTGGGCCATGGTCCAGGACGAAACGGGCGGTCTGCTCATCCGACTCGAAGCCGAGTTCCTCCGTGATAAAACGGATGTTCACATCGGGTTTGTACCTACAACTCTGTTAGTAAATATGTTTCGAGATACTTGAGATTAATAGACTTACGCTTTGCACATGGCGGCCAGCGCAGACAAGCGCTCGCGTTCGACGAACATGTCCATGAGATAGGCACCCATATTGGGCGTCTCCAGGTACAGTTGGAAGAAGCGATGGTAGTTGCCGAGTGCCAACGCAGAGCGCACGTCGAGGGCGTGCTTAACAGCCTCGTTCTTCTTGTCTGCAGCAGTCACGTCGGCTAAAGCATCGTTCATGGCCGTCCAGTTGCGGGTGTAAATGAAATAGAGAATACGATACGCCTTGAACTCCGTCGGATTCCCGCCTAGTGATTGCGCGTAAAGTACCCGGAGTTGAGTCTGGCACTGATTATACTCACCAAGATCTCCTTTCTCCAAGGCGATGCGTGCGTGAATTTCATAAACGGTCACTGTGAATTCGGTTCGGATGTGCTGGACCGTCAGATCCTGGCGGAGGGACTTGAACTGATCACAGATGTAGGTGTAGTTGCTCTCTTGCTTCCATTTTTCTTCAGAAGATCCAAGGCCTTTCGGAGAACGGGCAGGGGACGAACGGTATCCGGGTTCGGGGCAGAGGTCAAGCGGAAGTAGTTCTTCTCCAATTTCTGGCATCGGCCAATCACGGGTCCTTGGTCGGGTTCGCTGCGCGCCGGAGAGTCGACGGGGGAGGAGGTGCCCGAATTTCCGTAGGTGGCGCCGGCACCCTCAAAACGCCTCCTCCTCATCTCCAAATTAGCTTTTGACTTACTAGAGTCATCTGTGGTCATGCGGGGGCGCTTCTCTGTGGAAGGGTGAGTGACTCTGTCTTCAATACGATTGCGATTATTGTTAGCTTTTCTCCATGGTGGGGAGTTCTCGGTCTGGTGGATGTCGGTCGACTTTCGCTTGCGCGAAGCATCCCCTGGGGAGGATGGTTGACTGGACATGCCCCAGTTGGAGACGCTCGGGTTGGCCAGGATCTTATTGCGTTCATTCTGGATCATGACTTGCGGCAGAGCGAGGCGCTCCCAGTCTATCATCTCCAGTTTGTGGTTTTCAGCGGCGTCGGTGATGACAAAGCGAAGTTTCTCTTGCATCTCCTTGGTATCCACGCTGGCGACCTGGTTCTCGGGGGCAAAACACCGTTGTACATAGCTGCGGACAGCCGGTGGAAACTCCATTCGAGGTCGCGGATCCGACTCGGTAGATGGCATGGCGGGCTGGGGAGGGTATCCATTGGTGGCAGGATGGCTTGCTTTGTTATGTGCCAGACTACGGCGTGCTTGTACGGGGATATAGGCAGGGGTCGCTGGAGTGAAACCGTTAGCGCTGAACAAAGAAGGAACTGGAACGGGAACTGAAAAGGGTTCACCCATGGGAGAGAGCTTACCAGTTTGAAAAGGAACAGGCGCAGCAGAGGGTGCTGGAGCTGGCCAACGGGCTTCACGCCATGGGACGCTCGAGTTCATGACGGATGATGTCTAAAGGGAAGGGTGAAGATGGCAGGGCGGAAGTGGCAAAAAAGATATGAGGGAAGAGAAAAGAAGAAGGATGGAGAAGAGGGCTACGATGGGTTGGAGATGTAGAGGAGAAGAAGAGGAAGACGAGTTGTAGATGCAGAAATAATAACAGTAGGAAGGAAACTGTGAGTCTGCTTGTCGTGTCTGTTGGGTCGCGCCTGCCGTTTCCAGAGTGTGTCTGAAGTTCAGTTCGCTTACTCTCCGGACTTTTAGTTTCCCCGATATTCCGTCTTATCGCGTTATCGCGTGCCGGGGCGCGGGCGAGGCTGCTCCAGTCCATGTTGGCCCCGGTCCTTTTGGGAGCGTGATGCACGAACCTGCTAGATGTTCTTCAAGTCTCTGGACCTGACCACGGCACTGCGCCCTTTGCTATTACCTGATGAGACCCTTCTCTTTGTTCAGGATGCGGTTGGATTATACGAGGGGTGAGTGAAACGCGATACTTGGCATCAGATCCAATGTTATGCCCGACATCTACTGACATAAGGAATAGGAAATACAAGATCCCCAACTACCAAAATGGCCACGCTTACCTGACCTCCCACCGAGTATGCTACGTCGCCACCGAGGATCCACGCAAATATTGCGTCGGAATTGATTTGAAGGAAATTGACCGGGCAGAATACCAGGTTGGAAGCTCTCGTTCCGGGGTGCGGGGGAGGGGAAGGGGCTTGCAGCTAACCCAACTTCTATTACCAGGCTCGTTTTCTAACATCGTCGCCTAAAGTTACCATCTATCCCAAGCCACAGAATAGCAAGACCGACAAGTCTCGAAGCACAACATCTAGCCCCGCTATCTCTCAGCAATCGACTCTCCATCCACTCCCCCACACAGGCCCATCAAAGTCGCCCTCACCAAAGCCAATCAATGCGACTTGGATTTGCCCGATATGCACCTTCTCCAATCCTGTTCCCTCTAACTTTGACCCTGCGACGGCAACGGCTACAACCAATCTGCCGCCGTGTCTCGCATGTGGCATCAAGCCGCCCTTCACAACGGTGTTAAAAGCAGCGATCACGGCTGCAGCGAGTCGGGATCCCCCCTTACCCGGTGCTAGCTCATTGGCGCCAGAGGAGAACACACCTACCGGAAATGAGAGACGCGGGTCAAATACTGCAGGGTCGGTATCCTGCCCTCGTTGCACCTTTGTCAATCACCCGTCACTGATCGAGTGTGAGATATGTGGGGCACCCTTGATGCCAAAGGGTGCTGCTTCACTGCTAGATAGCGGAGGAAACCGTGCAGATTCACCAGCTCCATTCTTCCAGCAAGCGCGGTTAGTCAACACAGAAGTGAGCGAGAGCATTAAATTATCGTTCCGGGATGGTGGCGAAAAGACCTTTCACGAGAGGCTTAAGGATGCCCTGGTGCAAAGGAAATGGCTACTCCAGAATGCTCCCCCGGTGCCTCCCCCGGCGCAGGTCACTTCATCGCCAGGGGCCCCGGCCGCCATACTCGAAAGCCCGCAACCTGCAGCTCCCCGTGTGTCGGCTGTAGGTATCGCAGGTCTTGAGCAACGAGGATTGGAGGCTCGCATGAACAACCAGTTGGTGATTGGCAATGCGTTTGAGGATTTGGAGGCATTGATGGCGTCAGCTAAGCAATTTGTTGCACTGGCAGAGACCTTGGCGCGAGAGTCTGGAATGGCTACGAATGAAGGCTCCGCGGAGACTAAAGCGGTGTTATCTGAGTCCGTGGCAGCCCTCGGGATGGTAACAACCAAGGATATGCTAAGTTCGGGCTCCGAGACCCTCTACCTCTCGGAACTATCACGCAACCTAGCGGAGTATCTAACGGACGACCGCCAAGGTATTCTACAGCGGGAAGGGGGGATCATGAGCTTGATCGATCTTTGGGCGGTATTCAACCGGTCCAGAAATGGTGTCGAGCTTGTTAGTCCATCTGAATTTCAGCGAGCGGCGCAACTCTGGGAGAAGCTGAAGCTCCCCGTTCGCCTGCGCCGGTTTAAGAGTGGTCTGCTGGTGGTCCAGAGATATGACTGGAGCGATGATAAGACGGTACGACAATTACAGGAATGGATGGAAGAATTGCGTCGAATTCCACCCGAAGAGCCGGTCCCATGGGACTGGTTGATCTTCGGTCGGGCCGTGACGGCGCAGGAGACGGCGCAGCGCTTTAAATGGAGTGTCGGCGTGGCTACCGAGGAATTAGAGATGGCAGAGGATCGAGGCGTCCTCTGTCGAGAGGAAGGCATCGAGGGGCTCCGGTTCTGGGGCAATTACATCGTCATTCCTAGTGACTAGGATCTGGGCTTAGTTGCCTAGTGCCGGCAGTATCCGACATCATCGATCAACGAAGCCAACCCTAAAAGAGAGGGGATCCGCCGGGTGCAGCGTGAATGCATTGGGCGATGACGATGGATTCCAATCTAGCGTGCCAGACTGGCCCAAAGGGAGCAGAAATCTGCAGGCGACGAATCACAGTCCGCACCCTTACCCTAGGGAAGGTGATACTGTGACGTCAGACCCCCCGATTGGCCTGTGCTCTGCTTATATACGCGAGACAGGGTTGCGGTGTTGCGTTTTGATTGGTCAACCCCGCGTATGCCCTCGTCGAGTCTCCACTGCAGTCGGAAGACTCTCCTCCTTATGGCATTCGGCCAGGGAGTTACTTGAACTGTTGTCCCCCATTAATTTTGTGTTTCATTCTGTTTTGCATTTTCACTTTCAGAGAATCAAACGCTTCATATATCTCAGCGACTGTGCCCAAGTGGACCTGGTGCCCACTTCCCCGCAATTCGCTTTCTCATCGTGATTTCGGGTGGATATGATCGACTGCCTTAGTATCCTCTCGATCCCCACACGAATTATCTTAAGTGATTCCAACTACTCACTATTTCGATTGCCGAATATATCAAGAATACAATCATATTATCCCCTATCCTCTCCCATCACCATCCCTCTCTCATGAGATCTTCCATTACGATACCCCGCGCTGCTGGGGTTGGCGTTACACGCCCTGCCCTCTCTCAACTCCTGGTCTCACGCACCTCTCACAGTCGAAGCATCTTGGGCTGTGCCCGTAGCTACCATGGAAACAAAGACAAAAGTCAGCGAATTTCCCGCCGTATCGACAAGTACCATCGTCATCCCGAAACCAACTGTTGCCGTAAAGCAGAAGCTCGCGAAGACTGGCCTGCTACGAGCCACCGCGTCGCCAGTTGGACGCTTGGCAGCTGGCGTCGCTCGCGTTCCAGCTTTTCTGAACTCTCATCTGGCCGAGAGAAAAGCTTTTGGGACGCTGAGAATGAGCAGATGGCTCAGCGAATGATGTCGATGAAAAAGCTCGTCTCCGATGATCCTTACGACGCACTTTTCGGACGTAGACTGGGTGCCTCCTACATGGAGCAGAACAATGCTCGCTGGCCGAGCTTTCTGTGGTCATTCGTCAACGAGAAGCCCGCACATACTGAGTCCTCCAAAGCACATCTCCAAGATTTTAACTTTACTCGTTCCCCCTCATCCAGCTCTCTTGGAAACCCGGATGGCCTTGAATATGACCCTATTAGTGGCCGTATGGTGCCGGCACCTCCCGTGGAATCCAAAATTAAAGGTACCAAGGCCTCTGTGGATTGCCCTCCCGGCAGTGAAGTTGAGGCAAAATTCGCTTCAATCCCTGCTGTTCCCGAGGACAGCAAGTTCCGGAAGACCTCGGCCATTGCCCACTCCCCGTCTGTCGACTGCCCACCTGGCACTGAGCTGAATGCTCTCTACAAGACCGACCCAGCCGCTCTTAAGGACACCAAACTTATTGGCGTGAAGCATGGGGAAGAGTCCAGTCAAAAGCCCCACATCAATATCTCATGTGCTCCGGGCAATGAGTTGGAAGCGCTTTTCATCTCTGAGTCGATGCATACAGAGCAACCACATGCGGAGACCTTCAAGGTCAAGAATAGTGCCAAGCATTATAGGCACGATTCAGCTTTAAAAACTACTGGGAATGTCGAATGTGCTCCCGGCAGCGAGCTCGAAGCCATGTTTTCCTCCAATACTGCCGCTCGCGAAGACAGAAGCCTTCCCTTAAATGCATTCAACCCACAGTCAAGCGAAACGAACACCGCTGTATCTGTCGACTGCCCGCCTGGAGGTGAACTGGAAGCGAAATTCGTTACTCATCTCAGCCTGGGCGAGCACTACACGGCTCCCACCGATGTCCCAAACATCGATTGTGCCCCTGGACATGAGGTTGAGGCGAAGATGGTTGCTGATTCTAGCATCCGACCTCCCGAAGTCCCCAAGCACCCTGCTGCAAGTGTTGATCGCGCCGAAAGTATCGACTGTACACCCGGTAACGAGCTGGAAGCACTATTTACCATAAATTCCGCAACTGCCGAGACGACGACGCGACCAAGTACACTTACCGATTCAAGCAGCATCCAGAAGGCACATCTCACCATGGACTGTGCTCCAGGAAACGAGTTAGAGGCAATGTTTGCTTCCGAAGCCGCCGCCACCGGAGTATACAGCGAAACCGAGGGTGTGAGCCCACTGCAAGCGATCGACATTCCAACCAGTCGCATCTCAGACCTCGAATACGACGGTGTCGAAGATCGGGTCGGCGATTTCCTCGCATCAAACTCCAAGGCTGCGAGCAATGGATCAGCCCCCTTCCGCATCCTAGCCTACGATGCCGCCGCCTCGAAGGTTGCCAGCTCCGAGGCAGACTCATTCTTTGGTGCCAATGAACCCGTAGCACCGCACGAAGTTCTCACCCGCCTCCACAACCCCGCCAAATTTGTCCCTTATTTTGAACAAATGCAGCAAGATGGATATGAGATAGCCACAGGTGGTGGCGACATCATCGTCTTCAGGAAATACTCCAACGGCCCGGTCAACCCAATCATGTCCCCCGAAGTCGCTGCGCGACAGGAGGCTATCCATGCCGACATTGCGAGCTCCATCCGCCATGATTCCTACGATTCATCAAATCCTTCCTCTCGCCCTTCCACCTCTAAGGTGAGCTGGCAGTAAACCTTCTCACCCGGGTCATCCTAACTCATCGTGCCGACATAGCTTTCTGCGAGCTCAAAGCCGAACGCCAGTCAGCACACGCGTGCGGAAGAATCGCAGGGATCCGGATCCTCCTCACACACGAAACCAAAGACCCAGTCCGCATTTTCTAAAGCGATCCGGCGAATTCTTATCACCGGTACCGCCGTCGGCGCAACGTGCTATGCCGTTGGTGTAGTGACTGAGTACTTCCGCACAGGTGGGAAAGATGGATATGGCATCGACGCATTCACAGCATTCGAGTCCGATAGGCGTCATCGGTGAGGTAAGAAGATGTCTAGCAAATGGACCATTAGACATGGTCTGCTTTTCTTGATGGTCTGACTTTCTCTTGCCTAATTTATTTTTCTGATCACGAGCTGGCCTTGAACCTCTTTTATACTTCTTCCCCAGTCTATTTTTGATTTCCTTTTGTTAGAGGGGGGTGATGGCGGCTTCTGGTCCCTTCTCATGCCTGTGATATACCAATATCCCCAGCATATCTGTGCTGTGCATAGATTTAGACGAAGAACGATATGATATTTTATTCTCATTTTCGCTGTTTGTGAGACATTAAAATAAGAGGAAGTCAATCTTCTAGGAAGCCGCTACATAGTTAGGTCCGAACGATGACTAAAAGAGCCTGCCATTTTTCCGTTAGTTCTCGAAGTCGCTCATCATTCAAGCTTGACTATCAACCACCCCGTAGCATCAAGAAACCTAGGTAGCTAGGTAGCTACTAGTAGGTACACATGGCGCTAAACCGTTGGGCCATAGGAGACTTGCCAGTGGGCGATGAGAATCTTGGAAGCTACCTCAACAACTTCCAATGTTTCTAATCTCTCCGATTCCTTTTTCTTCTTTCTTTTCTTCCACCGCAACACATGCTCATTTAACTTCACCCCGCATTCATCAGCAACATTGACCAGGATCCTATTCTACCCCATGGGCCATAACGTCTCGTCAGTGCACAGTATCAAATATTAAGGCTTCTACACCCCTGGGAACGCGGTCAACGAAATCTGGAACTTTGACTACGAATGTATCTCCCGCTTGCCCTCCCGAGGAAGAAAATGCAATGTCAAGAGACAGGTTGCATCATATTGGGACTCGTCCGTTGTGAGCATGGTACAGCAGAAGCTCCCTGGGGCTGCCAATTACCATCTTCGAAGAAAAAAAAGTAGACAAAAAAGAGCTATTGAGCAAAATACGAGCTTATGATTGCGACATATGGGACGAAGAAGCTGGACCAGAATTACCTAACCTTGTTCGGTTCGATCATCCGTTATTTATCAGATATCATCCATTGATAACGGGAAAGCATGCCGAAAAGGTCGAGGGACGGGAAGAAACGGACATGTATTCGCGCCGCTACTCCTCATTCCCCGCATCTCCTCCAAATATCCCCTCACCCGCGGGGAACTTTCCCCATTCAACCTGTCAACAGATCCTAAAAATTACTGCACCGTGAAAATTTTGTCCTTTTCACGTACTCAATCTATCTGTGGATTTTGGTCAACATCATAGACAGCGGCAAAGTTATAATCATGGAGAGCACAGTCGGAAAGGTATGTGATGACTTATCACTCATCTTGGTTCCGTCCATCGGTGGCTAATTTTTAGGAAATAGACAATTACTTGCAAGGTACGAAAGAATGCGGCACAATCAGCAGCTATTCTGCGGTGAAAGATGAGCGAAAATGAGTATACTGATCGAAATGAAAAAAAGGCAGCAATTGCTTGGAATGCAAAGGAGCCTCTATCTTTAGAAGATGTCGAAGTAGCACCACCAAAGGCACACGAAGTGCGCATGAAGGTTCTGCACACTGGAGTGTGCCACACAGGTATTACGACCCACCATTGAAACCGAATGAAGCTTACCAACTGTGATAGATCAATATACACTTTCTGGAGCTGACCCGGAAGGCGCTTTCCCCGCCATTCTCGGCCACGAGGGGGCTGGTATTGTGGAATCTGTCGGCGCCGAAGTGACTAACGTGAAGCCTGGAGATTATGTTGTTGCACTATAGTAAGTCAACACAAACGTTGGACATTGTTTATCGTCCTATAAACTTACTATAATAGCACCCCTGAATGCGGCGAATGCAAATTTTGCCGATCTGGAAAGACGAACCTCTGCGGAAAGATCCGTGCTACCCAAGGCAAAGGTGTGATGCCCGATGGAACGTCCCGTTTCCGAGCACGCGGCAAGAATATTCTACACTATATGGGCTGCTCGACATTCTCTCAATACACCGTTCTAGCAGATATTTCCGTTGTTGCCGTCACCGATCGAATTGGAACCGACCGGTCTTGCCTTCTCGGCTGCGGGATCACTACCGGATACGGTGCAGCTGTTTTCACAGCCAAGGTCGAGGAAGGCTCTACGGTCGCTGTATTTGGAGTGGGCTGTGTTGGATTGTCAATAATTCAAGGAGCTGTTAAGCAAAAGGCTAGCCGGATCATTGCGATTGATCTGAACAATGGAAAGGAGTCTTGGGCGCGAAAATTCGGAGCTACGGAGTTCATAAATCCCACAAAGGTGCCGCGCAGCAAGCTTCTCCAGGAGCATTTGGTGGATATCACGGATGGAGGATGTGACTATACCTTTGATTGTACTGGTAATGTCACTGTGATGCGAACTGCCCTCGAAGCGTGCCATAAGGGATGGGGCGAGAGCATCGTGGTTGGCGTTGCGGCTGCTGGCCAAGAGATCAGTACACGACGTAAGTTTCCATTTAGCGTCTTTTCAGCTCATCGCTAAAGATTTAATAGCTTTCCAACTCGTGACTGGCCGGACTTGGAGAGGCTCTGCCTTTGGTGGTGTGAAGGGTCGTACACAACTACCGAGCCTTGTTGATGACTATCTTAATGGTCAGCTAATGGTGGATGAATTCATCACTCACCGTCTGCCATTTGAGCGCCTTAACGAGGCTTTTGCTGTTATGAAGGAGGGCGGCTGTATTCGTTGCGTTGTCGATATGAAATAGATGGGTTAATGGGGAGTGAATGGAGGGAGATGGGGCAAAATTTGTGCAAATAGTCTGGTCAAGTCTAATATTCAGAATTGACAACTCAAGAGTCCAAAGGACTGTGGTTATGAATTTTACTTTCATTTCCTTTCGTATGTTGAAACACCATGACTCGTGACCTTTCGAGTCCTTGTTTGACCGCGTTCGCGACAAGGGCTTCATATAGTATGTTAGAAGTAGTACCGGCACGGAGGCCCGTCCGCGTACTACTAGTGTGCAGCGCGGGCGGTACTCCAGGGCTCTATATTATCGGCAGCGAAAATTTTGACAGATGAACCCTAGATCAAAATGGTACTTGCGAGATAATGAGTTACATAAACTAGGTTCAGCGTTTAATTAACAAATTGTTTTACTCTCCCACTGGATGATGATAGCCAATTAATGATCTTCTGCATCGATGGCATCCACTCCCCGATATTCAAAAAAGCCTTTCCACTCAGGATCATTGATTAGTACTTGTTTCAGAGATTTTTCGTACGAGATCGAAATCTCCGGACCCTCATCGGTACCAGAAGATGAGGCACGCGGTGGGTATATGATGTTCACCCCTTGTGTGATGCTGTCAAGAAGAACTCGATATATCACAGGCCTTGCAAATCCGAAGTTGGTACCCGTGATATTGACGCTACGGTGGTCCGTCTGCAGGATAGACATGGGTGGGTAAGAGGTGATACGAATATTAAGTGCTGTCTTGTCGCGTATCTTTGATATGGCACTAAGGGACTCATCTAGGGCTTCTTGGGTGATACTATTCGTCATCTGTCGGATATAAAATGCGAGTTTCCACAGTGGCCATTCGGAAATCACTTCTGCTGCTGTAGGTGCAGTGACAGGAACTCTGTCCGAAAGCGCAGCAGACATCACATTTTGTTGAACACGGGGGTGAACCTTGGGGCTGTGCATACGTCGTCGCATATCAACCGCTTCAGACCAGAAAAGCGGGGCAGAAAGATCTGCCTTAAAAACAGGTGCGCGGAGACGAGTAAGTGTACGCCATACATGGGCAGAAAATGCGTCGTATGTGGAGATTCGAGAGCCGTCTGGGGGCGATGCGAGCTTTTTCAGTTCTGCCGCTTTGCTTTTGGGTAAATGGAAGAGAAGCATTTCAGCGGTGATATGGTCTGGGTGTCGCTCTGGCATGGGAGGACCATCAATTTTGAATTCTTCGGGCACTTCTGGCTTAGTGAGGCGTGACACATCTAGCCAAGAAGCTTGCCACGGAGGAAAAGAGGTTGAGTTGACGATCGCATAGCAATTCTCAGACAGTTGATGCGTGAGACCGGCCCATCCCATCACATCGTTCGCATAATGATGATGAGCCATGATGAAGACCAATCCCCCACGAACGAAGTTTGCCTTGTAGGCCGCAACGACAGGGCTAAGGTCAGGATGAGACTCTGGTTTATCTCCATATGTCATAGGAGGAATAATCCAGTCGTTAAGATTGCCTAGAGCAGTACTGCAGAAATTCTGCTCTGCGATATTATCGAAGGAAGGATAGGATTCTTCAGCTCTGGGTTCGTCAAGCCATTGCACAATAAAGCGCACTGTGCTATCCTTTTTCTTCACAAAGGAGTGACCCCCATGACAGTCCTTTTCAATAGTTCCACAGAGGATTCGAGCCTGGGCAAGTGTTTTTTCAAGGCCTTCCTTAAGAACCTCGACTGCTTGCATCTTGTCGGCTTCGTCCATCGGGAAGAAGATGGCAAAATTGCAGTACGTCAGACCGGTAAGGTAGTCAAGTGTGGAAACCTTGAAGCGCTCTTCTTCTGGATCGTTTTCCCATCCAATAGGGTGGAGATCAAATACCTCTTGTCTCGGCATTTTTGAGCGAGTTATGGTGATACTAGTATATAGACGAGATTCCAGAGAGTTGAGAGAGGGAGGAATCAGTATGAGACCTGCATTCAAATATTCAAAGCCTTGTCATGTCGAGGGGCCTTAGCCCTGGAGTGCCTGCCAGTCGCACTGGCAGTCCGCCAATCGAAAATCCCATCGGACTATTCGAGCAGAATCCTTGACAATACTTCGTAATGGTAGACAAATAAGAAATGATATTCAGCTAGTAGCTCCATCCTGCCCATTGACTACGCCGTGCGGTGTCATTATAGTCTACCACTAGTGCTGGAGCCGTGGCGCTAAGTGCCAACTTTTAATTAACTTCTGACATTGAGAAAGTGGCTGCGCCCACTGGCATGCGGAGGGGCTCGCTCCCACTAGCCCAACTCCAAACCGTCGAGTTCTCAGATGTCCCATATCTTTAGCTGCTATCGTGATTTGCTACCGTCCTGCTAAATACATGTAGTAGGAACTATCTTCAGATTGCTTTCAATATTGAGATAAAAAGATAACACTCGCCTTGTTTCTGACCGTTAATATATTTGCAAAAAACAGGGTTATCCTAATATCCATTCCCAGACAGTTCTCGCAGCTTTGTTGGCCTTTGGGGTACTCTAAATTAGCCTCAGGCGCCCCATCGCGAGGCGGGACTGGACGCCTTATTCCATAAAAGAGCAAACTCGAAATGTGCCCCTCACTTGCAAAAGTACGATATGAGAGAACCATGATGACGAAAAATTAATAAATTCCTACCATAAAGAAAAATTTGCTTTTGCCTAACTGATAGTTGTATCGGTCTCTCAACCTGAAGACCTCGGGGATAATGAATATATGCGGCTGACAACCCTGGAACTCGGGACATCTCAGGGACTTTTAGCAGCAATTGGATCCCCAGAGATCAAAATTTTATGTACTATTCAAAAATCTTCGTGTATACTAGTACTGTCGAATCTTTCGGATTATTTTCATGTACGTTTTGAGCAAGAATTTTAGAGGGATCGGATGACTCAGATCATTGCACACTGGCATCACTGATTGACAAACAAGCATGCAGCTACCTGCTTTTCACTTGTAGATAACTCTGCCAAATGGTGGACGTCTATTAATATTACATATAAACTGAATTGACAATGGACTAGTGTGTTTCAGAACAGATCTTGAGAAAGACTCGAAGGGAACCTTGGAATAAGATGGTGAAACTACTTGAGAGCAGATCTACTCCTGTAGAAGTAAATATGTTAACATTAGGCGTAAGCATCACTTTATGCCGCTAGGTGTGATGACTCTTAGTTTTTCTTTGAGTAAGAAGCTCCAAAGGGCCAGATATTGATAACTTGTTCTTCATAAAGATCATATTGACACATTAAAACGATAATAAAATGACAACTTGAATGAGAACCACATATTACTTCATCCACATAACTGCTAATACCATGATACAGCAAACGAATATCGAAGTTGGAACCCATGCTAGATCGATCACAAAATGGATCATTTCCATTCCTTGAGAGTCATCCTCGTCAACCTCGGTATTGTTCGGAGTCGAGGGTGGGATATCATCATCTGGCAACAAATGATTGACCGAAGACCAAGAAATGACTAGAAATTGAATTCAAGGATGTGAAGACTCCCTTTTCCGACTAGTAGCAGCAAGACGATAAAATCTCAAATAGCAACGGACAGGGAGGCGCCTGCCATAGCATACGCACACTGGCCGGCACCGACAGTAGGTTATGCTCTGGGCGATGCGCTGGCACTCGAGTCGACATTGGAATTTGGCTGCCTGGCACTGGCAAATGAATGTGCAGCGGCATAAGGGAGGGCAGTGGCAGATTTGCCGGCACCGACATTGGAGTAAGGGCTCAGGGTCACTCCCGGGCTGTTCCAGAGACTCGGCGACAGTTGGATCCGGGCGTTTCTTTGAAATTCTCGCTGAGAACCCATTTTCATTGTCTTCCTGTTAGCTAGGCTCGCTTCTCTCGAGATGGGATTGAAGCGGCGAGCTTCTTGGGATTAAATACACCACCCACATCTCATCATATTGGCGTTTCACATATGAGGGAAGATTCACTCACTCGGCGGGGCTGCATCTCCAAATGTTGAAGATCACAATCAGATACCAGGGGTAGTTCTTGATAGTCGCTATCGAGTTGGGGTCTTTCACCGACGACAATGTGTCGGGGGAGCCCGGCTCGGCAAAGGAAGCACTCTTTTGAAACATGTTCAATTTTTTGGCTCGCTACCTAGGTATCCTCTCCTATCAGCGTTGTATCTTCTTACTCTTTACGGGGTCGAACATCATGGCGATATCACGATTATCCCAGCTCAGTATGCAGCTTCGCAATGCTGAAGACCAAGAAAGGGAGCAAAATGGCCCAGCTGAGTCTTCATATAAAGTTAATGAGCAGCCCCTTAGAACAGCAAGCAAAATTTGCATCATCACCATTGGGGCTGGTGCCAGCGGGCTGAATGTGATCCGGACTTTGCGCAAGCACCTCACAAACTATGAGCACGTCATCTACGAGAAAACCCCCAAAGTTGGCGGGACGTGGTACGAGAATCGATACCCAGGCTGCAAATGTGACATTCAATCGCATAACTACCAATTTTCGTGGAAGCCAAACCGAGAATGGAGCAGTTCCTTCTCCCCCGCGGAAGAAATTGAAACATACCTCTGTCACCTATATGCGGAAGAGGATATGCAAAATCATGTTACGCTTGAGCATGAAGTTGTGGGCGCATACTGGAAAGAAAATTCTGGACATTGGAAGGTCAAAATCAAAATTCTGAAAACTGGTAACAGTTTCGAGTATCATTGCGAATTCGTTCTTAATGCGAGCGGAGTTCCAAAGGGAGTGAATCTTCAATTTACCCTTGTCTGGCCAGATTATGGTGCACTAGTCGAAGATAGCAAGGCTGATATGGGTGATCACGCAAGTCATTGGCAATGGCCAGAGATCTCAGGCCTCCATGAGTTCTCTGGGACTCTAGTTCATAGTGCCAACTGGACTGAAGGATTTGATTGAACAGATAAGAAGGTGGCAGTTATTAGTAAAGGCTCCTCTGGCGTACAGATTGTACCAGAGATTCAAATTGGTAGAAGTGAACGCGCCCTCACTAGCTTGAAAAGTTCATCGTATTACTGGTAATGCTTTTTGTTAAACTGTACCCTCGAATTGAGGGTTCAAGTTCTAACTTAGGATTGTTGTGGTCAGGCCTCCTAAGACCTACCTAGCCCTCACCCGCAATTTGCGGGTAGGGTTTAGGGTACCCTCCTGGCCCGCGGATTTGCCGCGGTCTGCTCTAGGGTCATTGAAATCAATGGATTATAGTAGTATGATTTTAGTATATTTAAATCAGAGTTTTATGTCAAAAATTGTTCATGCCAAGCTATACCAAAGTCACGTTAGTTTTTCCCCCCCCCCAGTCACCAGATATACGTACTAACTATGCCGCACATTACGAATCGACCAATCTTCAATTTAGGACTCGGAGACAACTCATCAGTCTGAGAGATGACGTTCCAACCCAACATTCCACACTGGCCAGACCTACCCCGTGGAGACCATTGCGAAGCAGACATCCACCTTTCCAGCAGGTGAATGCAAGGTGCGCCCCAGTCGATGTCCACCGGGGCAGTCTGGACTCTTCGATGGTGGCCAGACCCAGTCACGTGCGAGCACATGACACGTAGCTTAGGCTGACCTAAGCCATATCACCTGACTAGGTACCTGAATGTGCCTTGACCTGTCGCGCATGGGCCTAGAAGTGGGGCCGAAGCTGGTCCAGGAACAGGCCTAGTGCACGCCTAGTGTACGCCTAGTGCGGGCGCGGCCCTTGGTACGCCCGATGATCCTATTTACGGCAAACTGTGGTACGGGACGTGTTTACATACACGTATTCGTACATCCTTAGTAGAGTATACTGGAGTAGGCAGGTTAGACACTATTGAGATACTACATATATTTTAGGATTGAAATGGTGTACAGACTACTACATAGTCGTTCTCTAACATGCAAGTTAGTATAAAACAAAGGGGTATATTCTTAGTACAAACTTAACTCAAGCGTTTCTATAATTGACAACACGCCTTCCCGGCCACCAGCGACTTCTTTGTCCTTTGTCCGTCTTTGTGCAGCACTATTCGGCACCGTTTCCAGAATCTACCACTGCTGTCCATGCGTGGATACTATTCCCGCGGCAATCTCTACCTCGACGGCAAAAATATGATCAGACCAAACCAGAAACATGCCTCAGCCACCGCCTAGTGGGGAGAGTGGCAGTCTGAAACAGAGAAGCGAACATCCGCGAGACTCTTACATAGCCGAACCCCTCACAGGGCTGGCTCTCCACAACACTCCGAAACACGTCAGGAATGTCGGGATGACGGGGGTTGGGTGCTATGATGTCGATGAGGGGATCGTGATGACCCTTCATTCCGACCTGTCGTGCACGTGGGATGCTACAGAGTACTAGTCTACTGTACGGAGTACAGTATACTCAAATACCTCCGAGGCCTAAAGCGAGTCAGACAGAGTCACGACGGGGATAGATCGACGGGGACATCGCGCAAAGCAAAAATACAACAAGACTTCCAAGACCGTTAAATGGAGTAGGGTATGATAGAAGTTGTAGCACCCCAAGACCACCCGGGCAATCAACAGTAATTACTCCGTATAGTAGTACTTCATAGAGTCCGACGTTTCTCTAGTTAAATGACGGGAAATTAATCGTGGGTTCTTCTAGTAGATAGTTTATTCACAGGATCAATGATAGTTCTGTGCTTCCAACCATCAACCAACTATTGACCTGGCGCCGCGGACCAATGGACAAGAACGGGAAGTAGTCCATGACGTCCCCAGAAGATTTCGAGACTATTGACTCGCGGGCAAGATAGTGCCGCAGTCTGGCAGCTACCGTAGGGTGTACCTGGCTGTGCCACGACCATGATGGTGTCCACACTTCAAGACAGCCTAGGGGCGGCCCCCGAACGATTCAAAGTCTAACCAACTTGGCCATGGCCGGCGTCACGCTGATTCGACCTCTTTGTTGATCGCTTACCCGAAGAGGCCAGGCGAGCGCGACTAAAACGAGGCCACGCCACAACGGGCCAAGTGGGCTTGACGAAATCCCCGTGTACCGTTGCGTATTGCTGGTGGAGGGTGAGTGTCGTTATTGCCACAGGACACGCACAGTAGAGGAGGGAGTAGGGAGTAGGGAGTAGGAGTATGGACTCAAGTGCCTGACGCGGGCTGATTGCGATGTGCAGTTGACCTACCGTGTATAGCAGTGGGTAGCCAGGTGGACTCGATACCTACTGTACATAGGTGGACTGGACTCATTCTGATCTGATCGTGATCGTGATCGGGTACGCTGTGCTTTTCAGGAGAACGGAGCACGGAGTGCTCCATTCCCATGCTGCTCCATATATACTGAAAAATGAGTCGTGAAGGATGTCTGTTTACTCGGTAGTTACTCTGTACTCAGTACTCTGTAGGATGTATCATGTGATATGTTTTGTTTTTCTCCCCTGGTGGCTGAATGTGCTGCAGGAGCGGGAGAGGTCGCACCTGCCGCGAATATTCCGACTACCACACAGAGTGCCTCGTGCTATACAATACATATACATACCTAAGTATATATACTCTAGCATATAATCAAGACGGTGATTCAGTGAGTATAATATAGAGTAAATAAAATATAGCTATAGTCTACTTACAGTAGACTATCATCTCTGCAATTTTAGATTGTATGTGTCCTCCGTCCACACTTAGTGCGTGGCTGTAACCCCCTAATTTACCGTCACTTACAATACACCGTCCCACCACTCCACTTGGCAAACTCCCCCCCATTTCCCCTTCGCCCCCTACAAGCCTCCTCCCTCTTCATTATTCACCTTAATTCATTCCTTTCACTCTCTTTACTGCGTCAACGACTTTGGCGCCTTTGACCTGGGACTCAGCCAATTTGAGATTTCCCCTTGCATATCCCACGGTCGCGCTTGTTTTCGTTTTCGATTCTCTTTCATCGCTATCGCTCTGCCTCAGGGCCTTCCACTCGCTCCTTACTGCTGTTCAAGCCCACACTCGCTTCTTCGCCTCGTCTTTTTACTTGCCCGGCTCGTCTCAGTTACGATCCCCCCTTCCATTCGTTTGTCCGTCTAGATCCATCGCCATTGATTCGCTCGTGTTTCACTCGCATCCCGTTGCCCTCGAGACGTCCAGGTTTCCAAAGGAACAAGGTCGAAGATTGAAGGTGTCGAGACTGTGACCCAGCATCATCTTAACTTCCCATCGATCCATTCGATTCACTCTTTCACGCGCATAACCGAGGTGTTGACAGACGAGACCATCCGATCTCGTACTGTACCCTCTCTCGACCGGACGCTCTATCATCTGAACTACCTACACAGGTCCGACGATTAATATGCGCCCCGGAACTCTTTCTCTCCTCGCGGCCTGTGCCCTTGGTGTCGTCGCTTCCCAGGAATCCGACAACAGTGTTGTGGAACAACCAGAAGTCACCAATGTCGAACGCCCGCGCTTCTACTTCCCTCGCGAGGTGAAGCGTAACATCAAGAATATCACACACAAGTCCGAGGACTCGACCGATGGAGGAATCTTGAACAGTGTCAACGAGCTCCTCTCCAAGGTGGCTGGTGGTACTTCCGACACCACCACTTCCGAGACTGCGACTGCGACCCCCACCCAGTCTGGCAAGGAGGTCGTTGTCGTGATCACTGAGAACCCCGATGGAACCCGTGTTACCAGCACCATCACCCGTGATGTCGCCGCTCCGACCACCACCACCGCGTCCACCGTGACCACCAAGAGCGAGACTCCTGTCGTTAACTCCAATGCCAGCAACACGGCCTCCGACACCAAGAGCACCGACTCTAAGGATTCTACCGCAGCCTCCAGTGCCAACACCGAGTCTGCCACTGCTACTAAGTCCGCCTCGGCGACTGCTACCACTTCCAGCTCCGGTATCCTTGGAGATGTCGTTTCTGACGCTGTTGGTGGCGTCAACTCTGTTGTTAGCAATGTCGGCTCTGGAGTGAAAACCGTTGTTGATGGTGTCGTTGGTTCCACCACGACCTCTTCTTCCGCAGCTTCTGCTACTGGTGCTGCTACTAATGGCACTTCCTCGGCCCTCAAGAGCGCGGATGGGACGTCCTCTGCTGCCACTACCACTGCCTCGGATAACTGGATGCAGAGCTGGATTGATAGCATCGGCGGTACTACTACCTCCCCCACGACTCTCCCCGTCAGTGTCCCTGCCTCCACCACTGCCTCCCCAACTACCTCCGCTACGGGCTCTGCCACTTCCGGTGGTGATTTTCTCGCATCTCTTGTCAGCCCTGTCGCCTCTGGCATCACCGGTATCCTCAATGGTGGTGGCAATGGAACAAACTCTACCGACAGCCTTACCACTGGCCTTCCCGCCGTCCCCAGTCCCTCCGGTGCTCTCATCCCTCACCCTCCCTCCGCTGTTCCCAGCGGTAGTGTGGTTCCCACTGGCACCGGTGGCACTGGCAGCGGCAGCAACACTCCTGGTGTATCTAACTCGATGGGCCCTGTTCCCACTCCTCACCAGCCTGTCACCGGTACCGACACTAGCTCTGGTACCGACTCTGGAAAGGCTACTGGCTCTGTCTCGGGTGTTCCTACTCCCACTGGCGCCACTCACGAGACTAACTCTGTCGTGCCTACTTCCACCGCTATTCCCACGCCTGCCACTGAGACCACCTCCACCGAGACTGTTCAGCCCAAGCCCAAGCCCACTGAGGTCTCAAGTGAGTCCGAGACTAGCAACTGGATGCCGTCCACCATTCTTGTTCAGCCTACCGCCGTTCCTTCTGAGACCAGCACCCACACTGGTACCAACACTCAGCAGACCAGCGGCCCGACTTCGCTCCCTGGCTCCATTACCCCATCCAACGCTGGCTCTGAGGCTCCTGCGGATGCAATTTTGCTCCAGCTTGGATTTGATAGCCACCTGCCCTGGTCTTTCGTTGCCACCACCCCGCTCTCTTCGTCTCAGATCTTCGAGTACATTCCCCAGGCTGTGAAGAGCGCTCTTTCCGGTGCCGATAGCATGTCCATGTTCGCCCTGGAGCCTTACTACTCCTGGAAGACCACTGGCTACAATGCCACGCTCGCTATCTTCTATTTCCCCCGCAGCAAGGTCGATGCCCTGAAGAGCCTGAAGCTCAACCCTAACTCTGCTCTGTACGAACAGCAGAGCGAGGCCGCCAAGACCATCATGGGTATGATCGACCCTTCCATCCCGCTCGAGTTCAACGGTAACTTCCCCACTGGCGACTCCGATTCGACCTCTGGCTTCAACGGCAACAACGACGATGACAACGGCAACAGCAACAGCGGAGACAACAACGGCGATGCTGGATCTTCCAGCAGTTCCAAGGCCAAGGCCAGCTCCGTCGGCATTGGTGTCGGTGTCTGCGCTGGTGCCGCCGCCTACGGTGCTGGTATGTTCTGGGTTGCCCGCCGCTACCGCAAGAGAAAGCAGCTGCACCAGCGTTCCAGCTCCACTGCCGAGCAGATGAGCCAGGGCTCCGGCGCTGGCTCCCTATTCGCTGCTGGTGCTCGCATGTCTGGTAGCCAGCGCACCGGCCGCTCCCAGATGATTAGTGCGCCCGTCATGGCCGAGAACTCTCTGGGCTGGAACTAGGCGTTCAATTCAAGATATCAAGACGGATAGACTGGCTGATCGGCCTCGTCATACTTCCTCTGCCCCTGCCTTGACAGGTGGGCGCCCCCGGGCGTCTCCCGTGCCAGTGTTCCAGTGAGCTTCTTGGATCCTCTTGCAAACTTATTGGAACATCTGGCTGAAGCAGGCAGAAAGAAGCCTGACTGCACAAAACTTCATTTCATTGTTCATCATCCCCTCCCAGGATATATGTCATATATCACGTATCTTTTTCACCTGTGAAAACTTTGACCGGCCATTTTTTTTCCACTTCTTTTTTTCACCTTTCATTTTTATGATACTCCGAGCTCCTCCTGGAAGCTGCGTTGTGTCTATTTTTCTTTTCTTTTTTTCTTTCTGGAATATTCCCCCTTGTGTTTAACAATGCTCCACAACACCACCTCTCTACCTTACCTACCCTTCTCCATTTTACATTTTCCACCCCTGGCCCCTTGTGAAGACTTGTGATAAACTGAATGAGAACGAAAACGTTGATTACTGCTTCAGCTTTGTGTGTGCCCTCTGGAAAATTTACTTTTTTAACTGGTCATATCTATGTCTCTTTTTCTTTTTCTCTTTCGCCCCCTTCCTTCCCTCCCTCTCTTATGCTATGCACATCCCATCTAATGGCTTGGGTGGCCAGGATTCTCATGAGCTAACGCTATTATTCCTGCCCCTTTCTTATACTGTCTGTTTGATTGTTCTGTTTTTTGCTGTTTTGTACAGATGTTTGTCCCATGGACAGAGTAGAGTGTGAAGAATGAAGTAGATTCTTTCCTTATTACCCTTTGATTCTTTGTATTAGTATGCCATGTAGGTGCGTACTACTTGCTAGACAACCGAGTAGTAACTACCTATGTATTCCCTGGGCAACGAAACGAGGGACTGGGTTGTGGTCTTTTCCTTGATCGACTATGATGGGATGGAAACTACCTCAAACGTCCGACTCGGAGTTGCCATCTGTATTTGTCAGATTGGAAGGGGTAGACTTGTCTGATCCGTTGTCAACAATCACAGCCCTAGCTGCCAATGAAACACCGAGTCCCAGCTAGGGCGTTGTCTTACCCAAAGGTCACTTCCAAACTCTGTTCAAACAACATCCATGGATAGTAAAAGTCAAGTTCCAAGAACTGGAAATGGGATATCAATTCAAAGTGGAGAAAACCCACATATACAAAAGAGAGGAGTCTTGTTAAGGAATATCCATCGAAGAGGAAAAAAAAAGACGGTATAGCTTCAAGTTCACCTGTACTTAGCATATCACTACATGCCAGGTAATCCTCATTCCTTCTTCTCCTTCCCACCACCGCCGAAATAAGAACTCAATCCCATCCAACCGCCACCACTCTCCTTCCTCTCTTCCCTAGCCGCCTGCCTATCACTCTTATACTCCTCCCAAGAAAGCTGCGCCGCGGCACCGGTCACACCTTGGCCCTCACCAGATGCAGCAGAGTGACCACCCTCCCGACCCTTCAACGCATGCGCAGGCAAAGGACGAACCGCATCCTCGCCGCCATAAACACGTAGCGCAGTACCGAATGCCCAGTCCACAGCTTCTTCAACAGGGTGATCGAATATGTACGGTAGGAAGGGAACAACAGAGAGACCGAGCTGTAAACAATATCAAATGCATTAGCCAAAACATTCCGAAGAAAAGCAAGGAACCCCAAACATACCCCAATAGGAACCCAAGTCCTCACAAACGCAACCTTAGACCCGCGCACCATTTTCCCAGAATACTTCACAACAGAATGGATCGTAAAAGCCGGCAACCCCATACTAGCCAGACTCTGAAACACAGCCCGCTTAGCCATAACCATGCGATAATCCTCCGCCAGGGAAATCGTATTCGTGTTCCAGGGCGTGAGTTCAGACTCCTGTCCCGCGGCGCCCTCGTCGAGCGGCTTGACTAGATTGCCCGTGGCCATGCCACGGATCTCCTGGCTGACGCTGACGCTCGCGTCGCGGTATTCTTGGCCTGGGGCCGTTAGTGCGCGCCGGTTGCGCAGGTAGGCTTTGTAGCCTTCATGGCTGACGTCGCCGAGGAGGTAGGCCCAGGAGACGGCGTAGGCGGAGCGGACGAGGATTGGGTGGGCGACTGGGCGGAAGGATTCGCCTATGTCGGATGTGTAGGCTACGTAGCGGTGGGCTGAGAGGAGGATTGTTCGGATTCGGTTTGCGTAGGCGGCGTAGCGGTATGGGGTGTCTGTTGAGTCGACGGAGCTGGGGGAAGAGGCGGGCATGTTAGTTGGTGTGTTGAGTTGAGGTGAGGTGAATGGAGGTTGCTGTGGTGGTAAAAATAGGAATTATAGAAGAGGAGGGCAGCGCTGGTGGTATTGGTGGTATTGGTGGTGCTGGGTAGCTGATATCATATGGTGGAGTATGGATGGATGTATGGAGAAAGCCAGACTGGGCCGAATGCGGTGTTTTGCGGAGCTGCCTTGTTTTTCTTCTTTCATGGTATTGCTCGGCGAGGATTGTGCAATGATTGTGATTTGTATTGGAATAGGATGGACTGGATTGGGGTGTATCGCACGTACTAGGGAGAATAGAGGTCATCGTAGAAATCGTCTTCACGGTCGACGATCTGTTGGAGTTTCTGGGGCAGGCTTTGCCGCGGCGGGAGCGGGGAGTTGTCTGCTTCTGTCTCTGCGGGCGTCGAGGCTTCTGGCTTGCGACCCCAAACCATTATGTATTGTGGGAGTCGTAGATAACGAAATTAAAAGAATGTAAAATGAGGGGGGAAAGAAGGAGGGAAAGAGTGAGGGGAAAAGAGGGGAGGTACAGGGCACGAGGGTAGACTCCGAATGGGGAAGTAGAGAAGTCGAGATGCAAGGGGGAAATGGGAGTGGGAAAAAATTAAAAAAAAAAAACAAAAGTTGAAATTAGTACGGAAAGGAAGAGAAGAGTAGGTCACTAATACTAGTTGAATAGGAGGAATTGAACTAAACTTGGTTCTGACAATATCCTCGGAGCTGCGGCATCAGCCACGGCAGCGGGCAGCGGGCAGTGCAATAATATAGCCGGGGAACTAGTTCAAGTTATACAATACCTGTGACTGGACCGTGGTTTAGTGCAATGCTGCCGGTGGTTTTCCTGGTTGCTGAGTGATTTCTAATTTATAAATGGTCTGTGTAATTGCACAAAGTTAGATCTGGTTGAGATTATGAACATCATTGTTCTATGCTCTCTTGACTCTCATAAAAGATGAAAGATTCAATATACTCTAGGGAGTACTCCGTATTCTTTCTTCATTCTCCTTCTGATCTTCTGCTTCCCGAAATCACATGACCTCGGGCCTTCCCGGAATACGCTAACACCACGTGATCTCCAGTCACCTGTTGCTGTCTGCTGACTCACCCGACACGCTAACCGTATCTGGTCCGGTCCGACTTCGTCTCTGGCCGAGCCTGAGGATTCCGCTTTCCACATCGTTGCCTTTAACCTCCAACTCATCCCCCACCTCACTCCCTCAAAATGGTCGTCTACTACCAGATCGCCGGCAAGAAGGTCGGCTCCCACGTCGTAAGTGACCGACCCGCTTTCCCAATCTGCCCGCACGCCCCCGCCTCATCCCTTTTTGCATCCTGGCATGACCCGGAAGCACGAGAACCGCAACACAACGGCTAACAGTGTTTCTTTTTGCGCGTCTATAGCTCTCCATGGCTGTTCTCGGCTCCATCTTCGCCGGTTCCTGGGCTGCCATGTCCGGTGGCGAGAAGCCCAAGACTGCCGCCGGTCCCCCCATCAACGCCTCTTCCAAGGAGGAGGGTGACTTTGTCCAGTACGTGATCCGCAATTTCTCTGCTGTTGCTTCTATCTCCAGAGAAGAGAGAACGAAGCTTGAAAATACCCTTGTGTACACCCATACTGCGCAATGACTAACATGAACCACCCCTCTAGACAATTCCTGAAGGAAGTTGATGGCGGCAAGTCCGAGAAGCACTAAATCGCTCTCTCCGCGGAATATGTCGACGGAATCGACCGGTCGTGAACCTACGTGACGCCACTCGAGCTCGTCCCGTTCGCCTGTCGCTTTCTGTCGCATCGGTGCAATCGATACATCTCGGCTAGCCATATGGTATGCCCCGGTCAGCGTGGAAGCTGGGTTATTATTGCTGGGATCCCTGCGACGGGTGGATTTTGTGGATCTGTACATAAGAGGCGTGTACGTTGCATAGAAGAAATTGTTCCTTCTACACTTCTTCTCACTGTGTTCTGGCGGAACTACTAGCCGAACTGCTGGTTCTGGTTCTGGTAGTACTTCTCAAACAAGGGTATGCGGAAACTGTGTCCAGCTCCTACATTTTTCTCCACATCGATGAACTGGAGCCATGGGTCTGTCATTGCTGCGTTGTATCTTCGTGCTGGTGTACCTGTCAGGCTCTAGTAGCTAGTAGCTAGGAGCTTGTAGCTTGTAGCTTGTAGCTGGTCGGATCTTGGAAATCGTAGCACAGGAAGTTCAGCAAACGAATACCCAAAGTAAATCATCAGCGTATAGACCAGCCAATAACCAGATTCTATCATATAGCCACCGTATTTCCCGCGTGTATGTTTGCGTAGCCGCAACCTTAAGCAAATCCAATCATCCAACCACCCTCCACTCTTCCTCCCTGCACCTCACCTCAACACTCCATACCAAACCTCACCACCCACCACAACCAAAATGAAACAAATACCCTTCCCCTACGCTCTGAACATCGGCACCGACATCGTCCACCTGCCCCGCATAACCCGCCTTCTAACCTCACGCCCGAACTACCTCTCGCGCTTCACGCAGCGCATACTCAGCGAAGCCGAACAACGCGACTTCCACAGACGCTTCAAGGGCATCACCCAAATCTCCCCATCCCAGAATACATCTGAAACTGCACCCAACTTTACCATTGCCTCCATATCTGCCTCTGCGCGCTCTCCGCCCATAACCCCCGAAATAACGCGCTGGCTCGCTGGCCGCTTCGCCGCCAAAGAAGCCGCGCGCAAAGCGTCGCCAGCGGGCGCGGCCTCGATTGGGTGGAAGGATGTTATTGTGAGGGTTGAGGAGGATGAGAGAAAGTCGACTGCTTCAACGGGTGGTGTTGTTGGTGGGCACACTGCGGCGGATGGAACGAGTCGGAGGCCGGAGATCGTTTATGTTGGTGGTGGCGAGGAGAGGGTTGCGAGGTTATCTATTTCGCATGATGGGGATTATGTGGTTGCTACTGTTCTTGCTGCGGGGTGAAGAGGGAGCAGAATCAGGATGGTTTTTGATTTGATGAAGCTTCTTGAGGTCTTTTGGCCCAAGGAAGCTATGGATTCCACGCATCTACACTTCACTCCTGTCTAATTGGCCACGGGGATCCATCGCATTTGGTTCTCCTTTCCGATTGACCTTGTCTGATCCCGTGGATGGAGCTTTCTCTTGATGGCTGAGCTGTCTTTGGATACTGCATGTGCCCGCAGACTTGAGCGCGGCCGCGTGACTACTCCTGATATGTGTCATACTCGGTGCCCTGTGTGGATGTTAGTCGAAAGATTTCCTCAATTGTGACTTGAATTGAGGTTAATGCCATAGCGATGTTGTATAGAAATTCCAATGCCGAGGCATTCTGTTGGCGTTGGGTTTGTAGAAGATCCAAAGATTTCTCCAGACAAACTGGCTCCAGGCTTATATGATCATCAGGTAGAACCAATGGGAGACCAGTAGAAATATGCCAACGGTTCAATTGTCTTGCTTTCAGTCCCATTCTGTTGAAATTGCTACCACGTTTTTAATGGTTGGCCATCGTTGGCTGCGGGATTTGCGGGACAATCTTATCGTGACTCGGAGTTCTCATATCTTCCGCGGAGCTGCTGCATCCCACTCCATCCCAGTTTCCCCAACGATTACATCTCTTTTTTGCCAATCGGTGTTGGATTCATTCGGTTCTGGCAAATCTTCTACCCAACGAGCAGCTTCTTGCAGTGTACAGAGAACAGACGAAATAGATAGAACAAGGTACACCCCACCGATATCTCTTACTCTCTCGACCACACGCTGATGATAAGCCAGGAACATACCAAGATGCCCTTCTCTCACCACAGCCATTCGGGCCAGTTCTGCCCCGGTCATGCAAAGGACTCCTTAGAGGAAGTCATCCAGACCGCCATTAGCAAAAAGATGAAGGTCTTCTGCCTGACAGAGCACATGCCGCGCCACAAAGAAGATTTCTACCCAGAAGAGGTACACCACTCAGGCCGCAAAAGCATAACACCAGGCCCAAAGAGCAAAAGCTAATCGTCCTCCCCAGATCGAATCCGGCCAAACAGAAGAATGGCACGCCAGCAATGAAGAAGCCTACTGGATCGAAGCAACCCGCCTACGCAAAAAGTACGCCTCACAAATCAACCTAATAATCGGTTTCGAGTGTGACTGGATCAGACCCGAGTCCAGAGCCCTGATCGAGCACTCTCTATCCCGCTTCCCATTCGAATTCTTCATCGGCTCACTCCACCACACCCTAACCATCCCAATCGACTACGACAGGCCCATGTACGAAGAAGCCCGTGACCGCGCGGGTGGTTCAGAGGAGAAGCTCTACGAGGCGTATTTCGACGAGCAGCTGGATATGCTGCAACAGTTGCGTCCGCTCGTTGTGGGCCATTTCGATCTCATTCGGCTGAAGAGTGATGATCCAGAGCGAAGCTTCACCACCTGGCCGGGTGTTTGGAGTAAAGTATTACGGAACTTGGACTTTGTGGCGTCGTACGGCGGTATCCTTGAGCTTAATGGCGCGGCCTTGAGGAAGGGAATGAATGAGCCTTATCCCAAGGCGGAGATTTGCAAGGTAAAATTTCCTTTTTTTGGTCCGATGGTGGCTGCCGGTAAACTTTGAACGGAAAAGCTGATTCTTTCGCTGTTGTAGGAGTTCCTTGCTCGCGGTGGTCGCTTCTGTCTTTCAGATGACAGCCACGGCGTGGATCAGATCAGTCTGAATTTCCAACGTGTAGTGGATTTCCTTGATAGTACTGGCATCTCAACGGTGCATTATTTGCGGGTAGCCGAGACAGAGGCGCAGGCTTCTGCGCCTGATGCTAGATTTCCTCGCACGGAGATCGGTTCGATTTCTGTGGAGGAATTGAAAAAGCTGGATTTCTGGCAGGTGGCTTGAGGGGCTATTGATGTACATAGAATTTAAAGTGTTCCCGACGTATTACCATCATCCAAGTCTCCTTCTTGCTTGAAAGATACTCTGGTGTCTAACTACCTACAGAGACCATCAATGCACGCTTCTCATTGCGTGCCTTGTTTTCACTCTCACTAAGCTAGACCTTCACTTATTAGAACAATCGTACTCCCGACTTTTGAATGAGCTTTAACTGATCCATTCTCTTACAGTGGCAATTATCTCGTTGTGGACATCGCGCATGCTGTTTTATGTTCTCGAGCTTCCCTCGTCAATAGTATTATTCGGGGAATGCTCCGCTTGACGAACGACCAGGCCGTAGTCCACCTGACTTTTTCGACAATCGTTCCTGGGAATGGACTGAATATGCTGGGAAGGAACCTGAATCTAGTATCATCATGATGATGGCAGCAATTTGCTGAAGATATGACTTTACAGGTGGATACTTAGGTATATAAAATATAGCAATACCGCCACTATTCAAACCTTGGAAGTTTCAAATGATGAATAAAAACTTGAATCAATCCATGGATTGTATTTCTTCAAGTTGGAGGGGTTGGGAGATATTCCTCATAACACCGAGTCCGAGTCTGCAGTAGCTCCCCAGTGGCTAGACTCGAGTGTAATTTCATTGGCATAATCTCAAATCTAGATCTCATCAACTTGAGGCTACTACAAGTCTCTGATACTGCCTTGATTTTCTTGAAGAAGATCGAACAGAACCCAGACTCCATTCGTCGGCAGAGATTATGAGAGTCTGCCGCGACAGCTGTACAGTCCCAAAGAAGGCCAAAATGGTTTCATGAGCCGCCAGTATTGCGACTAGGATGAAGTCAGAGGATGGCGTAAAATACCAGCCATCGCAAGCCACCGACCGAGCGTAAGACACGCCGACGAAATGATCCACATTGAAAAATGTGGACCCGATGAACGAGTTCATGAAAAGCAAAAATTTGACCGACGCAGGGGTCGAACCTGCAATCTCTTGATTCGTAGTCAAGCGCCTTGCCATTGGGCCAGCCGGCCTTGTTGAATAGAGACGCCAAATTGTGCTTTATGGTCCAAAGCAGAGGGCTGCATTCCATTAGTAATACGCCTATACTCCTATACTTCCACTATGCAGGTTTAATTGACCGCTTATTATTGAGAGATAGCTTCTCGTGAGTGTTGAAGGCCAATGACTTTTAGCAGCATTGAAATAGCACCCTTTGGAGAACTGAGCTTTGTTAAGTGATGAATGCGTTGATGATGCGATTCTTCAAGTAAGTTGGGGTTGTCAGGAACCAGATGTCGAAACATATTGACTACCTAGGTATACTATTTACTAGCGGTGGCACCAAAAATTATCTCCATAGTCTATCAATTGTCCTCATTTGAGGTTAATGTAGATAAACTCATGATAGAGTCCAAAATCCACAATTTCATGGACCGATCGACCGAAAATCTTGGAATGATAGATAACCTTAAAACTTTCCGAGTCGTGCTGGAGAGGAGTAGTTGTACTACTAGTTGGTAGTAATATGTTGATTCTACATTTTCTCCAGACCTGGAGCTTACTAGTACCTAATTACCCTTGAAAATGTAACCTTCGGATGCATTCATTACTCTGTAGACCGTCTTGTCCGCTTATGCCAAACAAATCCCATAACTGTCACCGCTAGATCCCGACATCCCTGCCGGTGTATACACGGGCGCAGCTCTATCGAATGAGCGTACGAGGCAGTCCCCAAAGGCCTGAACGCGGGTGATTTTGGGATGGTTGTTTCACCATCCTCGGTATAGAGTTGAAGTATATCAACGATATAGCCAGCTTACTCGGGAAGTAGATTCCTAATTCAGCCGGCAACATACGGCGATGACCTCAGTCAAGCCCGATCTTACCTATTACGGAGTATTTTTTTCAACTGAATCCCCGTTCCCTTCGAGTTCCACTGGGCTTGAGCCAGTGCCAGTGATTACGTCGGACCCCACTCCTTTTCGGGGAATTGTGGGCTCCACTGCGGCTGCCCCTCGTTTTTTCTCTCCAACCTCAAACTTCCAACTCCAACACTACAAACATTCAAGTTCCCCTCAAACTACACATTTACCTCTACATTCACAATGGGCGTTGAAAAGAAGACTCTGGTCCCCGGTAACGGTGTTGACTTCCCCCAGAAGGGCGACAATGTCGCTCTCCACTACACCGGCTGCCTGTATGATGCCTCCAAGGCTGACAAGCACTTCATGGGCGACAAGTGAGCAACAAACTTCCCCCAATTATTCTTGAAAGCGAGTATTGAAGCTTAGTTTACTAATCATGCGCGATAACCAGGTTCGACAGCTCCCACAACCCCGGCCGCGGTCCCCTCGCCACCCCCATCGGTGTCGGCCGTCTGATCCCCGGTACGTCGCGTTCGCATTCGCGATTTGAATGATGGAAAACAGCTTGACGAGCCCAATTAAATGAGCAGATATGGCACATGGGCATATTGGGATATAGCATTGCTAACCACCTGCTGTATAGGTTGGGACCAGGGTGTTCCCCAGATGAGCCTCGGCGAGAAGGCCATCCTTACCATCAGCTCGTAAGTCATTGACGCTCCTTTTTGAAGCTTCACAACACACCGCTAACCTTTTATTCATCTGTAGTGACTACGGTTACGGCGCCCAGTATGTACTCCCGCATCTTCACCCAACATAAACTATCTTCCGATCGACTATCTGAGTCGGCGCATTGAATCGCAACAATACTAATTTTCTTCTAGGGGTTTCCCCGGCCTGATCCCCGCCAACTCCCAGCTGGTCTTGTACGTATTAAACCTCCCCAACCAGACCAAGCTTAAGCTAATTCTCTATAGCGAGGTCGAGCTCCTCAAGATCAACAACAAGACTGTCTAAATCGCAAGATGATCTGTTTCGCTATATGTGGAGTACATTTCCTTCCCCATGAGACTACCTCCTCTCGTGAGAATTAGGTTCAATGAAACCGAAGCATTACGAATGAAAACTTCGATGGGGCAGCCTGTTCTGCTTGGCAACCTCAAATCTGAGATTGTATTCTAAACCGTAGACCATGGCAGATGTAGTACCTCCAAGTCACTTCTGGTAAACCTTGCCAAAACGTAGGAACGACACACCAGTAGCCGGGTCACTACTGAAGGGAATTCCCATTGCTGAATTAAAACAATGGCCATTTTCATCAATAATTGCGCTGGTGGTCTGAAAGGATCTTTGTGAAATTAGGGTATCTCTTTTTGCACAAAGCCCTTTTTTTCTATCCCGATGTTTCCCACAGGTAAAACAAGCTACGAGAGACAATGGAAAATCAAAATTGGGACAAGCGCACATTACTGATATTACTATAAAAAAGCTCTAAATCTCCCTTCATTTCAAGATTTTTCCGATTCAAGATAACCTTTGAGCAAAACACCACCAGATCTGAATAGCATCGCAGATTTTTCCAAATGGCGAAGGTGAACTTTGGCGAAAGCCCCCCTGCCTACGAATTTGACTCGACTACAGTGGGGAACTTTTCTCGGTTCCGCGAGACTATGGTCAACGAGCTTAACAAAATGGGTAGTCAATTGGATACACCAAACGAAGGCTCAAGGACCGCGGCTTTTCAATCCGTCGTTAACCGGCTACCCAATATAGTAGATGGATTGAAGTTTTATCGTATCCAGCTGGAGTCAAATATTATGTCAGTTGAACCCCCTGCACCCCCTTGCGTTCTAACCAGATGTCGTCATATAGAGAACAGTATGCACCGCGCAGCAAATCGTCTGCAATTTATCTCGCCCTGGCAGCCACTGGCAGGTCCTTCGAATATGTCATATGAAGATGTTCGACGGGAATGTTCCGGTGAGAGATTTCGAGAACAGCTAGGTGCAGCACGTGAAAAACTTCAGAGAAATCCATACTTATACAAGCTGCTACGAAAGACTGTCGGAATCTTCTCAATGCAAGTTGGTCGTCTGACCCTCACTAACGACGAGGAATTCCAAGATGTACTTGCATTCATTAGAGATCATCGCACTATGAATGAGGAGAAAACAAATCACAAATGTAGCTTCGGGAAGATTGGGGATGAAGCAAAAATGTGGGATGAGGTTAATGAGTTGTGGGTTTTTCTTGATCGGCCGATCCCGAACTGCCCCTGTCGGCAGTGTTCTGTTCGCTTGGCTCCTAGATGAGTTTTAGGCACTTTTTTTTTCAAATCTATCCTTTATTTTACTGTTCTTTTTAATCAGCTAGTCCTCCCAGCTGAGCCGCCTCCTGCGAGTACTTGGACTGTTCAGGGCTCCTGTCATCGCATATAACTTCTATATCTCTTTGGCGGAATAAAAGACAGCCCATCAATAAAATGTATATCTCTCACGAGTTTCCGCTTTCCTGTTAAGCTAGAATAGACTCATTGACGGCGGAGTGACGAAGGGGTGTCGAATCTTGATTTCTTCATCATTCACTGCGCCGCTTTTGGTTCAGGCACGGCAGCTCATGATGTCACCTCCAACTGAGATGTCATTACGAAGTCAGGTATATAAACTCCAACTAGTCTCAAAATTATTAGAAATTATCTACGAGTATATCCAGTTTCATCTCGTATAATTGAAGTTCCATTAAAATCTGCCATATCCACCAACGAGAGCGTCGAAATGCCGCCCAAAGAAAAGTATACCGATCCCGAGCTTCGCGATGAGGTGAAAGAAGAAATTCACCAGAGTGATAAAGGCGGGAAACCTGGACAATGGTCTGCGCGCAAGGTGAGTCTTTCCGCTCATTCTACACAATCGTGGATTAATAGTTACTAACGGCGGTAGGCTCAACTCATGGCCTCCGAGTACAAAAAGCGTGGCGGTGGCTACAACCAAAGTAAGGAGGAGGGGCAGGATGAGAGTCAAAAGCATTTGGATGACTGGACAAAGGAAGACTGGCAGACCAAAGAGGGTAGTGGCACCGCGAAAAGGAGTGATGGCTCAAGACAGAGATATCTCCCCAAGGAGGCATGGGACAAATTGAGCGACAAAGAGAAGGAAAAGACGGATAAGAAAAAGGTAAGCAATTCAAAGAAAGGGAAGCAGTTTGTTGGAAATACACGGGGTGCGAAGGAAGCGGGTCAAAAGGCTAGAAAGGATGTTGAGAGGGTTGAAACCGATGAAGAGGAAGACAAGGAAGCAGAAGGGAATGGAGATGGAGAGGGCGACGGAGAGGGAGACAAGGGAAAAAAGGACCCGAGGCAAGGAAGAGAAAAAGAAAAGCAGCAAGCTGGAACCAAAAGACGTGCAAAGCAGAAAAATGGACCTAATAAGAAACAGGAGGTCAAGCGGACAGGGAAAGAAAATACCGAAGACGAGGAGCTACAGGACCAAAATTCTGATTATGCAGAAGACACGGAAGATGCAGAAGATGAGGAAGATGAGGCCGAAGGAGAGTCAAAGCGGTAGAGTCGAGAAACTTATCTAAACAAAAGTCTTATCCTCCAAGCGCTCGGATGTCGCGTTTTCTTTCACCAAAGAATGGGCTGTATCTTCTTAATATTTTTGTGACAGTGTTCCTTTCGAGGTCAAAAACAAAGACCACTTCATTATTGTTCTCCATGCGTGGGAACTCACAAGAATGCTCTTTTTCAACCCAAGAAGTACGGACAAAGAAATTGATTGGAACTATATTAAGACTTCAGTCTCCTGAATGTTTAAAAAACCTCAAAGGTCCCAGCAGAGAACTTGAAAATGGTGTATCAACATATCTTCCAAAGTTGCTATAAGGAAATACTAAACGAAGGAGCACTCCTTGGGCATTTTCATACATCGAGCTCGGTTATACTTTATACTTAAACAACATTGTTACATATCTCCCTGAGCTACTAGTATGGCTGTATTCTTCTGCGGCGGTTTTGAGTGGGAGCGCGATGAGATGGTCCAGTGCCTCTCTTCGGACTCTCGAAAGGCCGATGCATCGGCAAAGCTCAATTACCGTGACAGGTTGAAGATCTATAATAATATTGGAGAATCCCTTGATATTTACATGAAGAAACTCGAGGAATGGAGAAGCAAGGCAGAGAATGAATGGCCGTTGAGGGAGTCTCCTCGCTGCTTTGAACCAAAATGCGATCGCATCAGAAACGAAATGGAACTTATAATACTAGAAATCAAAGACAGACAAGAATCCTCTGTCCCAGGGGCCAGCTTGAAGAGAATGGAAGCATATTTGAAGAAATTTCGACTATCTGAGATACTGGATTTATTTAGCATACATGTCGGCATGCTAGTAATTCGTCAGCACTTGTTCCCCCCGGGTCCATCTGTCGATATAATGAGTAAGACGGCAGACTGGAAGCAGCTATATTATCAAAACACGACTGCGGCAACGCGCAAGAGCAACCCGCACCTCGATGCTTATTCTATCTGGTCGCGTCTCTATACACCCATTGAAGGCTGTGATTGTCACTCATGTCTTAGATTAGGCCGTTTCCGTTAGATAAAGATAAGAATGAATCCTTTAGGGCATTTTTTTTCTCAATTTTGTTCTTATTTCAAGAAAATATCCGTGGTCTAACGCCTCAATCTAATTTATCTGTTAGGGAGAATCTGTGTATGCATTGAAGAACATATTAATCTCTTCCACCAAAATGGAATTTCATACCCTTGGGCATTCTAATCAACTTCAAGCTCTTAGTTCGCGGCATCAGATAGATATCTGCTAGTAGGTAATTAGCGAATTAAATGTCTTATATAAAGTTTGGCTAGTTTAAAATTTACTTCTATCTTCTAGACTCTGTTTTTTGATTTCCATGGTTCATCGTGACACTGGTCAGAATCATCGTGATAGTGTTCCTCGTTCTATGAGAATACACTTTGCGCTTTGATCCCGCCTGTTAAATTATGAAAAACCATTGGCCTCCATCTGTCGTTCTTATACCCCCCCTCTCAAACTGGGCTAGCTCAGGCCTCCCACACCACATGACCTGGGATCACAACACGAACCCATGTTAATATTTCAACGAACCTCCTTCCAAAAGGTATTGCAGCATAGACATTCCAATTTCTGCCTAGGTATATTTTGCATAAATCTGAAACGATAATGGAAAACATACAGTTCCAAGGTACAAAACTCACGGCCTATTTGATTTCTTACTCCCAATGTGACGCTTACCCCTTCACATTTAGACTACCTCGCCATCAACCAAATCGCGTTCGAATGGGCAGATAGTATTGACAAAAAGGTTAGATATTCAGTCACTCGTGATTCTAAGTCGGTGGACTAATTCTAGATAGGACTGGGATAGACTTCGCAAGATCCTGGCGGCAAGCCTCTTGGTATCCCTCCCCACTCACAGGTCAACAGACTGAAATTTAGACTAATCTTGCCTCCTCCGCAGGTGGATTACAGCATTGTTGGCCAAAAGTCTTTTCCCGAAATGAGCGCCGATGATTTCATTTCCATGATGAGCTCTCCAAGCTTTGTAGGAGACCCCCTTATTCGCACTCAACACCTTATTGGTGCCGCAAATTACGAGTGGATATCTGAGACTGAGATCTCTGCTACTCACCAAGTACGTGCTGCACACCAGCGCTATTCTGACGCTGAATTGACAACCGTGTCCGGGCGTGGCCATGGTCATGGAAATGCAAAACATTGGTACAAAAAGATCGGTGGTACATGGAAGCTGGCGGGTGTTCGGCCTGAGATGTATTGGGTTGAACACGACCTTGCCACGGTTTTTTCTGAAGAGAGTCCCAAGAAATAGAGATGATTACCTAGGTATGTTCCAAAGTTTGACTTGATAATATACTATTTCATCTATCGCGACAAAAAGTCAATCACACTTAGGGCTGTAATATCAAGCCACCCCCGACACACCTGTTACACACAAAAAGATTCGTGGGATCGATCCGCCGCTTGATCTCAGATAATCTCTCGTATTTGTCTCCCCAGAATACCGTCTGCCAGTCGGGTTCGTAGCTATATATTCGCTAATAAGCATTAATCTTGAACGAGCTGTGAACGAGACTTACGGATTAGCTTCATTGATGTAAGTTCCTCCTTCAGGGCCGACAAGTCCCGTCAGATTCTTGCTAATCATTACGGCGCGTAGTCGCTTTTCATGCTTCTCATATTCCGTTGCATTATCAGCCCAATCAATGGATATGCTCATCAGGGCGTGACTGTGCTTCCAAACTTTGTTGACTGCCGTGTTGTCACGTTCGTCGTTGTTGACCTTACCAACTGCGTCGAGGTGAGCACCATGATAGCAAGCTTTGACAATGTCCTGGGTACTTACTAAAATTGAATCCTCCTTTCCCACCGTTATCGACAATAAGATTTGCTAAATCTTTTGCTTTTTGGTCAATGACGTCTGCAGTCAATAGTCGTGAGGTATCTTGGACATTGGTGCCAATGTTAGGATCCTGTAGGAACGTTTGCAAATATCCATTCCACGTCGACAGATAGGCCCCAACTGCACCTCGTATACCGGGATATTCTGACATATTGAAGAACCCGGCAAATGTGTGATTGAAAGACCCCAAACTCCCATTTGGCTTGAGGAATATCGCTTGAAAACTCTGGTCCATGTTTCCATATCCCGTATATCCAGCATCTGTCACTTTAGGAAGAAGCTTCATAGATTCTGCAAGCAACTTTTTCAAGCTAGAATTATCCGATGTATTCAGTTGCACAAAGCCTACTAGGAGGTTTTGGGGAACCGGATGGGTTTTGTAGGTGACTGATGTCACAACCTGAGGAGCATCAATTGTTAGTTGAAGAATTTGCCTGAAATTGAGTCACGTCACATACACCCCAGGCACTACCGCCACCCCCTCGAACGGCCCAGAAAAATTCTGGATCAGAATAGGGAGTGATCACACGATGCTCTCCGTCCGCAGAAACGATGCTCATCTCCAGAAGATCTGCATTCATGTTAGAGACATAATATTGAAATGTTGGCGTTGATCACTGACTGTCTACGGCAAGACCATAGTCATGCGAGAACGGTGAATGTCCTCCTCCAAGTAGATATCCTCCTGCTGCACCCACTGTGCGAGCAGATCCCCCCCCACGACCAATACTCCCTTCTTAGCTGCAGCCTGATATACATCTGCATCCAATGATGTCAGCTGAGATTTTGCTCAAAAATAGAATATAAACCAAGTAAACACACACCGAACCATTGCTCTCCAGCTTGTAGTGTCACAGCTGGCACTCCGCTGGTATCGATAGGTGCCCCCCAAGGGACAAAGGAGTCGTGCCATTCGATACCCTTCAGATTATGTGTCCAGATTGAAAATGCCCCTTTCCCACTAGAACGGCCAAGACTACCTTTGGTTATTTCAGAATCATTGAAGTTCAGCAACAGGTACTACTTACTGATCATGTCCCGTATTCTTTGTCACTAAATACAAATCTTTCTCATTTGCAAAGCTTACCGAGGCTTGGATTTCCTCTATACTTTGGACACGAACCGAATAGTATGGCACTGATAACAGAAGTGATGGTTAACTAGTATTCCCCTCAACTTGACGTTTCCTAGTAAGATTTCGTACCAATTCCTTGATCACAGGGGGCTCCGACGGGCGTATCAATGAAACACTTCCCAGTTTCGCCCATTTCCCACAGCGTTGCGGCATAGCCCCCGGTTTGATTCGTTTTCCAGAAGCTATCCAACCAGCTACTTTTTGCAATCACACACTGATTTGCAATGTACCTTTCGGAATGACACACGGCAGCAGATGGCACAGATCGAATCAACCTTCCGTTGACAGTATCGTTGAATAGCCTCCAAGTGTTATCACTTGGCCAGCAGTCGTCACCATAAGCACATCGATGACGAGGTTGGCTCTGTGCACTCCCTATTGGAGAAAGGAGCCCGAGAGCTGTCAGAGTGCTTTGGACGAACATAGATTACGGAGAGATGTGGGAAAATAGATGATGGTTGACGAGGAATGAGTATTCCTATCCGCAATGAAAATTACCCAAATCTGCGACCAGTCTGCCATCACCTTTTAAATTACAATTGTCTGCATGTCAAAACGAGATTTAATACGAGACCTTCCCCATATGGAACCTCCGTATTCTGCAGATCTGCCGAATACGAATAGTTCTTGGCATCCTCTTTGGGACGGACATTTCCTAGATTGTGGATCCGTTCTCCGTGCAAAACCTATTGGCCAGTTTCCTGCAGTATATATGTACTAATCTCGATTATTATTCCTGGAATTAGGATTATAGATGCAGGGAAACAGCCGGGCACTTGCTGATTGGCGTAGAGTTGAGCAGCTTCTAACTCAAGTGTATTTTTCTCCCTTTTCACGTGGGACAAAGAATCCTTTGTTTGAACTGGTAAGTTTCTAAATCATTCTTTCGAATTTTTGATTGTTTTCATAGTAGAGGCTGAACATATAACTTGATTGAATTGAACTTGGGTGGCAAATGCATGGGGCTAGTGGGTATAAAAGCCAGGCAAATCCCACTCCAGGGCTCGCACTACTCATTCATATTTAACTCAAAGTTTCCAACACACCATCTAGGAAGAATTATTATTGTCCATGAGTAGCAACACAACTTTAGTCGAGTCAAAAATGGCTAGCTCATCCCAACCGAGCTTCTCCGCCCATCGCGACAATCTCGCAGAAACCTTTCGAGCCACAGGTGACCGCGCGAGTAAGCACCCTGTAACGTATAAATGGATTTCCAGTTTTCTAGCTAACCGCGCAGATGAGCTGATTAACTTGAAAGATATTGCAGCATCAAGAAAACATCCCGATTGCTTCCTGGTCCGATGCGACCGCATCATAACGGAAATGAAGACACAGAGTTTAATGTTCGGGATAGGAGAGAACATTTCGCCTAGCGCTCCAAGACTCATGGAAATGTATGCTCTTGCTGTCGGAAGATTGTCACTGAGTTATAGTGGTCGCGACCAATATGCAGAAGAAAAAGACGAGGAGGCTATGGAAAGAAAATTCGAGAGACAACCACAACACGCAGAGAATGCTGACAGACTCACATCTGTTGTATGCGATTTGGACTCTTTGTGGCTGCGTCTCAACTGGCCCGTGGATGGCTGCTACTGCTCGCAGTGTGAGAAGCGTAAACCTTTCATGAATTGAATTTGTCTCATCTACCAAGTTCTATTGAGGAGACAGCAGATATCAAGGTCAAATATAACAAATCAATCATTCCCAACTGGTTTTCAAAATATAATTTCGCTCCTTGGTACGGTAGATTAAGGCAATGAGCCAAGATTCAACATCGCTAGCAGCTAGAAGATTTTCTCCTCTACCGAGCAATGCTGTTTATAACAGAAATGCCAGATGCACGATAAGAATCGGCTTCGATATAACTCTCATTTCCTGGCAGACGAAACACAAAGTTTGTGGCTTTGGAAGAGTAGCGAGGCCATTGAGGAATTGTATCCACTATAGTATGTCAGTGTCTGATTTCCATAAACAATGTGGTCAAAGAATCAATGCAATTAGCTTTTAACCTACGTCCATGTCTGTTTGGATTGAGGTGTGTCACAAAAGATGTCCACATTCGAGCTGCCATCTGCCCAAGTTCCAGGCGGGCAGGGTCAGTTCCGAGCGGTGTCATGGTTTGTACCGGATTTGCAAATACAAAAGGAATCTGATTTTAAATATTAGCACGTAGTATTCTGAGATTTCAAGAGTCGATGTGCAAATTGGGGCTCACCTCAGCGAAGTGTTGCACTCCAATTGTTGTGGAGGTATTTAGAGCTGCCACATCCCAGCGGTAAGAATAGACATTGTCGATTGAGTTGGACATGAGATGGGCAAGCATGCGGCGCGGTGCTACCATAGATATATCTCCGGCCATGGACTCATACCGCTTGTATTGAAGCCCCAGCTGTGGCCAGGTGACATTACCCCAGCCGTATGGGCACCCGAGAGCTGCAATATTTGGATAATGTGGTAGGATCTTGACTGCTTGTTCACGAGTAATTACCCACCGCTTGGAAGCTATGATAATTTTTATCAGCTTCAGTTCAAATTGAAGAAAGGAAGACCTTGGAAATTGAGACGAAAGACAAACATATTAGCTGCTCAATACACTGCTCAGCAGTGTCAGTACCCGTAGTACCGAAACTTGTACCCTCATCTGTGTTTGTGCCTAGAAGAATGGGAACCTTGGCAATTTTATTCTCTTTGTAGCTGATCTGAGGAAATTGAGTAATGAATTTCCCGTCAATGGTGGCAAACCACTCAAGTCCCTCGTAGGCAGCATCGTAGAATGTCTCGTATGGCAGATCGCGCAAGCACTGGAGTGTGTTCGACGAATTTGCGCATCTAGTACGAAATCAGCTTGATGTTTAAAGATGGAGTTGACCCGAATTTTACCAACATACCCAGCTCTGTCAACAATTCTATTATACATTGGCTGGTGCCATTCCGTGCCGTTATAAGGTGGCCCAACGGCATTGCCTGACTCCATGATTGCTGCAAGAATGGTCAGCTGTGTCTATCATCGAACATTATTTCCATACCAGCTCTGAAGAGTCCCTCGTTATTTCCATCATTTGTCACTAAATGAGCACCGACGCTATAAGCCCCCCCTGGATCCGGCTTCGTCAGAATTTTGCCTTATAATGTGTGGCAACTTGAACTCACGCAGATTCTCCCCAAATAGTTATCTTCTCGGGGTCTCCCCCAAAAGCTTGGATCCTTTGCTTTACCCAGCGCATTGCATTTCTTTGGTCACGTAGAGCTAGATTTGTGTTTCCTTCCGCCTGTAATGATGTTAATTTACAAGGCCTCTCATATTGAATGTTGGGCTTGTGAGCAACATACCCTCACTTCTTCGGAATCCAAGAATCCAAAAGCTGCCAGTCGATAATTGATCGAGACTCCTATAACAGGATTGCCATTCAATGCTCCTTGTTGAACAATGTAGCTCATATTGTACCTAGAGCCATGGTCACACGTAAGAAGTAGTCATGATAACTTTTGGGAAAAGGGCTAACGTACCGAGGGTCTGCGGTTGCTCCTTGCTGCCACCCACCACCAAAAATCCACAACATAACAGGCAGCAACTCTTTACTCTCGGTCTTGGGTCGAATAATGTTCAGGTTCAAACAATCTTCGTTCAACTTGGCAAGGCCCGTATTCACTAGTTTAGTAGTGTCGGAACCGTAGGCAGGGCAGTCGTTTCCATATTGCGCAGCATTGTAAATGATAGATCCAGAGCTGGAAACCAGCCCAGTCCCAGTTAAGCTAAGGGGGCCTGAATTGCTGTCGTTGGATGCATATTTGGTCTTCAGTTCCGATGGAGTGAACCGAGTTGGCTCATCGGCATACTTGATACCCAGGAATACATCTTGGTCGAATTCAGGAAGTGAACGACCTACAAAAACAGTTTTAGGACTTCCATTGCCATTGTTTGAGATTGTTGCGGTCGGTAATTGCGCTGTATTTGTCTCTTTGATCAAGAGACAGCTCGAAAGCGATCCCGAGGCTAAGAGTAGCCCAAGAGACAAGCCCAGCATCGTTATTGACGAGTATTTTCTGGGTGTATTTCTGGACCCAGAGATTTGAATGCAGCGGATTTCTCAATTCACTCAATGAGACTCTATAATGAGCTTTTTGGGAGTCTGCTCGGCGCAATGTATAACTACCTAGGTTTGGAACTTACATTGTTCCATGTTTACCCCGGGATTTCCCCATGTTTAATTTCCCACCTATAAGATTTCATGCCCGGCGCTAACTACCCAATCCGAATTTGAGCCGAAAATTAAATATGCGGGGAAGTATTTTCTTCAAAACAATTTTCCCGTGAAGAGATGAAGCCTTTATGATCCGTAGAGTTCATATTCTACTCCCAAACCTTGGAATGATGTTTACACCCTTGCTAGTGGCTACTGTAGCTTATCAGCACAACCAACTTATTCTTCTGACCCGAGGCTAGTCATTCATAGCCCAAAGGAACATTTTCTGCAATATCTTTCTTATCCCTATATTCTACTATTTATAAAACCTGCAGTGTATTACCCATGAGTCTGTACATCAAAGTCGCCCAATGTAGCGGCTGGAAGCATTTTGGCCGCATCGATACCTACTACCAAAGATATCGTGATTAAACCGACTCTTGAACTAAGCGTCACAGAAACAGAAACAGGCTCTGAAATTTCCAAGTCCGGATACTGAGATCGAGCTTTAGCATTCGACCACCAGGTGGGGCTTGATTCCCTGGCCAAGAACTCGATCAGATAATGGCTGTTGGGGTGTCAGCCTCAGACACCACCCAGGCACTCACATCCATGGATCTCACTCTCTCTCTCTCTATCTGGCAGTAGATATCTGCATGAATGCTCCATTTTGAGGCCATATTTCCATCCTCTATCTATGTATCAATTGCTGACACTACCAATAAACTATAGCCTGATGCAAGCGATGCAATGAGATGAGGTGACTGAACGGAGTAAGAATATTAGTCTCGGTACAACTGCTACCTAGGTAGTAGGTGACGTACCTCTAGCTGGTTCAAGGCCAATCCATGCATCAAGTTATCACCAGTTTGGGGGCAGTGCTTCACAACGAGGTACCACCAAATTATTGCTGCCTGCAAGCTTTTCATAGAACTTGAGTCCTTTCGAGATTCAACTCGTATTTAAGCAAATCACTCCTCGTTGGGATGATTTCTTTCAATTTCTCGAAATCGTCTCAATCATGACGAACGTCACAATCGCAACCACAGGTCATCTTTCCAGGCACTTACAGAACTGTTTAACACTAAGACAACTTTGTCTTCTGAGCGAGGCTTTGGGAATCTATTCACTATTCTATCTGAAACTCGAAGTTTTAAAAATATATGTATTTACGGCCATTTCAAATCCCCACAAGGTATTCGCGCGACTAATGAGGTCCTAGTTTCTCTTGCCATGTGGCTGGTCTTTGGTAGAACTCGCTATGCTGATAAATGGGACATTGAAAGGCACCAAACGCATCACTTTAAGTGCAAGGTCATTTTTTGACCTCTCATCGGCAATTCTAATTGTCTCACAATTGCAATTGTTGATACGAGTTGATACTGCTGGATATGCAACTTTCGTCCTTGTACTCGCTGCGTATGTTGCCAGTTTCAAAGGATTGAAGATTTTCCAATGTCTAATCAACTGCACTCAGGTATCTCCATACGGTTTCTTCAATTTACACATTCTCGGAGCTGTTTCAACCAGAAGTGAGGGATTAGCTATAGTCAGTTATAGTCAGTTGATGAAATTTCCCGGCTAAGCAGATTTTGCGAAAAGGGCACGGATTTTCAAAGGAAATTGAGATCCATTCACAATAGCCCGAAAATACTCCCAGGGGGATAAACCTTGAAATAGCATTGTTTTATCAACAACCTTGGAACGTCCCCCTTTTTTGATGAATTTTACAAGAAAAAAGAGAAGAAATAAGGAGTAGAAGCTCAAGAGCTGCTTCGGTATAGTACCATTATTTTTGAGTCAAGTTAGCTTTATGCACACGGAAGTTGATCACTGCTAAGCCACAAACTTACGTATTCAAACCCCGCGTCTTCCAGGATTTTGCCTGCTCGGCTGCAGTTTTTTGAGACTACAAGTCTGCTGTAAGGCAGCAAGATAACTCTTCGTCTAATATGAAGTAGTAATATAGTAGTAGGTAAAATAAAGAAATCCAGAGGTAATCCAGTCAGTTCACAGAATGAACCGTCAATATAAGCTCCATTGATATCTGGTTGAAAAACAAAGATGTCGAATGCCAATGGGGAAATGCGGAAAGAGGCACCCTGCCCTTGCTCATTTCTATCCTGTCGTGCATTTGATTATCCAATAGAGACTTCGCCTGGAGGCTCAGCAAAGAAAGAAAACATTCGTGTGGGGAATGATAAGAGAAAAAAAAAACACCAAGCCGCTCATGATAGAAGAAAGTGAGGAAAGAAGAAGATTTGAAGACGTACAGGAAAAGGGAAAAGGGAAAAGAGACAGAAACAAGGAAAGGGAAATGCAAAATTTGTAAATTCACTTGAGAGGAATTTACGCAATAATCGCCAAGGGATTCTCTATTATGTACGCTTTCACAGATTTCCGCGGCCAATCAACCAGACATTAATCATCCTTCGCGCGGTCGCCATACCCAGTAGAGCCCGAGCCCATGCCTAGACCTGTCGCGCGAGACCTGCTCGTCGCGGATGCGGAGGTCGCAGCTGGTCGGAATGATGAGGAAGAGGAGCTGGTGGTTTGGTCGAGTCGACGCCTGCCCAGAAGACTAGGAGACCGCCGGCCTTCAGACGTATCGTCCAGTTCGATCAAATCACCCGCACCCCATAATCCTCCACTGCGACCTCGGTCGGCTGCGTGCTGATTTGGGGATGTTGGCTGTAATTCGGTGATGCCGGCCTTGGTGCGCGCCGCGACTTTTCGAACCCAGCCTTCGAGGGCACCACCGATATTCTCCAGGCCCGATGCATTAGACGTGATGGTCGACTCTGAGCCAAAGGACGGCCGTCGCGGGTTTTTTGAAGGGGCTGGTGGTGCGAGATAAGGCATGTGCTGGGAGAAAAATTTGCTGAGACCATCCATGGCTGGGCCAGGAGCGGTTGACGTGCGGTCAAGGGAGCCGACTCCAGTTTCTGAGAGATGTATGCTGCTGCGCTGTCGGCGGTGCGAACGAACAGGAGGTGCTCCGCTAGGTCGGGACTTGTCTCTGGGCTTTCTGATCTTAGGCAGTATACCTTGCGAAGGGCCAATTCGCGGCGACGCAGCTGGCGATGGAGTTCGCGTTAAATCTCGCGACGAACTCGAAAGGGGTTCGGAATCTGTATAAGAAACGGATTTTCGACGGGTGCGTGGGAAGAAACCCAAGGATCTTCGAGAGACGCGACCGATCTCGATTGGCGCTGGAAATCCGTCTATTTGTACCCAGGACTCGTGTTTCCAGATCTGATTCCGATCGGTATCGGAAGAATCGGGCGGAATGTCATCTGTGGATGATTGATTCGCACTCGTGGGGCCAATGGAGCCGTCAGATGGGTACTCGGTATCGTTTCTGAGTAAATCAACGTTCTCTGTAGCTTGAACTGGTCTTCCCTTGACGGTGCATGCATCCACAGGAAGAAGAACCGTCTTGCGGCTTTGAATATTATCATTGGGCCAGAAACCGTTTGCTTTCCGGAAGATAGCGGCCTGGCAGCCATATTTAATCGTGACACCTGTGATGCTGTCCGCTGCTGTCACGGGATGAATGTAGGCAAGTGCTTCCTCCTCCTGTTCAGAATCAATTGGCTGTTGATCGAAATAATCACCGGAGTCCCGCCGTTTGTGACGGGAGTTGTTATTCATCACCGGGTCGCATTCTGCTAGTAAAAGGGCCTCGCGTTTCTTCGCTTGTACTAGCGCCTGTCGTTCCTCCTTGGTTCCGGTTCCGATTTCCGGGGTCGTAGGTGCGGAGGGGCCCCACGCCGAAGGCAAAGACCTTGGGATGCTTCGAATATATATGTCGGATTTTGATGGTTTCCTCCGTGAGTATGTGTTTGTCGCATTATTCGCTGAGTTCCTTCCAATGTCGCTCCCTAGTACCGAAGATGCCAAGTTCTGTAACGAAGACCACGGTGAGTCCAGAAAATCTGGCGCTCTTTGCGAAGATGAGGCCTTTGAAGATCCATTCCAACCAAGCGATGATGTCTCGTAACGGCCACGGTGGCTGGGTTCGGTGACGCGAGATGGGTGTTTCATGGGCAGCGGCGAAGCTCCGCGGGACGACAGCGGCGAAGGGGTGGCGCCACGAGATCGCGTCGTTCCGATATCCATTGTTGAAAGGGTGGTGGATAGTCCCGTCGTGGAGGTCAGGTTGTCATTATAGGCGTAGTTGGAGGCCTTGGTGACGGTGGTGTCATCTTCGTCATCCATGAAGGAGACCAGGCGGCGCGGCCGCGACCGGACCGCGGAGGTGGACGTGGTGGCTGCTGTACCGACTGGGTTGGAGGAGCTCATGGAAGCATTGGTGAAGCTATTGTGGGAACTCATTCCCGACAGCAAGTCCGTAGATCGGGTTATTTAAGGACACAGGGTCGAGAATTCCCTTGGGAAGAGGTGGGTGTATTGCCAAGGCACTGGTTGCCATCAGGAGTCTCCTAGGAGAGATCCATTCGTCATCCACTCAGTGTTTCGCATTCGAGGTCTCCGCCCTGGGAGAAAATAAACCAAGATCGCGACCGGACAAGTTGTTTGAGTTTCTATAAGACGGATTGAGAGCTCAAGGGAATGGAGAGGTGGGTGGTGTGGATGGTTGGCGGTTAGTGGTGGGGGGGCGGATGATGACCCTATGCTCAATGGCGATAGAGAGAAGATAGAAGGAGCTGATGAAGATGACCACCCACAGACGCCCTACCAGCGAGCGAGAAGCTAACAATGATTGGGAGCTATTTTCAAGGAGTGAAAGCGAAATGCGAGCAAGCCGAAGTCTCCAAAAGATGAACCAGAAAGAGAACAGGGAGGTTTGGGGAGGATCGGCAGGTGACTTCGCCGCTCGGCCAAAAGTAGCGGGTACATGACGTTGCTGCGGTAGGGCCACCTTTCAAGAAGTACTCGGTACATGGTCACTTTGACCTACATTACCCTGCTGTGCTCGCATGGTTTATAGTCGGATGTTCGGGGAATTTATGGGGTGATAAAGTTGTGACTCTGAAAGAATTCTAGTCCTTGCGCGTAGGTACTGGTACTAACTAGTTAGTACTAGTAGCATTATGTACATATGACCAGTCTAATGAGCTACGAACTCGTTGTATGCCCCCTGCTCTACTACAGTCCCTAAAAGATCAGAGTGGATATTGTATTGAAGCCCAAATCTCAATCATTGTACAAGAAACAAACATATCAAATCAGTTCTATGGACAACCCGGCCCAGCCAGGGCTGCAAAACTGCAGCCAAATAAGATCAGGATGAGATGAGATAGAAAGAAAACAACCAATGCGACTAGAATACAGAAGATTCAAGACCCGGCATTGTCAGTGAAATAACGCCCGTTCCTCCGTACTGCCTGGCGTTAAGAGAAAAGAAGAAAAAAGAACATCCCATCTAAATAATAATAAAAATAGAGCGGTATATCGCTATTACTCTGGAGGCTCGACCATCTCAGAAAAACGGCCATCGGCTTCGGAAGCACCCTCGGCCTCAGACTCGGTTTGCCAGGCCTCTTCCTCAGTCACCACGCTAGACTTGCCCTGGCTCGCCGCCTTCTTGGGACGCCGGCCATATGGGAAGTCATCCATACTAAGACCTCGAACTTGACTGGGGTCCAAAGTGGTCAAGGGCAGACCGGCTTTCTCCATCTTTTCGATTTGCTCGTTGAGAGGGCCAATGGCTGCGCTGCGGCATTGTTCCTTGATGTCACTGCCGGACAGACCGGCCATCTTCTTAACCAGCCAGTCCACGTCGATATCCTCCCGGTCAACCTTCGTATCCTTGAGAACCAAGCTGAGAATGCGGAGGCGCTGGACGTCGGAAGGAAGACCGACGGGAAACTTCTTAGGCATACGTCGGAGGATCGCCTCGTCGATATCGTTAATTCGGTTGGTAGCACCCAGAACAACAATGCGCTGCGGCTCACCCCTCGAATTGGCAGAGGTAAGACCATCCCAATGTGTCATAAATTCGGCCTTCACCATTCCACTCGCCTCATGCTCGCCACTTCGTCGGGTGCCGAGGATGGCGTCAATCTCGTCAATAAACACAATTGAGGGCTGAAGCTTGCGCGCAAGAGAGAATACCGCATTGACAAGCTTGTTCGAGTCACCGTACCATTTCTCGGTCAATGTGGAGATGCGCAAATTAATGAAGCAGGCACCGCTCTCGTGGGCGAGGGCTTTGGCCATCATGGTCTTTCCACAGCCAGGCGGGCCATAGAGGAGGACACCCGAGGGAGCAGTCAAGAGGGACGACGTGGAAGCGTAAAGGTGTGGCATAGTCAAAGGGTAGATGACGGATTGTTTCAGCTCTTTTATGATATGATCCAGACCGCCAATATCTTCGAATGTCACCGAGATATCCTCCGGTGCGACCACATCCATCGCAACGGCTTGTTCGTACTGGTTGAGGGTGAGCTCCGCTCGTTTTGGTTTCCCACGCTTCCCATCTGCTCCTCTCGGTGATTCATCATCCGATTCATCTCCCGCATCTAATCTTCGCAGAATGGCCGTGGACTTGCGCTTTTGTTCTTCCTTCTTCTGACTCTCGGGGTCGAAGTCGAGACGTGACAGGAGGTATCTGATGAGGAAGTATGCGGAGGCGGACTGTATGACGGGTTAGGATAGATTCAACTCATGTTTGGATGGATCCTTTGCATGTTACTCACTGTTCCGGCAACCATAAACATCTCTTGCAAGAACTGCTGCCATCGTCGGCCCGTTGAAGCCATGACGACAGCGGTGTGGGGGGGGAGGAGAGGATTCGGGGGAGATAGTAATAGAGGACGGGATAGCGAGTCGATCCGGCCGTATCGAAAGAAGAATCAAAAGGAGTGAAAGGAGAAGGAAATGAGTCGATTTGAGAAGATGCGCGAGTGCCCAAGACCAAGACCAAGACTAAGACCCAGTGGAAGTCCGAGTGTAGGTGCAAGAGTGATGGATCGGCTCTGCTGTGGCGCTCTGTGGCTCGCCGAGGAATGTCACATGTTCCCCGCTTGTTTGGCCGGCGCGCGACTGGCGCGTCTTCCCCAAATTGAACTTCTCCACGCCCTCCACAAGCTTGACTCCGCCCAATTGCGACATGCCCAAACGAAAGGCCCAGGCCAAATTATCTGGTTTCGTCGGATCCGACGATGACGATCTGATGGGATTCACTGGGGGCGAAACAATCCCTCGGGCACAAGAACAGGAACAAGAACCGCACGATGAACCTCCGGCCAAGAAGCGAAGAGGACGGCCACGCACATCGAACGAGATCGCTGCCGAAGCGAAAACTGCTGCACGATCGAAGAACCAAGAGCTGCCACAGGCGCCAGAGGAAAAAGCGCCTGCGAAGGCTACTCGGCGAGGAAAGCGTGGCGCTTCCGAAACCGCTGAGCCCTCGCGGGCATCGGTAGCAAAAGAATCGGTCGAGCCTCAAGAGGAGACCCAGGAACAGGAAAATTATAAGGCGACGCGGACAACAAGGGCTGGAAGATCTACCGCAACCCGTGGCCGAGGTCGGGGTCGAGGTCGTACAGCCAGTGTCGCCAGACCATCGGTAACAGATGGCGATTTCGAATATACACCCACTCGCGCGCAGCCATCACAGAAAGAGGTGGAAATTCATGAGACGCAAATTAATGACGCTCATGCGACGGAACACGAAGTAGAGGAGTCGATCATACCTGAACCCTCCGCAAATTACGCACAGTCGTCTATCACCAAGATTGCAAGGGCACGCGCGGCCGCAGCGCGCAGCAGTCAGGACGCCTCTCCGCGAAAGCGCAAGTCTGGTGTTGCTACTGAACAGGGAGATCCGGAGCTCAGGCGTCGCATTGGGGATCTTGCAAGGAAAAATGACACGTTGGAATCTAAATATCGTGATCTTCGAGAAATTGGTGTCGAAGAGGCAAAAACAAACATGGACAAGCTGCGGAAGCAGTGTGAAAGCATAACGATAGGTACGCTTCTTGCTGTTTCACTTGTAGCTCTGGCTCAGTTATGCTAACTTCAGCTTTAGCTTCCGACAAACTTGTTTCTTCCCTCAAAACCGAATTGGAGGCCCAGAAGACATTGGGACAGCAGAGCCGAGGCCTCCAAAAACAATTGAAGGAGCGTGATGCCGAAGTGGCTCAGCTTAAGACCCAAGCCGAGGAGGCCGAATCCCAGCTATCCTCGGCGCAATCCGAGATCAAGGCATTGCAAACAAAGCTTGCTGCTGCTCGGAACACAGCTGCCGGTCTGGAATCTGCGGTCAAGGTTCCTGGAAGCGCCATCAAGGGAGGTGTCGCTAACCGCGCAGCTGCAGCTGCAAATGCTGAAGCAGTCCAGTCCGCCCAAATGGCCCAACTGAGAGAAGACTTGTACAGTGACCTGACAGGCCTCATCATTCGCGATGTCAAATCAAGAGATGAGGATCACCTGTATGACTGCATCCAAACTGGAGTCAACGGAAGTAAGAAGCCCTGTCAACTTTCGATACGTCCAACCATTTGCTGACTGACTATTTCACAGCGCTTCATTTCAAATTGGTCATCCCCAAAACAACTAGCGGGGCATGGGAGAAAGCAATCTATCAATATATGCCGCTTTTAGATGCCAACCGTGACCGCGAATTAGTGGACATTTTGCCTGACTTTTTGATGGATCACATCACTTTTGAGCGACAGGCTGTGACGAAGTTCTACTCGCGTGTCATTGATGCTCTGACCAAGCGACGGACAAGCTCTTCATAGTAATTGCTATATAATCTGGATATTATCATCTTGTTTTTGAGCGCCATTTCCTCTTGTCGCTCCCTTGGAGCTGTATAACAGAAAGAAACCACTCCTTCGTCATTATTGTTAGACGGCACCTTCCGAGTACTAGGATTACTTTCTACAGTGACCCTAAATAATAAGGATATATGCAATACTATGAGTTGCGTGAGCTACCTAAGAGTAATAATTTACTGAGATGTCTGACTCGTTACAACTAACTGCCTGAAGGCTCTGGAACTCACAAAGAAATTCATGTTGGGCAAAGAATGTACGACAAACGCGGAGTGGCCCCAGGTTCTTGGCGCTATTGAGAAGCACCCTCGATATCTGCATCACATAGTTAGAGTTCTTTGTCGTTTCTTTGGTGGAGTGATTTCAATTGATATGAGCCATATCACATTGATTTTGTAGCTGATCTTCAAAAGACTCTAAGCCCTTAACCTAACGCTAGAGAGGTACGGCCAAAACTGCTACTCCGGGTGACCATATCTTGACAAAGGAACATCAAGGTACAAAGACAATCTGCTGCACGTCAAAAAGCTTCGGTACAAAGGAATTGTTTTGGGGATAGGGCTTTCTGCATCGGGAATCGTGCAAGATCCTTTTTGCTCGTGAAAGAGGCTTCGGTCTCTCCAAGGTTTCTCATCCAAGTTTCTCGACGTTTTCAAGACGAAGTCAACTCCTCTCAGGGAATCGAATACTACTAGTAGTTGTCAGGAAATTATATAAGTCTCTCGACGGGTCCTCTATTCTGCTCAACGCCCATCAGCAAGAATTTTAGGACGATAACAACTTGAGCCTGAACATCAACTTGAACCTGAAACTTGAAAATGGATTTTGAACAGTTTGACGAGAGTAAGTAAACCCCCCCCCCCTCCCCAATCAAGCCCTGCGCTAGCAAGAAATTCGTGACTAACAAAACTCAGAGTTTGTGACCCTCCAGGCAGTTCCAACGGTCAGAGAACCGGAGCAGATTTTTGTCTTTCTTCATGGCATCACCATTAATAACAAGACGACCTGGACATCTCCCAAGGGAGAGGTCTCATGGCTCGAGGAACTTTTGCCAGGGGATTTCAAGGCAAACATCTATAGATGTGGGTGGGATTGGACCAAGCCAGGTCATTCCATGCATGAGTTGGGTGGCAGTTGCATCAAGACACTGGCCAATTGCTTGTGTTTTGGGGATAATGCCCTGGACAGGAAACATAAAAGCATCCAGATTTTTCTGGTTGGGCATGATCTAGGTGGCATCATCATACAGAAGGCAATGCTTTTGTTTCAAGATTTGGACCCCGACCCCCACCCCCACTACCTCAGGATCGCAGCTAACATCGCTGGGATCATTTTCATAGATACCCCTTTTGAGGGAGCTGTGGGAAGCTTTTACAGCCTAGAGGAAGAAGAAGAAGAAGAAGAAGAAGAAGAAGAAGAAGAAGAAGAGGTTGAGCCTCTTTTGAATCCGCAAGATAATGAAATTCTGGATCCCAGCTACCTTGAACTTCTCCAAATCGGATCTTCAACCCGTGGAGAGATTGTTGCCGATTTCTACGAGCTCGTCATGCAATTCCAGAAACTCAAGACGGTAGGTCCACTAACCTGTTTTTGTTCGGTTACCCACAAGAACACTTTAGTAAGGCCATTCTCTGGCCTAAGCAAGTTCCGCAGATAAAGTAGAGCATTACTGAGTTGCCTTCAATCCGCGGATGGAGCACTGGTTAGCCGGTTTCAGACAATGATAGTACAGAGCCTAGCTGATGACGAACCCTCAAGTTGAAGAATGACCAATCTCTGTGCCGGGTATTTTGAGGCTGCCATTTTTACCTTTGAGAACTCGTTCAAGTTCACCATTTCCTACTTCGTACTAGTACTAGTACTAGTATGGCATATTGAGATATTTGTGCTAGGCTTGCTAGAAGTACGCTATTCTATCCGGATGTCCAAGTTGATACGCGAACACTTTTCAAGTTGCAAGGGTTGGTCTTGAATAGTAGTACGTTTTAAATTAAAATGTTCCCAATTTTATTCTTGAAGTAAAACCACAATGTCATTTTTTTTCTCTCAAATTAAAGCCTAAAGACTGTAGCATGCTAGTAAATTTTCGCTATTTTGTTTTCACAGCTGCTCTCGGCCAATAATTTTGCTTTCGTTACCCCAATAAAGACATCGAAGATTACCCTCTCGAAATTCTATATTGGCCAACAGTTTACCAAAAGAACTGAATCTGTGAAATCCCAAAGCGGATGCTGTCTAATACATCCACCGACCAATTAAAATCGGAATCAACACGACAAGTGCACCGGTACCTGCCAATAGAGCCACGTAAACCCACCGAATCCACCGAGTCGATCTTAGAAATGCCTGGCGATCATTCACTCGTGGAAAAGGTTCATTTGGCACTGGCTTACCCAAAAATGTGCATAGGGGCTCCCAGCCACTCCCCAGAGTGTACTCTAACAGTTTATCAGGAGGCGTGATTGCTTTGACATGCTGATAATGCTCCTTGTACTTCAATGTTGCTGTCCTTTCAAGGTACTCGATCGAAGTACCCCCAAATATTATCTGAAGTGATAGCGTCAAGAGCTCATTCAGCGGTCCGAAAATCCAGCGATCATACCTAAGGAATGTTTAGTTATCTCTTAGTTGCCAGAACGTACCAGGATGACATAGTTACCGTGAGAGCCAGACAAATTTCCAGTCACCCCTCCAGTCTTTCAGGATTTCCAAAAAGCTTTCGGCCCATGATGCGACATCACGTTTGACTAGGATGACTTTGGCATCGGGGTAAGCCGCAATAAGCTCATCACTGAATGCAATACAAGGATTATCGCTCACTCCGCCAAAGTTAGCAAGGACTTGGTCCCATTCTCGATGACTGTATTCAAGGCTTTTGTGTTCGACTTTCGCTCGTGCCGCTTCTAGAAAAAACCACTTGTCGGTGCTGTTGTCCGCTAAATTGACACCGTGGTAACAGTTGATGCCCAGGACATTCAAAGCATGCTTGATAGCTAGATATAGATGTCAAGTCAGAGATAAAGTCCATTAGAAGAGAAGTTAAGAGAAGTGACGGAATTAGGGGTAACATAAAACGAGATCAGCGGGCGGGGGATATTCATGGATATAACTGACATAAAGATCCTGTACGAGGCATAGATAGGTTGAGAACTTCCATGGGAACTATCCGCTCCGGAAAATCTTTCGGTCCTCGAGCCTGGAATATGCCAGTGATCAATAAGGACTTTCCAAGGTTGCTATGCGCTTCAAAACATTATACATCGACTCACCATTGTTGTACTGTTTTGTTTGGTAGTATGTTTTAAGCTTTGGCGAATCAAGATTAGACTCGGGTCGGAAAAAGTCTGAATGTGACCTGATTGACATGGACATCCAAGGATGATAAATCTGTTGGTGATTTTCTGATTTATATACACACACGTGGTTTTGCAACGCCGATCGCGTCCCTGAGTGAAATTTTTTCTTCGTTTGAGTTTTGAATAGTTCTAATAAAAACAAAAATTTTGTACTCCGTATGTGATTTGAAATTAATTCCCATTGGCCATGGTAAGACATTACGTAAATTTCCCCTGTTGTTTAGTTATATGAGGAAGGGATGCGACATGATAATGCACCAAAGTGGGGGCTCACACGAACTATCTACCGATCAAATATGGGTCTTTATTGTTTATCAGTCAGTTTTGGATCGGAGTACTGTCAACATGGGTTATCGACGGCTGCTTTCCCTTCTCTCTTAGCTTACCGGGACACTGCACCCGTATCTTAGAACATCCATGGATGTACTCCGTAGCTGGACGTTGAGTATGCACAGCGCTGGGCTGATGGGGATGATTTGAACCGTAGAGCAATCATGGATCCTTTGATCGTCGATCACCACCCCGTGAAGATCCTCACCTGTTCTACGGAGTACATCCGTATTAATATCCCCTTTGCTTGAGCTTGATTCATTATTTAATCCGCACCAACCGATGTGTCCTCCTGGCAAGGGTGGGCGCTTCTAGTAGGTATCAGTACAATGATACTGCTCGTATAGTGATGTCCATGGATACAGGAAGGAAAATATCGACATGGGGATTTTGTACTACTAGTATTATATTTTGTCCAAGCCCTAGAGCAACATTGACCCAAAGTTTGATCTCCCCTGCCAGTGGAGTCCCACATTTCATACTTGTGCTAGTACATGCTAGTGTGTGATATATAGAACAGCGTGGTTGCCCTGGTGGGCAGAGCCTGCTATGTACATACATACTATAGTATGTATCCTGCCCATTTCACAAACGAGCCTATCAGCTACCTAGGTAGGTAATCACAGTCATGGCGCCCAACGCGTCCCTTTCCCCTTTTCAACTTTGCCCCCAATGTGGGGTCGAAATTCTCCAAACTCTTAGAGTCAAGGGGATAGTAGGGTCCAGCATGCAAATTGAGAAAAGCCATTAAAATGCAGAGTTTTCTTCTATTATCAAAACTGCACACGTACTTGAAATTTCATATATAAGATTTTCAGCGCGTCTACATCCAAGTTACGCGCGTGATGGTCACAAATTGACTAGTGAAAAAGAGCAATAGCTTTTACGTTGGCTTTTATCTATAGGCAAATACGGATTTACCCCTAAATTATCAATGGCTAGGACCTCGGAAACTTGGAACTCAATGCGTGAACGACGACGGGACTTGGAGTGTCTTTTGTATACAGTGCCAGCCTAGGCGGGGATCGGCCCCTTCTGAGTCCCGAGTCAACTCCCAATTGAAGTTTGAGCTTTAGGATTAAGACATCACATGGCCAACACCTACCTCAAAGTTTCTAGGTGAGCCCAGTCATTAAATATTGAAAACTGTAGGCAATGTCGATGTTGAAGTAAACAAAGCGTTCTGCCGTGTACAATCGGCGGCTCGTGATTGGCTCTCACCGCTCCCGCAAGGTAGCCCGTCCGCGCGGACAACCAAAAGTGCAAAGTGTCAACGACGAGATGTCGACCTCCTTTTGATCAATTTCCCTCCCTTATCCTCCTCAGGAGCCCTCAATTCCACTCATTTATTCGATTCCTCTCAAGCTGGACCCGGTCCCGGTGAGAAGAAGATAGATCATGGCGCGTGTCGGCCGCGTTGGGTTTCTCGCCCTCGCGGTGATCTTCCACCTGATCTATACATATTCCATTTTCGACATCTACTTCGTGAGCCCAATCGTCAGTGGCATGCGCTCATTTGGTGTCGACCGCCCCGCCGGAACAACAGCCCCATCCCAACGCCTCGTTCTCTTCGTCGCAGATGGCCTACGTGCCGACAAGGCCTTCCAGGCATTCCCCGATCCCTCTCCCGAATTCGACTCCCAATCCGAACAACAACCCGATGGGCTCATTCGTCTGTCGCCCTTCATACGCTCTAAAGTCCTCTCACAGGGAACCTTTGGTGTTTCGCATACCCGGGTCCCCACCGAGTCGCGGCCCGGCCATGTTGCTCTCATTGCGGGCTTGTATGAAGACGTCTCGGCTGTGACCACGGGCTGGCAGCTCAATCCCGTCGATTTTGACAGCGTGTTTAACCGCAGTCGTCACACTTGGAGCTGGGGCAGTCCCGATATTCTACCAATGTTCAAGGAGGGTGCGGAGCCTGGTCGAGTGGATGCCGACTCTTATGGCGAAGAATTGGAGGATTTCAATGCCGATGCGACCTACCTTGATACCTGGGTTTTTGACAAAGTTCATGAGCTCTTTGAGTCTGCGAAGACCGACCCAGAGCTGGATCGTAAGCTGCGACAAGACAAGTTGGTTTTCTTCCTCCATCTGCTGGGCTTGGACACCACCGGCCACGGCTACCGGCCCTACTCGAAGGAATACCTGCACAACATCAAGGTCGTGGACAGGGGTGTGCAAGCAGTCACCAAGCTGGTCGAAGACTTCTATGGAGATGACAAGACTTCTTTCATCTTTACTGCCGATCATGGAATGAGCGATCTAGGAAGCCACGGTGACGGCCACCCGGACAATACAAGAACACCCCTCGTTGCCTGGGGCTCTGGCGTAGCAAAACCCGTCACTAGCACAATGGGCATTGCGTCTGGACACCAAGATGGCTTCTCATCAGATTGGGGATTTGACCACGTCCAAAGAAATGATGTTGAGCAAGCCGATGTTGCTGCCCTGATGGCGTACCTTGTTGGCGTCGATTACCCAGTCAACTCGGTCGGTCAATTGCCGCTAAATTATCTCGATGCAAGCCCCAAGGAAAAGGCATTGGCTGCCCTGGCAAACACCCAGGGAATTCTGGAAATGTACCGTGTCAAAGAAGAGCAGAAGAAATCATCGGTGATCAGATATGTGCCCTTCGAGTATCTTTCTGGTGATGAAGAGACATCAATCGAAGGACGAATCGCCAATCTCGAGGCACTAATCTCCAATGGAGCTTACGAAGATTCCATTGCCCTGTCCCATGACCTACTGATTGTCGGCCTGGAGGGTCTGCGTTATCTACAGACCTATGATTGGCTGTTCCTACGCACAATCGTTACTCTCGGCTATCTAGGCTGGATTGCCTATGCCCTTACCACCGTTATTGATCTCCACGTCTTACACGGGACGTCTGATGCCCATCGGACTACGGCTAGCATCTCGTTCTTCTCATCTATCCTGGTGGCGCTATTTTCTGTTCTTCTCTACCAAGGATCGCCGTGGCAGTACTACTTTTACGGGTTCTTTCCCATATTCTTCTGGGAAGAAGTCTTCGCTCGCCGTAAGGCTTTGATTGCTGGCCGCGAGATCGTTCTCGGCCATGTTCGCTCTTTCTCGGAATATGCGAGCTTTGGATTGCAGTTGGTGGCATTCATCGGTGTACTGGAGGCCCTGGTATGCAGTTCATTTTCCTCGTTTCCATTTGTTGGTCCGGTACTGATAATTTTCTCCAGGTTCAATCTTATTTTCACCGAGAAATTTTCACCGTCGGATTTACTTTGGCCGCTTTTTGGCCCTTTGCCTACGGCTTCAAGTTCGTCCGCACGCACATATATTTGAACGGGACTTGGGCGCTTGGATGCCTTCTGATGAGTATCTTTACTCTGTTGCCGGTTAGCAAAGTAGAGGAAATCTCTACTGTCACCTACGGCGGTCTTCTCATGTTCTTGACCGGTGTCCTGTATCTACTGTTCGAGGATGCAATCCTCGGCCGGGACAGTTCCAAATCTCGAATCAACAATGTTGGATCGCGGATCATTATGGGATGTCAGGTTGGAATGGTGCTTCTTTCAGTGATCGTTACTCGATCAAGTATAGCCTCCCTCCAGGCTCGTGAAGGTCTACCGCTCGGCAACCAAGTGGTCGGGTTCGTCGTTATGGCCGCTTCGGTCACTTTGCCATTCGTCCACCGACTATACCCGGACAGTCATTACCTCCATCGACTAATGATCATCTTTTTGACCTTCTCGCCGACCTTCATCATTCTTGCGATCTCTTGGGAGGGTCTATTCTACCTGGTGTTTTGCATGACCCTTGTGACATGGGTGCGCCTTGAACACGCCATCTACGTGCACACAGCCGGGGCCAACGCCGTCAAGACATCCCGCAACGGCACTGTCGCACCCTCCAAACCCGCCGCAACCGGCTCCACGACCGTCGATGGCCTCACATACCACTACCGCGCCCTTACCCTCTCCGACACCCGTGTGGCCCTATTCTTTTTCTTCCTCCTCCAATCCGCTTTTTTCAGCACGGGCAATGTCGCCTCAATTTCAACCTTCGCCCTGGACAGCGTCCGCCGTCTCGTCCCGGTCTTCGATCCATTCAGCCAAGGTGCACTATTGCTCTTCCAGATTCTAATTCCCTTCGCTATCATCAGCGCCAACCTGGGCATCTTGAACCGACGCCTGGAAGTCGCCCCCAGTGCACTCTTCATGGTCGTGATGTCCATTTCCGACGTGATGACACTGAACTTCTTCTATATGGTCCGCGACGAGGGCTCCTGGCTCGACATCGGCATGACTATTAGCCATTTCTTCATCGCTAGCTTACTTTGCACTTTCGTTGCGGGTCTGGAATTCCTCAGTGAGCTCTTCGTGAGCGGTGTCGACTTTGGCCCCACTGCCAATGCGCTTGGGTCTGCCGTGGCACAGGCCGTAAACGAGGCCGCCGAGTGTGGCCACGAGCTTACGCAGGAGCAGAATCAAGAGCAAGAGCAAGAGTCAACGCCAGCACCTGCACCCGTCAAGACGGGCAAGAAAAGCCGGGCGCGGGCTAAGGGGAAAAAGGGCCAGTAATCAAGTTTGCCGCAGTAGGTGTATGATTCAAGATATCATATTTAATAATCGCCATTTGTCATGTACTTTATACGGTCTAGGGGCATGTTAATATAGTAGAGCTTTCTCACCACTTTCCGAATAGAATAGACCGACCGCTTTCTACTTCTCGTGTGAATACGGAGTAGATCATGGTAGAGTAATGTGATATTGGCCTACCTAGGTAGCAGCTTGAACTACTAGCTATAGCCACACCTGGGCAACTTGAATGTACTACTCCATAGTACTAAATAACTACTAGTATGAGCTGTTCGTTAAATCGTCGAGTCCTCCATGGATGGCTAGTCACGGGCCCAAGCCAGCCCTGAAACAAGCCCAAACCTTGTATCTCCAACGTCCCACTAAGGATACTACGTGATGTCCACATTGGCAGCTAACTAGGGGCCAAGAGGACGGATGATCACGATAACCCACCTTCGCCCTAATTAATCGCCACTACCAAGGCCACGATCGCGCCCTAGTGCCGAACACAAACGCAATCCAGCCTCAATCTCATATCGGAGGCTACAGAGCTCCGATTGTGTCCGTGATGATTCAAAATCACAGAGCCTAGCCAGCCTAGTCTCAGCCCCAGACCCAGCTTTAGCCCGGTCGAGTCGAGTCCAGTTCACGGCCCGACGAGCTAGTCCAGCCGATCAGACCAGACACCACCAGCGAACGGACCACAGCCGCATCCTTCGTGCCTGACAGGACCGAGTCCTTCTAGTGTGAACGTTAGCGCTAGTGTCAGCGGGGAGTGGATGTGAAGGATGTGTGCCTTTGAATTGGTGTATGTACCTTGTATTGTATGTAGTTAGTATGCCCAAGCTAGGAGCGACGTGAGTGGCGGAGTGGACAAGTTGTTGGTTTTCCAAGGAATATGATTGGCTACAAGGCAAGTGGAGAAGGCCAGCTTCAAAATGCCTCGGCATCACAAGCTGCCGTCTCCACCGCCGCAACGGTGATTGCGCAAGGACGAGAATGCGATTGTTGTCGGGTTCTCGACGAAATGAATACGGAGGGGAAGGGAGGGAGGCATGTCATTTCTCCAGCCAGAGGTCTTTGATTTGATTTGATTTCGAGGTTGGCCCCTCCTTCGTCTCCCCCGTCTCACCCCCGCAATTTCGTTCTATTCCCCAACATTGGTCCCCGCAATTGGTGGCTGTAATTTAGTGCGATGAACGGAGTAAGTGAGCAGGGTAAGAGGAGGGGAGGTGTAATAGACTCATTGATTGTAATTAGATATCATCTGATTGAACTGGTATTAGTACTACTGGCTGAGCGAGGTATGCTTTAGCTTCTACATGCCGGTGACACAGCATATGTCCGCTGCGCATGGAGATGATATACCTTGTAGTTCAAGTGGGTGTTTGATTTTATAGAATCAAGTAGAAGTACCTGAATATACTTACAGATGAGAAGTCCCTCGCATCCGTCTCTTCCGATATGCTACAACTAATATACTACCTGGCTATGCTGCTAGTACAACGAACTACTTCCAGGTCGCTAGTACCACCTCTAGTTAGTATTGTAAGCCACACCTGCTGCAGTGCCGGACCTGCAGGGATCCCACCGGCTGCCTTGATTCCAGGCTACTCACTTCCTTTCTTTTCTGTCACTCTGTCATTCTATATCCGCCTTGTACAATGGCCTGACACTCCCGGCACCTTTCTTCCGCATTGGGATTGTGGTATTTCCACGCGACAGTATATGATGCGAGGAACCACAGTCTAGTAAATAAAGACTTTGATACTATTCAGATGCGCTTCTCTCAAGTACGGCTAGTATGCGCAATAGTCGAATCGAGTCTAGAATAAACGGTGAATAGTGTAATTGTAGGTAGTTCCCTCGATTAACGGAGCCTCTTCGGGGATTCCAGCGGTCTGGTTTTGGGTGCCTCCACTTTCTCCCCATCGTCGATCACTCCGAGCGGGTCGGATTCCCAGTGTAGTGACTGCCCCGAGTGACTTGACTTGAATTGGGGCCAATGGGACTGGATATGTGACTGGCAGTGAACTGGCAGTGAACTGGTTCCAGCTTAACCGTGGGAGGGGGTAATGTAGTGTACAGTAGTGGTGGTGGTAGTGATACACCTAGGCAGAGTACAGATTATGTGAAAGTAGAGGCTAAGAGACCAAGAAACCAAGAAATTCAGAAATTCACAAATCCCAAAATGTAGAGATAGACATAAGAAATAGATTAAATGCAGAGTAAATAATTAGGGCAAGTCAGTCGAGAGTAGAGTATGACTGTGTGTGTGGTTAAGCAGGTCCGTGGTTATTGCCACACTCCACCTGCCCCGGATCGCTCTGATCCCTCCTTCTCTCTCTTGTCTCTGTCTCTGCACTCTTACTCACCCCCCCCCTGCTCCTTGACTCTTTCAGATCTTCTCTCATTTCATCTGATCTGATCCCTCCGGTACTTTTTCTTCGGATCGCGTGGCGTCCCCATTTGTGCCCCCCCTTTTCGCCCAGCCCACCACCCGACTTTACTATATTACTCTGCTCGACCCGGTTCCATCGCGACCCCCGCTTAACCCTCACCCTTGCGCTTCATGGGGGACGCGGCCATGGATTCTACGATTGAACCTCAGGATGCAAACTCGGTCACCCACCCCAGTCCGGCTCCCAGCGCCGCCGGTTCAACTGGTACCTCCGGCATCACAGTGCGCGGTGGGCCCCAAGGCCAAGCAGTCAGTTTCAGAAGGTGAGCCTTGTCGATTATACCGTGGAAGGAGAGGGAAAGGGAGGAAGGGGAAGGTGATGGTAGTTCGCGCGGGGATCTGGGGGTATGGAGATCTGATTTTATATCTAGCACGTTCGATGTGTGTGATATGCGATGTGCGATCTGCTAGATTGTGTGCGATCTCCTCGAGAAGGGGAAAAGGAGGAAGTGTTTCGCAGGGTTTTCACCCACTTCAACCCCCAGATCATCCCTGTGGGCGAAAACAGAAAGGAAGAAACGTAGTGGATGGCATGCTGATTCGTTTTATCTAATTCTAGACAACGTGCATCACGCGCGTGCGAGGTACGTCCTTTTTTGCTTCGAGGGGCGACGCGAGGTGGTGAGAGCCGAGGCTGCTCTTGTGCCTCGGTCCCTTCCTCTTATCGTATCGCGATGCATCAAAACGAACTCCCCCCCACCACCACGTTGCAAGAGATAGCTAATCATATTTCATTCTTCGATTGCAGACATGCCATTCACGCAAGGTAAATATAATATCTAATATCTCGGTTTTTCTTGTAAACTTCTGGCCTCTCGCTAACCCATTCTCTCCTATCTACAGGTCCGATGCGACGCCGCTAGCCTAGGAGTTCCTTGTACAAACTGCGTCGCCTTTTCCATCGAATGCAAAATCCCTTCTCCCAAACGCAAGAAGACCTCCTCCAAGTCCAAAGACGACGGTCGCTACGCTGACAGTCCGCCCCATACCGCCTCCTCCCTCGTTGATGCTGCTGTCGCCCACTTCCGGCCTGACAACGCCGACGAACCTGCCGGCACCGGCTCCTCAGAAGATCCTCGTGGACAATCGAGCTCGGATGAAAAGGAAGATGCCTTTGGATACCGAGGAAGCCGCATGGCTGTTGACGGAATGCCTGCTACCTCCCTCACCGATGCGGAGGCGGCCCAGCAAGCAACGGAGGACAACGCATATGCTCAATTCATGAAACCCAAGTTTGCCCGCGCCCCCATCAAAGAGGCCGGTCGCGTGGCCTATCTTGGCGAATCGTCGAACCTGTCTCTCTTGGTCCAGGACCGCCATGGAACTACAGACGTTGTGCACTACCCTCTCCCGCCGAACATCAGAGGATCTCGAGCCCGCTTGACTGATCTGGATAATTTGGAAATCGACATCCTCCACCAACGTGGTGCATTCCTGCTACCCCCGAAGCCGCTCTGTGATGAACTCGTCGACGCTTACTTTAAGTGGGTTGCCCCGGTGGTCCCCATCATCAATCGCAGTCGGTTCATGCGTCACTATCGCGATCCCAAGAACCCGCCGTCTCTGCTTTTGCTGCAAGCCATCTTGCTGGCCGGGTCCCGTGTCTGTACCAACCCGCAACTGATGGATGCAAATGGATCAACGACTCCTGCAGCAATGACTTTTTATAAACGGGCCAAAGCTCTGTACGATGCTAATTATGAGGATGACCGTGTCACCATCGTGCAGGCGTTGGTATTGTTAGGCTGGTATTGGGAAGGACCAGAGGGTAAGTCCTTAACCATGGGGCCTAGCCGGGTTTTTCTCTCTCTCTATTCTAACATCCAAATTTCTAGATGTTACCAAAAATGTATTCTACTGGACTCGCGTGGCGATGGTTGTTGCACAGGGCTCTGGTATGCATCGTAGTGTGGAATCATCACAGCTCAACAAACCCGACAAGAGGCTCTGGAAACGGATCTGGTGGACCCTTTTTACTCGGGACCGGTCGGTGGCTGTTGCGTTGGGTCGGCCGATTGGTATCAACACCGACGACTCGGATGTCCCTATGGTCACCGAGGACGACTTCATTGAAGATGAACTTGACACTCCAGCCGAGTACCCGGCCGATCCAGTGCATGTGCAGTTCTTTTTGCAATACGTCAAACTGTGTGAGATCATGGGGCTGGTTCTGTCTCAACAGTACTCTGTGGCTTCCAAGTCACGCCGTATGAACGCGATGGACCTCACCCACTCCGATATGGCTCTGGCCGATTGGCTCCAGAACTGCCCAAAGGAGGTCTGTTGGCAACGATCTCGACACCATTTCTGGGCTGCACTCCTTCACTCCAACTACTATACCACGCTCTGTCTCCTTCACAGAGCTCACATGCCTCCAGCTTCCTCGGCGCCGAATAGCTACCGGGTCGAGGAAATGGCCTACCCGTCCAGGACGATTGCTTTCCAGGCTGCGGGCATGATGACATCGATCGTCGAGAACTTACAGGCGCACAATGAGCTCCGCTTCACACCTGCATTTATTGTATACAGCCTCTTCTCCGCTCTGATCATGCATGTTTACCAGATGCGTTCATCCGTCCCATCCATTGTGGCAACTTGCCAGGAAAGAATCCACGTGTGTATGTCGGCTTTGAAAGATGTATCCAAGGTTTGGCTTGTGGCCAAGATGGTTCATACCCTATTCGATTCTATCCTTGGAAATAAGGTTCTTGAGGAACGACTACAGAAGGCTGCTGGTCGGAGACACCATCGACGACCACACGAGAACAACAACTCCGGCCCAGCTAAGAAGCCCGACCCGCCAAAGCGCAAATTCGACGACATGGATCTACCATTGCCCAATGGTGGGCCCACGCCTCCCGTCTCCTACGAACGATCTCGCCCGCAGACTCCCGCGGTCACCCCTTCGCGAGAAATCCATCAGCCTCTGGGCCACCAATCACCCAACGCCCATCGTGGACCTCAAGATCCCATCTCTGGACCTTCCAACTCGCGCAGTAACACTCGCCCAACGACTCCCTTCAACGCCCAGTTCTCTCTGCCCGCTACGCCTCCTGACTTCTTCCTCGTGACCCGTACCTCACCCAATCTCTCGCCCTCGCTCTGGGAGAACTTCCAGCCCGACCAGCTTTTCCCTGATGGTACCGCCATCTTCCCTGAGTTGACATCTCCCCCTCCAGCCACGGTGGACCCGGCGCTTCAAATGCCGGCAAATCTTCACCCCCCGAACATTGGCCAGCGGCCCATGATGGGTGCACACCCGCAACAGATGCCTGGTGGCCGCAGCATGTCTGTTTCTCAGGGTAGCCCGCAGATGATGTCGGGTGTACCAGGCGGCATGGGGATGCAGGCATCCCAAGGTCCGCAGGTGTTTGGCATGGAGGGTCAAACGTGGCCGATGCAGGGTCTGGACGGTACACTGAGCGGAGCGGCGCTGGACGCTGCCAGCCAGGATGATAATTGGAGTAGCAGTTCGCGCAGTGGACCTACTGCGCCGACAACCTTGAACGTGGAAGACTGGTATGTATCCCTTGGACATTGCAGCTCTTGTTATGGTGTATCATTGCTAATCAATACTCACAGGTTTCAATTCTTCGGTATCAACGGCGGCTTTGGCGATTTAGCTGCCTGATCCGATCTTGCTGTTGTTTTTTATTCATAATGTAATCTTGCGGTGTATAGTTTTGGTTGGCTGGGCTCTTCAAAAATGGATGGCGTTTACTGGGGTGGAGATAGCGATGGGTTCTTAGGAGTTGCTAGCAAATGTAATCACGTCGACACAATATTGTCTTACGCGTATACAATATGCAGTATATAGTATAGAATATACTGTATACCTTCTGTATAGCTATTATGACTACATTTTCCACCGCAACTCCCCCAATCGGGCCTAGTGGATGACGAAATCGCAAAGGCCCGCGATTCGCCAAGGGCCACCAATGGCGGAGTCATTGGCCTGTCCGGGGTTGACTACTTACATTTTTGTCGACTTCGACTCATTTCTCCCTTTTCCACATATCTCTGCATCTGATTTCCACCTTTTTCACTCTTGACTTGATTTCAATCGCTCCATCTCCTCCCATCCTACATCCGTACCATTGCCATTGTCGTCAAACGTTCACTACCCCGCCTCAGCGATGTCGGCCTCAGGATCAGGATCCGGGTTCAACGCGCCATCGGGTTCCTCGAACTCCTTGAAGAAGGCATTCCCTTCCGTTGACCTCCAAGGCAACGATCTCCCTCCTTCTCCCGCACCCTCCAGCCCTCACGGCACCCGCCGCTACAACATTGCCACCGAGCTGGTCTTCACCGAGGGAAACGACCAGTACAATGCCAGCAGCGTGCCGATCTACCAGGTAAGGATATTGTGTGCAACATGCATCCCCTCCATTTCTACATTCGTCCACCAATTCATCTGCAACAAGACCAAAAAAGGCTAACCCACCCCCATAGAGCGCCACATTCAAGCAGACCTCCGGCGGCGGAGGTGGAGAGTATGACTACACACGGTCCGGTAACCCGACCCGCACCCACCTGGAACGACACCTAGCGAAGATCATGTCCGCGCAGCGCGCTCTGGTGGTATCATCCGGCATGGCGGCGCTGGACGTCATCACCCGCCTCCTGCGTCCAGGTGACGAAGTCATCGCCGGCGACGACATCTACGGCGGCACGAACCGTCTACTGAAGTTCCTTTCCGACAATGGAGGCATTAAAGTGCACCACGTCGACACAACGGCACCAGAGAAGGTGATCGAAGTCCTGAACGACAAGACCGCCATGGTTCTCCTCGAAACCCCCACCAACCCCCTCATCAAGATCGTCGACATCGGCACCATCGCTACCGCAGCCCACGAAGCAAACCCTTCCTGCATCGTCTCCGTTGATAACACCATGATGTCGCCCCTCCTCCTCAACCCCCTCGAACTAGGCGCTGACATCGTCTACGAATCCGGTACCAAGTACCTCTCCGGTCACCACGACCTCATGGCCGGTGTCCTCGCGGTCAACGACCTCGCCCTCGGCGAACGCCTGTACTTCCCTATCAACGCCTCGGGATGCGGTCTCTCGCCCTTCGACTCGTGGCTCCTGCTGCGCGGCGTGAAGACACTCAAGGTCCGTATGGACCAGCAGCAGAGCAATGCGCAGCGAATTGCGGAGTTCCTCGAGGCACACGGGTTCAAGGTGCGTTACCCGGGACTCCGCTCGCACCCGCAGTATGAGTTGCATAATTCGATGGCGCGTGGCGCGGGCGCCGTGCTTTCGTTTGAGACCGGCGATGTCAATGTCAGCGAGCGGATTGTTGAGAGCGCGAAAATCTGGGCTATTAGTGTTTCCTTTGGATGTGTGAACAGTTTGATCAGTATGCCTTGCCGCATGAGCCATGCTAGTATTGATGCGAAGACGAGGGCGGAGCGGGCGCTGCCGGAAGATCTGATTCGGTTGTGTGTGGGTATTGAGGATGCGGATGATTTGATTGATGATTTGCAACGTGCTGTGAGTGTTTTCCTCCCTTCCCCTCCCTTCCTTACTATCTCCGACCCATGGTTGGGGTGTGGTTTGGTGTAAGAAATCCCTCTGCTAACTCTAATTGCGATAATAGCTTGTGCAGGCGGGTGCGGTGAATGTGACACTGGATGGATTCCAGGCTCAGGCCCAGGCCAGCGAGTAGATATATGAAAGAGATGAATTCAGTTACATGGCGTTTCGGATTAAACATACCACAATCAATTATATGATATCGTTAAAACTGTTTACTACTAGTATCGACAGAGGTAGAATTCACCACAGTAGTAGAGTATATCGTTTATCCGGCCGGCATCGGAGCGGGTGGTTCTCGTCCGATACCCGAGATGACCTCCGTGCTTTCTTCTCCGCTCTGATTGGCCTGATTGGCTGCTCTTGCGCAATTGCCGGCTTGTTAATGCTTCTCCCTCAATTCGATCTCTGATCTGACTTGTTTCTTACCTTCTTGATTTCACTCCCATCATACCCTGCGTTTGCCTTTGCATTTGCATTCCAGGTGCATCGCCGCGTCTCATATCGAACTATCCCATGCACCCGTGATTTTCCCGATCTCCGTTCTCCGCTCTCCGCTCTCCGCTCTCCGCTCACCAGAGTATGACTCGCGATGCCATCGCGCAGGATACATTAACCATGGCTACAATCGAACAAGCGTCGCATCCGACACCCTCTCCTCCCTCATTAAATACTACATGGAGTAAAAAGGACTCTCCCTCGCCTCCAAAGTCTCAATGGAATACAAAAGACCTAGGTCTACGCCTAGGCGTGGACGTCGCGAGTGCTGCGGCTGCCGGCGCGCTGACTTGTCCGCTCATTACCATCATTGACCGGTAAGCAAAGAAACACAATCAACCCTGCTATATATCGGTTGAATATAGTTTTCTCTTCAAATCTTTCTACCTTCCAGATTGGCTACTAGTGTTGAACAAAGCTAACTCCTCCGCGAAAAAAAAACAGAGCAATCATCGAAAAAGCCTCAAAAGGCTTCCCAATCCAAAACACAATCAAATCCTGCCTTAAATCCATGATTTCAAAACCATCCTCATTCTTCTTGGGCACCCCTTTCCTCCTCATATATACCCTCTACAGCTCAACCTACCTTACCGCCAACGCCATCGACACTATAACATCCACATACCGCAACCAACCTTACGACACTGTTACCCCGGGCCCGGCTAAATTTATTTCCACAACAACCGTGAACATGGCCATCTGCGTCTACAAAGATGCGCGCTTTGCGAAGATTTTTGGCGCGCAGCAGCAGCCGCAGCCGCAACCGCAGTCGCAACCGCAACAACAAATGCAAAGATATCCATTCCCGAAATCAACACAACATACATCCCTCCGCCCTCCACCTCCGCCTCAACCCGCAGCATCTGGTCCGAAAATTCCCCTGACAAGCTACACCCTCTTCTGTCTCCGTGACAGCGTAACGATCTTCGCCTCATTCAACGTGCCTCCATTAATCGCGCCCTCAATCCCGGATTTCATCGCCTCAACGCCCGCGATGAAAGCCGCCGTCGCGCAATTCTCGTGTCCCGCCCTGATGCAGTTCTTCAGTACGCCGATGCACTTGCTCGGTTTGGATTTGTATAATCGGCAACCAGTTGGTGGTCTCAGTGCCGGGGAACGCATTGCTAGGATCCGAAGGGATTACGTCCCTTCGTGCTTTGCGCGCATGGGCAAGATCGTTCCCGCTTATGGTGTTGGTGGTGTCGTTAATGTGAGGCTTCGGGCTGTGCTCATGGACAAGCTGGGTGAGAAGGAGAAGGTTCTGTCTTAGTGCTTGTTTGAGCTTGTGCTGTGTGCAATTTGTTTTCGGTATGATCTGATGACTTTATCTCCACTCTAGACTTTCGGGGTTTTTCTTCTGTTCTTGTGTTTTTTCTTCTTTCTCATGCTCTGTTGGCTTTTTGAGGCTTACAGGTGTGGGTGTTGGTGTGGTGTTTACTGGGCTCATGTTGGCCTGTCTTCTTCTGATTCGATCTTTCTTTTTTAGACATTTTCGCATCTCATGGCCATGGCGTTTTTGATTCTTTTTATTAATAGTACTTTTTTGCTCGGTTTTTTTTTTGCTCTTCTTTTTCACTTTCCTTGTTATTGTCATATTATTATTAGACTCGGACATGGGATTAGACTGTGATATAACTATGTGGTGAATAATCTGATTCGAAGTTACTGGATTCTCTGAGGCTTTTTCAGGAATCGACTTTGTTAATATTATTAGTATTGAATTGATCGAGTCCTTTTCCTCTACTTTAACCCGAAAAATCCCATCTCAGGATCTTTGCCTGTTGGTTAATCGGCTCTAGCCTGCTCCTTAACCATTACTATCCATGGAGGTTCCCGAGGTCTCCGAGCGGCATTTGAAGCTTCAACCTTTTAAGAGTGTGCAAAAAGACTATATTCGGGCTTTTCAGACTACTGAAAAGGTGATACTTATACGGCTATATGGAATTAAGACAAATCAAACATCGGACCACAAAAAGAAGAAACAAGTCAAGCGTTGAACCACATCTTGGCGAATCGCAATCCCTTCTCATAGTCCACGTCAACATAATACCTCCAAGGACTCAGCGATACATGAACAGCCTTGCATTCCCAGTCAAAATTCACTTCTGCGTCGGGTGTTGCGTCCAGCCTTTTCACCAATTCGTTTATGAGCATGGCTCCGACAATGACCCCAAAGAATGAGCAAACACAAACAGAGACAACGGGGCCCACGTCTCCCCAGCTCAAAATTCTCCGAGCTTTACTATCCGGATCCGTATCCCCCTTAGATCTCATCATTGGAAGTATGGAGGCCATCAAAACAGGCCACAGGGCTGCGATCGTCAATGCGCCGAAGAGTAGCAGAAGCCCGAGGAAAGTGTCATTTGTCTCGGAGCTAAGGCGGAATCCTTGATCGACAAATAGCCAGTTTCGAGAACAAATCTGCTCCGCCGTGCATGAAGAAGTACCCGGTGCAGCGTCAATTTCCGCAAGGACGCAGTCGTAACTGGGATTCGGTGCACGGCGGCCATAGACAGGCCAATTGATATGCAAGATGTAGCACGCGGCAACCCACTGGGCGGCAGCAAGGAAATAAAGTATACCGCGGGCAATCTTGATTCTGCGCGGGTTCTTTCTAGATGCACAGGAATAAGGATGGAATCTGATCATCCCGGCATATTTCCAAATAGTCACCCATCCGACGGGAAAAGGCGTGGTTTCGTGGCTTGGGTTTGCCACTAGACGACCGAATGTATACCACCACCAGACAACAGATGCAAAATCGTAGGCGTGGACAATCCAGTCGAAGACATTTATTTCTTTCAACCCTTTGCAAGGCTTTTGCTTCTTGCTGTACACGCCCTGTTGCTGTCTGATAAATTGGAAGAGAGATCCGATGATGTAAAGAGCAACCGGGCCCCAAGTTGTAAGAAGTGTAGGCCAGATGGCTAGAGGACGGGGTTTGGATGGGACGATCTTGAAATCTGGAAAGCAGCTGATCATTTCGCACCACTCCCAGGAAATGTCGCGGTTTTCATTATCAAAAAGGGTACCACTGTTAATGTACGCAATATTGTTTTCTTCAAAGCCAGATGATCGCCGGTCATTCAGTCGATTTTCAATCGCGGTGCAGTCAGCTTTTCCCGATATAGACGCATTGTTGTAGCATTCCTGGAATCGAGTGTTCTTGTACAGCGAATATTCTGGACTATCCGAGCTGAAGCTGCCAGCCTGTTGCTTCTTGACAGCGAAGACGATAATGAAAGCTACCACGACGGCAATAAGACATGCCATCACGATGAAGCTGCCGTATGAAACTCCTTGATAGGCGTATTTAGACTTTTTCGTAGACCTCTTCTTAGGTGGAGGGTATCTGCATTTTGCATAATCGGCTAGAGAATAATTAGTCCAGTTTCATCGACTCCCCGGCTTGGATATAAGATTAGAGCACATACCGTTTCCTCGGATAGGTTCGGCGTAGTCAAGCCGATCATATTCATAATTTGACCCTCCAGTTCGACGATTCGTGTTTTGCGTCATAATGAAGGGGCGCGTCTTCTCTGAGGAAGTCAAATTATTTAGCCAAAACAAATGCACACCGAGCTTATATATTCTAGGAATTTATCAAGTGCGGCTCTGTTGTCAGACTCACAGACCGAGTTTCCAAGTAACATCTGAATCCAAACCAATCATCTCCATATTCGTATACCTAGGCATCCGCCAGTATCTTGGCGCAAGAAACCAGGGCCGTTTCCCAATAATACTCTAGGATGTACATAGAATGATTAGACTGGCACGAGCAAACAATGTCTAACGTACTCAAGTGGCTGGGACGGCTTTTAGCCTGCTTGCCAAGCCCGCCAGGGCAGAATTTCGGGTATAAGCTGTCACTCCACGAATCAGCTTCAACTACGTATAACGCCTCTTATGCAGGGTTATGAAAAAGGCTATAAGGTTATATTTAGGCATGTGGCTGATTGTTGTGGTTTACCCGGGTGGTCCGTAAAGAGTCACGGTCTAGAATGATTCAGTGTTAGCTGAGGAGGTGTGGCGTAGCCGTTGACCGGTGGTCCACTATGACTCGTGCTTTTTGTTCTCGTATATTACCAAAATGGCCGAGGCTGAATTTCCTAGACGAATAAGCTTGATGGTCGGTGGTACAGTTAATACTTAAAAAGCTCACGAGGAAAATGGTGCTCGGATTGAGAAAACATTGATAATAGCTAGGAGCTGGAAGGATACTTTCACGAGACTCGATCTTGGTAAAGCTACATATTACAATTGAAGATAATAATATACATGAAAAGGTGCACGAAAGGCAATTTTGCGAGCAACATCAGTCCAGCCGATATCAGCTCCAATAACCACTCAATTTATCTTCGGTAGATTAGTTAGACAGTGTTCACCACCTAGTCAACATATTAGCGATTAATCCTATAAAGGACAAATGATATCATCACGAGACTCACGCAAAAGGCTCCGAGTGTAGATAGAGCTCCTCAACATCTCCCTTCATCGCCCTCGCCTGGGCTATGGCCGCCGCATTCCGGGTATCATGCAGCATACTCGCCGGGCCACAGACCAAGACACCGATACGCTTGCGCTGGCTTCCAGGCGCAGTCTGTGTCTGATTAACCCCGATAGTCCGAGCAATAATACCCGAGACATCAGGACGTGCATCACGGTGCACATTCAAGCTGAACATCCCTGTGGTGGCGCTTTCAACGGGCATCTTCTTCCTATCCTCTGTCATGGATCCACGGCCTGAATCAACGGTCGCCATTGATTGGGATGTGATTGGCCGAGAAGTGATATGCACGGAAACAGATGTCTCATAGCCGTGTTCCGCGTCTAATAGAAGTTCCGTAGAGTGGTTGAGGCGTGATTCCACCTCTTCAACGTACCATTCGGCCATTGCGGGGTCTCGGGTCGAGAATACGACTTGCAGGTTTCGCCGGCCCTGTGGTCCAGATCTGCCCTGTGATGTGAGTCCCGTTAAACGAAGAGCTTCGTCTACCATTGCAAGCGAAAATCCACCGCCTGAACCACCGGCGATGACTAGAATGGTGTCGAAGCGGGCGAGGTGGTGGGCACTAATGCCGCCGTAGGGACCTTCGATGAGGATCTTCTTTTTGCAGCCGGGGCGTTGACGAGCTAGGGCGGCTAGGCGGGCTGTGACGCCTTGGCGGGGTTTGATGTAGAATATGAGTTCTGAGGCTCGGCCGGTTGTGTCTGGATCTCGGCAGACCGAAGATATCGTGAATGGGTGGGATGTGAGGAGGTGGAGATCAGATGTGATGAATCGGACGAAGACATGTTGGCCCGGTGTCCATTTAACGGTTGTAGGGACCGCGACGCGGATGAGACCGCTTGGAAGGAGTTCGAGGGTGGCTGTGTGGATGCCGTTCATAAGAAAGGTTCGGACGTGAGCCGCGATAAGTGAAAGTAGATATAACACTCCAGAGGCAATGAAATAATCCCTTTTTAATATTAGTGATTGCTTGGAAAAGGTGAAGTGAGTAGCCTACCATGAGCTTAAACGAAAATCGCAATGAAGGAAGAAGAAGACGACAAAAATTAAAGCGGCAAACATATGAGTTGCTTTGAAGAATTCATAGAAACGGTTCCTGGAGGGGGGGGGATTAGTTATAAACACCATCGAGAAGGCGGATTTGGTCATACCGAATGGGAGGTAATGACATAACAGTCAAGTAGGTCTGCGAAAGAAGAGCTGGGATACCGGTCCAGTAGACAACACTTGTTTTCCACTGCTTGACCATATCACCTTTCCCAATATGGAAAATAATATAAGGGAACGTGTGAACCAACGCCAAAACGAACATGGCGTAGCTGGTCCAGTGATGGAAAACCTGCAACTTCTCGGGGGGGGGATTCCCGTCAAGGCAGAAACCATGTTGGCCTTCGCACTCAGTACACTAGACAAATCAGTAATACGACCATACGAAATACGAAGTCAAAACGTACAGCACAAATGGCAGTAGTGCCAAAGCCATCCAGCCCGCCCTCGTCGCGATCGGAGGACTGCTTCCATAATTTGCATCTGTCGGCCAATAATAAGGTTTCGGACCGAGTGTCATGGCTGCAGATAGCCGCATCAGCATTTATCAATCAGGGCAAGGGGGGCAACGGCCCGTTGCTCGGCGAGAAATCCACATACCAAAGAAGAAAACACCACCGATCAGGCCCAGCAGAATGACTCCCAGGGATGGCGACCAGTATCGTAAGACAGGGAATCGATATCCACGATAGGCCATATATCGCGAGACTGATGTTGTAGCGCGCCAGACTCGAGTGCGCTTGACCCATTCGGGGGCATATCGTACTAAGAGATTTGATATGGCGAAGAGAGCGATGACAGCACAGACGAAATATACTGTATTTAGAGCGTAGACATGGTCGGCTTGGTACCTGGAATGAAATCGGTGTTAGCATATGCATTTCAATAAAAGCAGTAAACATGGACAGCACCCGAGACAGCGTACTGCGTCTTGCAAAACATACCAATAGCGCCACCGACTGTTTCGATAAGCGCATTGTGCTGCAGACAACTTGCACTTGTCGGCGCGAGAGGAGTGAAGCATCACTGGCTGATCCAGCCAGGGTACCCCCGATGCCATCTTCTTCATGTCCATCTTCATCTCCATTGTGGACCACTCGTATACAGGTACACACAGTCGGAGCTCAACATCAAATCCAAAACAAAGGTGAAAGGTGGCAATCCGCTTGTTATGGAAGACAGAAATTGATCTGAGGAAACGGAGTCGATCGGAAAATTAAATCGTCGAATCGCGCATCATGACTGAATTCGCTGGAAGGTCGCTGACGATAGAAGGTTGCATGGCCGAAAACGGGAATCGACTTGGAGGTAGCCTGGGGGGAGCGAATTGCAGGGCCAACGGGTGCGAACCAAGGGATTGACTCTGCCATACTCGAGCTTGATTCATTCCAGACAATCTCCCGCAATTCTAGCATTCTTGGGCCCTGGAGATTGGCCCCTTTTTTACTACATTGTTCTATTTTGCTTCTATGGTATTGCTAGTTCAATCCTTGTGGCCCGGGAATACCCAGCCAAGAGCGGAGCTGCTCAGATTAGAGCGAATTACCTCGTCTAAAGTACGTTAGTGGATTTTCTCGATCTAAATAGGTGGGGAGCTTAATTTTGAGCAGATTTGAGCGTGATCGACCACTGACAATGGCACGGCCCCCTGCTGCACTCTTCGCCTGGAGATGCCCGGTATAGACAGACCAGCTTGTTCCGGTTAATATCCCACTCTATGCAAAGAGCCATTCGGATTGTTCGGATTATTCAAAGTATTAAAATTCACTTTTCAGATCAGGTCTTCTTCTTCACTGACGTAGCTATGCAACCCTACACCCCTGCCCCGGATAATAGAGGAGCGTGGATCCACGCAGTCGGATCTTGGTACAAACTTCCAGGGTTTCATGAACCACAGAAATAAAAGGAAAACTAGGAATATAATAGCCTGTGATTTCATAGACCAAGTCGAGAGTCCCGGAGTATCCGCGTATATACAAAAGAGCAAGACAAAACAAAGGAACTAGAAAGCAAGAAATATCCCAGATTACCGCATCGGGACTAGCGGCTCACATGGCTCAACTAACCCTACATTCTCGACATTCACCTTAATCAAGGGGCACTGCTGATACCGAAACCGTTGTTGCAATCGGCACCTTTACCTTCTGGTCGGCAGCGATGGGCCCGTCATTTCCGATCCCATACATCTTCAGTGCCCGGTAACCCCCACGTACGCTATCCGCTTCAATGCTGCGGGCCCGCAGCACGCTCGTTGCCACGCGTGCCGTGTCCCCATCATAGCACACGACCACAACGTGATGCGATCCAAGATCCGAGACCAATCTATCGTGGAAGATCTGCTCCAACTCCACCCACTGCGTCTCAAGCACCGTGGGGTCCGAAAACGGCGACGGCGTGTGCGGCCCGGCACTGCTCAGCGGCAGGTTAATCGACTCGGGCAAATGCCAGTCTCCGAAGTCTGCTGCTTTTCGTAAATCTATCACGCGGTGCTGGGGCTTCAGCGTGATTTCTCGGAGCGGTGTCTCTGCGAGACAGCGTGGCGACCCGTATACCTCGGGTAGTACTTCGAGGGCATCGCGTTCCCAAGCCTCATCATAGCGGTGGAGATCAACCTTTGTCAGTCGCTGCGGGAAATCAAGTGGATTAGTACCGGGTCGCTGAGGTTTCATTTGAATTGTGGGGTCGACATGTCATGGTGTTGGATTCAATTTTTCTGGGAGAGCATGCTTACCTCGTTACGGATGGGAGGGAATTGCGTGGTCCCCAACTTCTGGAAGTACTCCTCGATGTACTGGTATGGCAGGTCACAGCACAGAAACACGCAGTGGGTCAAGCCATCTGGGCCCGCCAGATCGGATAATGTGCCAGCTGCCTTGCGCTTTGATACCATCTGGAACAGACCTTGAAGATTAAATCCGGAGGACGGGCCGCATACCAGTCCCTCGCGGCAGAGCTGTAGAGAAAGAGTGTACGAGTCGGAAGATCCGACTTCTTCGATCACATCTACTGCTTCTTTCCAGGGGAACTCAACAGGACGCATGAGGGCAAAGGAGCGAGGTCCAGGAACCCGGTCCCCAGCCGCTGTGCACACACCGAGCCTCATTACGGATGGTTTGACGCTTTTGAAGTATGTCCCAAGGCCTGTCATGGTGCCGGAGGTACCCATGCCCGCACAGAGAACGTTAATCTCGGGCAGTTGTTTGTAAATTTGAGGGCCAGTCCAGCGAATGTGAGACTGCCAGTTCTTATCGTTCTCATATTGGTTGGGGTTGACAATATCTTCGGATTCCATGGCCATGCGACGGGCATTTTGAATGCCACCCCGACTGTCCACGGGCTCGGGCTGGGAAGGTCCACCGAACAATGTGATGTTTAATCCGAAGAATTGCATCAGTTTCAACTTGGCGTCACTTGTCTTGTTGCTTAGGAAAGCCCGAGTATCTTGCACGCCATGCATAACTCGAGCAATCATGGACATGGAGATAACTGTCGATCCGGAACTATACTCGATGATAGTGTTGGTCTTGTCGGGCTGCACACTCGACTCGAGCATATTTAATGCTATGAAAGTGTCAGTATAATTCCTCAGATTATTCTCAGTACCCGTCATACCTGGCATGCTCTTCACATTATTGGCGGGGTGCATGGTCATCATTTTAGCATATATCCGAACCCCATCATGGTAATATGGATTTAGATGCTCGGGCAGTTCCACCAGAGGTAGTGGTGGCTGACAATCCGGATTGAAGTATTTCTTCAGTGAATCCGTACCGAAGTACACATTGTTCTCATTGATATTGGTCATTTTTTCAGGGTTATCGGGAGTAGTATGGAAAGTATCGGACACCTTGCTTCCACCAACGCCCATGCTAGTAATTCTCCAAAGACCAAGAGATCAGGATTGGAAGGTTGATACTTATGCTGGTAGCTCAAGAAACGAAAAGGAGAGAAAAAGCCGGGTTCCAGCTACCCAGATATACTTCTACATGTCGATCAAGCTGCTGAGGAGGGTCCATAGGAGGCCCCCTCTTCCCTTTGCGTCGGCTTGGCACCCGAAAGGTGTAAAAGGAAAAAGACGCAAAAGCCGCTCATCTTCAGATCCACTGTGACAACTTTGACCCGTCTATGGTATGTTGCTACCAATACTAACTAGCAGAGGGGTAAGACAAATCAGACCCAGCTTGTTCCGAGAACGCTGCAAGCGCCCAAAAAAACAATACCCCGCGACGATGAAATAGGAAGGAGGGCGGTGGGTCAATGAACATAGGCAATGCGCTGGGTACCTTTGGAAGTTTGCCTCGGGAATTATAATAATTTGATACAGGTTGTTATTTTAGCCGAATTGTGAGATCTGAATGGCGTGCAGAGAAAGATGGCGTGGACCCTGGTCAGCATTGCCTTTAGTTTGTCACGGAAACTGGATCGGGAAATTTGAAAACGGAGAGATCGACAGGACTCACATTGCGTCCCCGTCGTGGTATTGGGGGAAGCGATCGTTCTAGAAGGCAAATTGTGGAATTCGCCATTCGTCAGTAGTAATGACACGCTACCATGTGCTCTTTAGTCTGCAATCAGTGCGATCAGCAGTGACAGAGGTCAGCAAGGTCCCCTACTACAAAAATACCAAGACAATGCCCAGAAACTATATACTAAAGGTCCTCGAGCTTTCGGCTCCCACCTGTCAGATTTGCCATCAAAATAACCAGACTTCGATATGATTCCGCCAAAAGATGCGAGATCGCGCAAGTACCTTGAGAGTGTTTGAGCAGGTTTGTAAACTCTGGGCGCTGCCGATCAGCGCCTGTCATCAAGCTGCCGCTTTTGCGCGTCGATCCATGTCGTTTTAAGTCCGACCGCGTCTGAATAGCACCCATGGCACTCAGAAATGCGGTCTGGTAGGTCTGAGCATGGATGGTCTCATTACTTCGGATCGGATAGACCCGTAATCCATATTATTTTGAATCGAATAATTTCCTTCGAATTCTTTCCAATTTTTTGCCTCCCTTCCTGCGTCACCAAGAAAAGGGGGGAAAGGGTAAAACCAACCTGAATGCGTCTTGCTTCATCCAAAAACTCCTTTCTACATCCCTAGAAGTATCTAGGAGGATACCTGGCTACCCATCACAACCTATCCCCGTTGTACACGATATGTCCGGAGTCCTAGAAAATAGATCAGGCCACTCCAGCCCCAACAGCTCGGATGCCGATTTGGCGGACAAAAATGGGGCTCAGGTACTTTTCAACGAACAAACAAATTATGTGCCCAAGCGCACCATTATCACCGTCAGTATCGCGAAACGCGACTAAATTTAATCAGATAACAAATTGATGTTCGATCGGACTGACTCAGACTCCACTAGATCTTCCTAGCATGTTCGACCGTTGACCTGTTGGCCTTGATGGACCAGACGACGCTGGCGGCCAGTCTGTCCATCATTGGCAATTCATTGGTAGCGAGTGATCAAACATCCTGGATCTCCGGTGGTTACTTTGTGTGAGTAATGGGAGTGAATTCCTTATTGCTACTTTCACAGCCTGTTCATTCGTTCATTCTTGCCATAATTGCTTCTCCCGCTCTATACATCGCTTGTTTTCTTTTTCCTTCTTCTCTTTTCCCCCTTGGAGAACAAAAAGCTAATTTCGCAGAACATCAACTTGTTTCCAGCTCCTCTACGGTAAACTATCCGACATATGGTCACGCAAAATTATCCTATTTATCGGACTCGGCATCTTCTTCATCGGATCGCTAGCCGCATCGCTCGCACAAAATGTCACACAACTCATCGTCTTCCGAGCACTCACCGGTGTCGGCGGTGGAGGTCTAATGACCGTGGCCCAGATGATTGTGAGTGATGTAGTTCCTCTCCAGGAACGAGGCAAATATCAAGGAATACTCGGTGCAGTGGTAGCAATTGCGAATGGTATCGGACCCGTCATTGGCGGAGCTTTGGCTTCAATCTCCCATGATTCGTGGCGATGGATCTTTCGACTCAACTTGCCATTAACTGCACTAACGACTGTTTTTGTGCTCTTTTTCATGCCGTTGCGTAAGGTCGAGGGAGACTGGAGACTGAAGTTGAAAGCGATTGATTTCTTGGGTGCGCTGTTGGCTCTGGGTGGAACGGCGATTTTGTTACTCGGACTGAACTGGGGTGGTGGTGAGTATGCATGGAACTCGGTCCATGTAATCACGACCCTGGTTGTTGGATTTGTGATTTCCCTTGTTTTTGTCGGATGGCAGTGGAAGGGTGCGCGGATTCCTTTGGTCCCGATGCACATATTCCGTGGCCGAATTGTGAACGGAGCTTGCTTGACCATGTTCGTCAATGGGTGGAACTTTCTGGTCCAGGTTTATTATATTCCCACTTTCTACCAGCTCGTTTTTGGATATTCGACTGTCAAAGCTGGCGCTATGCTGCTGCCCATCACTTTGATGCAGAGTAAGTCAATGCTTTGTCTTTTATTTGTGTATTCCGATGCTAACTGCTATCCCACAGCTGTCAGTAGTACTCTCTCCGGTCTCGTCGTGCACTGGGTTGGCCGTTATAGAGAGTGTATTCTTTTCGGATGGGTTATATGGGCTGTTGGTCTGGGTCTTTTCTCAACCCTGGATCAATCATCTGGGCTCGGAAAACAAATTGGATATGGAATTCTGACTGGCGCTGGTGTCGGTAATACCTTGCAGCCGTATGTTCCAATCTTAGTGTCGAACTGTGCTGGGCTCTCCACTAACTAGTATACTAGATCACTCATTGCAGTGCAAGCCGGTGTCGAAAGACGTGATATGGCTGTCGTCACATCATTTCGCAAGTATGTATAACAGCATCTACCAGTATTCACTAGCACTATCTAACAATTCCAGTTTTGTTCGAAACCTCGGCGGGACCCTTGGCCTGGCAATTGCTGGTACAATAATGTAAGTACTTCCGGAGTGGATTATCTCATATTAAATCCGGCATACTAACAACCCCAGAAACAATGTGCTGGGATCATCCATTTCATCCCTTCAACTAGGCGACACCGAGTCACGGTCCCTCCTGTCAAGTCCCCAGAACTATCTTTCTAAACAGTCTTCCGAAGACGCAGAGCATATCCGCAGCGTCTTAATTCCAGCTTACCAGAAAGGATTTCGGATTGTCTTTATCATTGGAGCCTCACTATCTGCTTTGTCTTTCTTTTTGGCTTGGTGGCTAATGCCTCAAGTGGGGTTGAAAAGGTCAGATGATGAACAGTTGAAGGAGGAGGCGAAAAAGCGAGTCAATGGAGAGCTGGATGAAGAGAAGCGCGGTTAAATGACGAATGGTCCTTTCTTGAAATATAACACGCTTGAAAATCTTCGTGGATACTCACTCGTCCAGTGAAAACTCTACCAATTTCGGATTTTTTCGTCTTAAAAATGGGTGTATAGAAATGACAGTGGAACCAAAATATTTCTCAGTATATAAGAAAATTAATGAACTTGAAGACTACCTAGGTATGATCTCTCTAGATACGTAGTACAGCTTCCTGGCCTGGGGTATAATCACGATTTAGGAAGGCTGATTCCGCCCTGGATCGAGCACCTGGGCAAGATCTATTGAATATACAGCACAGCCCTGATGGATATGTTATGGTCAAAAACCTTCAAGTTGGAAAGGAACTTGAAATTCAGTATCGAAGATATCATTTCCAGTGTCTCGGATCTATATTGTAGATCATTATTCAGGGTCCCCAAAGATCATCGAATTTTCGGGATGTGTCAGATGCTGTGATGGGGACTCGCGAAGGACCCTGGGGGTGATGAAAACCCCTCTTTCAATGTTTATGGCCAGACCTTGCAGATCTTGTCAATCAGTTTGTAACAGTTTCAATTAAATCAAACTAGTAAGGTAAGAACCTACTGCCAAGGAAGGTGGAACGTACTTGCCTACCAGTACGTAACTGCCCTCCTACTTAACCTTCCACCTTCCCAATTTACTACTAGTACATGTACTAGTAGTCGTAAAGACTTGTAAACACCCCAGCCTTGACGCGAGAAAGTTCAGCAATGACACCTCCTCTGCTGAATTCGCGACACAACTATTGCCTGCTAAGCTTCCACAGCTCGCTATGACATCCTTGGACTCGAGAAGGTTGAGATCATACCTGGTCTAGGATGAACAATGACCATCCGTTTGTCTCAATTAAACCCATATCCTTGCCACCAGATCTAAGTAAGTTGACCTGATAGATCGCATAAATAAATCAACTAACCTCGGATGCCTAGGTAGGAATCTGGTTAGAGAAAATCGACCGCGCTCTTGGCACCAGCCCTGAGAACGAGGCAAGCATCCGGTGCAAGCTGAACTTGCTTCAAGTTCTTGTCTGCGCATAGGACCTCGCGTCTTCGGCATGTACGATAAATGGTCTCGTACAAACTGTGATTTGGGGCCAACGATGCTCCATGGCTGGGGAAGGCTCGGGAAAAGGAACATTTGCATTGATACGGGGATCCCATTGCAATGATTTCATTGCCACATTAGTTGTCCGATCTTGCTTCTTACATCTTTTTTTCCCTCCTTCGGTAGTCGTCATGCCTCATCATCTTGATTGTTGACGTTCTTGGGTCCTTTTTCTCTTCCCCTTGGTAAATATCTCTTACACCGTCTTTCGCTTCTTATTTTAGCCATGTCACTTTGCTAGTATTATGGGAGTTTAGCTTCAATAGAGGTCTAAAAATCAAGCAAATGTGTTTTCCTCCTTCATCACTATATGATTATATGGCTTTCAAAAGAGAATTAAATAAAGTCACCCGAAAGCCGCTCCTCGACCCCTCAACCTCACCACCATGAAAAGCCTCCCAGCCACACTAACCACACCAATCTATGCGTAGCTAGGCTTGTGCTTGCACAGGTGCCAGGGGCTGTGGAAACCATCCAGGTGAGCAGCATTGATAAAGGCCTTAGTCTTCTCCGCATCACCGCAGAGATCACCACACCAAACAGGGCGGCTCTCATGTCCGTAAGGAGTGAGAATCCACTCTCCATGATCCCAGTTCTGACCAATAGCACCGCTAACATCGCAAACAGGAACAGTGAAAATACCCTCCCAAGACGCACCCTTGGAACCGGGGCTAGCCCAGGCACTGGCAATAGCATCATGCGCACGCGAAGCCGCAGTGTCGGCATTGTAGTCGTATCCGGCAACGTTCCACGCATCGAAAGACGAGTTGAGAATATCTTCCTTGCTGACACCCTTGTACTCGGCCTGGCCGAGCTTGTCAGATCCAGGAGGGGGGTTGACCCATCCCCACTGGTGAGAGTTGAGCGAAGGAGTAGAGTTCTCCTGCCAGTAGTAAAGGTACCAGGCCTTGCCATCGCGGCAGATCATCGATTCTTGAGGACCGGAGCCAATGCCCTGGTTGTCGCCACAGGCACCACCGCCCAGGATGAAGATCTTCTGCGTGCGGTATAGCTGGTTGATAGAGGTTCCGATCAACATGTTAGACATCGAGTCAGTAACAGCGTTCTTATCAACGCCTTGGAAGTCAAGGAAAGCGCCGCCGGAGATGTAGCTGCGGATATCAGCATTTCCGTAGCTCTGGCCGTCCATAAGCTGGTTGTTGGCGGTGGTGAAGGACTTCAGGGACTCGACAACAACGTTGCTGAGAATGCCACCCAGGTCGGCAGATTTCTGGAAAGTGTCGTCGGCGTGGTCTCCGAGGGCGATACCAACGGCACCATTAGCACCGGTCACGATGGCAGATCCAGCACCGGCAGCTGCTGCAATAGCGGAAGGACCAAGGCCGGCAAAAGCAGCGCCGATTCCAACAATGGTGGTAATGAGGTTCAGGACGTTCTTGAGGTCATCGGAACTCTTATCATCCTTGTCCGTGTAAAAGGTGGTAGCCCACGAGTCCTTGGAGAGAGCCGCGCCGAGAGCAGCGGTGTTGAAAGCCTGCGAGAGACCGCTGAAGTAGCTGTGGAGACGGTTCACAGACTCGAGAACGTAGTAGGTAGGGCGAATATCACCACCACGACCATTAAGAACGCGGTTGTCACACAAGTTCAAGTCACAGTCTGAGTTAGATCCATCGTCACGACAGGTCCAGTCGGGGTCTCCCAGGGCCCATTGTCCAAAGGCACCAGCAAAACCGGCAGAGTTCTTCTCGATCAAGTCGGTGTTGTTGTTCCACCAGTTGTTGATCCAGTCGCCAGTCTTGTAGGTGTTCCAATCCTCTGCGTGTTGGCCATAGTACTTGGAGACCTGTCCGCAGCGCTTGAAGTTACGGCGAGGGGCGACAAGAGGGTTGGTGAATTCGGAAGCTGCCGGAGCTCCCTGCACCTCAGGAAGGACAGCAAGAGCTGTAATAGCAAGTGAGAGAAGCATGGTGCTTCAAAAGATAGACAAAGAATGTATATAGAAAGGGAGTGTAGTAGTACGTAAAATGAAAGACAACGAGGAAGAAGTCCAACCTCGTAGGAGTGATAACTCCCAAAGTGTAATGAATGACAACGAAGAGTATGAAACCTGATACTGCTCCGGGAATCATCTTCTATTTATCTCCTGACAAGAGTCTGATTGCCTTCCTCGCAAGGAGAGTGGTGTCTTGCTACTAACTCTAACGGCATATGCATCTCCTCAACACAGACCCACAATGTAACGCCCACGGGACAAGGCAGAATGCATTAAATTGAGCATGATCAAAACTCTCTGACACATATAAACAGAGCATCCAGCCCCCACTGCAATGTCTCATCCCACTAATATGCAGTCATCTCGCCATGAGTAGGACATATCTGATGCCGGAACGCTGTGGTCGACAGGGACTCCCGACAGATCGAGTCTAGCGGACGCCACTCATCTTCATCAGGGGTCCCATCTAAGGGACGAGAACGACTGGGATAGCCATTAAATTGGGGTCCGTAGCCTTGGGGGCCGTTCTGATAGTCCACTTTCCCCAAAGGGATCCGTGAAGGATGAGTGGGGCGAGTTTGTCGAAGCCGTTCCCTGTTTGGGAAACTGCTCTAACTATAGCGATATAGTTGGGTTTGTTGAATAATATCAGTACCAATCCCACGGTAAATTAATGATGCATAGTAGTATTTCATCACATCCAGCTCAGCCTTGTGGTTGTTTATTCAAGTTGTCAGGCAGCCACACCGTTTATGAACCCAAGTTAAGTAAATCTTAACGATGGCAGGGTGGGCCCGACGTTGGACATTTTGCCGATGCGATACTACGGGGCATAAGCTTGTGTAGACCATTTTACGACTCCACGCCCGTGGACGTTGGCTCCTACGTCCGTAGCACTCCGTAGAGGTGATGACTTTTTAGTATTTGAACTAGTGTTCAGTCAGATATAGGAGGTCTATACAAGGTATTCTAGATGTCCGCATATAAAGCGATACGGATTCACGGTGTGTCGTGCAAAGAACGCTGGTATATCATTTCAATCTCATTTACTCGATCGTCATCATTAAGAGCAGAGATCAAATTATTAAAGAAAGTGAGGCTAAGCCTAGCACAAAATCACGAATTGTCATATCAGTCATCAGTCATCCGCGGTAAGATCCAAACGCCAACCAAGGGGGAAGACCACATCCTGGTCTGAAAAAGGAATGAGAATAAAAAGGGGTAGAAGAAGGGAGCATAGGAGAGTCTAGAACATGACCAGCAGCTAGAACAAAAAGCAGTAGGCTCTTTTTGTTCTCGAGGTCCATCATAACTCGTCAATAACAACAACCTGCTCAACAACCCAATCCACAAAAACCTGACACTCTAATTTCCACCTCCCATTCACCCACACATCCTTTAACCAATAACTCCACGGTTTTCCTGGGCCTAGGTCCCAGAGCGCATTATTCGACGATCGATTCGCGCCACCGGTACTTCCGTCCGCGCCGGCAGACAGGTCCTGGTTAACATTGCGGAGCCCCATGGCAGAGATGGAGGCACTAGCGTTAGTACCTTTAGCCGCCTCCGACTCCCCCTGACGAGAGAGCCATTCGCGTTCAGCTTTCTCGCCCGCATTCCGAGCAACCACCTCCTCATCTTCTGCCTGATAGAGGTCGCATTTACTACATTCCGTGCAGCGGGAGCCGGGGTTAATACGGAAATGCTCGCAGAAATGCTTATAGCCTTCCGGCTCTTCGAACTCGTCTTCGTCGGAGTTCCCGCCGCCGTCATCTTCTGCGGGCCCGTCGGCTGCGTCTTGGCGGACCTGAGGCTGTCGGGGTGCGGCACGGTTCATCGGTGCTGCGGGGCGTGCCGGGTGGATAGGAGGGCCTAGGGCTTTGCGACAGAGATAGCACATGGAATACCCACATACGCAGGTGAGTTTGTTACAGCCGGATGATTTGACGAAGGAGAGGCCACAGCGGGGGCAGGTTCGTTTTACTGCGGCGGTGCGGGCTGCTTCGACTGTTGCGCGGAGGTCAAGCAGGAGTGGTTCGTGGCAAATGTGTGGGTCTTGCCATGATTTTTGGCAGGCCATGCAACTGGTTTTCATGCAAGAGGGGTTGGCACAAGTGAATCTTTTGGGCCGTAGTTTGAGGCAGAGGTGTCGGATTGCGTTGTTGAAAATTGCCCTGGCGGAGGGCGGGTCCAAGAGGAGAAGAATTAGGAGAGTGGGTATAAGTAGAGGGATAAGGTCAAGAATAAGAAATATCATTAGAATGCTGGAGATAATACCTCCGTCTCGGCGAAAGCGCCAGCCGATACCACGCGAGGATGGGTGATACACCGGATCAGCTTCAGCGTAAGAACAGAATGGGCACCTGATGAGCTTCAGTTGCGATTTTAAAACAGCCTCAGACGCCAGCCGATCCTCGAACTTGCGGTACGTCTCCAGGCCAGCGGTGTCCAGCAGCACGGCCTGGCGAACGATTTGGGGCCGAAGGCATCCATCGCAGGAACCGGAAGACAAGGGCGCGATGCATTTCAAAGTGGCGTGTTCCAAATCGACAGATTTGCCCCAACCCTGACCAAAGAGGGCTTCAGATATTGTTCGCTGGATGCAATGATAGCAGATTATATGGGCGTCAGTCGAACAAGTCGAGACCTGTTCCCAGGTCACGTCGGCGAAGCAGCATTCGCATTCGTATAGCGCATCTGCGGCCTGGGCTTCCTTTTCATTGACATCAGAGGCGAATCGGAAATCGCTCAGCTCCTGCTCTTCCCGCCTTTTCCGAAGCACGGGAGCCACGAGTAACGCATACAACTCGCCGTCAAGCTCGATACTTCCAGTTTCTTTCAACCGGGGTGTCAGCTCCCCATCTGAACGCCGTTGCCATGAAAGAAGCGGATGCTCGTCTTTATCTTTCTTGCGCTTGAAGGAAGGGAAAATGCTATTGAAAGTAGCTCGCCAGGTCCGCCTCGCGAGATCCCGTAGTGTTGGTCGTGCCCGCACGTAACTGTAGTTCACCTCAGCCAGCACAGCGTCGATTGTACTCTTGCTAAGGCTACTGAACTCCTTCCCTAGAGCGTTGCGCACTGCAAGTTTGTATCCTTCAGATCGAAAGCGTTCCTCGGCCGGGACTAGAGTCTCCGCTCTCGCAGCGTTGTCTGTCAATACGGTAGCTCGATCGTCTTTCTTATCCCCGTCTTCTCCATCTCCATCTCGATTTCCATCGGGGAGATTCCAACGACCTGATACCCATTCTTTCTTATGCCGGAGTAATTGTTCCACGGAGACTTGTAGTCGGCTCTGGCCATCGAACCGTACCAACAACTCGCGGAAGACCTCGATTCTTACATCGGGGAATATCCGGGCAAGATGTTCGAGTGCAGCATTTAGCTCGTCCTGCTCTCTTTGTTGCTCCTCTATTTCCTCGGCGGATACCTGAATTGAGCGAGAGCGTGACGTGTTCCCAAATGGGTTATTTCTTAATGCTTCGAGAGTGATTGAAGGGTTGCTTGGCGATGTCGACGAGGAACCTGATAGGATAGAAGGTTTCCAGGAGCTGCGTTTTGTGGAGGAGGAGCTGGAGGAGGAGCCGGTTGCAGAAGCACGGCGTCGGGGTTGCGACTGTGGTATTGGTATTGGTTCTGGTTGTGTTTGCTGTTGCGGCTGTAGTTCGGGCGCGTTGCCGGCGGGGCGCGGGGGAGTGGCGGAGTTGGAGGATGAAGTTCTGGAGAAGCCGGGAACAGACAGCGAGAGCACCATAGTGAGGGATGCGATAGGGTGTCTGCTACATGGTCGGGATCCAGGGGAGTAGCAGGATTGAGAGTGGTGTGTTTGGAAGAATGAAGGGCCACAATACTCATAACTCCGGTTACATAAGGCGGGCACTATCATGAATATCACATGGAATGGTGTTGATTGGGTGGATCCAACATGGTACGGAGTATAGTGTAGGTTTATATAGACATAGATTCTTTAAAAGGTAAGTTATCTATGCTAGGGTATCTAGGTAGTAGTAAACAACTTTGAACCTTTAGGACGGCCTTAGGAACTCAAGAATGAATTCGATTATGAAGGGCATTCTGGGTATGAATTCTTCTATATAGCCTGCACGTTAGTAACGTAGTATACCGAGAGAAACTGACTCAGACCGAATCAGAGGGCCCTTGGCTACTAGTTGAAAGGTCCTGATTGCATTCTGCACGAGATCTATGAAGCTTCCTACTCTATATCTCCTAATATGCTGTCCAGGTATTGTTCGGACAGGTCTCCATAGCTTCCATCTCACCCCCTTCCACCTACACATCTCCTCTCCCATAGCACGAATATATCCATGCCTCACCACGTTCATTCCGAAAAGGTTGGTATACTATCTCCTGGCCGGTGGAGTTCTAGAGCGCCCCTTGCGCTGATGCCGCGTCGGCTGCAGCAGCGGTGCATCAGCTCACCATGGGCTGATGTCCCGAGAATAATTCCGATTACGAGAGAACGGTTGATGTTCATTTGAATGCGTAGAATGGAGCCAGTAGGTCCAGTACGGAGTAAGGCCATGTAGATCTACCGCTGCGGAGTACATACCCTACTATGGAGTGCGTACAGGGTTCCAAGGTTCCAATTTCAGAGATGTCTCATTGGTGGGAATAGATAAACAAAATAAGAGAACTTGAACAATCCAAATTTATGTACATACACAACTTGAAACCAAGAAGCCACACTCAGACTGGGACTTCTTTTTCATCCCAGCTCTCTTGTGTGCCAATGGCCAGGTCAATTCAAAGAGCAAAAACGCTTCATCCACAAAGATTGTCATTATTTTACAGCTTGGCCTTGGCGCCCTCGAGGAGCTCCGCACCAGCGCCGGAGATGGCGGGCTTGCCGGTCTCGACAACAGTGGCCTGGAAGAGCACGGTGTTGCCCTCCTTCCACATCTCAGTCTTGAGAGTCTGGCCGGGAAGCACGACACCGGCGAAGCGGACCTTGAGGTTCTTATAGGCACCGTACTTGGTGAAGACCTGCTTGGCCGCGACACCGAGCGAGCACAGACCGTGCAGAATGGGGGTCTTGAAGCCGCCGACCTTGCTGAACTCGGGGTCGATATGCAGAGGGTTGCGGTCGCCGTTCAGACGGTACAGAGCAGCCTGGTCCTCGGAGGTCTTCTCCTCGACAACGGCGTTGGGGGCACGCTGAGGGGCCTTGTAGGCTGCGGTGGCACCCTTGGGGCGGACGGCGGTGGGCTTGGGAGAGCCACCGAAGCCACCGCTACCACGGATGAAGACGGTTGACTCGTTGTAGAACAGATCCTCGCCAGTCTTGGCATCCTTGGTGGTGAAGCCAGCGACGACCAGGGCGGCGTTGCCCTTGTCAACGACGTCAATGAGCTTGGGGTAGGTCAGGGTGTTGGCGGTAGTGGGAATGGGGAACTTGCGGACCTCCATGTACTGCTCACCGTGGAGCAGCATCATGGGAGAGAAGTCCTTCACGATATCATCCATGTTCCATGGAGTCTGGGTGTTGAACCAGGGGACCACACCGTATGAGGGCAGAGCCTGGAAGTACTCGCTGTTCTCATACACCAGAGGCAGGTCAGTGCGCTTGGCACCCAGACTCAGGTTGTAAAGGATAACATCACGGTCGGTGTAGTCGAAGGCGGTGCCCTCGGTGGTGAGAGCCTTGGCCTTCTCGATGTTGGCCAGGGTCTCGTTCTCACCGCTGCCACCGGCGCGGTTGGACATGTTGGCCATGATCTTCTCGGTACCAGCAGAAGCATCCTCGGGGTGGTCGGCACGGCCATCCTCGAAGTTGGTGATCTGAGGCCACTTGGCAAGGACCTCCTCGGGGGTGAGCTTGACGTCTACGGGGAAGCCGTGGCCGCCAGAGCGCTGCCAGCGGGTGCGGCCGAACCAACCGCTACCGCACTCGAACAGGCCCTTGGTGGAAGGCTCAGGAGCAGCATCAGAGCTCAGCAGAACAACCAGGGGAGCGACGTAGTCGGGCTTGAAAGCCTGGACCATCTCCTCGGGCATGATAGTGCGGGTCATGTTGGTACCGGCGTTGGGAGCAATGGTGTTGACCTTGATGTTGTACTTGGCACCCTCCATGGCGAGAGTGCGAGAGAGGCCCAGGATACCGAGCTTGGCAGCGGCGTAGTTGGCCTGGCCGAAGTTACCGTAGATACCGCTGGTACTGGCAGTGTTGACAACACGACCGTACTTCTGCTTGAGGAAGTAAGGCCAAGCGGCCTTGGTGACCTTGTAGGTACCACGCAGGTGAACGTTGACAACAGAGTTCCACAGGTTATCATCCATGTTGGTGAAGGCCTTGTCACGCAGGATACCGGCGTTGTTAACCAGGATATCAATGCGACCGAAGGCATCAATGGCGGACTTGACGACAGCGTCACCGTCCTCGCAGTTGGCCTTGTTGCCAATAGCCTGACCACCGGCCTTCTTGATCTCCTCGACGACAGTGTCGGGGTTGACAAGATCGTTCACAACAACGGAGGCACCGTACTTGGCGAACAGCAAGCAGTATGCGCGACCCAGACCAGCACCACCACCAGTAACGAGAGCAACACGGCCCTTGAAGTCGGGCTCCTGAGCCTTGGGGGCGGAAGACAACTTCAGGCCATCCTCGAGGTAGGCCATGAAGTCAGCGGGGCCAGAGGGGTACTCAGGCTTGGAGAAGTCGTTGACATCGTTCCACTTAGCGGCTAGAGCTCCGGGGGTGAGGGAGTCATCGGTCTTGAGCAAAGCACCCTTGGATCGCTCCCAGCGGAGCTTAGCAACGTGGCCGCCACCGACCTCGTAGATGCCACCGCTCTCGGAGGTGTTGGAGGAGTGAACCAGACGAGCAACAAGAGGAACAACCCAGTCGGGCTTGAGGTTGTCCAGAACATCAGGGGGCATCACCGTCGCGGTCATGCGGCTAGCAGCGATAGGGGCAATGACGTTGGCAATAATGTTGTACTTAGCACCCTCCTTGGCCAGAGTCTCGGTGAAACCGACCTGACCCAGCTTGGCAGCGGAGTAGTTGGCCTGGCCGAAGCTACCGAAGAGACCAGCAGCGGAGGCAGTGTTGATAACGCGACCAAACTTTTGTTTGCGGAAGTGAGGCCAAGCAGCACGAGCGCACTATTGGGAGAATCAATATATCAGTACTGGCACTTGGAAGGAATCTTCTTTGGGTATCGGTAGGCTGCTTACCTTGTATGCGCCATATGTGTGAACGCGGTTGATGAGGTCCCAGTCCTCATCCTTCATGTTCTTGAAGCTGATATCACGGAGGATACCGGCATTGTTGAGGAGGATATCGATACGGCCGAAGTTCTTGACGGCAGTCTCAATAATGGCCTCGCCGTTCTCGACGCTGTCGTAGTTGGCAACCGCCTTACCGCCAGCGGCGCGGATCTCATCGACAACGACGTCTGCAGCCTTGAGGAAGTTAGCGGATGCCGGGAGACTCCAATATTGTTTTCTCAAGAAGTTCACATACCTTTGATGACTTGCCGTCGCCCTTGTGAGAACCACCGAGGTCGTTGACCACGACGTTAGCGCCCCTTGAGGCGAAGAAGAGGGCATATGCCTTTCCCAGGCCGCCACCGGCGCCGGTGACGACGACCACTTGGTTATCAAAGCGTAGATCGGACATGTTTGTGTATGATGAGAAGTCCGATTCAAACAGTTCTCAAAGAAAGCTCGAACTGAAGGAAGAGAGAAGAAGGGGAAGAGGGGAGTTTAAGGATGAGCTCGGTCAACCGAGAGCTGGGGGCAGCCAGACCTCGGCTCGTTTGCGTTGTAAGAAATGGGGGGAATTACCTTACATTACTTATATTACACGGTTGCTTCACATGCCGACTGCCGGCCACCACCACGGAGGTGTCCGCAATAGAGTATTCTAGTAATGAATAGGTAATTGCTACTTTTTTCTGTGCCGGACATTTCATACACTATTCATGACCCTTGACCCATCTCTCATCTCCCTCTTCGTCTACCATTTATGCCATTGTGTTCTGTTTTATCCATACCGAGTCCCGCTGACTCAGACATGTGACAGGCAACGTCATCGCCATGTGCTTGCAACACTACATCTATGCATGATTTAATCATCAAATAATATCTAGATCGGCTTTTTTGAGATTTTGGAAGTCTCCCAAGAATATTATGGATAGTAAAGTCGCCCATAGCTGGATTGTCTCGCCCGATAGGAGTAGTCTATACCGCAATACTTACCCCGCGACCCCAGATTCCGCCCGATCGGACAACTTGCCGGCCACCGTAGCCGATAGAATAAAACCAGCATCAGCCCGTCAACCCATAGAGCATTCCACCCCAAGGCATTGAACCACCCCACAAAATGCCGATAATAGACGACAAGTCACAGCACTGTATTCCCTTTCTGCTTGAGCGTCTTCGCGCCCACGCAGACCGTCATAAAAATAACCCCGATGCCGATACCCCACCATTCTTCCTAGGCCTCAATGGCGTGCAGGGCGCCGGCAAGACGGTGTTGGTACGTTGAACTCCGACCGGCCTATCTCTCTCTGATACCTCGGGACGGCTTGTCGGTCTACTTCCCACCCTACCCTGTCCCGAGCAATTATCTGTTCTCCATGCTATGCTCCATACTTCTCCTCGGCGCAGTGTCATGCGATCAATGCAACTAACCATGACCCGCAGGTATCAGCATTACAGGATACCCTCCGTGCCGAACCATACGCACTCTCCGTCGTGACCTGGTCTCTGGACGATATCTATCTAACCCACGCCGACCAAGTCGCGCTCGCACAAGCCCACCCAACAAATCCCCTCCTCCAACACCGCGGCCAGCCATCGACCCATGACCTAGCGCTCGGAGAGAAAGTCTTCGCATCGCTCGCTGCAGAGCTTCCAACCGCTATCCCGCAGTATGACAAGTCCGCCTTTGCAGGACAAGGGGACCGAGTGCCCGAGTCGCAGTGGGAAATCGTGAATGCCGAGGGGCAGCAGAAGATCAAGGTTGTTATCTTCGAGGGCTGGTGTGTTGGGTTCCGGCCGCGGGACGATGCTACTCTGCGCGCGCTGTGGGAGGATGCAGTGAGGCGAAAGGAGAGCGGTGATGAGTACCAAGGAAGGCTGGGTTATGTTCGGTTTGAGGATGTGAAGACTGTTAATGATTCGCTGAAGAGATACAACGCTTTGACTGAGTGAGTTTTATCGCCTTCCGGGAATTGCTAGATGGGGGTATAGTATGTGGCTGACTTTAAACAGCAAACTTGACGCCTTGATCCATATGTAAGTTGATGAGGATATCTCTTTGAGCAAGGCGATCGATACTAATCTCTTGACTAGCGATGCGCAGAATCCTCGATTCGTCTATGAATGGCGCCAGGAGCAGGAACGTGGTCTGCGTGCCACCAAGGGTACCGGTATGACTGAGGATCAGGTCAATCACTTTGTGGATGGCTGTTCGTATTATTTTCCCCACAACTTGCATGGAGACAATGGCTAATTAATAACAGACTACCCCTCCTACGAACTATTTACCGATACACTCCGCGAAGGTGTCTTCAAGCCTACTCGGGAAACATCGGCATCCGAATCCGAGTGGAAGGATCGACAACTCCGACTGGTGGTTGACCGGAACAGAAGAGTCCAGGAGGTGATTAAGATCTGATCTGCCATTGTGGTTCTAGACTATAGATGTTAGACGACTACTACTAAAGATTGGAGCTTTCCAGGTCGAAGATCCAACAATTAAATTACTATATTTAAACTACTATCGAATCAAGACTATAGATGCATTAGGTTAACTTGAAGGTCTAGGTATCACATGTAGGGCATGGGTATCGCTGATAATTTGGCACCGGCAAATGCTCGATTATGTCTTGAGGTCTGCTTTGCATTCGCTCGATCTGTAGTGCGCTGGTGCCTGTGTGATAGGCTGGATGGTATATGCACCAAGCCAACAGGCGGTGGCTCGATTCTCGTGTTCCCACATTCTTGCCTGTTTCAAACCCCAAGGTGAAGAGGAATGAGCTGGTTGAAAACGTGTTGTTTGGGTTATCGTAAATTTGTTTAGCTTTGGTATTGCCACGGCCAATGGGTAGCTAGTAGCGTGCTGGTCTAGTTGACCGGCAACCATTTTTGAACCTCCAGGGCTGGATTATACTCAGCATATACGGCGGAGGACTTGTGGTGGGGGTTGTAGTCGGAGGGCTTGGTCATCAGTTCAGTCGGAATCCTTTCATCCACTGTCATCCAAAAGGTTCTGCGGCGACCAGTACTCTTTCTCCGGTCCCTGGGCATCCACCCAAACAAGACCGTCCGCCACAAGGTCATCAATCACGGTTTGTGCGCGAGCCTTTTCCCACATGAGATTAAGTCGTAGCATCGACACGCTGACAAAGCCCAGAACTTGAATGGCTTCAAGTACCGTGGCCTGATCGGTATTCAACTCCTTCGGAATCGATCGAATATATTGTTTAGATCCGACACGGACGATAGAGAAGCCCGACGCCAAAGGCTCGAGGGATCGAACGGCCCGAAGAATATCATCTCTGTAGAAGGAGCGTAGCGTTAGAGACCCATATGGCGTAGTAAAAGAGAAGAGTGATCATACTCTGAGACCTCCAGCCCACTTCCAATTGCTTTCCCCTTACCTACCCGGTTCCGACATTCTTCAACGCCAATAAGTCCGCCATTCTCAGCTCGTGTTTCCCGACAGAGTTCCACAACTCTAACAGCAACTTCAAAATAGAAGTCATTCATATCCCCGCCCATGATCTGGGTCCAGAAGCTGCCTCCTTCTCCTAATCCTCGGCGAGTATTCTTGCCCTTAACATTGCTGGCGGCGAGTGGATCCACGCCTATCGTATTACACATGCGCGCGAATTCAGCGCGGAAAGTTGGGTTGGATTTGATTGTTGAACTATGCTCCAGGGCAAAGGTATGGAGCAACGATTGGAAGACCGAGAGCTGGGTTTGGAGGGAGGACAGATGGGTGGAACGAAGGTTGGCGCCATGGTTGGCATAGGATTGAGTTGCCTGGGTTCGATTGGCAAAGGCTCCAAGGCCAACGCCGCGACGAGACATACTAGTGATTAAATAGAAGTGTTGGTATTGTTGTTGCCGCAGGGTTGCGGAGACACGCGGGGGTCCTTCCTGCTGCAGCCCGGAGAATGAGGTCATCTGACCGGCGGCGACGGGTAGCCCTAATCACACGTGATAGAAAATGATAAGGGCAAGCATTTTCATATTAGGTTAGCTTCTTTGCTATGTACACTAGTCCGTATCTGGCTAGTGGAATCCACCCACACAAGCGAAATCGTATCTTTTCTTCGTTCGAGGGATTCGAACTTTTTCTTTCCGATCAACCTCGCCGACAGCCATCCTCCGACGACCTTCACAATGGCCCCCGTCACCACGTATGATGCCCTTCCTTATTGATTGACACAATCCTTCGAGATTGTGAGGTTGCCGGTATAGTCGTCCTTTTCTCGCTGCAGATGCTACGGTCATCGTTCCCGACGATGACTGCTGGGCACCAGCTCGATCCTTCCAACGCCCCCTTCCTGCTCGATTGATCCTTCGATTCGCCTGTGTGACTCCAAGCGAACAATCGACAGGGAAAGGGCCACGGAGTCTTGAGGTTGAAAGCTATGATGGCCTTCTCTTCCAAAACCATTGTTGTTCAGCTTTCGCAATCCCACACCATGATGCGGTAAAAGCAGTCATTGTGCATGGAGCGATTAGCGTCAACGCATAATTCCCGAACGTCTGTTTGGGGTATTGTCGGATGAAGGCGGACATGGAAAAAATTTTGTCGGGTGGTTGAAAATTTTCTGCGAACCTTGTTGCTGGAACATGCACATCAGTAGCGGGACTTCCTTTCAACTCCAAGCACCCACAGGATACCATAGCCCTCACTGATCAAAGACATTTCGTCGAGTTATGTTTTATCCTATTGCCTTCGGTTCGAGAATGTGGCGCTCTATGCTGCAGTTCTTACACTCGGCGAATTGTCTCAAGTCTTTGTTACTTGTGCGGACACTGTACTAACCTGCCCCAGCTCCGTCCCTACCCAGGACCATGTCCTCGTCCCCGAGACTCTCCTGAAGAAGCGCAAGAGCCAGGAGGCCGCTCGTGCTGAGCGTCGTGCTGAGGCCGAGGAGAAGAAGAAGGTCGGTTCCCTCCCATCTGCATCTTTTGCAGTTTTTCCTACACACCCCACCCTTCTCCAACTATCTGATGACAACACCAACCACGCGACTAGACCAAAAGGTCGATGCTGTCGCATGTCAACCATCTTTCGGGTCTGATCCTGTTGATGACACATACACTTTGTCTTATCACACGCTTTTTGGGAACCTCTTTACTGACTCAGTATCCCATAGGCCAACAAGGAGAAGCGTGGTGTTATCTTCAAGCGCGCTGAGTCCTACGTCAAGGAGTACCGTGACGCAGAGCGCGAGAAGATCCGCCTCGGCCGTGCTGCCCGCCAGGAGGGTAACTTCTTCGTTGAGGATGAGGCCAAGCTGGTCTTCGTTGTCCGTATCAAGGGGTATGTTCTGACTTCATACTTTTATCATATTCCAAAGCATCTAGCTAACCCACTCCTAGTATCAACAAGATCGCTCCCAAGCCCCGCAAGATCCTCCAGCTGCTCCGTCTGATCCAGATCAACAGCGGTACCTTCATCCGCCTGAGCAAGGCTACCCAGGAGATGCTGACCATTGTCAACCCCTACATTGCCTACGGTTACCCCAACCTGAAGTCCGTCCGTGAGCTTCTGTACAAGCGCGGTTACGGAAAGGTCGACAAGATGCGCATTCCCCTCACCGACAACCAGCTTATCGAGGAGAACCTCGGCAAGTACGGCATTGTCTGTATGGAGGATCTGATCCACGAGATCTACACCGTCGGCCCCAACTTCAAGCAGGCCAACAACTTCCTGTGGCCCTTCAAGCTGTCCAACCCCAACGGTGGTTTCCGCACTCGCAAGTTCAAGCACTACATCGAGGGTGGTGACACCGGTAACCGTGAGGAGAACATCAACGCTCTCATCCGCCAGATGAACTAGATTGTTTTCTCTTCGGTAATCGGGGGATTCGGTGTGCGTTGGGTCTAGAGCCCTGTCCTGAGGATGGGTTCCATGTCTCTTCGTCTCCAATAAAAATTTTACTTTTAACGACGTTATTGTCACGGGTTGTTTAAGCACACGGGCTGTGTTTTCTTTAGTCAATTAGCGATACGGTCTGGGATTTCCGGTAATTTAATGCTTCAGACAACCCGAATTGCCTTCTTGTTAGTAGCCATTGTAGCCATCGTAGTGGTGATGCTTGATCGAGTTTCATGCTGGACTCCACATCATAAAAATTCGATTCCCACCTGGGCAAGATTTCCGACACGAGGCATGATTGTGGGTCGTTGGTTGCCCGCGTGATCGAGCCTTGCCGCTTGCAATTCTTATTTTGCCAGTATTTTTCAATGTTGAGAGCCCATTGGCGTCCCTTCAGGTTTCCTGTTACTAGTACCTAGGTATTGCCAACTTGAAGCTCATACTATCCATAGTCCTGGCGTACTTGTAGTACCTACCTAGGTAGTAGCAACGAATTTGTGGCAAGCTTATCTAGGTAGAATATATTCTGGCGATCTCCAGGGCTGCCACTGGTGGATAGGTCACGGTGAACTTGAACTCCCAGAATGAACCACATACTACTAGGTACCCAGTCATATTACTAGCACTACTTGTAGTAAATTGCTGGAAAATAGAACATTGGAGTCTCATAGTTAATCTGGAGCAAGCCGACCTGGCCAGGGTTAGCGGGTGGCAACTTGAAGAAATGAGGCTCTAAAACGAGGCATGCATCAAGTCTACTCAGGCACACTAGCTAAATTCCAAGGTTATGGATTGGAGTACTATAGTCGTGTATCGAATATTCAATCGGCTAAATATCTAGGTATGTTGTTCACTGAATTTGACATTCAAACTCTGCTCACTTCAAGTTTCGGATCTTTTAAATCAAGTTGTCGGCCCCTTGCCTGTTAGTATTGTAGGCATGCGCCCCAGTGTACATATGCACAAAGTGAAGACCATCATCCAATGAGTACTTAGTGTATATGTACATACCTCGTATTCCGAAACTAACCCCAAATCTGAAGCCACAAGTAAGCCCTGATGGGGCTTAGCATATGTATGTATCTCCTAGCGCCCGCCGTCTGAGGCCAATTAAGCACACCTTGGGCAGCCCTGGGGGTTCCTATTTTAGAACCCCAGTGAGCTGAGCGAGCAAACTGCATGAAACACTAGTGAGCGCCAGCTCACCTGTGTATTGGATACTACGGCTACTAATTTCCATCATAATGGGACTTGCTGAAATCTATAAAATGGATCTACTAGGACTCTGAATCGACGTCCTTTCAGCCGTCGGTTCTCCGACCACAACGGACCTTATACTACATACTATGACAAGACCGCAGAAGCAACAGTCTACATCATGACGACCTTTTCCACCAATTGCACCCTGCCACCTAAAGACTATGTGACGTTTGTCAAATCGCCGAATACTCGCGGCACTCTGGACATCGTCTGGAGTTGTTTATCCGTTCTTTTGATCTGCACATGGTCAATCCTCCACTTAAATGTCCCAATCCAATCGAGCCCTCGAAATTGGAAACAGAAGTATACCCGTGCACTATATCGAACATTTTGGAAATGCTGTTGGATGATTGCGAATCTCTTATCGCCTGAATGGGCATTTGCGAAAGCTCTATGTGACTACCGCGCAGTATCAGCGGTGAAAACCGATTTCGACAACAGTCCAAAGAGGCAGGATGTTCCCTGGTCACGGTCCCATATTTATTTCGCAAATATGGGTGGGTTTGTTGTCAAGTTTGACGAAACAACCGCCGCCGCACCCCTCCAGCACTCGGACTCAGAGGTGCCAGTGGAAAACGATGATGCAAATGACCCCACGGGAATATATTATTCTCACCTCAATCAACGCCCACAAAGCCAATTTGAACTTGAACTTGCTCCGACTCGGAGTCACAGTCCGAGGAAAGATAGCGCATCACACCGCGAAGTGCAGGATAAGTTGAGATTATCGTTATTTCCGAGACTTTCGCGCTGGATTGGTCCGATCTGCTGGAAGGAAGATGAAACAAACTCGAGTTCAATGGTCCAGGCATTCCTTGAGTGCTCGCATATTGGCGATGATATTTATGGCCATTATTGCTATAGTGTGGAACAGCTCCAAGCTGACATCTGGGTGCTTGATGCTAAGCAACTACACCAAGCATGGGAGTATGGCATAATCGAGAAGCTTCCTGCAGTCACAGAGGACGACATATCCGACAAAAACAAGGGCGACTTTGTTGTTAAGATACTCGCCGTGGGCCAGATTGTGTGGTTTGTCATTCAACTTGGCGATCGTCTCTATTCAAAGCTCCCTGTCAGCCTGCTTGAAATTTTGTCATTCTCTTTCGCTGTATGTACAATTTTCACGTATGGGCTGCTGCTAGATAAACCAAAGAACGCTGAAAGCCCAATTGTCATATCCGCTACGCGCTACGCCAGTCCTTGGGAAATCACGAAAATTGCAGAGCTTGGCCCAACCTGCATCTATATGACCAGAAGATCACCATGGATTCCAAATCACAGCTTCCATGATTACGACAGGATCTCGACCGGAAAGATAGCAGGCTCGCTTGCCGGTGTGCTGTTCGGAGCAATTCACTGTGTCGCATGGAATTTCTCCTTCCCAAGCGAGATCGAGCGAATTCTATGGCACATAAGTGCTATCGTGACAGCGATCGCCTTCCCCTTGGGAGTTGGCTTGATTTTGTTGCCCTTGTATTTAGAGGATAAATTTGAACTTGAACACGACTGGCCAGATTGGGTAGGTTGGGCAGATTGGGCATTCAATTACTTGTTAATCTTAGTGGGCATTGTCTTCGTTATATCACGACTTTTCATCTGTGTTGAAGTCATTCGATCGTTGGCTTTCCTACCACAGGGAGCTTTTCAGGCGACTTGGACCCAGAACATCCCTCATATAGGATGAGAGTTTCCTACAATCATCAAATGATTTAATTCTATTTAAATCTCGATGATGCCCTACCAGCACGAGGCAGTCAAATCTCGTATTGTACATATAGACACCTACAGCAGGCGTCGGAGCAGTCCAAGTACTACTAGAGCATTTGAAAAAAAGTAGAAAGAATGATTACCATCATGCTATCTACCTAGTACTACCCTTTCTGGAGGCACGATGGCAGCATCGTCACCATACTACTACTAGTATTGTGACGGTGACTCGGACCACCCTGCAGCCATTGCCGTCCTAGCCTGTCCATCGAGATACCTAGGTAGACTGCATTAATTCAAGTTCAACCATACGATTTTGGTGATTTGAAGCATAAATACCTAGGTAGCTACATATGCTCTCTACGATACGTATTCTGTTTTAGGAACTAAGCAATGCTTTCTAACCATTTATTCATTTCATTTTGAATCATGACCAGACACGAGGGAAACTTAACTCGGTCTAGAAAACGGCATGAGAAAGAGACAAGAAAAACAACCATGACAAGAGATAAAAAAAGTGTGAAAAAGGGGGGCGAGGTGGGCGGGGGAGGATTCGGATAAAGAAGAAAAGTTGTTTAACAAAAAAATGTGAAAGGGCATGCCATTATATCAAAAAGAAAAACAAACTCCCTTTTTAAGCCTTGATCGCTCCACCCAATGCACCACCACCGAACTGCTGGCCACCAGGTCTCCGCTCGCCGCCAGGGAAACGGGCACCACCGCCACGGCCACCGCCGCGACCACCGCGACCACCGCCGCGACCGCCACGGGCTCCGGGGCCCTGCTCGCGCTGGAAGGCATTGGCCATACCCTGAGTGCGCTGCTCGAGAGTCTTCTCGTTGGACTCGAGCAGACCCATCGACTTGTCGGCGAGTGTGACGATCTGGGACTGGAGGCGGGAGAGCTCGACACCCTTGCGGAAGATGATGGCGTCGTTGACTTGGTCTCAGGGCAGCGCCCAGCTCCTCGTGCGAGATCATGCGGCTGATGATGGCGGTGATCTTCTTGATGGGCAGCTCGAACATGTCGGCCAGCGAGGAGATGGACAGGCTGTCGTAGAAGGGGGCGTAGGTGAAGAGGTAAGTGCGCAGACCCTCCTCTTGTGTCTGTGCGGACAGCATCTCCTTGATCTTCTCGGGCTGAGGCATCAGGTCCCAGATCTTAATGGAGGCGAGCATCTCGGCGGCCTTCTTCCAGTCGCCGGCGGCGAGGAACTTGGCGCTCATGATGACACCGTCACGGGTGTTCTCGGGAGGTCCGGTGAAGACCTGGCGCTCATTGTAGTCGAGCATACGGCGGAAGGTCTTGGAGATCATGCGGCGGCGGATCTCGGGAGCGGAGGATGTCTGCGCCATGAGGGGAACCTCGAGGAACATGCTGGAGGTCAGGTAGATACACTCAAGCAGCTCCAGGTTGATGTGCATGTGGAAGGGCAGCTGGCGCTGGCGCTCCAGACGCTCCTGCTCGGGGGAGACAGTAGAGTAACGCTGCATGATGATACCCTGGGCGAGAAGCTCCTTTTGACGGCCGCTACCGCAGATGTCACCAAGAGTGGTCTGGGCCTCGTAGATGAGACCGGCGCGGAAAGCGCACAGACCGATCTGAACAAGGGTGCGGTTGAAGAGGATCTGGGTGCTGACGTCGAAGTTGGAGATGTTCTCTGACAGATGGGACATGAGCATCAGGTCACGAGAGCGGTAGTATTTGTCGTGCAGGGCAAGGAAGTAAATTTGGCAGAGCATCGAGCGGGCACGGATAATGCCGTCGCTGTTCTGGAACAGGTAGTTGCAGAGAGTTTGGAGGAGGTTTTCGACATCGCCAGCCTGGGCGCGGGGGGTAATGGCGGAGTTGAGGGTCTCGGGAAGAGTCTTCCAGGCGGCCTCCTCGAGGATGGAGACCACTTGGGAGGGCTTGAAGTAGACGTGCTCCAGACGGCGAATGATCACACGGTTGACACTGTCCTGTCGTGAATCGTTCTTCTCCCCAGCGTTGAGGACCTCAAGGTAGAGTTGAGTACGGACATTGTTGTTGTACAGCTGCTGCTCGTCACTCAGGCGCTCGATGTACTCAGCAGTGTGGGGGTCGATCTGCTGCAGAGAGCGGGTAAGCTCGTCATCCAGACGCTCGATGTAGGAGACAATGCTGCCGGGAATGTGGAAAGTCTCGCCCTCAGCAAGCTGGGGTTGCTTCTCGTCATCCTCCCACTCATCGGCACCCTCGGTGACAATGAAGTTGCTGTTCTGCTCGAGGACGGACAGAAGAACACCAAACTCGGTGTTGGCGGCCTTCCACTGCTCGGGGCTCATGTAGTTAGCGGAGGCGGAGGTAAGGTCGAAACGGGTGGAGATAAGGGTCAGGTAAACACGGATGCGTTGGTAGGGGGTCGTAGAGACCTCCAGAAGCTTCTCCATGGTGCGGATCTGCTCCAGACGGTCGGTGTTCTTCTTTCCTCGAGACTCAACAATGGAGCGCAGGTGCTTGAGGATACTCTCAGGGGTGTACTGCAGGGTCTTTCCACCACGTCCGACAGTGGCGAATCCATCGTCGTCGCCAGCAGAAGCGGCGGCGGCGGCAGCAGCGAAGTTCTCGACCTTCTGGGAGGCAGTGGGCTTAGGCTTGGGCGCAGCGGCGGGGGCCTTCTCCTCGACCTCTTCGTCCATGTAGGTATCCTTGGCGGCACGGTACTTGTCGATCTGGGTGGCATAGTCCTTGTTGTTCTTCTTGATACGCTGCTTGATGGTGTTGAATCCCTTTTGGTTGCTGGCGTTCATCTTCTTGTTGGCGGACTTCTGCTTGGAGGCGGCCTCGTTGATGAAGTCCTCGAGGTCGGCAACGGCCTTGACGTAGAGCTTGGGGGTAGAACCGGACTGGGCGACCTTGACCATTTGGCGGTTCAGGCTGTCGAACTCTGTGATAATCTGTTGTCAGCGTCGACTTTCGTATGGCTTCACCGAGCCCCTGCGGGCACACTGCCGGTATTCCATCATCCAACACGGCATCCTTGATCTCTAGGATGACACTCACCGGTAGAGATGACGGCCCAGTCGTTAATCTTTTGCGCATTCTCGATCAATTTGATGGTGTTTTCGAGACCCTCCAGTCGCTTGTCCTTGGCACTCTTGACGAGGGTGACCTTCTCCTCCTCCTCCTCGCTCTCACTGTCGGAAGCATCCCTCAAGAAAGCGTTGGCACCCTTCTTGCCTCCCTCCTCGCCGGAGTCATCGGAATCGCTGCCGGAGTCATCTTCGTCTTCGCTGGACTCCTCCTCGCTGCTCTCCTCCTCAGAGCGCTCGTAGACATCCTCTTCCTCATCGGAGGAGCTGGACTCGCTGTCGCTACCACCGCGGTAGAAGAATCGTGACGACATCGTGTATTTGTTTGATTGCACGAAGGCTAAGGCAGATCCTTCTAAAAGTTGACTGGAGATGGCGGGCGAGAGCCACACACGAAAATTAAGCGAGGGGCTGACTAAACCTGATTGGGTTTAGCGCGGGAACTATGCCATGGGGACAAAGAATATCATTTTGATACACTTGAGTTTTAAGTCTTTCTTTCATTGGGATTTAGGGGTTTATTTTGTATAGAAAGTAGAGTTTAGAGAAAAGAAAGGCAAATATATGTATAACTGACATGTACCACCCACTACCAGGGAGGAGGAGAACATCGCGATGACCCGCCATACCTTACATGGCTCTCTCGAGTCATCTCAAGCAAACCACCACCACCACAAAAAGACAGATCCAGATTTACGAAGACAGACAACGGGAAATGAGATCGTTCTTTCATACTCCAGGCTATGCCGAAAGAAGAGGGAAAATCAGAAGATAAGAGCGTAACAACCATGTTCATCGTCGGCCGACAAGTAGAGAAACGTAAAAGGGAAAGAAGAACGAAAAAAAGGAAGGAAAAACAAGAATTACGCGAAACAGACACGTTAGACAAGCATTCCTCACATACAACAATAAACACAACAGAGAGAAAAAAAAAAGGTGACGGTAAAATCATATTCATGCATTGGGAAGAAATCGACCACTCTCGGGCCGCATCTGTTTACCGGCGGGGGAGCGACCGGGGAAAAAAAAGGGGAGTTGCGACACGACAGCTACGCTAGCCTTGTGTCGACTCTTTTGTCGATCTGTTTTCATTCTTGTCTCCATGAACACCATGAACACCATAGACCCGAAACTGGTCGGCCTCCGAAGGCCACTGCCAATCGACTACCATTGCCGTGACTCATGCCAAGGAGGGAAAGAATAGCAAGCAAAAGTACATCCATCGGCTAGTTACGGAGTGGGTCGATTAGGGGCAGTTCAGTTCAGATGGCAAGGGTGGGCGAATCCAGCGACCATCGGTTCCCAGTAATCAGCGATGTAACACAGGAATCAATGGCATAAACCTTCTGGAACAAGGCACACGCGCCAGGCGTAAGAGGCTCGACTATGGCGAGGAGATTATCAATAGTTCAATAGCAGATTCCGAGGCATCATACAAAGGATGCCTATGACGGTCCATCCTAGTGCCATTGGTTCTGACCCATGTAGCCTTCGTTCAGCACGCCGTCTTCAAGGGTACGAATGAAGTCTCGGTTTCGTTGATTGCCGTTACCACCTGTGCGGCTGCCACGGCGTCGTTGGTTGGCATTGTTTGGATCAATATACCCGTCTGGAGGCGGGGGATAGTATGCGGGGCTGGGTTGCAGTCGAATTGGGGCATTGGGATCCAAGTGGCTGGCCACCCGTTGGATTGTGGACGGAATGCCTCCGCCGTTGGGATCCATTGTTGACGCACGTTGGCGACCGGCTCGAGTGGTAGCTTGGGCCTGAAGGCTCTGGGATGGCGCGTAAATGTCCCTGCGGGGCCTGCTGGGGGACCTGGCCAGGAACCTGACCAGGGACCATGTTCATCTGGTAACCGTAGCCTGGTGGCTGCGTCGGGTAAGGTGGAGGAGGGGCTTGTTGCTGGTACATTCCATTGTACATGGCTGGGGGAGCTTGTTGTGGCTGCGCCGGTGCGTGGTACTGCTGATTCATCTGCATGTTGTATGCTGACTGCTGTGCCTGTGCGGCTTGGGCGGCTCTCTGCTTGCTAGTGGCCTCAGCCTGCTGCTGCTGCTGAACACCGGGCGCGACAGTCTTGTTGGGAGCCGAGTACTTCAAGTTCCCGGGAGGCATGAAAGGACCGGTGAACTTCTGCTGAGTGATGAACGGATGCAATTTCGCTTGTTGAGGCGACCATCGCTCGAGGGGGTTGATGGCTAGGAGGCCTCGCACAAAGTCAATGAACGCAATTCGATTGTTGAGTTCTGTCATGGTATTTAGCAATTGTTCGTGGAGTTGTACGCCGATGAATGCTTACCGCGTTCAACCTCAGCCGGCTTCATGTTCTTGCGCGGCATAGGGTAACTGCGAATGATCTCCTCCAGCGTTGAAGCATTGAAGTACTTCTTGCTGGGCTGTTCCTTCGTGTTGTGCTCTCGCGAGTATTGCTCAAGACTCTTCAGACGATGTGTCTTCCGGCCGTACTCATCATGTGTCTTTTCGAAAAACTCGCCGGATTGTTTGCCCATATCCAGCATCCACTGCTGGGGAAGTCCGAGCATTTCGACAATTCTGGTGACCTGATTGTATTCAGAAGATCCTGGGAAGAGAGGCAGTCCCAGGAAGAGCTCGACGACGATACAGCCAAGCGACCACATGTCAATTGCAGATGAGTACCTAGAAATGATATTAGTAATCGATTGTGACTGGAGATATAGTACTGGTCACATACGGCAAGCCAAGTAGGACTTCCGGCGAACGATAGAATCGTGATTGAATATACGTATAGACCGTTTGGCGCTCATCACATGCAGATCCGAAATCAATAACCTTGATAATGGGGCTCTCAAGACTAGATTGAAGTTTAACATGGTCAGTAAAGCAATTCCTCTCGCTTGTGGGAATCAATATCGACTGACTTCTTCAAGAGAATATTCTCCGGCTTCAGATCGCAATGGATTAGGTGAGCTTTATTCAAAAGGCTCAATGCATTCAGCAACTGCTGCGCAAAGACACGGACGAGTGTCGTGCTTAACCCCCGGAATTGATTTTGCTTGATGAGTTCGTAAAGGTTGACACTGAGCAGCTCAAATGCCAAGCAAAGATGCTGCCGGTGAATAAAGGTGTCTTTAAGTCGCAGGAGATGGTGGTCATCGTTCTTGTCATACTTGCTGTTGAGCTATTGGAGGGAGGAAACTGTCAGTGGGGTGTCACGGCAAGCGGGATCAAGGATGCTTACCAAGTCCAACACTGAGACTTCCATCATACTCTGATTGAAGTAGGCTGTCTTGTTCTTGATGACCTTGACTGCAACAACTTCTTGGGTCTTCAGGTTCTGACATTTGACCACCTGACCGAAAGTACCCTGACCAAGGACATCGAGAATGAGGTAACGGTTCCTGTGGAGAAGAGGTTAGATCGAGATACCTGCTTGGGGGATAGCTGCGACATACTTGTGACCAGCCTCTTCGCTACCTAGAATATCGTTCACATAGAGAATGTAGTCGCTATCCTCGTTATCATAGCCATCGTTTTTCACTCCCTTGCTCGGCTTGGTCAACACGCGTCGGGGGGTTCCTCGAGGACTCGTAGTTGAAGTTCGGGTTGCATATACGATAGGTTGACGGAAGGTGGGAGGTCAATGCTTGAAGTGGCTAGAAGACATATGGTGGTGAGCGCAATGGATTAGAACGAAATGGCTGGAGGGAAACTAACGCTGATGAAGCCACCCTCCGGGTTGGCGCGCCGATATGCGGGTTGGGCGTGAACCCGTGGCTGCAGCTCCTGCACTGATTTGATCTTTTGGAACTTCGGGACTGGACCACGACCTGGCACTTGCGATGGTAAGGAGCCAGATCGAGGGGACCGAGTCCCATGGCCAAATGGAGTACCCATGTGGGAGGATGCGGAGGGGGGGGTAATATTGATCCAGGCTGAGGTCGGTCGCTTGGAGCGGGGGAAGTCTAGGGGGCCGGTTGGCGGCTATGGACGTGGTGAGTTACGGTCCACGGGAAGGCGAGAGAACAGGGAAGCACTTGATTTTGGGGGGAACTCACATGGCGGCGACTGGTAACCTTGCGGCGGCGAGGAATAGTCGGGTGCCCGGGTCGGCGATCGTCGCGACTGACCATGAGCCGTTGGGGGGAAACCGTACGAGCCTTGGGCCTTTCCAGGACTGGTAGGATATGATGAGGTAGGCGACGACAGAGCATTCATTGGAGAGTATCGGCGAGCAGCCGACGATTCCTCAGCCTGGCCGAGGAATTGAGACGAGGGGCGGCTGTGATGGTTCGGTCGCGACGGATACTTGGCCCGATTGTATGGGTCCGCATCCTCCATGTTGGTGTCAGCGTCAGTGACATAATCTCTACTGCGTGGCGTCGCAGTGGGAGATGAAGCCATGGAGACAGGTTTAGAGTTGGGACCGGAAGATGGAGGCTTGGAGGTGGTGCCGGGAGTTTGAAAGGTCTCGTAGGTGTATCCGACGGGGGGCTGTGACGACTGCGGTGGCTGGCCGTACTTTGAGCCTAACTGCTGTGGATGAGACGCCAACCCGGTATTAAACTGCGCGGGGCGACCCATCAGGGGATCCTGGTATGGTTGCCACCCTTGATCCATCCTGACGATCAATTCAAGTAGATTCTCAAGTGGGAATGGTAGTAAAAAGAGGAGTAGACTGGGGGGAGGGGGGGGATAGGGTAATTGACCTCTGTCGTCGTTGTCGTCACTGGTTGCCGATGTCCACAGTGCGTGCGCCTTATTAGGTACACTTGCGATCGGGAGAACACACGGGGAAGGATCCAACTGCCAGACAGTTGAAGACGACAATACGAGAAGCGGCGCAACCCGTAGCGACGCAGGGGGGTCAACTAAAACCCGACCCGAGTCGAGAATAGAGGGGGGGAAGAGCGGTTAATTCGCGAGTATAGCGCACTGCATCATCAGGTGGGCAGGAGGTGGATAGCACAAGCAGGGCAAATCCGGGGTGAGACGAAGGGGGGCGCAGATGATATCAGCGCGGAAGGGGGTCAAGAGCAAGAAAAAATAGAAAGAAGTACACAGTATACGTCAAAAAAAAAGAACAGAGGAAGAATCCCACGAAAGATGGAGTAAACTTGAAGGGAGGGGGAGGATGGAAAGTGGAGAGGTCAGTCGTTCCCATCTTGTTGGAGTGTTGTGTTGCCCACTGCGGGCAACGATCGTCCCCTTTACACCCCAGCTTCAATTTGGATTTGATACATTCCTGCTCCTGCTCCTGCTCCTTTTGCTTTTTCTTTTTCTTTTTCCTATCAATTATATTCTTATTATTCTTCTTTCCTTTTCTCTTTCCATTGTATCCCACCAGTCCTCGTCCACGTCTCCATGTCTGCCCCCGTTGTCGCGTCATTGCATACCCAACCGCTAGGTTCGGCGTGAATGCCTAATTCTACCCCTGGATGGACTCGGCGACACGAGTCCGTCCAAATACTACTATTAAATGGCGTTTCCCTATTCTATTCAAGTGCAGTGGCACTAGACACTTGGTAGTTGCTGACAGACTAGAGAATGTACGAGGTCAAATGTGGGCGACTACAATTCGCTCTATTGATCTTGCCCTGCACTGACCTTCAATCACGAATAGTCGCGAACGAAAAGGAAGAAAGTATCTTATGACGCTCGTGTCCCTCCATGTTATCTTCAATTATTACATCACAGCCCTCATAGCGAGTCAATTTGACTGCTCGAAAGGTATTGATTGACCAATAGAATACCGTATCTGACACGACATGTATGTACTACATAGACATCTTTGGTGGCAATTAGCAACTCAGCCAAGTAGCTCAGACATCTTGCAATAACGAGAGATATTGTTCAACCAAGGTTGCCCCGTCTGCTAGCTTTCGCCATCACCCAGAGAATGATTACAAGCAGCTTCGATGTTGGGATACTACAAATAGCATGTGATATTTATGGCTTTGATGCTTACTGTATGCCCAGCCAGCCCAGGGAAACAAATCTCACAGCCAAAACACTGCTCATAGGTCTACAAAATGCAGTACAGCGGTGCTGCTGCGGGTCGATCTGAATTATCCCGGACCAGAACCAAATCAATGCAGATGCAGATAGAAAAGACTGGCCATGCCAAAAGTTAAGAATATCACATTTTCAGAGATTGGAGGAACCAAGAAAACCAAGGTTGTTCCTTTGATCCCAAAAAAGCCGACTTATCCTTTCTGGAGGTGACTTGTGGCATTCTTCCATTGGAATAGGATTCATGAGGTACATTGGGACCATCCTTCGCTCCATTAACTGAAACTACAATCATGAATTAAATAACAGAGGTAACAAATGAGAATGGATAGAGCTAGCTTTCTCAAAACTGTGCCATTTCGTGTATCTTTATCTTAAGTACTAGCTAAAGGTCTTCATGTCCGCCTCATCAGGTCCCCTGAAATCCTCGTTCTCATATCTTCCATTTTCTTCTTGACTACTCTTTCCATATTTGCTCTTTCGTCTTCGGTGAGAAGTGAGAAGATCTATCCGCTTTTTATAACGGTCGTCTTCAGTGCTCGGCTACCAAGCTTTTCCCCATTAGATGTTCGATGTATTCCATAATGATGAAAGGACGAAGGCCGAGAGGGATTTCCTCCTTGGTACCCTAATGCAGTAGGAATGGCACTCGAATCGTCATATGCTGTTGAATATAGCTCATTATATGAGCCCTATTGTGCACCTTCTCTTCAGTTGAAGTATTGTAGCACCGAGTTTCGGAAATCGAATGATTGCAGAACCGTTTTTTCAAACTTCATTCTGAAGGTCACATTGAACACCCCAGCTATTTGGATCACAGATCTCACCGCGATTTCTTCTTCTATGTTTCACGATAAATTGTCCTATAGCCACAAAACCATCTTCCTGAAATAATATGTGTATCCCAGGCGTCCTGATGGCCTCACTCTGCTCCCACGGGGCATCGTCGAAGCACATGCGAGTCCGCATATTTGAAAGTACGGTGAGATGGAAAGGAACACGGTCACTTTAGGTGCTTGATAAATGAACAATCGAAGAGGACAAAGCCTCAATGTTAAAGCGGTGACCACTAGGCTAGACATTTCAACACACCGACTTCTGGGCGTTCGCTAACTACTGTAGGTGGTATATGCATGAGCAAATCAGGCAGAAACCCTCGAATTTAGGCAACAATCTAGATGACTCATCTATCATGTGAGCGGGCGGCTCAAATGGGCGGTGGGGTATTCTGCCACCTTCCGATAAGCAGTGGTTTCCATGGTCGATTTGCCATTTCTCGACATGAATTCGTTCCATCCTGCTTGACCCAAGAAGCAAGATGTTTGCTCGAACATCGGCTTGATAGTCTGAATCTTTCTTTGGGCTGACAAGATTCATTCGCTTCTTTTCAACACGTTCGCCAACCATGGCATCTCCCGGCGCAACCGATGCGCCAGTGGCGGATGAGGCGAGTCGCCTACAGGAGCTAAATGCAGACGTTCGAAACCAGGACGATCTCGAGAGAGATATCACTCGACAGGTATATATCACCTCGAGGCATCAGATACCATTTAGTTCACAGAGCGCTTACTTTCCGAAAGGCAGACAAGATTCTAGCGGAAAAGGCCGAGGAAAACGACGCGAAAAGACTTGAGAAGGTTTTGGCCGATAAAGAGTGAGACTCGATACCCCAGGAACCCATATTACGTACGAAATGGTATATACTAATTGCCTTTATTCAGAAAAGTAGACGCTCAGATTAGACAAGCCCGCCAACGCCTCGCCCAACATGTCAATGCCAGCACTCGACATCGCCTCGAAAACGAACTCAGAAAACAGGAGACTCGCCGAATAGATTTGCTCAAGGATGTGAAGGATATAACAGATCGCATCGACGAACGGCGGAAATCCAAGGAGAATGGAGCGGGCAGTCATGGCCCAGGCAGATTGCCAAACGAGACGAGGCGCGATTATCTTCTTCGGACCGGCAAGATCACACCTTTCGACCTGATGACTGCTGCAGGTCCCGATGGCCAGCCCTCTACACTTCAGGATGCCCTTGTTGACATCGAGGATCAACATGATGAGCAGGAAGAACAAAAGAAGGCAGAGCTCGAACCGGAGGCACACCGATTTCTTCATCGGCCTGGTATGGATTTCGACCAAACCAGCGAAAGCAGCTGGACGGAAAGCAGTGGGAAGCGCAGGAGGGTGGAAAAAAGAAAAACCAAGAAACAATCAAAATCCCGATCGAGCTCTGTGGACTCTTCGGAGAGCTATGTCGCTTCGGAAACTGGTAGTGTCATTTCCGAGGACGAGGAATTCATGCCAGATACAACCCCCGAGGCCACATCTACCCGCAAGCGTAAGAAGGGCAATGCAGAGACCGAGCTCGAAGATCTGAGTGGGGTGGACGACGGCAACGAAAGACTTTATCAAAAGCGCCTTCTGGACTGGACGACTCGACGGAGTGCTGCTCGCCGGCGTGCTCAAGGGGACGACGATGATGATGGTGATGATGATGACCGAGGCGAATGGCTCAAGTCACATCCCTCAGAGCCCGATATGGAGCTTCCAAATGGACTGCGGGTTCCCGGTGATATCAGTCGTTTTCTCTTCTCCTACCAACGAACCGGTGTCCAGTGGCTCTGGGAGCTGCACCAACAAGCGGTTGGCGGTATCATCGGAGACGAGATGGGCCTTGGAAAGACAATCCAGGCTATCTCATATCTCGCGTCGCTGCATCATAGCGGTATGCTCACAAAACCTGCAATTGTCGTATGTCCCGCGACACTCATGAAACAATGGGTGAATGAGTTTCACCGCTGGTGGCCGCCATTCCGGGTCTCTATTTTGCACTCTTCGGGTAGCGGTATGATCAACCTGGGGAAGGAAAGCAGTCGGGAAGACGCTCTCACGTCTCAATTGATGGGCACCTATGGTGACAAGCGATTGACGCAAGGTCAAAAAGCGGCCAAGAAAATCATCGACCGTGTCAATCGGGACGGCCATGTTTTAGTCACCACCTACTCTGGTCTTCAGTCATATGCCGATGCTCTGGTGGATGTCGAATGGAGTTGTGCCATTCTCGACGAGGGTCACAAAATTCGCAACCCGGATGCTGGTATCACTTTCAGTTGCAAGGAGCTTCGCACTCCCCACCGTATAATTCTCTCCGGAACCCCCATGCAAAATAGTTTGGTTGACTTGTGGTCCCTCTTTGACTTTGTTTTCCCAATGCGTTTGGGAAATCTGGTCAATTTCAAAAATTCCTTCGAGATCCCCATCCGACAAGGTGGGTACGCATCGGCGACAAATTTGCAGGTCCAAACTGCCGCCAAGTGCGCAGAAACCTTGAAAAGTGCCATCAGCCCCTACCTTCTTCAACGCTTCAAGGCCGATGTGACTGCCGACCTTCCCAAGAAAACCGAGCAAGTTATATTTTGCAAGCTCACCGAAACTCAGCGTACCATCTACAAACGGTTCCTCGGCTCTGATGATATGCAATCCATTATTAGAGGGAAGAGGAATTCTCTTTTTGGGATTGATATTCTTAGGAAGATTTGCAATCATCCTGATCTGGTTGACCATGCCTTGCGATCTCATGAAGCAGACTATGGCAGGGGGGAGCTTTCTGGAAAGATGCAAGTCCTGAAAGGGTTACTTGAGGTATGGAAGGATACTGGACATAAGACATTGCTTTTCGCACAGACACGTCAGATGTTAGATATCATCCAGAAGTTTCTCGGAATTTTAGGAGGGTTCAACTTTCGTCGGATGGACGGCAGTACTCCGATCAAAGATCGCCAAAACATGGTCGATGAATTCAACAAAAGCCCGGACCTCCATGTCTTCCTCCTTACTACCAGAGTGGGCGGAATTGGTGTGAACCTGACAGGAGCTGACCGCGTCATTATTTACGATCCTGATTGGAACCCGTCTACTGATATGCAAGCTCGCGAACGTGCATGGCGACTTGGCCAGAAACGCGATGTTACCATTTTCCGTCTCATGACCAAAGGCACAATCGAGGAAAAGATCTATCATCGGCAGATCTTTAAGCAATTCTTGACCAATAAAATTACTCGTGATCCGCAGCAACGAGAAGGATTCCAGCTCAGCGACCTTTACGACTTGTTCACGCTGGGAGACGAAAACGATAAAGAATTAGAAACAGTGAAGCTCTTCAAAAACGCCGAAGTGGCCTACCAGGAGGAAGAAGCCTCGGCGACAAACGGCGGCGGTTCAAAGAAGTCTTCTCTTGTCAAAACGGAAGACGTCAGTACCGTTCAAGGGGTTGCAAACGTGGAAGAGTTCAAAACCAAAGACGAAAACATCGACGAGAACGGCAACGTCAAAACTGCGGAGGACCGCATCATGCATGGCATTTTTTCACGATCAGGTGTCCATGCTGCGGTCGAGCACGATCACATTGTGAACGGCAAGCGTGCTATACGTTCAGATCCCAAAATCATCGAAGCCGAAGCTCGCAAGGTCGCTGCAGAAGCCGCCGCGGAACTCCGTCGGGCTGAAGAGACTGCCCGCTCCACTCCAATCGGTATCCCGACCTGGACAGGCCAGTTTGGTATGGGTGGTCGATCCGATTTCGCAACTGGCAGCTCAGCGCGCCCGGCAGGAGCAGGTCCTTCATCTGCAAGTCTTCTCGGCAGGCTCAACCCTGCAGCATCTGTTGGTGGCAGCTCCAGCCCTGCGGGATCATCCCGAATGCCCCGTGGAAAGGATTTCATACCGATGATCCGAGATTTCCTGGTTTCTCGCCGCGGGCCCGTTCCCACGCAGACTATCATTGAGAAATTCAATCATTTTTGCCCGAACGATCAGCGTGTGCGCGAGTTTCAGGAGACGCTGAATATTGTGGCTGCCTTGAGCAAAGACCGGGCTGGCCGTGGTGTTTGGACTTTGAAGCCAGAATTCTCCAAGAATCCTGACAGAAGATGAAATGTCCAACTCGATTGCATGGCTTGGAGAAGCAAGCTTTAGAACTTGACTCGGAGATTCGCCGTTTGAAAGAATGGATGTACGATACAGAAAGCTAACGATGTGATGACCGGAAATACGATAAACGAAGAAAGAGGACCATGTCTCCTCGGTACAGATTGTACATCATTTAAAAAGCCTGTAACAGTAGCACTATCTATTCGGATTGCCGAAAACAGGTGCGAATTAGCAAAATCCATACAGATCTGGCTGTCGGTCCTCTCCTCTGACAGTCTTCCCTGTGGTCGGATTAATTAGGAATTGATTTTCTTCAGATTTTGTACTGTGGAATCGTACTTTTTCCAAGGTTCTTCATGCTCCGTTTTCTTCACTTGCTACATCATTTATCTCCCATTTCAAGGCAGCCTCGGGACTTTTCTAAGGGTGAGTGGGGCGAAACGGCGGTTGGATGAGAACATTGTGGATATTTTATGATCAAGATCGCTGGAACGGTTCAGGGGGGTTCACGCCAAGATGCTCAATGCTCAATTTCCCATGGAAATCCCTTTTTGCTGTGGTCGGAAAGATTGAAAAGCACACTCATAAGGCAGTTGAGAAAAGTGAAAATGTCTTGGTTCCATCAAGAAGATAATGACATTTCCACTTGTTTCGCTTTGATCGACGTCGCCCCTCACAACTAGCACCGATATAGAGAATTAAAGTCTGGCTTTAAAATAGCAAGATCGTTGAAAGGATAGATCAAATCCAACATCACCCAGGAGACCACGGCACAGCACATCCAACCCCTGCGTTGTCTCGGATTTCAGGTCGGCTCCACGAGTGCCACTGCCGGCGGGGGAAGATCTTCAGTCTATGTCCGCCCTGACTGGTGAACCCTGAGACCCTCTAGTGAGGATCTGCAGCTGCGGTGGATCAGCGGGGGCGAATTTACCTCAGACGCTGACATCAGTGACGCAGAGCAGTGTCTGTCTTAATAAAACAATGGCACATAGTGTTCAAGTTGTGAAAGGAGAATGCGAAATAACCACCGGAGATGCGCTCTCAATATCTAAGATTGGGATTTTCCCATCATAGCTATACAAACCTGATACCACTCCGCATCAATCCAAGGCACAACCGCCTTTTCAACACCTTCGACCCAAGGGTCGGGTCGCAGATCGACGTGGGGGTAAGGCTCAATGGTTAAATCGGGTGGTCGGAAAGTGGCGCATCCACCAAAGACACCACTGGCATTATATTAGTAGATCGTTCCTGCATAAATAGAACGTCATGGCCCCGTCATTCGCACCTATAGAACAAAACATTCCTTTAGAGACTTCTCACCTCGTCTCAACACTCATCTTCCAACACCCATCCCCTACCATCTAACTCCGGCCATTTTCCCGGCCTACATCAATCCCAAAATGAAGTTCGTCACTAGCCTCGCCATCCTGGCCACCGCCGCCGCGGTCTCCGCTAGCCCTGTCCAGAAGATCTTCAATTTGGTCACCTCCGGAGCTTCAGATGATAGTAACAACGGTCTATACCTTTCCACCGAGCACGAGGACCCCTTGAACAGCAAGGCCGTTTTCCGGGAAAAGACCGATGCGGCTGACTTCTACTTTACCAATGGCACTGTCCGCTACGATGCGCCTAACGGTGCGCCTTACGCTATTGCTCTGATTCCCGGGGAAGACCAACAGGGCGATGTGGAGATTAGCGTTAGCCCGACAACTGGCAGCCGGGGATTTCGCTTGACGAGCGAGAAGCAATTGAAAACTTCTAACAAGGATTTTGGTGGTTGGTTGGGTAAGTTAATACTTTCATTTTCCTTGATTGGCTCAAAACCTGGGCAAAGAATAACTTACTGACGGGTATCCTTTACAGTGTGTGATGGAGATGATGACCTCCAGGGCCTGTTCTACGAGAACAGCAGTGCAGGAAATGATGTCCCGGAAGGCTGTGACGCCGTGCAGCTGGATGTCATTTACAAGACCTCTTCCTAGAGGTCTGTTTATATGAGAAACTGAAATCTTCATTTTGGGTTGGATCTTGGCGGAGTTGGACTTTTTCTCACTTGTACATTCTTTTTCATACTACTATCTGGGCTTATAGCGTTAGATAGATGAGCGTTACGATATATCAAATTTATTGCGGCTATTTTACCACTCGACTCATAATGTGCGTTACCTGTTGTAGCTGAAAATCCCCACAGTTGCTTTCTGTAGAACAGCTAAAGTTGTAAGGAGTTAAAAATCAACTGAATTGTAAATCGATGTCGTGCCCAAGGAATAGGAAAAGACTAGAGGGTTGTGAATTTCGACTCGTGCACTAAGTTTTGTTCCTGAACGAGCACACCCAGAACCATTTAACCGAAAGATTGACAATTATCACTAAAGATCGGTCGATTTTGACAATATTTCCCACTCATTAATTTCCCGTAGGGTATTTTCGCACTTTTTGCGAATGAGCTCAATAGCATCGGACCCCAGGGGCAATGAACTCGGCCATGTCTTCGTCATAGCTCCATGATCTCCTTTAACAACATCAATGATTAGATTGACACCTTTTTTCGGATCCCCAAGCTGCGTGCCGTTCAAGTCCGTAAAAGCCTTGTCCATATCTTCCGATAGTTGGCGATAGTCCTCAATGTGTTTTTCAACAGACTTGGAGTTTTGCCAGGATAAAAGGTCGGTCATAAATGTGCCCGGCTCAATGAGGAGTGTCTTCAACCCCAGTGGTTCTACCTCTTTGGAGAGGGAATCGACAGCATCTGATGGAAATGTCAACCAAGATGGTCCCGCAGTATGATAATGTCTCACCCAAATCACATACAATGAATCGCAGCCTTGGAAGCGGCATACGTTCCGACAGTTGGAGCGCCATCCCATGCGACCATAGATCCAATGAAGACAATGATTCCGGCTTTTCTTCCTCTCATGTGCGGCAAGAATGATCGGGTGGTGTTTAGTGTCCCGAAAACGTTCGTGTTGAATTGCTTGAACCATTGATCGTGGCTAGATAGAGGCATTGCCTTTAGATCCTTGAAGTAATCCAGAAAAAGGAAGATATACTATCATACCTGGTTTCTTCAATCGTACCAAATTGCACATATCCGGCATTGTTGACGAGGATATCAATCCTCCCATAGACTGCGATCGCCTCTTCAGCCTTGCGATTTAGCTCCTCCTGAGGCGCAGTTACGTCCAACTGTAAGGTTGCAGCTCCGAGTTCTTTCAAAGAAGAAAGTCGGTCTAACTGTCGAGCTGTGGCGATAACTTTGTCCCCGCGACCTAGTACAGCTCTGGCAAGCTCATGACCTAGACCCGACGAGGTTCCTGTGATGAGCCAGACTTGAGACATAGTATCGGTCGGAAATTTGACTTTCCGAGGAAGATAAAAGAAAAGTTTTGATGCCAATAGGCGCCTGTTTCTGAACAGAAATGGTACTACTTATGTTAAATCTATGCTGTGGAATAGATTGTTTCGGTTGGGGCTCGCCCGAGAAGTTTCGGGACTGCCGTCGGATTTCGGGGCTACATACATCATAGCATAGCACGGTCTTGCACTGCAGTACGCCACAATAATTTTCCTGTATATGATATGATGCTCTGAAATTAAGACAAGACTGGTCGCTGGGTGTTTGAGATTAGAAGGTAGCAGCAAAAAGGGCAAAAAATCAAGTATAGCGCTTTTTTGACGAGGCTGTCGACGCCGAATGGCTTTGGAGCCATGGCAATTCTGCATATTCAGTCTTCAAATGACCCGAAAGTGGTTGCAATTGATGACAAAACTATAGTTTCTGCCTAAGATTAGCTACGCCTGGTAAGAGTCTCGGCAATATCACTCGTAAATTGAGCAAACCTGCGTCTGATGGAATATTCCGGTCGAAGCTGCACTGGGTCAGCAAAGTCCTGGGAAATCTGTACGCGGGAGTGTTACATTTTCTCGGTGACGTTGTACGTCGCTCAGAAAGTTTGAAGAAAAGAAGATGCAGTTAATGCAAGTCTTTTGTGGTCAGGATCGCCCTCTTGAAGAACGGATGGCAATGGTGCAGCTTTTCCCTCGTGAAAAGGAAACAGCAGCGGAATGGAACTTCCTCCCCGAGTTTTTGGTAGAATAGAGTCCCTGACAGACAAGAAGATGGATCACCGTAGTAGTTCAGTAGAAAAACGACCACTGGAAAAACGACCACTGGAAAAGCAACCGCAGAAAGTACGCGGTAGGGGGGGGGGCGGAGATGAGATATTTCGATGGTACAGGTTGTTGATGCGGTGGAAGCCGAACCCAAAACCAGTGTGAAACGCGAAGGAAGTAATATTGGTGCTGTATCCGTCAAAGGCAGCTATGAATGAATGACATTCACGGAAATAACAACAGCGAACTGATTGTGAACCACAGCATTAGAATCGAGGTGGTGGAAGTGAATTTGAACTTGATGACTGGCGAGTATTCCAAGGTTGCAGTTTCCAATCATTCCCCTCTCTCACTTGACGGAGAATTATGGTCTCTCAGTAGTTGCCCGGAAGAATCAGCCACAATTTCGATGTATGATGCTGAAGCATACATAAGATTTTCTTTCTCAATCAAACCATCTTTCTGCTTCACCCAGCATCGTTTCCCAACCTCCATTCATTCATTACTCGGCCCTTTAAAATCCAGGTAATTTGTACCGTACTCCTCCAACTCGAGTCTAAGGAGACTTTGCTGATATCAGAATCAATATAGTATCATTTAGAGGAATCAAGAACTTTGTCAAAGTGTGTGAGTATGCCTGCTCTCCTGATGAGGATACTTCGGCTTCTTCCACGAGAGAACCTAATAGCCCGCCCCTGACCAAGGAAATCTGCCTCGATTGGATTGTGCTGGTAAAATAAATGCCAAGTTGAACTAATCTTGATAAGACCGTTCGATTGATTCACCCAATTCATATAAATAACAAAGTGGAACAAGGGACGAAAGCCATCGGCCAAAGCCTGATAAATAAAGGCCCAGGCGAGGGAGAATGCCGCCGAAATCATGGAGGAAAGCCCGCTGTGGGTTTAATCTGCAAATGACCGGGGAAGAGAAAGGGATGGAGAGGTAATAAAGTAATTACAAGGGCCTAGTCTCTTTGCACTCAATACCCGAGTAGGTAGCGCTGATTTCTTGGTTGGAAGAGACTCGGATGGATACCTAGGTACTACTATGTAGCAACGATAAGTATTTTTACCCATTTGTGTACGAAATCTAGTTCAAGTACCTACCTATGTATATCCAAAACTTCTAACACGGCCCGAGGTCGCTAGCTCCCATGTACTTTGTTTAAAGCAAAGATTGCCATGCTATCCGTGTCTTCCTTCTTGAAAATAAATCGTAAAGATCAGCACTTACAAAGAAGATCTTCTTGGCCGGGGCGCAAGAGTCCCCGGCGTGTCCGTAGCCCAGGTGTTCAAATCCTTCCAGATACTTGATTACTAGAACTCAAACAGCCTTGGCACTGAATGATACAATCATCGATACCGTCTTTGATTGTCCCAATATCCCCGCACGATCAAGGTAGTCCGGAGAAGTATCGGGGAAACCCAGTCTTACCGACTTGGCTGTGGGGAAATCATATTATACTAAATTAAAAGATTGTCCGATTTTTCTCCGTATCGCGATTTTACCAAGATCGCTGAACACAGAATTATGGCCTCATGCGGAAACGTACCTGGTTACCGGGGATCCCTTCCCATGATAGTTAGTGGTGTATTTAACATCCTGATGTGGAGAAAGACGCAAACATAGGCCAAGGCAACGCTCAGTTCGGGATTGCGGTTCAAGACTATTATTTTGAAGTAAAAATGAGCCTATGGAGACAATGAAATTTAGAGTTGAACAGGACCTCCGGGTCGTAGTCCCGGTTGCCTACCAGCAATGCCTTCGTCAATCTATAAAACCTTGGCCTTCCCTCTTTCCCTGTCGGCTGGGATCATCCTCTATTCACTTAAATTGCAATTACGATCATTCCGATTCTAAGCCTCCAGTCGAAGATCCGTCACTAAAAATTGACGCCATTGGTGTCCGCTTTCACCTCCCCGATAGCGATGTGTGGAGTCTCCTTCGCCTTTTGCTTGAAGTGGCGTGGTTTCACCTTATGAAAAAATAGTTCGTCGAGTTTCTCGGGGGATATTCCCTGGACAAGCCATCAGCGTATATCCAGTGCAAATTATGTTTAGATTTACCTTGGTTTCTGGGAACAGGAAGAAACCTCCGATGGCAGCCATTAAGCCAGTGCCCAAGAAAATGAACCCTACCTTTCCTCCGAGATTGCCAGTGTCAGGGTTAATCTTCACGAAACAATTAGCAGCGGCCGGTGGTGTCTTTTAGATAGTGGAGCAAGGAATCAAGATATACCATGTAAGGAATAGTGAACTGCATTATAAGGCCCCATATAGCGTTCGAGATTGTGACCATGCCCTGAGTGGCGCCACGCAAGCGCATGGTGGCGATCTCCGATGCCAGTACAAATCCGGTAGCTCCAATGGAAATCTGATAAATGATAGCCCAGACGTATATAAAAGCAATTATTCCTGTGCTCGCTTTAGTGCGGTTGGGGATACACCCCATGATCCCAATAAGCAGAAGAAGAAAGCAAAGGACAAACTGAGACCCGACAATCAAACTTCGGCGACCGACGATCTCAGTGAGTGGAAAAGCAGCCATGCTCGCAAGAAGCATGAGAACATAAAGAGCGACAGATGCGTTGAAATAGTCATTGATGCCGATAAGTTTAAGAAAGTATGTAGCATACCCTATAACAAAACTCGCACCAATCATTTGTTGAGCACTGGCTGCAAAGATAGCCGTCAGTGTTCGTCTGAGATTAGTACCTCGGAAGCAATCGACCTCAGCAGAGAAGTTGATGCCGCATATTCGCCAATGGTGATTTGAATCAAGATCGCCATGAAGAAGTCTTGTAACGCGAATCTCTTCTTGCATGCGATTGATTTCGAGGTCATAAAACGATACATCATTGATTCCGTAAACAACTTTAAGGGATTCCCTGCTCTTGGCTATCTTGCCCTGACGAATTAGCCAGTAAGGAGACTCTGGGAAGAACAGCCATCCAGATAAGAGAATGACTAGTAAGCATTGCTGTCAGAGTGAAAGATCTCCTCGAAGCATATCTTGAAGCAAGACCCGGGGGGAGGGGGTCACAGGACTCACTAGGGAAAGTGTACATTGAGACAACAGGTAGCCACCATTGCCTACATTGCGGAGTTAATATAGTCAGAGCTGTAACTTGGAAGTCCTAGGTATGTGATTGTATCTGACCATTCAGTTGCCAGATAGCAGCTGACTTTTGACACAGTCACACTAAACAATGTAAGGAATTATTAGTCAAGATTTGAGATCATAATAACGATGGTTACCAACATAGCAAATTGTCCGAATACGATACTCGTATTGAAGAAGCAGAGAAAGAATCCTCGGAGTTCGGGCTGACAGGTCTCCCCGACCCAAAGAGGAGAAATAGTAAACATCATGCCAACGGCAATGCCTGTTTACACGTCAGCAACGAAAGATTGGAGGTTATGACGGATATAGGAAGTTACCATTGATACCACGACCAGCGAGGTGTACCTTCCAATTATCTGCCAGCTGCTGAAGGAAGATTCCCCCAACAGAAATGAAGGCAGCCACCAGAATTCCAGGCTTCCGCCCAAACCTTTCAAGCAGCGGCACGAATATAAAGCTCGAAATGATTTCACAAGCGGGAGTGATAGAGTTCCAAGCAGACAAATAATGAGCTGGAATCAGATAGCTACCGTCAGTCTGCAGATGGCCGAACTTCTTCTGAAACTGAGGCAAAGCAGCTAACTGGCCACCGGCAACAACATCGTAGCCCTGCATAACCACACCGCTGGATATCCAAAGGGCTGATCTGAACGGGTTAGAATTGTCCCTATGATAGAAATATAAGTAAGCGCATACTCACACCACAGCATAAACCGCCATTGCACTTTCAGCATCTGCCACCTATTGGCGGGGCTGGTGACTGAGTACTTGTCTCTGTAGGATGAGCCTTCAGTTAGGTATTCAAATAGTACCGATCAATGAGCCAAAGTGTATCAAGGGAACCCATACATGGCCGCCATCGATTCTCACTTATCAGTAGTGACTCGAGTAACAGAGAGGGGGTCTTCACAACTCCGATCTGTCGAGATTCCCTGGAGATTCCAGGTGGTTATGTTGACATACATATTAGGGAGAGTTCTAGATGTGGAGACGAATGCCGTTATCGAGTGATTGAGAACATTGAAAATGTTATCCAACGCCACGGGAATGCGATACGAGCAAGAATAAGCGTGGGTTGCAAAGTTGAGGGAATCGGCAAGAGTACAAACGACGCGGATCGGTCTGTCTTTCCCCTTCCAGCCTCCACCGGGCCGTACTCCACCAGGTTGCGGAGAAATTGCGGGGAAACCTCACATACATAGGTAGTCTCCATTGCCCTAGGGTACCGAGCCGGCCGAATCACCAATCTTGCAGTGGATGGCTTGCAACACGCTCGGAAAGATAAATTCAGGCGAATTGGCCCACCTTGGCACCCTCATCCCTAGAGCTGGTAGATCGAGCGTTTGTAATATCATCACAAGAGAGTTTCCTCGGAGTACCTGGGGGTAGATTTGAAGCCTCGGCAAGTACGTGCCAATAAGAGCCTCTAGTTCCGGGAGCATCACTTAGAGTCTCAAGTCAAATATTAAAAGCTTTGGCCCATGGCAGATGTCAAGACCCCTCAGATTCAACCTTCGTGTATTCAGACAAACGAAACCGCTTTGATTAGCATTTGATGAGTTCTGTTATGTGTCTCATTGGCCCACCCTCCTCTGAAGTAACACGTAAATGAATTTCAAGTTTGCACTTCGTTCTTCTTACCCCTACAACTTGAACCCTTGTACAGTGAATGTCTTCTCTACGTCTGCTTCCCATCTGGACTTATTGCTACTATTGGTCATACCTAGGTATTCGTCTAGTTCGTATTCATCTGATTGAACCTGTTTGACATAATAAAAGTACGGAACAATACGGAATAAGGTTGAATAATCAATATGTTTTACGGAGTCTACCTAGTTTGCATTGGATCAGTCGGAGGTGCCTTAGGATTGGATCTGAGAAGAAGCTGTTGGATCACAACCTTGGAATTCCAGAATTTGAGCCGGGTCACGGTCTTGGCGTGTTTGGAATGGTATCAAAATTGGAAAGTTTTGATGTGCAGCCTGACATGATAGGCTGCTTAGATCTTCGCAGTAGCCACCAGAATAAGCTAGATGACCTCTTGGAGCTCGGGAGAAGGAGCTGGGCGGTCTGTTCAACAAGAGGTTCTATACTAATCAGAAGCTAGGCCAGAGAGTTAGCTTTCGGCTGGAGAATCCTCGGCGAAGGCGGCGCGCCCGGGCGCCACCAGAATATTCACTTCAGTTAATTCCAATCGAAGTTTCCCAAGTAGCAAAATAATGAAATCACTTCGGGGGAGGCCAGTGCTCGTTTAATATTTCCAGTGTTGCTGTATGCTTCTTATCCATGGATTTAGCAGAGTATTATTGATTATTGACTCGGATACTACAGCCCTTGCGTCTTATTGAGTTAAGCCCTATATTGATACGCTTGTTCTTTGACCACCGATGATAATTTCTAGTAGTAATCGAAGGCAAATAAACTTTTTCCTCGTATTCTCATGGGATTCCATGCAATTGCCTCTTTTGAAAACAACGCTCCATGCCACACGTCCTCAAATATCGAGATCGTGATTCGTTCGTTTCCGAAAGTTTTGCGGAGAATCTTTCAAGGCCTTAAACATCATTAGTTTCCCAAGCCCTTTACCCACCCTCGGAGCCCAGAGCCCCGGATCGGTACAACATTCAGGCATCCCGCATAATACATAGGTGATCCTGGACGTTGGGAACAATTAGCGACTGTCGGGCGAGTTCTTAGCTTAGATTAACAATTACGCCTGGACTGTGAAATAATCATTTATTTATCTCACCGTACCACAAATTCTACTGTAAACCGGAAGGGAACACGGCAATCCTGGCATAGGTTCTTCAAGTTGTCGCGACGCGGACCGGTCACGCCATCGACCAGTGCATTCATTCATTCGGTTTAGAACCCGCAGGGAACAGAGCTTCCAGCTTAGATCCACCGCGGATATTTGGCAGCTTTGGCGACAATTGATATCCCCTTCAGATATGATAACGCATCTACCATGAACACCACTGAGCGTCGGCGACGACGCAACATCAGCGCCTGCGACCTGTGTCGTTCCCGGCGAATCAAATGTGACGGATCAAGACCGAGATGTTCGACTTGTTCTCAACGCAATGCTGCCTGCGTTTATCCCGAAGTAGTCGAGGCCCCCAAGTCAAGGTATGATCTGTTCTGATAGAGGAGTAGGAGAAAATTGCATGAGACACTAAAATTATCCTAGACTGGAGATCGAGATGTCAACGATCCGGCATAGACTAGACAGTATCATGAAACTTTTATTTTCGGAAAACGCCCATCGAAGTTTTCTAGCAGATATGGCTCCTGTCACTGTTCCTATTTCAAGTTGGACTCGAGAACAAGATGGGAGAACCGATATGCTCCCTGAGGAAGGACTCAAATCTTCTTCAACTCCATTCATGGTGATTCAAAACCCTGCTGTTATGGACCTCCTTGGCCTCAAACAGGACCTAGCTCAACAAATGGTCGATGCCGAACGCGCGATAGTCCCAATGTTCTCTTCTTCATCGATTGAGGAAGGTGACCTGCACTTTAGCAAACTCGGCCCGAACAGGTTTGTACTGAAGAAGCACCCTTCAACCTCAGGATGATGTTTAACACTGGGTGTTTGACAGCGCCCTCGATGCCTTTTTCGATAAAATCTACATCTGGTACCCTATTCTCGGGTTTAAGCTTCGTGAGGATTTACTCAATGTCCAAATTTCCCCAACAGTAGCCTCTGAGCGCTGCCTATATTTGATAGTGGTGGCGATAGGCTCACTGGCTCAATATGACTCGCTCCAAGAGGCGCTCAGGCAGAGACCCGATGCTTTATGGATGGAAAAGGCGCTAGGTTTGCTGCCAACTGTTCTACTCGAAAGCAGTGTCAAAGCATTGCAATGTCTCATATTTCTGAGCATCTACTATCTGTGCCTGGTAAAGCCATGTCAGGCGCATGATTACATTCTGATTGCGTCCATCCGGGCACAGGACTTGCTGAAAAGAGGTAACCTCGACGCTGAGACCCAGGAGCTTGTCCGACGCGCATTCTGGGCAAATTTTTTGATCGAAAGCGAGCTATCAATACAGCTAGATCTGGCTTCCAGCGGGCTTTTGGTTCACGAGAGCGAAATTCCCCTGCCTTCCTGGTCCCAAATAGGGGATGAGGGAACATCTTCCCCATCAGACTCGACAGAAGTCTCCCCTGCTCCTTCATCCAGTACTCCTGAGTTTCCGAGTCGCCATTTCACATACTTACTGGCCGAGATTTCCATGCGACGAATGCTTCAGCGCTGTACAATATCCACTCGCAAATTGCCCTGTGGCAAGCGGATTTTTGCTCCTGCTATAGCGGCTGAGTTGGAGTTACAACTCGAACAGTGGCATTCGTACTTACCTGAATTCCTAAGTTTTGGCCTTGACTACGTCGCCGATTGCACCTCCACGCCACAACTGCTGTTTCTTCAAACCCAATATCACGCGTACAGAGCGACTATCTCCTGGCCAGCAGTATACCAGGTCATTGAAGAGGGACAGCTTGATGACATGCTACGACTAGGCTGCTTAGGATTCTATCGATCCTACAGTCTCTTCATTCTGAGTGCCGCATCTTGCATTCCACAATGCCCTCCAAATACATGGACACTTTATGCCAGGTTCGTTGAAGATTCCCCATACTGATGGCTGTGCAACTCACAATGTCCTAGTGTATTTATCATCACAATGGCCGCACTTCGAGGTACAGAAAGCCTGTCTCTGTCCTCTTTCATATCTCTGGAAGTTTTGAAGAGTTTTGATATCGCCTGTCAGCTCCTCGAGCAAACAGGGGAACTTGGACCATCGCTGCAAATGATGCAGGGTATCTTGACTGAGGCGCTAGCTAATATGTGGAGAAATTGGCATGCCTTAACTCGGCGAATGTTGGAGCAGCAATAGCCATAACACCATCCTCAGGAGTCCCACAGCCTGATGCTCTAGTAGTCTTCGGACAGACCACCATATAAGTTGTGATGTTTACACCTGGGAATTGTTAATGAAGTCAGTGTAATATAAATTATGAACTAGTTTCAATCAAGATGCGTAATTTTCATACCTTTTCCTTGACACTTGCTTCGAGTGAACGCCTCGGGAAAGCCGGCAGTAATAGATTGACCATTTGCGAAGCAGCAATTGGCACGAAATAAATCGTTCCCATTATCGGAGGATGGTGCATGCATGCAGATATTCACCAGTGAGAGTGAGGTCAGGAAGGCGAGATGTAGGTGCTTACGTCCAGCCCGTTGGGCTCTTTCATGTAGTTATTCTCGGCGATGAAATGCTATACTAGGCAAAAATGATCCACCATGACCTGAGTTGTGAGTGCGGATTGTGAGGCCAGGAACACTGCTGCTGCTACGATTCTGGTGTGGCTGTAAAGCGGTAGGTAGGTAGAATGTACAGACACCCATCGTTGTTTTGACTAAAAAAGCATTCCTGCTCTCAATATACCCTCAGTGTCGCCATTCAACATCATCATTCAAGGATCTCCTTCTCCACACAGGCCACCGGAATCTCCACTTTTGGTGTTCTTAGACTCAGTAGTTAGCCCCTAAAATCTTGGAAAATATCATGATGCAATTACCAACACAAATTATGTCTGCATATACCTGCATACTCAATTCAATTCAAGATTCTATAACCTAATTCAGCCACACTTTCAAACGTAATAGCTATGTAGGCGTTCCCTCCATCGGGAACCAGAACCATCCCAACGCCACGCCCGCAGTAACATGAGACAAGGAGATACGGCGTATTGCCATAGAAAATCGATTAATAATCCCACAAAAAGCGGTAACAGAAACCTCACAATGAATGTAATCAGTTGCTGCCATTACCCGCACCGCCATGCGGCCACTCCTATCTCCGCAATTTCCCCTCCCCGCAACAGCGGACACATTGTTATGTCGATATGCCCTGGTTCCTTCTTTAATTGTTGCTACCAAATATCTTTTGCTTCTCCGACGGTAACCTCTCGTAGCTACGGTCCATCATCTCTTCCATATGCTACATTACTGCATTGCTTCCAGCTCTTCGATGTTCGCCTCGACTTCTTGGGAATCTATATGACGGAATTGGCCCAGGGGTCCTGTTTCATACATGAATTTAGCCACGCAGCAAATGGCCTGCGAGTCCGATCCAATTGTGTTGTAATCAGTAGTCACCGGAGCTCCATCTTGTGGCGGAGCTTATGCATCAGTGTCGTACGCAGGCCGGTGTATAACGGGAACTGGAGGAGGATATGCTGGGGTGTCTGGCTCCCCTCCTCGCAGTGACACTGGCCCTACCCTGCATATTAAATATTTGCCCCTTGCATGCCCACCTGCCCTGGAAAAACAAAAGAGGAGCACCTCGGGGCATCGCGGACCACCTTGTATATTCCGCGAGAACCTCGATCTTCCATTGATGATTTAGAGGCATCATCCTAGGGACAATGCCATGCCTCGTGGGTACTATTCTAACCCACTCTATATTGCGCCTGGGATGCTAATTTGGTATAGCGCCAAACTTGTAGAAAGTGACAGGACTGCAAGCTGTACTGAGCGCGGAATATTCTTCGCCTTGGTACCTAACTCGCTTGTTATGTGTTTATGTTGGTCCTCTACACTCTCGTTGGTGAATGAACGCCATGGCACCTGGGCAGGCAATGGAAATGTTGGACTTCGGCAAAATCCTCATTGCCGAAACAAGAATGGCTTTTTCCATTTAAGGATGACAGAATTATTCTCATTCCTGATTCATCTGATTTCTCACATTTAAGTTCCCGACTATTCCATCTATAGGGTCACTAGGTCTTCTGGAAGCTGGAGTTAAACCTTCTATGCACGATACTCCCTGGCCATGGGGATTCGCCCCCACACCCAGGGACCAGCCGCGGAGATTTGAACTCCTTCCGCGATAACTTTACAGCATGCGCCCCCCCTATTGGCGCCCGTAAACGATGCCCCCGCATTCTAGAAAGATTCGCGGGGTCGATGCCGGAAATTAGCTCTAGCCCCTCCAACCCCTACAAGGTACCCGCAATTCCATCACCATCTCTCGAACCACGGTGCCTTCTTCCAACCTGGCCGAAAAGCTCGGAGATCGGAGGACCCTGCAGAATGATGGCTCCCGAACCCTATGTTCACCAAAAAGGCAGAATTAAAGGACGCTCAGTGCGGAAACCTTGGAAAAGGCCTTTCATCCAGGCTAGTGCACCTGGGCATATAAATAGCGTCATGTCCAAGCTGTTGAAACTTGAAGATTTAACACTGACAGAACACAACCCTCCATTTTTCAAACTCTTCACTCAAGAAAATCTTGCCGCTTTCTAAGGCCTCGCCATGGTGATTCAAGTTCTTAAAGCCCTTCTTTTAGGGCTAGGTGCATTCCAGGCTGTGTCTGCGGAAAGTTCTACATACACTGAGCTCTACCGCCCTCAGTATCACTTCACGCCTCCCAAAAACTGGATGAATGACCCCAATGGCCTTTTGTATCACAAGGGTATCTACCACCTTTTTTATCAGTACAACCCTGGTGGCACGACGTGGGGTGCCATTTCATGGGGCCATGCCACCAGCCGGGACTTGACTCATTGGGAGCAGCAGCCTATCGCCCTTCTCGCCCGCGGCTACCCGAACAACATCACTGAGATGTTTTTCTCCGGATCTGCAGTCGCTGATGTTGACAATACAAGTGGTTTCGGCCACAGTGGCAAGACGCCTTTGGTTGCTATGTATACTTCATATGTATGATATTCGGGTACTATTATGCTTTTTGAACCGACATAACTAACCATCATCCTCTAGTACCCTTATGCCCAGACTTTGCCAAGTGGAAAGAAAGTCCAGGCAAATCAGCAAGCCCAGTCTATTGCCTATAGCCTCGACGATGGCACGACTTGGACGACATATGATAAAGCAAACCCAGTGATTTTGGACCCTCCCGCCCAATATTCAGATCAGATTCTCAACTTTCGTGATCCTAATATCTTCTGGTACAAGCCGACGAAGAAGTGGATTGCTGTCCTTTCTTTGGCAGAGCTCCACAAGCTTCTGATTTACACATCGAAAGATCTTAAGAACTGGACTCTTGCCAGCGAATTCGGACCTGTGAATGCTGTCGGGGGGTATGGGAGTGCCCAAATTTGTTCCCAATGTCTGTCGATGGTGACGACAACAATGTGAAATGGGTCGCAATGATCGGACTCAATCCTGGTGGACCCCCTGGGACTATCGGCTCGGGCACTCAATATGTTGTTGGAAACTTTGATGGAGCCACATTTACAGCCGATGCCGACAGTTTGTTTTCAGGAACCACCCTTCCACCAAGCGACAGTATTATCTTTGCAGACTTTGAAGGAACAGAAACATTTGCCGATCTTGATTGGACCCCAACTGGAGACTTAATCAACCAGTCGCCCACCAACGGCACTGTACCTGGGCAAAACCCTGTAACCGGCTACTTAGGCAAGCGCCTCGTCAATACATTCCTAAATGGGGATGCCACGACTGGAACACTCACCTCTAAACCCTTCACCATTGCCAAGAGATATATCAATTTCCTCATCAGCGGTGGCTACAACTTGAATGATACGGCCATACACTTGAAGATAGACGGTCAAATAATACGTTCTGCTACCGGCACGAATAGCGAAAACCTTGTTTGGCAGAGTTGGGATGTCAGCTCACTACAGAATCACACTGCCGTGATTCAGATTGTTGACTCTGCAACCGGCGGTTGGGGCCATATCAATGTCGACGAAATCTCCTTCTCGGACTCCGCCGTGCGAAGCCAAGTGGCTAACTGGGTAGACTGGGGCCCAGACTTTTACGCTGCCCAGGCCTACAATGGACTGGCTTTAGAGAAGCGCCTCGCTATTGGGTGGATGAACAATTGGCAATACGGTGGACTGATCCCAACTACTCCATGGCGCAGTGCAATGTCGATCCCCCGAGAATTCTCACTGACGACGATCAATGGAAAAGCCACTCTGGTGCAGGCTCCCACAGAGAGTTGGGGCTCTATCATGAGCGGGAAGGGCCTTGATCGATCCTTTCTCTCCGTTGACGAAGGCACGAAATCAATAGGCTCTGTTGGAAAGGCACTAAAGATTAAACTGAGTTTCTCTGACCGAGATCCAGCTGCGGCAGGACTTTCTCAGTTTGGAATTATTGTTCGGGCCACCCCAGACCTAAAGCAACAGACACGAGTTGGCTATGATTTTGCAACCAAGGAGGTCTTCATTGATCGGAGCAGATCTGGTAATGTCTCGTTTGATAGCACATTCCCAGACACGTATCACGCTCCCTTGGCGTCTAATGCTAGAGGCCAAATTACCCTTCAGATTTATGTGGACTGGTCTAGTGTTGAGGTGTTCGGAGGCCAGGGCGAAACTACAATCAGTACCCAGATATTCCCGAGCAATGGTGCAACAAACGCTGAGATATTCTCTATCGGAGGGAACACTAAGAACGTCCATGTTGAAATAAACAAAATCATTTCGACATGGGACAACTAGAAAGAATGAGATTGATGCTCAAGACAAGAGGCAGACTCGATTTACAGATTTGAAACTGTGATGAGGATGGATTCGGAACCCTGGTTTACCTTCAAATTACTCTAGCAGAACAAGATGAACGTTCAGATTTCAGATTTACACGGCAAAGAAATGCAACCTCACAGTTTGTAAGAAAGACGCAAGTAATCTTGAGAGACTGAAAAATTCATTTTCGAGCCAGAAAGTGAAGATAGAATTTTCCAGGCCCTTTAAATATTAGTAGCAGCCACTGTTACAGTCAACTACAGACAATCTGATAAGACTTGTGCACTTCTTGTATGACCCCAACCTACCAGTTCATTAAACCAAATGTAACTAAACAGATGATTTTACCTAATGTTATGGCACCGGTGCCTTATTTTTCTTCTTCTGATTCTACTAAATATAATTGATGTCGTTTTCTGCCACCACACTCTGCCTAATCTTTGTATCTTTAAATACGAGTACCTGAGCTACTCCTGCTGAAGCTTGAAGATTTGACCTCTTCATATAATGCTATCATTTCTAAATGCGAGACTGTTTCATTCTCCTCATAGACTCAAGGATTCTTGATGTCTTCCGGAGATGAAGTGGTACAATTTGAACATTTATCGAAATGTCAGATAGTTTCACATCCCAGGACTACGGAAGCATACCTAGGTAGTACCTTCAGGGTAGATACTATATACTAGGGAAGGTGCCCGCTAAAATGGCTGACTTTACACTATGTTCGTAGAAGTATCAAATCAGTATGCCAGGCCATCTCTAGACCATCTCAAGATTTTTTATTAATTACTAGCCCTGGAGGTACAAAATAGTACAGTATAGTAAGGTTGAAAAGAGCTCGGGACCTTCTGAACTGCAAGTTCAAGGTTTAAGGTATACTACTGTATCTTATCAATTTAGTATTCTGATGGATAGTTAGTAGATTTCTAGTACTCAGGATTTCTAAAAGGAAGTTGATTGATGATATAACAGGATAAAGATTTGAACATCTCTTGTAAGTATTGTTTGATTGTAGTTTTCTATCGAGTTCATAGAAAATGGTCCTCATTTGCATCATCAAGTTTAGCTGGCTTGGAGTCCACAATTCACCAGCTAGAACACCTTGAAATTGCCACGTGAAGCTCACCAAAGAATGCGTCTTCCACATAACTGTCCTCACAGATCGCCACTCATTCTATCGATAAAGAACCCTTCATCGGGATTACCCCTCACATACCCAAAAGGCTACTCCGCCTATTCTTCCGCAATTTTTGGCTCGTGAGACTCTCCGTGCTCCGCAATTTGGCGCTTATTTACAAGTTTGTTTGATATCTCCTTCTCCTCAGCCCAGGTGGTGGTTGGCTTCCAGCCAACACTCTTCCTAGCGGAGCTGACCTCACAGTAGAGCCTATCAACTTCCTCTAGGGTCAAGCCCTTAGTCTCATAGATCATAGTATACACGAAGGCTATGCAGAGAAAACAACAGCCAAACCAGATAAAAAAGATTTTGGATTGTAGATTCGCATTACCAGGTCCATAGTTGACCAAGTAGGGTGTAGCGAAACTCAGAGCCCAGTTAAGCAGCCAATTCGTGGCAGTTGTCATAGATAGAGACTTCGCTCTAACTTTGAGAGGGAAAATCTCTCCTGTCACAACCCTATCACGGCATTAGCTTGACCAATTCCCCGGGCGAGCACGAAGACAAGACAATATATCAAACTTACCAGGCAATTGGCCCCCAAGACGCAGCGAAGAAGAAGATATAAATGCAAATAAATGCAATGGCTGCCTGCTGAGCAGGTTGATTGTGGACAATAATATTTCCAAGGTCATCTTGACTAGTGGTCGTAGTTCCTAGGACGGCAACGAGAAGCTGGGACACAGTCATACCAATAGCTCCCACAAGCAGGACTGGACGTCTTCCCCACTTGTCAATAGCATAGAGGCCGGGAATCGTTGAACCAACGTTAACACAACTGGTAATCAGACTGATTACAAACTCATTCTTGAATCCAGAGTTCTTGAAAAACTGGGTACCGTAATAGAAGATAAAGTTAATACCAGTCAACTGTTGAAGACCCTGGAGGAAACATCCAGTCAGAAGGCGTTTTCCCAAATTACCCTTGAAACATTCAATATAACCGGCGCTTCCAAGGTCAAGTTCATATTCATGATTTGCCTGGATTTCGGCAAGTTCCGCAAGCAAAGCAGGATCATTTTCAGAAAGATGTCGGAGCCTAGCCAAGCTCCGTACAGCACCTTGATAATCATTTCTTTTAATCATGTAGCGGGGCGTTTCCGGAAGAAGAAGCATGCCGACTACAAGAACAATTGCCCATGCAAACTGCACTGCGATTGGGATTCGGTAAGAGCCAGTGTCATCACGCAAATGGGTGGCGTTATTCACCACAGCGGCCAACAAGAGGCCAACCGTGATAGCAAATTGATATGAGCCAACGATAAAGCCGCGAATCCATTTCGGGGCCGTTTCGGACTGGTAGAGAGGAACTTATCAACGTATATTTTTTAGCGCTGGGCAACTCATGTAGTAGAATAGAAAAGTACTCACTTAGCGCCGAGATCAAACCAACACCGAAGCCCGCAAAGAATCGTCCCGCTAAGAAAAGGGGAATAGCTGTCGCAACAGTTTGAAAGATAACACCAAGTGTAAAGATACCGGTCGAGAAAATCAAACCCCAACGACGGCCAATAAAATCCCCCATGGGGGCTGCCCCAAGTGCACCGAAAAAGGTGCCCGCAGATAGAATCGATACGATAGCCGAAGATTGACTGGAGGAAATCGTAAGATTACCATCAGAGCCTCTGTAACCGGTAGAGAAAAGCTTCTCCCAGTACGGCATGGCGAGAATGCCGCTTATTGTACCTGTATCATAGCTGCACCAACAATAAGCTCGAGCTTCCACACAGAGACTGGGAGGTTGTGTCCAGCTTACCCAAATAGAATACCGCCAAAGGCGACAAACCCGCTGATTAGAATGGCAGGCCATGCCTTTCCCTCAGTTCCCTCAGGCTGTTTGATCAGGAAACCCATCTCCGCCACGAATGATAGTCTGTACCGGTGACAGAAACTTGGGACAAATATCACGGAAGGCTTGTGAGCGGTGTGCAGCCAAGCTGGAATATGTAAGAACCTTGGAAATAAGGGGCAGATGATCTTGAAATGATAAAGGTGGAACGGATGAGATGTGATACTAGTATTTATAGGCAGCCCCGGGAGCGAGCTGTGGGATGTGAGCCAATAAGCCTTGGAACCTTCAAGTTGGAACTTGAAGCACCACCGAACCGGCATCCGAGAATCAAATCGTCCGATAAAATCCCGAGCATGTCATACTATTGCAGGGGCCAAAAAATGCGGAGGAGTGAAGCTTCTCCGCGATTCTCTCGGGAAGAGTCAAAGTCCTCAGGTTGGTGCGCTTCTTTGCTTTCCGTGCTGTGGCGCAAGAGCGAGGATACACCCAGTTCGGGTGACCATGTTGGACCGCACTATCTCCGTTCCTTCCGATCATTCATAGTAGTATTCGGTTATTTCTTCTCCACCGGTGTGTAGGTGTTGCTCTGTGTTCTTTAGAGTTTGGGTAGCCTTTGTCTTGGGCTAGCCTTGAGATTCTCCACATTCAGGGTTGTGGAGAGACGTTTTGACCTCTTCCCTAATGGGATCCTTGATTGGCGACAATGTCTTGCTTCTGCAATGTAATTGGACAGAGTTTTAATCTTTCCAGGAGCTCCAATCGGAGATTCGGTATTTGCCCTCGCGGAGCGACTCCTTCCCTCCGCGAGACGCTTACTTCGTCCAGTCGTCCATCCTCAACCCCCACAACCTGAGGTTTAGAACTCAGCCGCGATACCCTTTCTTGGGTTAGTCTTGAATTTCTCCACACTCAGAACCGCGGGGAAAGTTTTGACCCCTTCCATGCTCGCTTACGTCAAGAAGGGGAAACTTGAATCTATATATTTCCTACTTCAAACTCAGTGGACAGCGGACTCTTCTGTTGCTTGTTTCACTGTCAGTGGCATACAATCATGCATGTTGCATCTACAACTTGAATTTGACTGCGGCTGAATCATGACAAGCTCGAATGCTAGCGGTTTGTCCACGCTTTCGGTGCTGCATTTTCATGCTGCGAAAAGAAACGTACAACGCCCAGTCAATGGCTCTGCTCTAATATTGGAAGCCTGGTCCCAAGGCCTTATGACGGGTTCACTCGACATAATGGCTGCAGTTACTTATGCGAACATGCGACCGGGCGTTTTGCTGCACAAGCTGATATTATTAGAGGTATTGCTGTCACCATCCATCTGAAACCTTGGAATATACACCTGGGCACGCTAACCACTTCCCAATACTAGTTGATTCTGGCCTTGGCACACGGAACATTCATATTTGCCCCGGACCCTGTATATGGTTGGTATCTGGCCGCATCCGCGATTGGATTAATTATATCCTGGTCTTTGCACAATGTTATCGCGTGGATGAAAAACAGGCCGTTCATGGGGCGCAGACTGTCGCTCTTCTATGTCGGCACGATCATCCTGGCCCAGCCGTACTGGGCAACTGAGATTTATGCGAACTTTGCCTACTTCAACAATATAAATGTTACTGTTTATGAAAAAATCCGCCCCTGGGAGGCACTATTTCGGTAGGAACTTGAATTGTCTTAATCGTTTCATTCTTTATCGCTAGCTGCCAGTGTGTTGACTAACCAATGGTTGACTCAGCGACCCATGGTGGATTTATACCACCTGTAACCTTTTTTGGGTGGTCAAGGCGCACTACAACTTTGGCATCCTCGGGTTAGTACGTGAGTGCCCTCGATTCGGGCTCATGCTGGCATCAATGTGCCTCTCTATCGTCTTCATTCCCCTTGACGTTATTAGCGTGACTGGGGCATTCAGGTCCGCTATGCCAATAGGCATCAACCCTTTCTGGAAAGTGTGCATACCTTCAGCTTCTCTGCCGGAAACATTTTAATTCCTCCTATGTTTAGCGCTGACGAGTGGTGCATCCTTCAGCTATGCTTTATGTTCAAATGCCTGTGTGATATCATTATTCTGGACGATTTCAAGACTGCACTTGACAAGCTAAGTGCGAGATGGCTTATGAGGCACGGGATTCACGAAGTCCATACTTTAGGTTAGCATTTTCTTCAATCATTTTTCCTCGACCTATCATTCTTGCCACAAAATTCTGACGAATCAAGTATCCTCAGATTCTAGAAGCCACCGGACTTCTACTGTCGTGTGTTCTCCCCCGCGAATGGGTGACACTATCCCATTGAAGCACCCAGTCAGCGCTGTACATATCGTGTAAAAGGGAGAATTGTGACAAAATTGATGAAATACAAAACCGACAACCATGAAATTTGCTATCTAAGATAGTAAAGAAAGAAAGACCACAGTTATGGCTTGCCCGCTCCGCCAAATCCAGCATCAGGGACTGCAAACTAATCCCGAGAAGCTCGTGTACTCAATCGGATAGAGGGCAGATCTATGACCCGGATGACATTCGCGAGGTTGAGGATCTCTACAAAGACAGACTTGCTATTAGAGAACAGGTTGACTGGGAGGGTCGTCTAATTGGTCTGCAACTGATGCACCTGCGGGAATTCCAGGCTCTCAAAGTTAGACATATCGACGATGGGTTATCTGACGGATCCTCTGTATCCTCTAGAGCTCCTCCCAGGAAGATGATATCTGGGGCGGCTCACTCTGGAACTGGAGAAACACCGACGGGGGCTTGCTGGAGAAAATTTGGGACCCGAAGCTGAAGAGCAAGGGGGAAGAGGAGGGCCTTTGAAGACCAAAATCTTCAGTTTTCTCGTTTTCTACTAGTAGTTGCTGTGAAATTCTTCGATAATTGGTCTCTCATTTAGTACAACTAAATTGAAAATGCTTTTTCGATGACTTATGGATTATTGTCTTCTGTGATGAATACAAATACCACTTCTTTCACAGCTATACACAAGAAACTCTAATCACCAAGCAGCCGCCATAAATGCTGCAGCTGCACTACTCAAAACAATCCCGGGAACTGCGGTAATCCCGGGTATGCCGCCGGTGCTGGCTGAGGCTGATCCGCTCGCCGTTTGCGATGCAGAACCACCAAAGCTGGTGGAGGTTTCCTTGTTAGCAGTCTGCGATATAGAGTCCCCAGAGTTGGTGGCCTGAGAAGACTCATCGGTCTTCGTAGCAGATGATCCAGTCGGGGTTTTAGTAGCACCACCAGTGATGGTTACGCGGGCTGAACCAAAGAGTTATTTGCCCAAAGTCGTCGTGTTCATATACTTATAAGACTTCCCAGAGCGAGTGATCGGCACACCAATCGCACAGACAACAGACTCGGGGGCAATATCGCCCACGAGGCAGGGTACCGTGCCATATCTGTTCAACGAAAAGCATTAGCACGTGACCTCACGGGGACTCGAGTTTCTCTATAATGATACTGCTAGTTGTACGTACTGGTTATAAGGAGTCTCCATCGCGTATTCAACCAACGTAGGCCCAGCAGTATATAGCAACCCCGTAAGGTATGCGCAGTCGCCGGCATCAACTACGGTCTTATGGCAATTGGTAATACAGGTTGTGGTACCATCATTTTATACTAGGACTAGTCAGTTAATCCACGAAGTGGGCGATTCAGTCAATACGGACCACTGCTACAATGGAGCCCGTGAAGGATTGCGGTGGATCTTCTGGGTTGAAGCCGAAGCCGGCCATGAACAGCGATACAACGGAACTCTCCGCCGCCGCAAGTCCCAGGGTCGCCAAGGCCAGGAAAGTCTTGAAGCCCATTATGACTGTTATGGGAAAAGGTCTGCGATGGCGAGGTTTTTTTTTATCTCATGATGGTCAAAGGGGAGACCTCTTGGCGAAAAGATAGCCCGCCACAGGGTCCAGCCCAGCCTGATCAAGAATAGCGGGCGCCCCCAACTGGGTGGATAATAAATTCTTTCAAGGTCAAGAGAAGATAGACAGATTTAATACACGTTCAGCGAACGCTTTGTTAGTTTCTATTCTATTTTTTTTTTTTGGGGGAATAATCATTCTCTCTTGCTGTTCTGAAAGTTGGTGATGATTGGACTTTCGCTAACCGGCGAGAATTGTGCCTGGCGAACCATTGAATCGAATCAATAGCAACCAACAATAAACGAATACTAGTAGCTAAAACACAGAGATGGACGAATTAAACTCTTCTCTGATAATACTTGTTCCATTGGATTCATTCATTCAATACTTACCGCCAATGACTAATACTGTGCCTTGACTTCGGGTCACTCAATTGTGGTGAGATCATAGACTTCGAAGCCAAGCAACTACTAGTAGTACATATAGTATTCAAGCTCCATCCAACTTCAAACACTTGCAAGTCATCTCTCACTGGCACTGACATATTCTCATAAAAGAACAAATTTCACAAAGCCTGATTTTTAATTATGGAAAGAACGGAAAGTTTCCATGGCCATCCTCTCGGCGCAGTCGGCTGGGTCGCTCGTGCCCTACAAGTGTTCAGCTCGATTATCGTCCTGGGCATCACAGCCTGGGCTGTTACAGAAACAAAGACGGTCACCGTCATATATACTCTAGTCATTGTATGTTGCTTGGATTATCTTATTTGCATCTCTAACAGAATTCAGTCGGTCTTAAGCTTACTCGCTGCCGCTTGCTCGGGTCTCATAAGCTGCGTGGCCAGAAAACGCAGATGGCATGTCTTGATACTAATGGTGGCTGACGGCGCGCTTTCATATCTGTGAGTACTTCATGGAAGCTGTCTCCTCCTAGCCCTGCTAATCATTTACTAGATGGCTCACTTCATTCATCTTTTTGGCGCTTGATTTCAATCGGGTCAGCTGCCATATTAATCGCTGGCATGGAGAAACGGTTTGCAGTCGGCAATACACTGCCGAGGCATTCAGTTTCACTGCATTGTATGTGAAACTCCTAGGAGACACTCTTACTATCATTCGGATAGACTAATTATGATGGCAGTTTCACGACGTTTTTGGGCTTGGTTCTTGAGATTCTTTTTGTCTACTATGCAAGGCCGAGAACCGTGCTTTCCAAGGAGCAAACTGAGCAGCATCTGGCTCAGAATTTGAACGAGGCCGGTCTGATGTGATTGCAGTGTTGAAATCTCTTCCTGGTAGTTTCGCCATGCTTCCGCAGTGAAAACAGCGAAATGGCTTGGTATTTCATCTGCCAGGATAGTTCTGTATTAAACGCGATTCATGTGTAAATTTTTTGATTCTTGTTATTGAATTATTATGCAGATACCGATCATTCTTGTAGGACCAGCATTCCCATGGATAAAGCAAGTCGGTCCGGTCCTTCCACAAGCTTTTCTCCAATGATTCTATCACTCGCTATGCAAGTCTGGTTGAACTTTTGTTGCGGGTAGTCACCTTCCATAATAATACCTTTTTGATAAGCCCCCAATGAGCTCAGTAGTCGATTTAACAAATCGATGGCCATATCAATGCCCTGCAAGGAAAAATTTGCGAGGAGATGAACCACCGGGCCAGGAATAGGACCGACGAGGTCTGGCCTATTCCCAAGCGCAATTCCCTGAGAGAGCAAGATGCACAGCTCGTTTTGTAGCTTGCAAAGATTTGATATTACAGTTGAAAGTACTCCAACTAAGAGCCTCATCTGAATAATATCAATTGTGCTTCCTGCAAGCATGTCACGCACTCTTGCCACCAGGCCGGGGCAAAGGATTATTTCATGAAATGCATACTCCACTAGATCACCAAGCTCACTTCCTTTCCCACGCTCATTCTCTTGCTTCATCGATTGTATGATCACAGATCTCCAGGCAGGTTCGGCCAGAAAGCATGGCTCGCCTCGAAGTAGAGCATCCGCCACAAGAAAGGCCCGGAAGGAGATCAGCAATGTCCTGCCAACTCCATCGCGGTGCGCGTCAGGCCCTCGGTGTTGAAAGAGAGCAGCAATTCCACTAGAATGTGCCAGCCAAGATTGTTCAAAGGACCCATCTATCATTTCACAAATACCCAACAGAACCGCAGTACCCAAAGTTTGATCTGATTTGACAGTCCTTGGATTCTGAATCAACTGTATCAATGCTTGTATCCCTCGAATGTACATTGCACGCCCGAGATCCATCTGTTGGCTGTCCTTGTCCCTTTGACCTCTGTTCACTGTGCATAATGTAGAAGCAGCCCACATGAGGGCATTCGTCGGAGTATCGCTCTGCTGACGCATGAAATCCATAAAATTCACTTCCATGCGGTTACTCCATGAGTAGTAGAGGCCCGGGAAAGTGACGTCGACAAAATCGCAGAACAACTCCTTTTGCTGTATACATATAGACCTTTGAACAAGAGTAGGTGCTAGGCATTCATCGATACTCGCAACCACCTTCTTGCTGTTGTTGCTGCTACTACCGCTGCCGCTGCCGCTTTGGATGCCGTCTTTTGGTGATATTTTACTTGGCCGAGATTGAGGAGTAATCTGCCGGTCGCTTTGGGTCATGGAAAAATGGAAAAACTTTGTTGGTTTCTCATAGCCGGGGCATTGCAGACCGCGGATCTCGCAACGCTTGCAGAGGGGCCGTCTTTCATCGCACTTGGATGGTGTTAGCGGCTGAGAGACCTAGGCAGTCACAAGCACTCCTCACCTTGATCCGTCGCCGAACACAATACTGGCAGCCCTTACTGTGAGGCACGCCCACCATGGCGGGTAAAGTTAGGAAGATGATAAGCGCAACAGGGCGCGTTTTCTGCTTGGTCGCATGCCAAGACGCCTTCCCCCGCAGTCATCGTGATGCCAAGCCTCATTGGCCCTTTGGTCATCATCCTTGAAGTGCCATGCAGACAGCCCCGTATGACAATGGGCAGTTGATTGGTGGAGATGGTATTGTTTAATTATAAAGGGTAAAAAGGGCGAGAACAAACAAAGTAGAAACACCTTGGTTGCTTTTAAGGTCCTGCAACCCTAATTTGTCTGTTTGGGAAGTTCAAAAGAGATCCTTTTTTAGCCTTCATAAATTCAGCGTATTTTTATAGAAACTGTCGACACTCCGCAAATCATCCTCTTCCCTACAAGAAAATCCTAAACACAAGGTATACACCGATCTCACTTTACTGCAGAATGAAATGAAACTGTCGTCGCGCTGTGTGGGTGCTTTCCGTGTTCCATCGGCATCAGTATGGCCGTATAGGTGGATCACAGACGTTTTGGGAGGCCTCATCGATACCAAAAAGATCAACGTCCAGACAAACACTACGGTCACTTCGATTCTGGACTCTACGACCTCTGAATATGCCATTTTGCGCACCGACAGGGGTGAGCTCAAAGCCAGAAACGTGATTCATGCGCAGAATGTATGGGTTAGTCATCTCATTCCGGAACTTCGACCATTTGTCTCCCCTGTCTGAGTCAATGTGGTGCATTTTGGAGCCGTATCAGAAGACTCGAACTTGAGTGTTGTTGAAAAATCATCTTTAAAGTTGGATAGCAAATATTTCTCTTTCGGTGCTACAGCCCAGATTCGAGTGGAGCTGTGTGTTACTGTATCTCGAATGATGCGAACGTCGTTGAATCGCCCCGCGAAGTGATTATTGTGCCCCTAGATTGTCGAACAAGACCTTCGCGTAGCCAGAAAGCCCCAATAGAAGATCCGAGCTACATGGAAGTGGAACAGAAATGAAAGTGAAACAGACATGAAAGTGGAACAGGACATGGAAGTGAGTCAAAGTACAATATGATACTCGCCAGATATGTGTCATTGAGTCGAGACCTCTCTAGGTGACATAATACCGGACAGTAAAGCGCATGATTGCCATACCCTTGATTTCTCATACTTTTCAATATGTCGACTCTTCTGAGTAACACTAGGCCTACTGGTCAAACCCGGAAACATCAATTTTGGGACTGTTGTGAGCCTGCTGTAACATGTGAGTCTTGTAAAAGACCATCACAAGAACATACCGGACGGGATTAGTGACTGACCAATACCGGCAGAGTTCCGAAAAATCTGGGTCAACAGGTTGGACGGATAAAAGCACCCAGTATTGACACCTTCTGCATAGAAGTGGCCATCTGAGAAGTGGCGATCGGGGCAGGCAAGCCGCGTTAAAATTTATGCTTCCATACTCCACGGAACAAAGCTCTCAGCGAAATCAAAAAGATCTTCTGTGGACGTTCCTTGAATGCCAGGTAAAACAAACGGCCCGAGAGTTTCCAAACTTGAGTAAAAAATCTGCACAGTTATATTCTGTATGTAGCGAAAAATTAGGACAAGAGAAACCATACTTTTCAATATTTATAGATGGTATCGTTGGTAATGTAAAAGCGAAGGGCAGGTGTAGTTGACCATCTTCACTTGGCCTTCTCGAGCTGGAATACGATATCGTCGAGAGACGAGATATGGAGCGGTAACTTCCGCTTAGACAGGGGTTATACTGAATGACCTTTATCGTTTCTGTTTTGTATGGTAATTTCGTACTCCTAATTTTACGGCTGCGATAAACTGTCGCTAGCATTGCGACTAGATTTGATCGCGGTATTCTCGACTTATTATTGGATTATGGTGGACGCTCGAGGTCCGTGCTGATCCCAATCGTCGGAGTAAAATAGCTTCAGTTTGTACAATGTACGAACGGCAGTGCCAGATAGACTTAGTTCATCAGCGGTGTTTCGATTTGTATGGGCAATACTACCAGTAATTTTGGTTGCTAGGTATTCATGAAGCCTCTAAAGCGTTCAGTCCAATCACTCTCAGCTCATTTGGCCACTTACTCCTATTGTGGGCCCTACCGTGCATGTGCGATGTCCGAATTCACGCTAGTCTTGATTGGTGGTTGATCCCTTAGGGCAAAGATCATTTCGCAGTCAAGAAAAGAGGAGGGATATTTCTGAGGAGCTCAGTACGGAGGCACAACATGTGCATTTTGTCATTGATATTCTGGTTTTTTGGGCCTCTCTCAATTGTGTGGATACCTTCCTTTTTCAGTTGGAAATTTTGATAGCAATGCCAAGGGGCGCTTCAACCAAGTAACCAAATAATGGGCATATAGTGGCAAATAGTCACAGTTCCACGGGGTTAGAAAACTTTGTCGGTTTTAGCACGACATGGAGAACACACATTTTTATCTGGCTGGCTGGCGACATGTGGAGTTCAAACACCCTGTTTGACTATCAATTTTGTCGAATCTGATCTAACGTACGGAGCACGACTTGTCCTCTTTGTTCGACCGGGTGTGTTGTAAATACCAGTTGGTGGAAATTTGTTTAGTATATGAGGGCTCCGCCCAACAACCCATCATCTCTAAGTAATAATAGGATTAGGATGAACTTGGGTACCATAGGTTAGGTTGGTTACAGCCGAACAAAGTGGACTCATTTTGTGTCTACAATTAGTAGTGATTACGTGTACGAGATGTACAAAGCCAAATTCAGTATTGTATCCGCTACTAACCAGCCAGCCCCACGTACTTTTAGTATCGCCGAATTCGTACTTTACTAGTGGTTGTTCTCAAGTTTGAAAATATGGATAACTATTGGTACGGAGTATATAGAAGCAGGGAGATTCTGTTCCATTTTCATGGGACTTACAAGACAAGTTGGCCGACCGCTGTCGCTTCTCCACAATCAACAAAGAGACCTTGCTTCCTATAATTCCGCGGATGGCGCTGTCTTTCACCCATCTATCCCTTCACTCCATGCCAAATACAGATGTCGCAGCCACGAGTAGTTGGTACTGAACCGGTGGAACTCCCTGCTGATGTTCCTGGCTACGTGAAAAAGCCGCCACCATACTCACTGGTTGTGGAAGATGAGTTGACGCAAGAAGCTGGTAGTTTGCAAGGTGGGTGATAAATATGTTTATCCTATTGGTCAAAACCAAATAATTGAATATTCCTCACAATCAATGGCCGCGTCAATGTCAATCTTGAGTCGAAGGTCGCCAGAACCCTCGCAAAGATCATCAACTTGCAACAAGAAGATGTTCACAATTCTCCCCTTCACTACAACTCCGAAGTTGCAGAGAAGGTCTCATCTTGTGAATTCAATCTCAATATAGTGATCCAGATCGTTGGAAGCAGAGGAGATGTGCAGCCACTTGTTGCACTCGGAGCAGCATTGAAGAAGGATGATCATCGTGTTCGTATCGCCACTCATGATGTATTCGTGGGATTTGTTCATGAAGCAGGACTTGAGTTTCATCCGATCGGTGGAGATCCACCTGAGCTTATGGCATTCATGGTCAAAAACCCCGGCTTGATCCCACAAATGAAGACATTGCGAGATGGTGAAATTTGAAGAAAGCAGACCATGATGGCGACGATACTTAAGTGTTGCTGGAGTTCTTGCTTAGATGATGATCCTTATACCGAAATACCATTCTTCGCAGATGCAATTATCCCTAATCCGCCTAGCTTTGCTTACATTCATTGTGTGCAGATAATGGGAATTCCAGTTCATCTAATGTTTACAATGCCATGGAGCAGCACTAAAGCATTCATCTTCTTGCAAACTTATGTTCATCAAGGATGAATACCGCGACAGCAAATTGGATTTCATATGGTGTGGTTGAATGGTTGACGTGGCAGGGGTAAGGTATTTTCTCTTGTGCTATCACCAAGGCCTTTCCACTAACTCTACAATAAACTAGGAGATGTGATAAATAAATGGCGCTTTTTTATAGGTCTGAATCCTCTTTCTTCAACGGAAGGACCTAGCTTGGCCGAGGCTCTGAAAGTCCCCTTCACTTACTGCTGGTCGCCTGCACTGGCGCCAAAGCCACAGGACTGGCCATCTCATATCGGTACTTATATATTAAAAAACCCTCTGGCAAGATACTAATGTTTTATAGATGTAGTTATGTGGGGCTTTCTCCAGGGAGCCTCCGCCATATACTCCGTCGAGTGAACTGGCAGGATTCTTGAAATCCGGACCACCACCGATCTATATTGGTTTTGGTAGTATTGTGATCGACGATTCCCAAACCCTCATCAATACAGTACTAAATGCGGTCTCACTTACGGGAGTTCGAGCCGTTGTATCGAGTTGATGGAGTAAGCTGGCTGGGACCTCAAGCCCAAATGTCTTTTATATTCAGGAATGTCCACATGAGCGGCTTTTCCAAATTGTCGCTGCTTTTGTGCACCATGGTGGTGCTGGCACCACTTCCTGTGGCTTTAAAAATGGTGTGCCAACGGCTATCGTGCCCTTCTTTGGAGAGTATGTGATGAGTTCGAAATCTTCTGGAAATCCCACCAATGCTGATGAGTTCATTCAGCCAGCCATTCTGGGTCCATATGATTGCGAGATCTGGTGCTGTCCCTAGTCCACTAGCACATGCTACTCTCACCCTGAGAAAGCTAGCACACGCTATTCAGTTCTGTCGGACGCCTGAAGCAAAGGTTGCCGCCCTTGAAATTGCACAGAAGATGCAGACAGAGATCGGTGTCGTGTCCGCCGTGGACTCTTTCTATACTAACCTCCCACTGAAAAAAAAAATGAAATGCAAGGTGCTTCCTGACCAGGTCGCAGGCTTGGTGTATAAGAAACGGAAGAGAAGGTTCCAGTTGTCAAAGGTCGCAGCTCAGGCCTTGATTGAGAGCAGGACAATAGAGGAGAGTCACATTCAAAGGTACGTATTTTGCCTGCAATCCTCAGCCATACTCATGGATATGTTGTTCCTAGCCTTGGTAGCGCTGAGATAAATCCCATTCACATACAAAACTGCCGTTGGGATTCATTGACAGCGATTCTGTCCGCCTCTATTGACACGGGATCCAGAATGTTATTATCCACCGGCGAGATGATCTACAATCCTTATAAGTAGCACAGGCGCGGTCGTGCCCCAGACAGTTCTGAGGAGCAGAATTTACGTGTTCGTTCAGTGCCAGGCCGAAGATCACCATCATCACACTCAAGAGCGCCGCTTCCCTGGGAAGATCCGAGCTTTTCAGTTGCCGATACTTTGGACGCTAAACACACAAGAAGCGAAAAGCGCAATCCCCTAAATGTAGCGGGAATTATGGCAGGAGCAACTTTGAGAGGATTTGGAAAATTCAGTGCGACGTGCTTCAAAGGTGTAGTGGTTGACATTCCATATGCAGGAACCTAAGGGTTCCGACAAGTGCCTCGATTATACGCAGAGCAGCCTAAGGCGTACGAAGCCATAAAATACTGGAAAACTGGAGCCGTTTACGGTGGAAGGAATTTTGTCGACGGTATGGCTGACGGCTTTACCGGCCTCTTCACCCAGCCTATCAAGGGAGCCCAAGAGCGGGGTGTAGTTGGAGCAGCTAAGGGGTTCGTGAAAGGCACACTTGGATTGGCAACAAAGGTACCCTCAGGTTAGAGACTGGCCCTTAAAATTTGAACTTAGTTCAGCAGCTAAAATGCCACATAGCTGGTCTAGGACTGGTCGCTTATCCATTCCATGGAATAACCAAGAGTATCGAGTCTGCCCTGGATGCAAAGAATCGGAAGAATATTTTTTCTGCACGATTGAAAGAAGGGGAGTACCAGACAGAAACCATGCATTTGACTTACGAGGATAAGTGCATGATCATCGAAGGATTTGAAAGGGTCCTCCGCGCCGAAGACTTATCCCCATAGTTATTCTCTTTGATGATGGCTAGTTTCTGATGGATGCAACCTCTTCTCTAATATCGGGGGCTGGGATAAACTGTTGATATCGAACAAGGTAAGGAATTGTATGGCTACTCGGCTGGGATTTTGTCTCATTGGATTTCACCGACTTGCATATTGGAGAGCGAGGTACTTAAATGGCTTTTGGGAGGTTTAGAAGAGAGATAGCTAGAGAATTCAATACAAGAACACGCAATTCATTCACCGAGCTATAATGAGAGGCAGAATTGTCGGTCAGTAGTAAATTAGATTTTGAAGAGATGAGGATTTGGTCGTCAAATGAGAAGAAGGTGGGTGGGTACCTAGGTATCAAATACAAACCAACAGTGTAAGGCATTAGGTTTCGGAGTGATACTAGTTTGAAACTTGACATGCTCATTAACCGTCTAATTCCATGTTCAGGTAGATCATGTAATCATTTCTTTGTAGGTACATTTTTAATTAAATTGGCTTCTTTTCAGTGTCCTTCGGACACTCCAGTCCTTGACTCATATTATTCTTCAAATCATATTGATTGTCACAAGACCAAATTCATAGAAACATATTTACAACCAGAGGCCACACTAGGAAGCGGAAAGGAGCCCTTCATAACAACTAACAGAGCTCCAGGGTGCTCGCTGGCCTTTTCCATACTTCCTTTCTCTAACCACATAGTAGTACCCGGAATACCGGCCGCCACGCATGCAAGGCCGACGAAGAGCCCAGTAGTCCATGGAGGTAGATTAAATCTGTTCATTGCCCACATACAGGCTGCAAAACAAAATTGAAATATTGTGTTCAGCATGTTACCCCAGACCACTGTGTCCATTTTCCATAAAGCCGTATAGCGATCGATGGTTTGATTATCTGCTTTGATGATAGAAAACTGGGAACAAGCCCACTGGTGCCCTTGAAAAACCAATTTGCGTGGAATTTCGCAAAAGAATTGATACCTTTCTCTTTGACACTCTCTGATACACCAAGGCGCCAGAAAAACCAGTGATAAAAGCCCCGCAATCTCCAAGGAGCGAGGCCAAAGCCAGTCACACAGAATAAGGCATTCAAAATCTAGGAATCGATTTCTATCCAGATCCGACGAGGTGAAATATGGCTGTTGCAGTCTGGTATACACATGGCAGGTGCGGCGTTGCACATCAATAAAAACAACATGCCTCCCCATGCAAACACATTCAAGCCATAAATGGTGATGCAGGCCCCCAATGGGGTAATGACCCATCGTAAAAAGGAGTGCATTTTAGTAGTCCGTGTTTCAGAAGCGCAAGGCTCGACTGTGTCGTTTGCTCCTGCCTTGGATAATAGTCAGAAGAAGTTTTACAACAGAGGAATATCTACCAAAAGATTTGAAAGGCTAATCCGATCACCAGCGGAAGAGACCGAATTAATGCTGAGGCTGGTTCCGTGCATTTTTGGATTCAAATACAAAACGCCAGCAATATGAAGTTGAATGTAAGGGTCTATGGTTCGAGATTGGAGTTTGTTAGCTTTGGGGCGTATTTCTAGATATCAAGAATATAAGAGGATGTCAGTTGCGATTTAGGGGTTGAACAAGGTACTCAAATAACATGTGATGGCGAGAAAAATGTACTACTTGCAGATATTTTTAGATCGAATACCTATTTTGGTAGTGATTCTGAACCACTCTGTCGAAATTTGCAAACGTATACATCACGGCACGGCTTTACAGAACGAGTACTCCTCTGTATTCGTAACGTAACAGGCATATGGACCCGAATTCTGCCGTAACCCCGGCGTACCGTTGACAGAAATAAAACTATGGGAGGTGAGGCCTGCGGATAAGCCACGATGCCAAGCTAGTCCCGAAAGGGAAAGAGAGTCTAGTTCGGATTGTTACAGGCTAGCTGGGTTTTACTGAGGCCTGAGGGCTCAGGCCCCAGGTTGCTGAGTCAGCCAGTGCCCACCGTGCCTGCCATGTAGATAGCTTCTCTCCATAGCATCTTCATGTCACCACCATCTTCAGTCTCTCATGCGAGTATCCTCATCCTGTGCCTCCAGTAGGTTTTCCAAAAAAAGGGTACTTTTGATTTACAGATTTGTAGCCAGGCAATAGTCTCGATTTTATCCTTGGCGAAAGGGCTGGTCAGTGGAGAACATATCAGATTTTTTTTGAAAAAAGTTTCTTGCCCATTTCGCAGGCAACGAATTATCCGGAAAGTGACTCCATTCCAACAACCGTTTAAGGCCTTCAAAGAACATCAGTTCCGCATTGAGTAAATTTTGGTGACGAGATCCAAAAGGCGTATCATGGCACGTGGATGTCAACTCTGGAACTGTGACCCCAAGGGACAAATTTCAACAATCGAGATCCCTCAGATGAGACAATCTTGCATTCAGGTCCCCGTACGGAGTACTCCGTTCGTAATCCTGGACTGATCTACATGTATTCGAATAAAAGGTAATGATGACCCTGTTCTATTTCAAAAAGAGGAAATCGTTACGAATACGAGGGCTTATATGTACAATACAACCCGAAACAAGGGCGTTCAGGGTTGGTTAACTGGGTAATATTGGAGTTGACCTCTCTTATCCGTAATAATTACTATTTGAATCACTCTGGACCAGATCTGCGCTTTGACCAGACCAAATCCCTTCCCCTCGCGTTGCTTCAAAGGTCATCGAATATTTCGGGCGGTGCCCATTGAATATTGGATACTGATAGAAACCTCCACTGTATGCATCACTGGGGTCCTTGGCTGACATAATCCATACGACCAGTGATAGGTTCAGAGTCATAATTCTTTTAAGCTGTTCTAAAGTCTAATCTTCATGTGATACCCAATCGGTATCGGTACATGCGGGTTAGGAATCACTTAGAACTAAATTTGAACCATGACTTATGTCTTCGTATCGCCAGTAGACTAGAGGGAAGGACATCTATCGAGGTAGCGCAGGATTAAGATTCCCGAAGGCTCCCTTCTAACCAGAACCTATAATGGAGTTGCTGGTTCGGGATCCTTCGCTTTATTCAGGGCTCTCCATCTTTTCGAATTCTGTATTCGAGCTACCCGTGACTTGCTGCACTGTCTGAACAGGTGAATTGTGAGACACTGGCGTGATAATTGGTGGCGTTAGAAATTTCACTCTATGAGTACAGTCAATTTAGTATGTGAACACCTTATCGACACAAGTACCAACAATACATCAAAGTAACCGTACATAAAATTTAGATCTAAATTGGGTAGCCGGCATTTTTCTGGCTAAACAGTGTAAAAAACAAAATATCAAAATGATCAAGCTCAACGTATCATCTTGAGTCTCAGACGCAGCCCGGAACCTTGGCTGAACCCTCGTCAGGAAGCACACCATATTTTTTGAAGTGACTCCTGATACGGAAGCAAACATAGCAGTCAAGGAAACTGCATGCACTAGAGAGAATGTCAGTGAAAATATCACTATAGGCAACCATAAAGCTCAACATACCATAATATAAGCACCAGAATGATAATAATTACACCTAACACACGACTGGTGGTACTATGGGCCGCCGCAGTACCCATGATACTGATGATAAACAACGCAAACCAGAATACAGTGTCGATCAAAGTGAGAATCTTGTTTACCTTTGTGCTAGCCCATCTTTTGAAGCGCCTCACATGGGCTGTCGTCAACTGATAAGCAAGAAATACGGCGGATTTTACACACTTTGGAGAATCAAGCGTCAGCACTTAAGTTCTACAAACCTGACTGGTTCACGCTTACCACCGCGATTCCCCATGTATTCGTTCTCGTGGAGGGAGTGCCTTTATTGGCTATTCGGGCAATAATCAGGATCAAAGTCACCGCTAGGAAGGATCCAATGGTTATGTCGAGCCGAAATTTATTCCTCCGGGTTGGTTCAATAGGCATTCGGAAGTTCATTCTGACGTTCAAAGGTTTCCACACGGTGTTGTTCGAGGTTACTCTTAGTCGTCGAATAGTTATAGCCACAAGTGTGTTGAATAAAGCAGTGTGTATAGTAGAGATGCCTGAACAACTGACAGTAACTTTAGCATTCCGCGGGTATTTATAGTAGTGCATTATGCACTGCCCAGCCAACAATACTGATTCTTTTGAAAATTTCAAGCCATCTTTTGTCCGATAGACCAAGGGGCTAGGCCGAATACGAATTTGTCATTTCATGTTCATCTTAATGTTACCGAGTTCACTCGGCTATTCTTGGCAATAAATCGTATTCGTAAGTTTTGCCGAATCTATTCTTTTGCCCTTGATACCGAGTTTAGGCATTAGAATTGGCCACATACTATGTAGCCTATTGACTAATTCGAAGTGCAATCTCTAGTCCACAACCCAATTATAGGTATAGTTACACGGGCCACGGATGGCATGAATAAGGCAATTGCTACGAAAGCGAGCGACTCCTGAATTGTGGAATTGGACGCGCAGAATCTTCAAAAAATAATCTCGGAACGGTGCATGTGAAATGGCTCGTTAAACTAGGAATATCACGAATAATGTAGCCTGGCGCAAGTTCTGTGTATTATGAACAAGCATAGGAATACGACCAGACGGAGATCATATACGTAATCCATGGATTAGTAGCTGGAGTCAAGCACTTATCTATTCAGTGCAAAGCTATCTTAGGTGGTAAAAGCCTACATTTTCTACCGGAGACTGGGGTTATGGCCTGAGCACCTCTGAAAACGCTACTGTACTCGAGACGTTCGATAATCATGATGGGTAGCGTAGTATCTCTGAGTGATTCAGAGCTCGTCTCGAACGTGGCTTTTGGATGGGGTCGAGGGGTGATCAGGCTCGTAGCCTTGTCGATAAATTGGGTAACTCGCATGATGTCATCGAGGGATATGCCTTCATCAGACTTCTTCCAACCTAACTCGATCGGAAGGCGTTCGTTTACTAAGAGTCCAAGATATCAGTATCGAGGTCGGCCTGGAATTTTCGTTTGTACTGACTGAAGAAGTATTCTACCAGCGTCCGATTAACCTGGCCTGATGTGGAGTTCCCAAAGGCAATGACCGGTGCAGCAACCTCACCAAGGCTAAACTGTTCAGTCTTGGAGGTAAATTTGTACTGCGGGTTGAATGCCTTTGAGTTAATTTGGCGGGCGATCTTGCTATTGGCCAGCATGGCGGGAGTGAGGATTTCAGCAGTCCAATATTCCCTGCTCTCGTTGAAGATGGTCTCGTTGAAGATGTGGTTGCTTCCGAAGAAGTCATCTGCTCGACTAATGAAAGTTAGTATGAAGATTAGTCTAGAGGCGTTAGGAGTAGTTCCGTGGCAGATAAAGTAGGCTTGGCACTAGCTCAACGAAGATGCAAAGTGTGTCAAATAGAAAGAAAGAAATCAAAAGGATTACCTCAAGCTTCCATCATGCTCCAAGACATTGTGGCGGTTCAGATGGTCCCTAGTCGTTCAATGTCAGATAAAAACCTCGCGGCCGTCCCCATAAGAAACTGGCAACCGCAATGATTCTAGTTGCTCGAGAAGGGCAAGAAACTCACAAAGTGAAGTGTGTCGCATTTTCCTCTGGGTTGGCAACCACACCCATGTCGAACATCAAACTGGAAAGTGAAGCCTTGAAATTCAGAGCATCATGGAGACCCTCGACAAGAGTCTCTCTTGTGATGTTTCTCCCATCATGCGGGAGAAACCCGTGGTTTGCGAGTGTGTTCATCATTGGGCAGGGACCGCGAACTACTAAAATTAGCATTAATTCTTAGCTTAAAGGGTATTGAGATAATTACAGTCATTGCTGCCCGCAGGCTTCCAGTGCGCAGGGGCTGCCTTTCCAATACCGTGGCCCGCATAGGCGGACATCCAAGGAAGGGTAACAAGCAAGTATTCTATCTTCATTTTTGAAATGGGTGGCAAAATAGTAAATATAGATCAAGCTTCACCAGATCAGTCCTTATCAACGACAATTAGTGAAGAATGGAATTGCAGTAAAAGTTAAGATCAAGGTGGGATGGGGATGGTGTCGAACTATCTGATAAATGATTGCACGCCGATCGTAATACTTGGAGGACTGGAAACTTATAGTTGCCCAAGAGGTGGCTCGGGGGAACCTTTAGCCGATGATTCGCTCGACATAGCTTTGCACAATACAGAGAAGACTGTGTCAATGTGGGTACATTGAATCTGTAACAGATACGCAGTATGTACTGTGCGAGGATATGCAGATCCTTGTAGAATATTTCTCGGTGTTGCTCACCATAGACACCAATCAGAGAGATTGCATTACGAAAGACTGGTCCGTTCGTACTAGTTGGCCAACCAACCCAGCGAAATGGTTGAAACAAAGTCCTCGTATTCGCAAATAAAACTGGATTGAGACTAACGGTTTTTACGCTATCCTTTAAAAACACTTTTTGGTACTATCTGGATAATTTCTATCTGGACACCTGTTGATATGTCAAGAATACGCTACTAGGGTAAAAATTACGCACGCACAGTTTTAGCACTGTACACCTGTCAGCTCTGATATTCAGGAGATATTTCCAGACATGGTATCTGATACGGGCACGAACCCCTATCCTCAGAGAGGTCAGGATTACTGCTCAAAAGACCCACAGGAGGATACAGGTGAGAGAATGACTTGATAAGGTTGCACGAGAAGCATTAACTCAATATGGTCATCTTGCTCGCCTTACTTGTTGGCTGTCCCGCTATTCTTCATCACTTAGGTCAATTTTTAGGCTCAACTGAAGACGGCATTATTATTCTACCGCAAAAGACCATAGTGTTTCAGAATATATTTGACAGAAAAATCACTAACGTTTTATAGATCAAAAACAGAAGACAGAAGTCCTAATCAACCGGAATACATAAACCAGGCTGGTGGTTCCAGGCAGCTATAAAAATTGATATCTAGAAGGGGAAAGAACAGAACATTTTATTTTAGATAAAACTAATTAGGTAAACCATTTTATTATAACCTTTAATGGTATAATTATTTCATTAGATGAAATCTCAAGTGTAAGTTTTGGTTCAATAGGGAGTAATATAATTTCCTAGATAATACTAGTTCCATATAAGGATGTTAGGTTTACTATGTACTAGTCATGTTTCAATATTATCGAGAGCTTTTTGGTGTGGCGGGATCACCGAAGAAAATAGCAGCGAATGAGCGATGGTTACAGACTTTTGGGGTGCCACTGTATACCAAGCCTCTTGACACTGTGACATCTATTACACTGCAGCAGTTGGTGGTGTGGAGCGAGCAAAGAAGGGAAGGCAGCGTAGGTAGGACTTTTAGTCGTGTCACCCGGGTCCATATTTGTATGGAGATCGCTAGTAATTTGGACGCAGGTGACAGATGACCTTAGTGGCGGTCGGAATAAAATACCATCAAACACTAGTGGTACCTCCATTGCCCTGTTTGCGGCTGCGGGTGTGGTCCCTCGTATTCGCGAAAGTAACTATATCCGGGAGAACCCCCCCCGCGCAGTTCAGTCGCCTCAGCAGGATCCCCGTTGAAGTTCTCTCGGGCGCAGCATCCCGCGTGAGCAAGTTTCTCGTATCATGCCGACAAAATTCTGAGGAAAAATCCCCGCTCTCTAAAAGCTTCGTACTTGAATGCCGATACGCCGCTCCCATCCAAAATCCCGCCATGGGTGCAGCAGTTGTAAGCAAAGACGAGTTAAGGTATGATCTCATAAAGTCATTAACAACCCTTTTTCGCTTGAAATTATGTCTTTTGGGCCTGGGATTTATTCGTGTACTAATTTCTTCTCGCAGTGTGACGAGGCCAGGCCTGTTTGCAAAAGCTGCAGACGGCGAAACGATGAAAATACCTGCGTCTACACTACCCCAGGCCCATTCGCTTTTGCTAGGGCATCACCCGGATCACCGCGGAATGCCCCGCAGAAATCGATTTCATTAAGGAGTGATGGTGGCAGTGCTTCCGATCGCCCCTCCCTGGCCTTCCAGAATTCTTTCGCTAGCTATAGTGGCTCGGCGTATGCTCCAGCGATTAATTTGCAACATATGCAACTCGAGCTGCAGTGGATAAAACATACCCACAAACTATTCGCTCGCAGTGAAGAGACTAGAGAGGTGTGGGAGATACTTGTGTTACAAGAAGCCTTCCAAGCACCATTCCTGATGCATGGCATAATAGCACTGACCGCATTGCACTGGTCACATGAGCATGGTGATACTCAGGAAGCAAAGTGGCTTTCAATGGCAGTGGCGCATAAAAACACCGCTTTATCTATGTTTTCAGAATATCTAAACGATATCACGGATTCTAATGCCAAAGCAATGATGAGCTTCGCCGGCATAGCTGTGGCCTTCAGTTTCGCGAGTACTTTGATCTGCCCTGGTCCCGACGATGGTCCTTGTCTGCGTTCATTAATCGACGTTTTTATTCTTGCACGAGGTGTTCAGGCAGTTGTGAACCAGGCGAGTGAGTTTCTCCATCACAGCAATTTTGCGCCTCTTTTCAATATTGCCTCACCCGAAGTGACTATCCCGGATGAAACTCTAAAGGCTTTCGATTGCCTGGAAGAGTTGAATCGCCAGTGTTATGAATTCTCCTCTGAGCACAATATACAATCATACAAGGAAGTCATCGCATCATTACGAGATCTTGTTAGTTTCACCTATGCAGAGCCTACCTCCCTAACGCTTGCTGCAGGGTGGGCTATTCGATCACCACAACACTACCTAGAAGAGCTCAATAACCGTGCACCACTTGCACTGGTGATTCTTGCTCATTACTGTGTGTTTTTACATCGAGCCCAAGATAATTGGTGTGTTGGATCTTGGGGCTACGCAGTATTTGAAGAGATCCAGTCGCTACTAGATCCTGGTTGGAAATCACATATCGGTTGGGCAGTTAGGGAAATCATTTCCAAATAACTTTTGAATCTAATTAATCTTATGCTATTCAGACCATTTTGACGTTTCTTTTGTCGAAATCAGTGTCAGGAGTATACTTGTTGGGCAAATACATTTCCCTCATTATGGCAAATCCTCGTCATAACTATTATGACAGCGAAGTACCATGAAGAGCCCCTCAATTCGATTACTATGAGACTTTTCTCCACGGTCTCTGAAGTGATCAACCGGGGATTGCGTGTTGATTAGGTTTTCCGTCACAGGGTCTACATCCATCCCAACTCGTAACTGATTAGCACTTCTTGCCTAAAGAATGGATAGCTTAAATTATTTCTCGAATGGCCGTTCAAATATCCCGATATTTCGCTGGTGTTACTCTGACTGCTTTGATTTCGAACATAGCAAACAATACCAAAACAATGAGATCAGGGTCCGTGGTCCCTAGCTAACTATCATCAAGACAATAATTCACCTATTGATACTCCCCCTGCCTCTGTTTCAATTATATGAGAAGTGATTAGAGTGTATGTAGACTATCTTGGCCGATTATCTTTACCAAAAAGCATCGGTTCCTGCCTCAGGGCGTATTTTTACTCACTCTGCACCCTCTTGTATGAAGGATTTGGATGTGATCTGCTACAATATCTGTATTTTACACACAATTCAAAGATACTAGTGTCTGTATTTATTTGTAATAAACAAATGAGATCAAAATCCTGCACTTTGATACTGTTTTCATACGATGGCCTGCTTTGAGACGCATAAAGGGGGTCATGAGAAATGGAAAATCTCTTTTCTCACGCTGGTGGGTCAAAATTCAAGCCTAATAAAGCCTCCAAGCCTCATTTGTTCGCTGAAAACTGTATTGCTAACTCACTCGACGCATACGGAGTAGAAGTGGAGCAGCCTCGACTCGGATGGACTATGGAATCGTATACTCTAGCGCTTGAATACTCCTTGATTTCGGTATGTATCAACTTGAAATACCGTCCCAATCGATTCAGAATAAATTACCTAAATATATATAGCTTCTGCCCCCTTATATGCTGTGAAAGTAAATAAACTTCAGGGCTACTTTCAAGGTTGCATCACTTTTTCCTGCACTGGATATTCCTGTCAAAACTTAGAAGGGGCATTCTTCTTCTCCACAAAGCGGACTATTTCGAATGGGATTTTATTGAGCCATGGCATACAAACTGTATCATTACGACCCCTCTTCGTCTGCGGCAATACCTTTCGCAGCACTTTTTGGGCTGGTCACGATTGTACACCTTTTCCAAATGGCTCGGGCCAAAGCATGGTTCATGACTCCAATTATTATCGGCAGTACCTGTGGGTATAATGGATGCGAACAAAGATGAAACTGATTCACCGCTGACTTAATCTTCATTCTAGTCGAGGTAGTTGGTTATCTTTGTCGATACATCAGCGCAACAGAGACTCCAGATTGGACTACAACGCCCTATATCGGACAGAGTCTTTTGATTCTATTAGCTCCAGCTCTTCTTGCCGCATCGATCTATATGATTCTTGGACGACTTATTGTTTCACTTCATGCGGAGGGTAACTCTCTGATTCGGCCATCATGGTTGACAAAGATCTTTGTGATTGGAGATGTGGTCTCATTTCTCATGCAGTGTGGAGGTATGTTCAAACCTGATGCATACGGAATTAATTGGGATCCCCACAATGCTTAAATTCCTGTTTATAGGGGGAGGCTTCTTGGCCAATGCAAAGGCTCAAGAAAAGGTAAAAATGGGGGAACATATGATTCTAGGAGGTCTCTTCGTCCAGATAGCATTCTTCGGCTTTTTCCTCATAGTTTCCATTGTGTTTCATCGGAGGATGCTATCGACACCTCTGCACTACACGAAGCAAAGCGAAAACTCTTGGCTCAGGTGCATGAAATTTTTATATGCAATTAGTGCTTTGATCATGGTTCGATCGATTTACCGTGTGATCGAATATATTCAAGGCAGCGACGGCTACCTCCAAAGTGAAGAGGCTTTCATTTACACCTTCGATGCTGCGCTTATGCTTGCTTGTTGTCTAATTCTCAATTTCTTCCACCCTAGCAAGTTACTGGTCAAACGACAAGCCCCGCTTCAGAAAATCGAGGAAATTGAATTGTTCAACGGCGGTTGGAGATCTCAGTAGACGTTTTGAAAGCCGAGGATGTTTTTGGTGAGGTTCACAACAATTTAGATAGCATGCAAAAGGCGGAGGATCGCACTTAGATTATTCGAGCTTCAAGCAACCTATGCGCGGGAACCGCAGAAAAAGAATATAACATTCATTGGGATGGAAATAGTGGACGCCTATCTTGTAAACAATCAAACCTATTTCCAGAATTGATAGACAGAAAGTAAAAAGGTGCCTGAGGCTCTAACTCCTGATCAACTGCTCGAGATCAGTTCCCCCACTTCACTAGTTAGGTACAAATAGAACATACCTGGTTCATTAGATTGACTCCCATTTTGTTAACCTTCTAAATCAGCCTATCCTCCAGATAAATCCGTCGATTACCGCACTGGAAAGCCAATTGTTTCGAATTAAATGCCTGTTTCAGCTGTTAGGCTCTGGTTGTACGTTGCTAGATGTAATCAACCAGATGGTTGCTATTACTATTGCGGGTGTGATGCCTCAGGTGTTCACCTAGGCATCGACGCCTATTTGTATTTAGTTCATTCCGTTCTAGTGTCTCCTCTCTTCTTCCTCCTCTCCTCAATCTTATTACTTTCTTCGATCGCTACCACATTCCACCTTCGTATGCTTCGTGCCTGAGCACCTTCACAATAGACATTTACCTTTGATCCGAGTCTTGGCATCTTCTCCTCATCCCAAGCTTGACATTCTCGTTCAATTCTAGTGCTTTGGTTTCCATTTGTCATAGTGTTAGAATATCTTCCAATCTACTTTCCAGTACTATCCCAAGTCTTGATGGATCCAAGTTTGTTGGTAGTGAGAAAGGAAGTTCTGTAGCTTCCGCTACCCTAATAATGAAACGAGAGATCAGTGAATGGCCACATCAAGTGATGATAATCAGTGTCAGCAGATACATGATTGCAATGAGAATCCATAGTTCATATGAATATCTTGTTTATTATTGATGGTCTTCTTTGGTCTTAGAGCTATTCCCAGTCCTCTGCAGTCATAATTAGCCAAGTGAGAATAAGAACACTTGGGGTTTCAGAGTAAGATTAACGATGTCGCCAATGTTGATTGAAAAGTTAAGCGAATACCCTAGAGTACAAGAAATTGATATACAAGTTACATCTTCTCCAAGCCGAGCCAACCAAGATAAATAGTGTAACAAATCATGGTATTGGACGATTTGTTTATGATCTGGCTCAGTGGTAGCTCATTTGTGGTTGCTGAAATATTCAAGAGCTAACCAGATAGGTTGCTCTTAGAGAGCCTTGCACAGCGAACCGTTTTGCTTCTGAGAAAACTTCTCGCTACCAACACAGGTTCGGCACCAGAACAGGTTGTCTGGGTCGTACTTCTCTTTGATGGAAAGAAGACGAGGGTAGTTAGGCCCCCAGAACGACCATTGCCAATTCGGCTCATAGGGGTCCGCCTACAAATACCAGTCAGCTACTAACCTCTCAAGAACATGACTGATATGAGTCAAGGGAATGAACTCACTTCGTTTATGTACGCTCCGCTATCGGGAGCCAGTTGACGGAGAGCATAACCCTTGTCCCAAATCATGTTGTCGATGGTCTTCTCGGCAACATCACTTGGCAATGTGTCGTTCCAATTCTGCTCCGAAATAAGGTGGACAACGGTGTCACGCCAGACCGGGTTCAGTGCATTGTCAGCGGGTTTCTTTCCGATTGTCATCGTTCCTGATATTGACGGGTTTGTGACGCCATTCTGGAAGAAATTTCTCCTGTTAGCTTAAACTGTCTGCCTGGGCTTTTTATGATTCATATTGTACCTTGGACGAAAGTTCATTAGGTCCTATCTTCTCCAATGTTTGTGCGAAAAGACCAGTATCATCAATGGCCTTACGTGTAACAAGTCTTGAAGCACGGACAGTTTGTCTTTTTCCAACGTCAGTGGAAGCTGTCAATGAGCCCAACTGTTCGATAAGCTGATACCAAGTGTCCGTATAAAGCTCAGATATTTCGGTTTTGACCAAATAATCAACCTTTTGAAGTGCCGTTTCCAGTGGAAGGACTTTCTTCCTTCCATCTTGAGCACTTGTGGCATTGTAAACGAAGACCGTGTTATGCCAGAGCATGGGGTTACCAGTGATGGTATAATAGCCAGCGTATCCCATGTCCTGTAGGTCGGCCATTTTCTTGTGCAGGCGTGCCACAGTAGTCCACCATTGCTTGGTAGAAGTTCCATTTTTTGGCGAAACGTCAAAGTTGATGACAGCGACGGATGGCATGGGATAGGCCTTGACTGTCATGCTAATAATGACACCGAAAGTGCTCCCACCACCTCCTCTGATAGCCCAAAATAGGTCTGAATTTTCACACTCATTGACCTTCATAATATCACCTTGCGGAGTGATGACCTCTGCTTCGATGATGTTGTCAGACCCCATGCCATAGATACCAGTGCCGTATCCATGGCCACCAGCAACTGACCAGCCAGTAATGCCAACATCCTGTCTATACGTTAGCTGCGACGCTTGAAAAGATCGGAGTGCATCATTATAATACCATGTTGGTTCCTCCGACGGAAATAGCGTCATGCTTTTTCATTGCTTCGAAAAGCTCGCCATCCTGGAAACCAGCACCAACTGTACCGGCCATGTGAGGTTCAGTCCTCTCACATGATTTAAAAGACTTGTGGAACTTGAAGTCTTTCATGTTATGAGTCCAGATCCTATAGAGGTTAGCTTTCATCTCTTGATAGGCGAAAACCAGTAAGATACCCAAGGCTGCCGTAGGCGGAACTATTATAATTTCAGTAAATCGTGTATCTTTCCGAGAAATTAGTAGAACTAACCTCTTTTCCGGGTTGTGACCGGTGTTCTTGACGTTTATTCTAAGGTTATTCTTAGCCGCAAACTTCAGCGCGCTTTGAACGTGCTTTGCCGTAGTAGCATTTATGACATAGGGTGAGAGTGTGCCGAGAGAACAGCCCTTGGATTCGGCATCAGGATCTCCGCTTATGCCAGTTCCATCTGGGTAAAGAGGCGGACAGGCGTCCCATGACCAAGTCGGATCATGAACACTGAAGGGGTTGCCCGAGTGGAAGGTATCAGTAGTCCATTCCGTGAGAATCTCTTTGCACTTCTTCTCGTTGTATTCTTCGCGGGATTTATAGCAGACTGCGGCCGGAGGAACGGTCTTGAGCAAACGTCCGGAGACTGTTTGGTTAAGCGCGTCCCACTCCTTTACGGATGGCCAGCACGGGTCGGAGGGTCCCTGTAACTGATTAGTGACCAGGAAAGGAGGAAAGGGATCGGATTAGCGAAATTTTACTGACACATTTGCAATCGTCTTTGCCATCTGAGGTGTAGACAGAGCTACTCAAAGTAGTGACGAGGAGGGACCAAAGTGCTAGACGCATTTTGCAACTGTTCGAAGGCTTTGAATGTACTATGTATTGGTAGTAAAATCCAGGGGTCAAGACTCTATATTTATATGCCCAGGTGTAGACAGCACACGTTGGATTGTCCGTAATCGGAAGCCTTACCTGAACGAGGGATCCATCTTAATAACCCCAATATCTGGCACATCCATCTAGATTGGCATGATCCATTGAATTCAAAGGCGAAGGGGCTAATTTCCAAGGTTCTGGTCTCTTATTATGTTCCACAAAGGACCCATTTCACTCTCCACTCAAATTATACCGAAGGCAATCTAGTGAAAACCTCTTACAGCATATTGGACGCCCGGTACGCAGTACTCCTAATATCTAACCCCGGGGGTGAGTCACAGATAGCCAAAGATATTTACAGTAGTTAGCATAATGCGCCATGCTATCCTCGAGCTCCATGGTTCACTGAAGAATTCGTTGTTTTGACCGAGAGAACATTTCAATGCTACGGCATTTTTGGCATGGAAAAGCCGCGTACCGACGTGGGAAAGACATTTTGGTGCCCACCTTGCCATTGAAACTATGTAGAATGATCTGCATTGCCTTGTGTGAGGGGCCGTTACGAAAAGCCGGCCACAAAGTGGATCTTGCCTGTTTCCGGCTTTTTTGAGCGCAATATAATTCCTGGCAGCAGAATTTGAGTTTCAACGGTAACACAGGGCTCTCGTACTCGTAATTAATACTGTATTCAACTCCAAGGCAACCGCCAATCATTTCGAGAGGGCTGCTAATCGGGTTGGACTAAATCTTCTACTACTGGGACCACATTTTTGCCATGTGGATTACGTACGGCACTTTCTAATCCGGGATTGGTATGTATTTCGTATGCAACTTCTCGTTATACCCCTGCCACATTCTATGTACATATCCCCAATGTAAGGAGCTCAGGCACGACCCACTCAATCGAGATGGATGTGGTAGCAATAACGAAAGTAATCGAATTGAGCAGAAAGAAGAAGAAGAAGAAGAAGAAAAGAGACTAAGACGGAAGGAACTCCATACAATAGGCGTGGGTGCCTAGGTGAGCACCTTAGGCATCATGCCGCAATAGTAATAACCATCGGTTCATTACACCCAATACCCAGCTATATTGTATGTTGTTATCTGATCTCGCGTATCTTCGCCTGCTCAGGGCTTATAGATAACCATGACACCTAGTAGTCTATCCATGGATATTGAACTATCCGCTAATATAATTCAAAGCTCTATTTCGACGCCGGGAGAGATCAGTCATATCTAACATATTCTGACAATTTAGATTTCGTTCTTATCATTTACTGTTGATACTAAGCAAGCTGGATAACAATCTAGATCAGCCTGTTCAGCTTGAGTCTTCAGTTAGTAGAGATCATATCCTTGAGACTCTCTAACATGTATAATCTATACCATGATAAATGAGAATTTTGATACTGTTGATAAATACACTAAGCCTCGTAAATATAATTTTGCCTATAGCAAAGCAGTAAATCAGATTATGTAGAAGGGAGGTAGTAGAGGAGAGAAATCGGACTGCCAGGCCGATGAATTGGTCGCTTGGGGGCCAGTGATGTTAAAAATTGGGGCGTTGTAGTCTTTCTCATCCTGGGCTATGGTATATGGCAGCTTTACGGATGGATTGACATGGCCCCAGAGAACATCCGCGATTGAATTCCCTGTCTCCTGTCCTGGCAGATGTGCTGCAATGATAGCGGTGATATTGGGGCTGGTTGCCCAGGGCATGGTATTGGGGCCCGCGGAGTGTGTGATCATGACAGTTTTGCCAGGGCATCTTGACGACACTTTTCGAACAAGTGTTGTAGAATTCCAATCAGCCTCGTAAGAGCCGCGATCAACCGCCTCCCGAGAGTACGTCTTCAGGAAAACAAGACATATATCCGGAGAACTAGTCAATTATCACTTACAGCTACCAGACAGTATATAACACATTCATACAATATTTTATATCTCATTACTCAAAACCACACTAGAAAATACCAAACTCACTACAAATATAGAAATAGAGAAAAGGACTAAAAATAAATATAAAGTCAAGGATATCCTAGACATAAAATATATTAACGAAAAACCTTATTACCTAGTGAAATAGAAGGGGTACAATATCTTAGAAAAAATATAGGAGTCTATTAAAAACCTTACAAACTACCGCTAGCTAGTTTAAAAATTCTACTAGGAGAAGTAGAACCTAGTAAAGAAATATCCAAACTATCCTAGAAAGAAAAAGATAATGAAACAATCTTATTTAGTATCTGATCAAAGTTCAGATTATTAGCAGTAGCTACTAACTACTATATATCCAGAGTAGAGGGGATATCCTACTCGGGGAGCAATATCTTTTTATCCAAAATATATAACAACTCGTTATTATAATCAGATATTTTAAAACCTTTTTACTTTAAGAAAGTTATTTATTTCTATAACTAACATTAGTGAGACATAGCTTCTTAATACTATTTTTGTTTATTTAATACCTACTAATACAGCTCTATAGTCAAGACTGTAAATCATTTAACTTAGGTTCCAACAAATTAAGTTTATCTTTAATCTTTTTAATATCAGAAGACAGTTTATCTTTAGCATAATATAATAAATCCTACTCCTAACTACTATAAAACTCTTACTTATTCATATAGCCAGCATAAGTACATAACGTATACCTAGAATAATAATAAGTCCGATCCATTACATAACTCTCACCAGATTTATAATAGCAGTCACACAAAACAGAAGTAACAAATAAATTTAAAGAGATATAATCAGCCTAACAAATATAACTAGTGACTTGATTATAGAGAGCAGGGAGTTTAGGGATTCCTTTAAGACAAGAGTTAGCTTTACGTTTAGGTATGATAGACTATAACAGAGAAAATCAAAAACCAAAAGAACTAATACCTACTTAAGAAGGGCTAGATAGTTATAAGGGGTTCTTGGGGATAAGAACCAAAGAAGGAGGAGAATAATATTACAGACTCTACGATATAAGAGACTACAGCCTATAGTTAGGCCACCAAGAGCCAACTGTTCCTAGGAGAGGAACACAGGATCGGATTATGTGATAAGTGGCCAGAATCAGCCTCTGATTCACTGTATTAACTAATACTATACTAAACTAAGTGATAGTTAGCGCAACTTAAGGATAGGTGTTCTTTCTACTATTACTAACACTATACTATAAGTACAAGGGCTCGGTAAAATTACTACGTAACCACAAATAGTAGATAGAAATTCTGATCAACAGGTATATCATGCCAAGTGCTATCTAGTATCCTACTATCTACCAGAGATACCATCAAGAAGGACTAGGATATATAGGATATTCCTTTCGTACATGTATTTAGTTCTTTACGATCAATCAATCTAAGTTACTACAGTATACCTTTTAGATTACTCTTTAATCAGTTTCGACCCTTGTGACAAACATACTACAAGTAGGGGAGCTCTTCAGACTGACCTACTTGGCGCACTATCTGGCACTTCCTTCGAAGTTACTCTACAGGATCCGAGTCCGTGTAAGGCTTAGTACAGCAAAGGTACGATTGCGAGTTTAGACTTGAGGAGTACGAGTGATGGATATCACAGACGATCAACGACACAGGGAACAACTGGTAAGTTGTTTACCCAGATATATCCACTCACCGTGACCAGTTAGCAAAGCGTGTAACAACTCCTTCTTACTACACCACCTACTATAGATAAAGCAACAACTATTAAAGAAGAAACTATAGATATCTCCTTTAGCATACAACAAAGAATCATACTATTTACAGATGTCTCAGAGGAAGTTTCTTTGAAAGAAGGGAGATAGTTGTAATAGGAAAACCTTGATTCATATTAAGATAGGTCAGATCCGATATAAATTAGCGATATCGATCACGGAGTACATTATTCTTAATACACCGTTTCGTAAAGCGTAGGAATCGGGCTTGAAAGAGATATAAAACCTTTGTGACATAAAATTCTTAAGGTTCCTCAAGAATTAGTTTTGAATCAATCCGGAAGATACTATCCATCTCGGTTGTGTTACTCTTGTCTTACCTAGTCAATATCTTAACTGTTACAATATAGCTCGTAGGGATCTTAATTAGACTTGATAATTATCTCCGCACCGTGCGATCGGCGGAACGGGTATGGTATGGCGAAGAGCTATGAGACGGGTGAAATTCCAGGTTAGTGGAGGAAAAGTGCAAGTCAAGTGTACAAAGTATGCTTGTCCCATATACATATATGATGATCCACCACGTGTCTCCGCGGCACAGTCCACCTATGATATGGATTCTTTCTTTACAAAATTTAGTTCGTCTACTAGTGATTCAGTTGAGATTTCTAATAAGGGTGTACTAGATTTTACGTATATATTTCAGTTCATTCAATAGTTCTAATTTGAATTTTAAAGTAATCAAGACGAACCAAATGTTAATCGTCTTTCTAGGCCGAAACTTAAAAAGCACAGTTCACAACATCCAAACTTCAAATTATTTCGCAATTTCATAGTCTAAGTACAGATGTAAGATACTCTCGGCTGCGGATATCGCCTATTTCTTATTTTTTTCAAGTTCTCATGTGGCAGTTGAGAGATCTAGATCCAGCATGGCGTGATCCGAGTAGCGGCACTCGCCGCGCAAAGTCACCGTAATGAGATTTCAGACGCACCTGAAAACAAATAGGATGTCAGAAATACTATAATTAAACCTTCCGGTGATAAGAGCTTTATTCGTAATCATTGCAAGATGTTGCATCACGTTTGGGATATCCTACCATATACTACTCCACAGTACCCCATGAACCCCGCAAACTAATACGAGACCCTGAATGACGGGATCTGACACGATTCGCAAAGCGGATGACGAATGTGCGTAAATATTGTATGAATGCCAGGTGCTTGAGAGGTTCCGGAGATTTAATATACTCAAGCCCTCGAATTCGTGCTTTGATGCTCAGCACTCGACATCTGCGGATAGTTTTTCGCAAAGACGTGGCTGTTTCTATACTCATACGTCCGGATAACCGGCATGAGATGAATGGTGAATATCTAGTTCTGTCCTGATGTACTTGTATATAAAGAAGGTACAATTCTACTACATTGTGATGACCTAGTGCAGTAATCTCCAAACTTCAAACAACCCCCATCATGGCTCCCTCTCTTACCGAAACAACCACGCCTATCATTCCGATCACGGAGGACAGCAAAATCACCCTCAAGGGCCTTGAAAGAACGCCCATCAAGCTCAGCGGAGCACTAGATGCATTCGAGTCATTCGACGTGACCCCAGTCATAGGCCGAGAATTCCCAAACGCAAATCTGAAAGATTTCCTGCGCGCTCCCAACTCGGATGATTTGCTCCGCGACCTCGCTGCCACCAGTCAGTAGTTAACCATTGGAAAATCCATCAAAGTAAATCCACCTACTAACCCAGCATTCAGTCTCCCAACGAGGCGTCGTCTTCTTCCGCAAACAAGATGGTCTAGATGACAACCTGCAAAAGGAACTCGTCCAACGTCTCGGCGAGCTCTCAGGCAAACCCAAGACCTCCGGCCTACACATTCACCCCGTCGCCAACTCTGGCCGAGACGGAAGTGTCGCCGACGACGAGATCAGCGTCATAAGCTCCGAGCAGCGCAAAACACTCTACATCGACCGCAATACCCGCAAACAAACCGCCCGCCGGGAATGGCACAGCGATATCACCTTCGAGCCCATCCCCAGCGACTACACCCTTCTCCGTCTAACCGAGCTCCCCAAGACCGGCGGAGGTAAGTAACTTGCTTTGCTTGAAGCATGAACTCAACCAGGAACTCGAGCGAATACTCACCACCTGGTCTTAGACACACTCTGGGCCTCCGGCTACGAAGTCTACGACCGCCTCTCGGAGCCGTATCAGAAATTCCTCGAAGGACTAACGGCTACATACGCCCAGCCGCGCTTCAACCAAGTAGCCGACAGAAACAACTTCAAGATCCACGCCGGTCCTCGCGGTGCCCCCGAGAATGTCGGCGAAGAGCTTCGCGCCGAACACCCTGTCATCCGTACGAATCCCGTAACGGGATGGAAGAGTGTTTTCGCTGTGGGATCGCATGTGCAGAGGGTTAATGGTGTTACGGAGGAGGAGAGTCAGCATCTGCTTGACTGGTTTGTTAATCTTATTGTTGAGAATCATGATTTGCAGGTGAGGTTGCGGTGGCAGAATCCAAATGATCTTGGTGAGTTGTTCACTCTTGTCCTGTGTTGAGAGATGCCAGTGCTCTTTCTAATTCGATTAGCTATTTGGGATAACCGCTCCGTTTACCATGCGGCGACTTGGGATTATGAAGAGATTGGTCCGAGGAGGGGTCATCGGGCTGTTGGTTTGGGCGAGAGGCCATATCTGGACCCCAAGAGCACGAGCAGAAGAGAAGCGCTGGCCCAGGAGGCGGTTGACAACGCTGCATAGTGTCAAGTAGGAGACGAAAGCTATCTAGATAGCAGAATCCAACTCATTAATCTTCGCTGGGACTCTCTCAAGCCTGTGACGGCTCACTGTCCATTTACGAAGTGTGCTCTTGCTTTCACCGCCAAATCCTACTTAAACTATAGACATCCAACAGTTACAACAAACGATTGCCCCATATGCTACTACTAACTAAATCCAACCAACAAAAACAATAATGATATTGATATCGATATTTGCTGTTGAAGCCGACAAAAGCCGCATGCGACTATGAACACAAGAATGCAAGCATGTGTATGTAAGATATGCAAACCATGGCATGTTCAAGCTGGAGATCAAGCTCAAAGAATAGCGCTAGGGTTCAGTCTCGAGTTAGGGGTGTTCTTCTTTGCTTGCTCGAGGACCGGAACTCTGATGGAGCCGCCCTTGTCACCCACAGGGGTGGGGTTCGGCGAAGGGCCGGGTGTGCGTTCGCCCTTATTCTGGCGCTGGATGAGGCCGTTTGTGATTCCGAGGACGGAGTCGACGATAACAGCATCAATGCCTTCCGCGACTTGGTACTATATTTCAAACAGATCGTTAGTTCTATTTTCCTTTTTAAATGGGGATAGTGGTAAGAACTCACGTCAACGTTGACACCGTCGTTGTTCAGCATGCCGTAGGAGACGCAGACGAGACCGGACTCTTTGACGATGCGGACTAGACGAGGGCAAAGGACTAGGGGTTCGGCCTGGGAGACGATGCCGAGGAGGTTCCAGCGTGACGCAAATCGAACGGCCTCTTGCAGACTGCTTGCTCGGATGTCGCCGACAGGAGAAGCACCGGCATCGGTCAGGAAGAGAACTGGGATAGAGGGCTGCTTGAAGGACAAGATGAGACAGATGTCCGGGTTGAAGCTGGAAAACAGAATGTCGCGGCCCTGACCCAGGTCGTAGACCTTGGTGAGGACGGTGTCGACAAAGGAGTTCAGTTCGACGGCGTATGTGTCCATCTCTTCTTCCTCACTCTCGTGGAGCATGGGATATTCTGGCGACCTAGGTTAGATCGTCGAAATGTAGCTGTTCTTTGGATGGCGGTTAAGACTCACTCAGTTCAATGTTAAACCCGACGGGAGTGGGGACCTTCTTGAAAAGCTCTTCCAGGGTAGCGAAAGGCGCCTGAATATGCTCGCCGCGAGTGTTTCCCTTGAAACCCTTCTTTTTGAAATCACGAGTATGCTTGATCTTCTCGGTCAACTCAGCCGGGTCGTATAGGGACCCACCGACGGACATCGATCGCTGTCGAGGAGGAATACTAGAATCCCTATTGACATCCACGCTGTCTGGCAGGACATTACGGTGTCTTCCCTTGCCGAGCTCCAGGAATTGATCCAATGTTAAAGTATGTACCGGTGCATCAATTCCCGTTTCGCTGACGAGGAAATCATGGTAAATGACAGGGACATGGTCCTTGGTAAGCTGCACATCAAACTCGACGTAGGATGCGCCCAAGTTGGCCGCAGCAATGAATGACTGTACGGTATTTTCACCCAGTTGGAGCGAATTGCGACTGGCCATGTTCTTACCAAGACCACGGTGACCGATGACCATAGTCGAGCTCATGGATCGCCAGTAGGTCTGGTTACCCTTGATAGACATGTTGGGATGCTTGAAAGGGGTGATGACCAAAAAGTTGAAGGTCACCGATCCAATCACGTCCAGGGTGTTCGCCGCAACGATGGGAACGGTAGAATCTCCCTTGAGGTTGATGCGCTGCGATCCGACGGTCGGCTTGATGCTGGAAAGTAGTGCAACACCGCGACCAACAATCTTCTCCTTGGATCCGGAGTAGGTGGGTACAAGGTCAAAAAGCAAACGCACTTTGCTAGCATCAGTCGTGTGGAACACGATTGGCTCAGTGGAGATGTTGTCCTGCACAGGCAGATCAATGACCTCTGGCTCGCCATGGGCGCCGCTGGCGGTAACCACCAGAGACAGCGCTGTGTCTAACTGGGTCGCGTGGGCATTCTCCATGGGGATTCTATCAAGGTTGACGGTCTCCAGGGGCTTTCGCATGTCCATCGTTCCCAGGCTGACCAGAATCATGGTCTCATCGGTAAGATACCGATGACCAAATGTCTTAATGGGTTCGGTATTGCGCAGACCGGGATTCCCAGCAGAGGTAGGCGCCACGGCATTGGACCGTCGATCAGTCAGAGAGGATAGGGCGGGTGGAGAGCCCGACGGGGAAGGGCTATTGCTGGGAATCGAGGGCGAAGGCTCCTGCTCGGGAATTGGGGCGCTGGGGCTGACTTCAGCTAGACACCGCGCGATCTCGAGATGACCTCGTAACGCTGCGTGTTCTTTGGCCGTCCAGCCAGATGAATCAAAACGCTCCAGGTCCGCTCCGGCATCAACAAGCAGCTTGGCCACACCTAGTTGACCATCGACACATGCAATAAAAAGAGGCGTCCAGCCGTAGGTGTTCTCAGCCAACTCGGTGTTGGCCTTCTGATAGTCGGAACCCTCGAGGATAATTCGGGCACATTCGTCATGGCCAAAGCGGGCCGCGACATGTAGAGCTGTCTCGCCCTGTTCATCCTGGTAGTTGATATCAATTCCAGCCTCCACCAGAAGCTGCACGATGTCGACAAAGTTCGCCTTGGTTGCAAGAGCAAGGACCGCGCTTGACTTGGAAACCTGCTTCCTGACCTGATCGGAATTCCCGTGGGTCTCTCTCCAGTTCTCGACATCCAAAAGGCAGCGGGTGGTCTTTGGGTGACCACCAACCACACTTAGATGAAGGGGCGCCCAGCCATCCTCATCCTGCCACAGCGGGCCATCGATGCCTTCCCGGACATCAAACATATCCCATTCCCGGAGATGCTCAATGATGACTTCACAAACCACCTTGAACCCATACTGGGCGGCATAGTGTAGCGGGGTACGTCCAGAGAGATCCTTTGCCATCAAAGACTCTCTTTGATCAGGACGCAAAGTGTCAAGAATATGTTGCAGGATAGCGACTGCCGAGTCATCACGGCTAAGCTGCTGTGGCATATGTTCTTCTTTGACAACACTCCGCGGGGGTTGCAAGGTCGGTGGCGCAGCCGGAGTAATGTAACGAGATGTTTCCGGGGGGAAGTCGAGCACCATGGACGCGGCAGGCTCGGAGTCACTTGTTGACTGTTCACGACCGACCGAAATAACAAGGCGGTGCAGACAGTTACGGCGATTTATATCATCGTCCTCCTCCAGTGTATCAACGCGACTCAGCAAAGCAGTCAGACTAGCCTTGGCACGATGAAGAATGGCACGTTGAATGAGGGTCTTAAGAACTTTGATAAAGACACCTTCGCCCGCATCATCGGCGGCGTTCTTCAGAGTCTCAAGTAGTTCCAGAAGAACATGGGTATCATCTTTTCTCAACGAGTCATCCACTGCAGTCAGCACGCTGGAGGGCAGGTTCAAGTAGGGTCGTGCAGGGCCACGCTTCAGCGACAGAGAGGAGTGAGTAGAGCTGGAATCGTCGAACAGCTTCTCCTCCGTTTTAGAATTGTCAGTGATGATAGCCATCCAGGAGTTGATTCGTTCCTGAGACTTGATAGCACGAGCGTTGGAGGCAAACGGAACGGGGTCCACCTTGGTCTCCAGGTAACGCTTTTGTGCCTGGGCTCCGACCTTCTTGTCAAGCTTCTTGGTGATCTTGACAAAACCGCGGCGGTTGACCTCACCGTACCACTGTAAGCGTCGCAAGTGATAACGCAGATCCAACAGAGCTTCGCGCAGATCATGGCTCTCCTCGGCCTCCAATGGGTGATTACCCTCCATTGAGTATCCATATCGGTCCTCCAGCAGCTTCAGGCGACGGGCGTACTCAGCATATTTCTTGTTGTAGAAGTAGTCGACGTCCTCAACATTCCGATCGAGAGAGTAAAAGAAACCTATACCGAACGAACAGGCCGAAGAAACGGCGCATCCTGGTTAGAAGGTACTCTCGGGATTGCAAGGGAGCTTCGTAATCGACAAAACATCGCGCTTACCGGCCAGATCCGCTTCTTGGCCCGCCTTGATTTGTTCCGCGGCCGACTTGATCAGTTTCTTCAAGGCCTTGTATTTGATGTAATGGGCGCTCCATTCGGGAACGGTGAATTGGGGTAGATTGCGACCGAACTTCATGTTGACGGTGGTAGAGCACTATTGCCAGACCCTCTGTACAAACACACAAGGATGTAAGGATATCGGAGATTGGTGTTTTTTTCAAACCCACCGCTTCCCTTTATTTTGAGTTTGGACCCAAAGCAGAGAGGTACAGAGGTAAAGAGGTCGGATAAAGAATGAAATGTCCAGCCTGAGAGTCACAGAGAGTGATCAGGTGAGCGGACGCACACAGGAGATAATGGGCGCCATTGGTAAAAGGGGGGGAGGAGGTTGAAGGGAAGAATAATGGTAAGAAAAAAAAGATCGGGAGCTCAAAGGCCGACTGTACCTGCTTAAGTGTGGGGTGGAGAAAGGAATGATGAAGCGGTGAATGAGAAGGAAGGCGACGGGATGGTAAAGAATCCCGTGAAGCTGAAAATGGGACCGAGTGGATCGGAGAGAAGGAATCAAAGGATTCAAAGGAGTCAAAGGCAGCTCCCACGTGAAGGTCGGTGGGAATCGGTGGGAATTGGAGGAATGACGAGGTTGCGAACAATTTCGAAGTGTGCAGCGGTGGCTGGCGGTGATTTGTCGATCCGCGGGGTTCCATCAAAGTGCTGCCCGTGGTTTTGGGTACTTTGTGTATAGGGCTATTGCCACACACTGGCAGTCATTCTCATCTCTGGAGTATAAAAGTTGACTCAACTCCCTTCTTCTCGAACTCGGGCCATCAAGCGGTCTGCTCTTGGATCTTGTGACTAGCTGACCTAGCCTAGCTTCCTGGGGGCGTTTTTCTGGAGTAACACCCCAGCATTAACCGTCTCCACATTGGCCCCCGAGGCTCGTCGGCCTAGTGATCCCGGTAGTATCGTGACTTTGACTTTC